TTAACCCTCGGTTCGCTTTGTACGGAGTGCTGATGTTGGCATTTCGAGCCGAGCTGCTTATGGCGATACGGACGGCCGCGGCCTGCGTTGCTGTTGTTCCATCGGCAATTGTCTGTGTTCGTTTCTCCCACGATGCAAGTGCAAATGGGTCAATAGTTTCGTGGCTCTCGATAGGTATATTTTTCAGTACATAGTCTGCTTGCTCATCTAGTCCTCCAGGGTTTGAAATGTCGCGTGTTCGCTCTCTTCGTCTTTTCCGTTTGCCTTTACCGTGAGCAGCCTCACGCGGTGTCAAATCTATAATTGCGCGCCAACATCCATAAGTGTCTTTTTCCTTTCACTGACTTCAGCAACTCCGAATCTCATAACGCCCCAATCTCCTTTGCTAGGTTCAAAATCTCCTCAATGAGAGGATTCACATCGGCACTTTTTAGCGGCACCCGATGCGCGCCATTCCACTCCACAACCCGGGCGCTGTCGACGCTGCAGTAGTTCTCGAGGAGCTCACGGTGTAAATGAAGACCTGGATCTGCCAACCCATGGACATGTATGGTGGGTAGCTTGAGGACGTGTTCCTCTCCCATGATATCCCCCAACTCCGGAGGCCCCGACAAACCAGTCTGTGACAGGTTGCTCAACAAAGAAGACCTGAAAACATCCGGATCAAGGGACACTATCGGTGCTCGTCCGGCCATCAGCACAGCGAACTTCCAGTCAGACCCAGCTTTCGCCCGCCCCAGTTTCTCGGCTCGGACTTGTTGTCGGAAAATCAAGCTTGCAGCCAGCTTCGCGCCTTGACTGAAACCCAGCAATCCCACCCATGGACCCGTTGCACCCGATCTATCGTCCTCTATCATGGCGGTCTTTATCGAGTTGTTGATAGCTTCAATTCCCGCTCTATCCTCGACCTCATCGTGCTCCGGAAGCCATCGCTTGAACGGGCCATAGTCAGCGTAAACCGAGACGACGTCCGGCCCCGGCATTGAATCGAACGGCGCTTCAGCATAGGCAAATCGGAAGTATGGCTCTAGCATGCGCGAGACCACACGGCATTGCGACTTGAAAATGCGTGCGTTGGTCCCGCCACCGTGTAAGCAGAGAATACGTGGGAGGTGGAGGGTATTCCTGTGGTATTCCTGGTTCCTTGCGTCCATGATATGTGGAAAACCTAAATCGTTTCGGGAACACTTTTTAAGCTGGGTGAGGTACAGGATTGAGGCTTCGATGCTATTGAGGTCGTGGGTAATTTCTCCAACTTCGAAGATGGTGCAGAGGGGCAGAGACTGAATTGAGGTATACTACTTATAGCGTCGGCGTATTGGCGGCGGGGAGGGCTTTGCCAAAATACTATACAATGCAACTCCACCCGCTGGTCGCGATATTTGACCGGCGTGCCCTTCGCCCGGCAAAGCTGAGGGTACCGTCCTCGTTGTACCATCGCGTAGCAGCCGTGGCGGGTCTTGCGATGAATGCTGCCGCCGTCCTAACCCGGATCCCTAAGGTAACTACGTGCAAGGATCAAGATCAGCTCTCCAACAGTGCCGAGGAATGCGAGCTTGATTCAATTGGTAGGTCCACCCAACAACTAACACATTCAACTGCATAGCCTCTTCACTGTACTCATACCGACCCCTGGTCTGAACAAGCTGCGCATTGCCTAGGTTCGTATATGCGCTCGGAATTTTCGGCAGCGCGGCTGATAAATTTACATTCGCTCTGCGTCACTGCCCCACTACTAGGAGCCCATGTAGCTGATGATAAGACTTCGGCTGGACAGATCATACAGTCCACGGTAGTGTCTGTTGGAATTCCAGGGAGGAAAACGTTAACAAGACTTGCGAAGGAGTGCCAGCGAGTCCGGCTGACAGCAATCCTCGTATTGCCCGGCACCGAAGCCAACCCTCCCGTAGGCGGCTGATGTCAAGGCTAGACGTTCATCGATCTTTTCCAGAATGATTCGCCAATGATCTATGCTAGGCCCGGACCCAGGGTTCCAAAGTCATCGCCTGGCCTTGAGCACGCCGAGTATCGCTGCCGCTGTCCATCTAGCTTCTCGAAGCACAGAGGTCGTTTCACCCCGCGGCCTAGTTTGTGAATCCTTGGAGTGCAGTTTGCCGTCCGCCACGCCCGAGCCTTGAATCCGCTGCACGCCCGCTTCAGGCTGAATGACAAGCAAGGTCTGAAAACCACGCCCATCTCAAGCGCTTTCGCTTTTGGCGATTCGCTGGAAGTCCATTTACTCATATATGATCACCTTTATCATCTGTCGCTGTAAACTCCCTGGGGAACTTGCCGTAAGGCTCGAATAACCCCTGAGGTTAAAGCCATGCTTTTGCAGCAGGTTCGGCCAATTTGATCGCAGAAGAGGTCCAGCTGTGATCAGCGCAGCTACTTTGCAACGATGCAATTGAACGATGCAAAGCACCGGCTTCCCTCAAGTTTCTTGGTGTCAGCCCGACATACTGGTGACGGCATAATTGATCAAAGTGCAACTTTGTTCACTACCCAAGATACAGTTATTGTAATAAGCACGGCCCTCGAAACGATCCCCATATATAGTCGTCCGCGATGGCTGAAGTCTTCGGCGTGGCCGCCAGCGCTTTTGCTGTTGCCAAGCTATCTGCCAAGGTGATCAAAGTCTGCGCATAATAAACGAAAGATGTCACGAAGGCAAGGGAGGATGTTGGGCGGCTAAAGAAGGGGCCAACCTCCTAGATGATGTAGCAGAGAGCATGCAGCATTTGTTGGGCAAATCCTCACGATCACGACCAATACTTCGCTAACAATGAGGAACTGCAATCCATCTTGGACGAGAGTCAAATGCTTGTTGAAGAACTTCAGGCAAAATTGGACCCTGGCAAAAGAAAAACTGCTTTGAGCAAGTTCGCTATCCCGCGCGTTAAGATGGCTGTGCAGAAGCCAAGATATTTAAGAGACTCTGGTGAACCCAGGTCGCTTGACACAGGCCATTTTAACCAAGATAGCGCCCATAGACTTCACCACCCGCGCGCAATCCTACTTTTTCAACGAAACACACAATATCTCAACCATCCTGTGAAAATGAGCTCTCAATGTGAGGTTGCCATTAGCATTGCTATTAGAGATTTTGAAAATGGTACAATATCTTCTGTTAAAACTGTGGCTGCAGCATACAACACCCCAAGGTCTACCCTTTGCTCTCGCCTGGATGGTCGAACAAATCCGCTCATCAATGACTTACAGCACAAGTGACTGAGTCCTCCAAATGAATGGAGATACTATAATTTGGGCAAGGACTGGGTAACTGGCTTTGACAACTCAATCCTAAGGTCACTTCTTGCATTGGCAAGCGGATTGATGCTAGAAAAATTGAGGGAACCTAGTCTGAGCAAATCCGGCAATTTTGCCATTCAATGAGACCCAAAGCCGCTTCAACATCGCTACAGAGAATATATGGAATATGGATGAACATGGCATTGCTCTAGACTCCTGTCCAAATGCTAGGGTGCTTGCCAGAGCCGGGAGGAATAAGACCTACCTCAAAGCTCCAGAGAATCATGAGTGGGTGTCAATTGTGGAGGCCGTCAGCGCTGATGGTCAGTCTATCCAACCCCTAGCAGTGATTCTTTTAGGGCAAACACCCTCAACCCTCTTGTTTTAAAGCTGGAGAAGTGCCAGACTGGGTATATATCACTTCGGACAGTGGATGGACGTCAAATGGGACAGGGCTTAACTGGCTTAAAGAGATCTTTCTGCCAGGAACTGCTCCTAGCAATAGAGGGCATAGAATGCTGGTTACGGATGGTCATAGCAGTCATATAGCCATTGAATTTCTTTGGCTCTGCAAGCAGAATGATGTCCAGCTAGTCTTCTTGCCTTGTCATTCATCCCGTTTGCTGCAACCATTAGAGCTTGCTGTTCTTTTCGTCTATGAAAGCTCATTATCGCTCTGCTATTGCGGAATTGAGTTATCTAGATAATGCAGCTCCAGTCAAGAAGAAATGCTTTATCAAGGCTTATTCTCAGGCATGTATAAAGGCTTTAGAACCGTGAGTGATTAGAAATGGATGGAAAGCTGTTGGATTAGTCCCATGGAACACTATTAAAGGATTGGATCCTCTTAGATCCGAATGCAATGTCAAACAAGCCCCCAAAACAAACCTCTACATCCTAGGGTCCTAGACCCACCCGCCATATATATAATTTTTGGAGAAACTGGGTAGAGAGGGTAAATTTGATCGAGCCCAGAGAGCTTTCTTACAGAAGACTACCAAGCTGATTGGAGAACTGAATTCTCAACAAGCTGCTCAGCTGGCTGTTGTTCATAAGCTTAGCAGTCAAGCAGAAGCCTTTTGGCATTCGAAAATCAGGAAACAGGTTCAATTGGATCCAGATTCCCAATTTGCCAACATTGAAAAGATCGGACAGGCTATGGAGGAGGCTGCGGCTTTACAGGCTAGATTACAGCAATGCCAGCCAGAAACTGAACCCTGAAAAAACAAAGTAGCAGCAGCTTTAGAAGCTGGACTACAAGCACGCATAATAGAATGGTACGCCTACTAGAATTCAGAGATATTATTGTTTTCTAGAAGGACGGTTGATTGCAATAGGGATAGCGCACTCTGTCTAGGAGCGCTATCTTATTTGGAACGCAGATTGATCAGGCGTGAATTAACCGCTGGCACCAAAGAGAACTGCTCTAACCATATGGGCAAACAGGGTTACGTTACTCGACATGGACTATAAGATGGCGCTTCCGAAGCTCCCTATTGCGGAGGGAGCTATATACAATTCTCACGCCAACGAGCACAATCTAGAGTGTATTTCTGATACTCAGAGCGAAGTCTTGCGAGAGATCTCCAAATGGGCTGTAGAGCCCGATACGAAGTCTGTTTATTGGTTGAATGGCATGGCTGGGACTGAAAAGTCAATAATATCATGGATACTATCAAGTAGGTTTTCTGAGACTGGTGCCCTTCGGCCTACGTTCTTCTTTAAGGGGAGGGAAGGCGACCCTATTTCTACTCGCTGATATATGCGCTTTTAGCAGCAATAGCGGCCGCCAGCGCAGCTAATGAGACGCTCTGCAAAATATCAAAGATAGACACCTCGGCCGCAGCTTGCTGAACGAGCATATTTCGGAGCTCAACTGCAACAAGAGAGTCGATCCCATACTGTGCCGGCTTGTTGGCCAAGTCGATATCGTCGAGAGGGATCATGAAGATGTCTGAGATCTTCTCCGCAATAGCTGCGCCAACATGGTCGACAGCTTGTTCCAGTGACTTGGCCGTGGCGAGCTTGCTGGCGAGTGAGTTGGAGCTTCCTGTCGGGTTCGTTCCCCCTGCACCGTCGGTCTCAAGGGGCTTAAGGGCAGCAAACCGCATATCGCGCCCGAGCTGGGACTCGCCCTTGGCATCCCAATGGGAGCCTGGGCGAGAGTCTAGCCCGACCACAACCTGCGGATCATACGGATGGAGAATGGTGGTACCGAGTATCGAGAGGACCTGCTCCTCGTTGATGGGCGAGTAACCCACTCTCTGCAAGTGACCCAACACACCTGTATTGGCAGCGACGCCGATGCCCTTGACGGCTCCAAGATTGATAGAGACGCCAGGCAGACCTTGCGACACCCGCCAGCGAGCCAATGCATCTTGGTACGACCCTCCCGCAGCGTAGTTGGCCTGGCTGGCATTACCGGCGACAGCAACAGCTGAAGAGAGCATCACGAAGAAGTCCAGAGAGTCTGTCTGCGCGAACTGGGTGTGTAGGTTCCATGTGCCATGGACTTTGGGGTGGATGGCGGTTTGGTAATCAACAAGCGTCATTCGCTCCAGGAGTGTATCCTGGGCAGTTATTAGTAACGACAGACGTATGCCTTCAACAGTTGTGCGACTTACCTTCAGAACCATTGCTCCTTGTATGACACCGCGAATAGGTGGTAGACCGTCTTCTTGACATTGGCGCAGCGAATCTGCAAGGCCACTTCCGCTTGAGACATTACAGCTCACAGCCTTGACCCGACAGCCCATCTGGCTGAGTTCGTCGACGAGCGCAGCAGCTTGCTCACTCCGGCCCGCACTCCTTGATAAGATGATGACATTCTTGGCCCCTTGATCGGCCATCCAACGCGCAATAGAGCAACCAATACCACCCACACCACCAACCAGGAGGTAGGACGCATCCGGCGAGAACTTTGGAGTCGGCGATTGTCGCAGCATCGGGACCATGACGTCTGATCCAATAGACAACACGGCTTTGCCGACGTGGCTCTCTGTCTGCAGATGACGGAACGCTTCTGAAACGTCCCTCATGGGGTAGGATGTGAGGGGATGGACCGGCGAAAGCTTGTGCTCTCCAACGAGCTGGGTGATTTCGACCATGGCGCGATGCAACTGACGCGGATTGTGTTGGGCCAGAGCAAGCAGCGAAAACGATGAGAAGGACGCAGGGTGATTGAAGGGCCGCATCGCCAGATAGCTATTGGCATCAAGGTCGCGTTGGCCGATTTCGACAAGATGACCAAACGGAGCGAGTACATTGAAACTCTCTTGGAGAAGTGATCCAGATAGGGAGTTAAGGACGACGTCGATGCCGCGGCCATGGGTAGCGCTAAGCACGCCTGCCCCAAACGACGTATCTCGACTGCTGAAGAGGTGATCTTCCGGGATACCATATCTGTTTATCATCAACTCGCGTTTCTCAGGAGTCCCGACAGTAACAAAGACCTCCGCGCCTACATGACGCGCTATCATGATAGCCGCCTGTCCCACACTTCCTGCAGCCGCATGGATGAGAACCGTCTGCTCGCGCTGCAGGTGCGCAAGGCCTGTAAGGCAGATATACGCGGTACAGTAAGCCATAGGGAGAGAAGCAGCCTCCTCAAAGCTAAGGCCCGGAAGCATCTGCATGATACTTGTCCAGGGCGTGCGCGCGATGCTGCCAAACTGTCCGCGCGGCAGGAGACCGAAGACGTTATCACCGATGGTATAGCCTTGCGCGGCGGCTTCAGTGCCCACACGGGTGATGATGCCAGCGCACTCGAGCCCCATGGACTCGTCCCGTAGCTGGCCGGTGGCGACCATGACATCGCGCGCGTTGATGCCGTAGGCACGAGGCTCGATCTCGACCATTTCAGGAGACAGCTCACAGGTATCGGAAAGGGACGCATCTTCCGTAAAAGAGAGAGTGTCAAGCCTGCCGGGAACACCAACCTGCAAGCTCAAAGCTCGGTCTGCTTGGCGTAGCGGCACCAGTGTGACGGCGTCGGTGGCTGCAGCATCGGCGGGTGAGACAAGACGATTACGGGACGTATCGTTGAGGACACGGGGTATCTTAAACACGCCGTCTCGCATGGCGTACTCAAACTCGCCCAGTGAGGAACCGTCGAAACCCACTTTCAAGACTTGCACGATTGCTTGGACGTCATCCTCCGACCAGGGAGATGCAGAGGGGTCGAGATCCAGTGTGACATACGACCGACCAAGATACTCGCTCCTTGCGGCACGAAGGAATCCTGCCGCAAGACCGAGGTCTGGCTTTTCACAGTCGACGGAGCCGCCACGCGTCACCCAAAGCAGGCCTTTGCACTTGGTGGTCATAGCTTTAATGGCTTCAAAGACCGTGGCGTCCATGTCCCGGAGCATGGGCTGGTTGATTTCGCCCAGGAAGACGCAGATCTTTCCAGTATATAATGCTGCCGAAGCAGACTCGAGAACGTATACGTCGGGCAGAGGGGAAGGAGCCGTGTCAGGCTCCAATGTGGAGATGAAATGCCGCAGGCCCTCAAGCCATTGTGGTGGAGGACCGCCTGTCTTGTTACTGGTGACGAGGATGATATCGTCGGAGCGAGGCGGCCGGGCCGAATCAATCGGCGGCACTACTGATATAATCGCGCTGGATACGGCAACGTCGACGCCACTAAAGCCCGCATCTTTGAGAAGCTGATCCCACGAGACAACCTCCAAGGATGGATTTGGATCATTACCCTTGGCATCCCACCACTCGGGGAGGAGACGAAGCACAAGCTGTCTATCGAGCTCGTAGCGAGGCGCCTGGACCATCAACAGCTTACCACCCGGCTTTATGAGGGCCTGCACGTTTGCCAAAGTTTGGGTCGACGGTTGCACGATCCCAGATGCAATCACAACGTCGTAGTTGCCCAGCTCGAATCCCTGCGAGGATGGCTCTTTGGCAACGTCGAGCGTGTCGAACATAAGGATATCACCCCACGCGGCTAGCTCCTGTTCGGCGTGCTTAAAGTCATCATCCGAGGCGTTGGTAAAGTGATACAAAGAGCCAAGCGGACCTAGTGCTTCTAGCATGGCGCGTGTCGTGACGTCTAGTCGGGCGCCAATCTCGAGGACCCGTGCACGAGGCTGCTTGTGTACGATTTGGCGGAGCAGTGCGGCTCCTTGCGAAACGCCATCATCGTGGTTTGAGGACCACTTCTCGAGGAGGCCACCTTCGTCCATGAGATCTTGGGGCGCCCTCTGGCTGCGGAGGATGGCCGCTAGACATGGGCCCACGCGGCACAACATCTCTCCCCTGGGGCTCGCTTCTGCCACGCGCTGGGTGAGAAGTGCTCGATCTGGCCGTATAGCATCTGGCGTGGCAAACTGCAGTTTGTCCTTCATCCAGGCGTAGAATGCGCGGTAATGGCCCTGAAGCTTATCCGCTTCGAGTGGAGAGATGTCGGCTAGAGCATCTTCCATAAAATAGAGGGAAAGTCTTCGGAGATTCTCATCTTCACCCGTGTGCAAGGCGAAGCCTGAGTGAAGATTCAAACCAAGATCGCGCTCCCAAGCCACTCTGGCACAGAGTCCTCCTTGCACAGACTGTGTCCCACTCCCACCCAGTGAGCGTAGCTGAAGCCCATGCACCTCAACCACAGGTCTGTCTTGGTCAACAAGTACAACTCCCGCCCTTATGCCTTGTACATCTGCATAGTCGAGTTTCGTGTGACATTGGAACGCCTGGCCTGCCTCACGGTTGATTTTACTCGAGACCCAGAGTCTTTCGATTGACTGGAAAACTCGAGGGCTCTCTTGGTGGAAAGCAGCGCCGGGAAGAGCGGTAAAGGCGGCTTGCGCGACGGCGTCGAGCGTGGCAGGGTGGATGATGTGGTTGCGAGGTAGATCGTTGGGCACAGATGTATCAGGCACAGTGATGGTGCTTGTTGATCGAAGCTCTTTCTTCGACTGGCGGATGTCGCTAATGTTCCTGAACGTCAGACCGTACTTGATGCCGAGAGATTCCAGGGTACTCCACATATCAATGGCATCGATCAGTCGTGCATGTTGTATTTCTTGGTCCAAAGAGGAGACGCCGTTTTGAACGTTGTCGAACTCAACCATAACAAGACCCTGTGCATGTCGCATCCATCTGTTCTCTGGAGTGATGGAAAGGACCTCGAACTCCTTCCAGCCTCGCAAGCCAACGGCCTTGTCACTGACCGGACGGAGAGCCGTTTGAATTTCAATGCCTTCAGCGGTATCTGGAATGACGAGTGCCTGCTGCACGCTCATGTCTCGAATCCGGTAACCAGATACCTCACGGCCCTCCTGTTCTTCGGCGATGGCCAGCTGTTGCGTGGCGGCCTCGATAGCCAAGCAGATAAACCCACAGCCGGGATAGAGCATCTTGGACTGGATGACGTGGTCTTGAACCCAAGGTGACTCGGTAGCACGCAGGATGTGTCTCCACACCGGTGCTTCAGGGTTGGTTCCCGGGACCAGCGAGCCGAGGAGCTCATGTGGACGATGATCCCTCTGGCGAAGGCCCAGATTGAACCGCGGTTCAAGCCAGTGTCTTGTTTGATGGTTCCAGGGATACGACGGGAGGTCGGTCAAGACGCGCACGTCCTGGCTCCTCCCTTGGGGGAAGTTGACGGCTTCGATGTCGAGCGGATAGCCTTCCCTGAGCAAGTTCGACGCCAGTGTCTGGAGGCACTCGACCGCGTGAGCGTGCCGCACGAGACTACCATAGTACGGCAGCCGGATTCCCTCAAAGTCCTCCAGGGTGAGAATCTCCTGAATGGGGCCTCCGAGAGCGGTGTGTGGGCCAATCTCGACAATGATATCGACGCTTTGGCTAGCTGCGTCGGCAGACAAGTCGCCATGGACCATCTCGATGAATGCGTCAACGAACTGGACGGGCTGCATTAGACTGCCGACCCAGTGTTCCGGGTCGGCGATTGCTCCGGTGCTGGTCATGCGGTAGCCAGTGACGGGGGATGCAAAAGCGATGGGCCCTAGACACTTAGTCTTTGGTTCTTCCTTCGGCATCTTGCGGAGCGCCTGGCGGTAGTCCTCCGCAACGGGCTCCATGTGGTGGGAGTGGTACGCAGTGTCTACTCGAAGCCGGCGAGCAAACAGGCCCTCAGCTTTGAGCAACGTCTCGAGTTCCTCGATCGCCGCAATGTCGCCCGCCACCGTCGTGCTAGACGGGCTGTTGATGCAGGCCACCACAGCTCGAGCATCGCAAGTCAGCCGCTCTAGATATTTTTCCACGTCCCCATGACCAAGGCCAACCGCCAGCATGCCGCCCTTGATAGGCCCATCCAGGGTCATTTCGGCGGCTAGTCTGCTCCTATAGTACGCGATCCCCATGGCGAGGCGGAGGCTGATAGCGCCTACCGTATATGCTGCGGCAATCTCTCCGCTGGAGTGGCTTGTCACAGCTGACGGGGTAACTCCCCAGGTCTCCAATACCCGGACCAGCGAGATCTGCACCGCGGCACAGATGGGGATGCTGAAGGCCGTCTGGTTGACCTTGCTTGTTTTGGCATCACGGCCAAGCTCCTCCATTAGCGACCAGTCGGCGCCAAGGTCTCGCAGAAAGCCATCGGCTTCCTCGAGAGACGCTTTGAACACAGGGTAGGTTGTGATCAATTCTCTACCCATGGCGTACCATTGCGCCCCTTGGCCGGTGAAGACCATGCCGATACGTGGGCGTTGGGAGGGGCGCGACGGTCTAAACTTGGGCGTTTCCAGTATCTTAGCGACGCCGTCAAGACCTTGAGTTATGGGGACGGGGTACGCCGCCACCCAGGGGAACATGGTGCGACGCTGGCCCAAAGTGTAGGCCAAGCTCTGAAGAAGAGTCTCAGTGTCCTGTGGACCATGTTGTTCCTTCTGACGAAGGAAGTCCGCGAGTCTGGCGACCATGTTCTCGTGCGCATGCTCGTCTTTGGCGCTGACGAGCAGAAGCTTATACTTGTCGCCAGCGGTCCCAGCGGCATGGGCGCCAACACCGTTGGTGTTTCCATTAACCTCGCCATTGACGTTCCCATTGACAGAGCGGTTCTGTGAGCATCCGTTGGCATCTTCCATAATGATGTGGGCGTTGGAGCCTCCGTAGCCGAAATTGTTCACCGACGCTCGCATCTTCTGGCCAGGAGCCACTGGCCACTTCTCCAACTCGGTAACCACCTTGAGTCGCCAGTCATCCAAGGCCAGCTGCGGATTGGGCTTCTCGAAGTTGATCGAGGGTGGAAGCACGCCTTTCTCCATAGCCAGCACGACCTTAATAACACTAGCCAGTCCGCTCGTAGCCTCGGTATGGCCAATGTTCGTCTTGACGGAGCCAATGCGTAGCGCCTCCTCCTCCCTCCGTCTATGACTCTGAAAGACGGACGCGATAGCACCCGCCTCGATTGGATCACCAGTGGCAGTACCCGTGCCGTGGGCCTCAAAGTACTGCGTCTGGAGCGGTTCAAGGCCAGCTTTGGCATAGCAGCCTCGCATGAGAGCTTCTTGAGCTGCCTGGCTGGGCGACGTGAGGCTTTCAGTTTTGCCATCTTGATTCAGGACCGACTCCCGGATGATGGCACGGATTGGGTCGCCGGCCGCGAGCGCATCCTCGAGGCGCTTGATAACGATGGTGGCCACACCCTCCCCGCGTCCGTAGCCGTTGGCACGTTCATCAAAGGCGAAGCATTTACCGTCAGGTGAGAGAAAGCTGAACGGGCGTTAGTGGCATCATGAAACCTGAGGAGAACATGCTTACCCGAAGGATCCCAAGGCTTTAAAATTGTCGGGGTTCAATAGCACATTGGCGCCGCCCACGATACTCATCTCACTCCCTCTGCTTCTTAAGTTCTCCACCGCTTGGTGAAGAGCCACAAGCGTCGTTGAGCATCCAGTATCAATCGTCATGCTGGCCCCTCGAAGGTCAAAAAAGTGGGATATGCGGTTGGATGCCATGGCAGAGCCAATGCCCGTGATAAAGGATCTCGGCAGGTTATCCTCATCACGGATCAAGGCATCCCTGTAGTCATGAAAGAATGTGCCAGCAAAGACAGAGGTGTTGGATCCTGCAACTTGTGATAGTGGAAGGCCGGCTTTGCATGATAGCCACGTTAGCAAGTGATCAGGAAAGGAGGAAGTTAAGACAGAAGCTCTGTGACTTGAAAGTTAAAAGAAGAGGGCGGCGGGGAAGCGCACCATTCTCTAGTGCCTCGTAGACCGACTCTAGTTGAAGCCGGAATTGAGGATCTAACGTCTATACACATCTCGTTTCAGTCAGATTTCACTTTGGGGGGTTGCTGAGATCGTGCTCTTACTGAGGCAGTCTCTGCAGAAAAGTTAAAGAAGGCAGCGTCAAATAGCGCTAGATCCTCCTCCAAAAAGTGCCCGCCGCGGATGTGTGACTACGCCATCCATTAGCCTTGAGAGACTGTTTGAGGGACTCATGAGGCACTTACAGTGCTCAGCTTCTCGCGGCTTGGATGATAGGCCCCCTTGGGATTGAATCGTGACGACGGAATCTCGCTCCATGCACTCCGTCCTTCTTCGAGCAACGTCCAAAGTTTTGCTGGACTTGTTGCATCCCCTGCAAACTTGCAACTCAGTCCGATTATGGCAATTGGCTCGCTCCCCATGTTGGAAGAAGTTGACAAAGAAATTGGCATGTAAGTGAAGGCATAGGTCCTTTATCCTCGGATGGTATTTTTTTTATAGTATGTTCGTCTCTTCTATAACTACTGGAGCTGTCAGCGAGTGTGCATGTCGGCTTGGTACGTCAATTGCAGTTTGGCTATAGGCATTCAGGCCAGCTCAGGGGGACGCACCTACAGTACAAATCGCTAACTAATTAGCTACTGCGCTGCCAAGCTGGGACCAGATTTCTGAGACAAGAGTTACAGCGGCTTTCTCGGAGCTTTTGCGGAGGATTATGTAGCCCCTCTATCAGCCGTCAAGCACATTCCTGCACCAGCTACGGAGTACTCCGTAGATATCCCAGCTCAGCTCCCCTCCCGCCAATGATCTACAGGCTCACAAACATGCATTTCTGTAGACCACGAAAACTGAGTTGCAGGGCAGAAAGATAAGCCAGGTAGTCAAGAAATAAACATGGGATATTCTACTTACATGATCAGCTAACTTGGAGCCGAAACTGGACCAGGATCCTGGCACCAACGCCAACACCAACAAGTAAGCAGATGCGCTGCTGCACACTGGGCTCTCATCCCGTGCTGTCATGAGCACATTACTGCTCTCTTGACCAGGCATCTCAGCTCAGTTCAGTTCTCTCTCTCTTCCCCTGTCCCGGCCCTCACTCTCCACAACCTACATCCTCATGAATACGGAAGTACACACTTTTACGGATCACAAAATCTTGGCTACAGAGCTGAAAGTTGAGTCAACTAATCAACAATGAATACAGAACATCCTACACCTCAGCTAACTCAGAGCTGAAATGAACCAGAATCCTGGCACAAACAGCATTCAGTGTTCTTAATTGGTCAATGCATCTTGCAAGAGACTCATGCAAGTGCTTGCGGTAGTACTTGGTGGGGGGTGTTTCCACCGATCTCTGATGTTGCGCAGCTTTTTGCAAAGATCCTCATACGAATCCCCTGCCCCTGTTGGTACTGCTCCATGGTGAACGACACTAATTTTCATGATCCTGTATACCTGCAGCGTGCAAACATGTGGTGATAGGGAATGCTACTCTGCAGGACGCGGCCAAAAGTTCTTCGGTATTTTTTACCCAACATGTCAGGTTACAAGAGAAATCGCCGAAGCATGTGCTGTAAACAGCATAGAAGACAAGCACACTGTACACAAACAAGCCCCCTTACACCGCTCCCGCTGTCCGCTGCTCAAACTCCAACCGGATCTGGTCAACCATGCCATCGACATCAAAGTCCCATACCTTGCTAGTCCGCTGCTCGGCCTCTACCTTAAACCGTTGGCCGTCATTTCCAGCGGAAGGATCCCGCCACTGGAATATGACTCCCATCTCTCGCGAGCTCTGCACCAACCACTGTGACCTTTCCAGGCGCACCGCGCTGAATGCCTGCAGCGCTGCCGGGATAGACGCGGCGCCTGTCGAAGTTTCACTGACAAGCTGCATCGCGGACGCCATCGCCAGGGCATCTTCAATGCCCATTGCTCCGCCAGCGCCGAGGAACGGCGTGCTGGCATGAGCAGCGTCACCGGCGATGGCGACACGGCCGCTGGCGTACGTTGGTGCAGGGTGATCAGCCATGTCGAAGATGCCCCACTTCATGAGCTTCTCAGGGAACTTGGCAATGAGATCGCGGATAGGCGGGCTCCAGTCCTTGAAGATTTTGGCCACTTCGTCGTGGGTTGCGGGTGCTACCATCTTCTGACCGTGAGGCCATGGTTCTGGAGTGTAGATGACCGTCGTCATGTTCAGAACCGTCTCTGTCCCATTCAACATCTTCCAATGCAACTGTCAGTAAAACCGGTGGGACGACATGGGGGAGGGGGGCGTTGAATGGACGACTTACAGGATACGAGGGCACGTAGGCATTTGGGCCAATATGGATGCAAAAGTCGCTCCCCCCCTTGGCATCGCCCAGGACCTCCATAGCTTCGGAGATGGGGAGCACGGCCCGGTAGCCTACCTGATGGGTGAAACTGGCGTGCGCCGCCGGGTTGTCATCGCCCAAAAGGAGTCGACGAGTCCGTGAATGAATGCCATCACAGCCGAGTACTTTTTTTTTTTTGGGCAGAGTCAGTACCAGGTAGTTATTTGGTGAGGAGCGTACGACCGGAAACTCACAAGCATCTGCTTCGGCGGTGGTTCCATCTGTAAACCGCAAGAGAACGTGTTGGCGGCTCGGATCGTCTACATAACTCTCGAGTTCCTTACTGAAACGGGTCGAACCCGCAGGCAGAAGAGCCACCAGCTCGCGGAGGAAATGAGACCTCATGCAGCACCAGTAGTCCGTCCCCGGAGTATCAAGCAGGAAATGTCGAGCCTCAGCGCTGTGGGCCGCCTCACTGGTCCGGGGATGGAAGCCGTCCCAGAAGCTGAAATGACTGGCTCTGGCGACTCGACCGAGCGCGCCGAGGACATGCGGGTGCAGTCGCTGCATGCTGCTCCGCGCGACGCTGGTCAGGGCGACGCCGGCGCCAATCTCATGCCAGTCAGAGGCGCGTTCATAGATGGTAAAGGGAATACCGCGGTGTGAGAGGCCGAGGCCAAGCATAACGCCAATCAGGCCACCGCCGACGATAGCAACGCTGGGGGCTTTCCCAGCCCTGGGGATGGAAGTCGGGGGCACGTTCGAGTGAGGCATGGCTAGGGATTGCAGGCACCGGATGATCGAGGGAGTGGTATCAGAATCTACGACAATGACAACCAACCTTGAAAATGATGCCTGGCTGGTGTCAATTTGGTTCATATACTATCAACGTACGTGGCCCAGTGGCTCATCACGCTACTATGTAGTTACCCGGATGCTAAGAACATAAACTCATCCGCCCGAGCCACGGAGCTACCTGATGGTCCGCATAGTGTGTGCCTTTTGTCGATTGCCTATACATACTTCTAAAAGCACCAGAGTATGACGCATAGAGACGACCCGCCGCCCTTTGCGTTCGCTGCAAGGAATGGTTGAGTTTAAAATGCGTTTATCGTCCCCCTGTCAGATCCATGTACGGCAACAATGGACTCGACGGGACACGAGCGGCTGAAATCAGCAAAAAAGTTGGTGCATGTTATGCAGTTGCGGGAGGGTGGGCTGAAACCAAAAAAACCACAAGGATCAATGGCTCAACGGAGCAAATTCGTCGCGCCGGAGAGTTATTTCGGACAATATTGTCTTATGCCTCGGATCCGTCGCTGGAGGTAGTAAGGAGTGACAGGAAAAGCTCGTTCACGAGAGAATAGTTAAAGGTGACCCAGATATCCAGTGATGTATAACAAATTGACTCCGGAGTCTCCGCGCCGCATTTCTGTTTCGAAAACCTAATTTCGAATGCAAGGCCCTCGTTGCTTTGTGCACATCTATCTGGGCTTTTCCTCCATGGTTATTCCAAGTGTGTTTGTCGTATCTTTGTGCTTTTTTGCTTGTGCCGTACTGACCATGCGGTTAGTTCCACACAAACCCCCCGGTCTGTCGTTTTAGATCCAGAATAAATAATAATTCTTGCATCTGTTTCGTTTCCACCGCTGGGACGAAGCAAGTTGTGGAAGCAAATCAGCGCGAGAGATCGACATCGCATAGTTAAATTTGGCTGCAAGGGCCTTTTCTTTTTTTTTTTTTTTTTTCCTTCTTTTTTTTCGGCAGAAACTCCGATTTTACTTTGAACAGAAAAACATGGCGACCACAAGCCGATCGTTGTTGATATTCGGATCACAAATCGCTTACAGCGAGAAGGCAGTAAATGACATCAAAACAACGTTGCAGAACAAGCTGTCTCGTCAATGGGTGCTTGACACAGTGGCGGGATTGCCAAAGTATTGGGATGCCTTGGCCGAAGGACTCCCCAAGGTCACAGACACCATCGGTTCGCAGGGAAGACAGCTCCTGGAGGACCTCGGCCCATGGCTCGAGAGCAATGGATCCAAAACCCTAGGCGTGCAAGGCGATGCACTGCCGGGCGTGGTGTTTGTGCCGTTGATCGTGCTCGAACAGCTCACCGAGTACCGTCGGTATCTGCGGGCCAGCAGCACCAACAACGACGACGGCGGCAAGTCTGATCCTCAAGCAGCTCTGGTCGCCAGCAAGACGCCCGCACTCGGGTTCTGTATGGGCCTGCTGGGCGCGTATGGCGTCGCAAGCGCGCACGATCTGGAAGAGCTCGATCGGTACGGCGCCGTAGCGGTGCGTCTGGCCATGCTTGCAGGCGCCCTGAGTGACGCTCAGGACACATGGAACCCGCACAGAACGTACGCAGTGGCGTGGACAAATGTGAAGCAACAGCAGGACCTGCGGCGTATCGTCGACAGCATCTCCCCTGAAGCCTACATCTCGCTGCTCTTCGACGAGGCGCGAGCCACGGTCACGGTCACGAAACGGGCCGCAGCGAGGTTCGTCAGAAAGGCTCGTGCCGCCGGAGTCGTCCTCTCCGACACGGGCTTTCGCGGCGAGCTGCACAGCCCAAAGGCCCAGTCCAAGGAACAAATCCAAGACCTCGTCGCCTTCTGCGACGACAGGCACGATCTTCAGTTTGCAAAGACGGATCACCTGGCGTTGACGACCTTCACCAACGCCGGGGACGGCAGGCCTCTTGCACCCGGTGTTGATGGCTCTCTCCACGGGCATGCTCTGGAGACCTTGTTCGCGCGGCAGTGCGACTGGTACGGCACGTTTGCGGCCGTAAAGGCAGCGTATCTCAACGACAGCGAGACATCAGTGACGACAACCTTCGGCCCCGATCGATGTCTGCCGCCGACTCTCGTGCGCAACATGGGATCCAGAGCGGTGCACTTCGCCGACGTTCGCGAACGGCCCAGCAGCCCGGACCACAACAACAACAGCAACAACCACAACCACAACCCCGTGAGCGACGACGCCATCGCCATCGTCGGCATGTCCATCAAAGTCGCGGGCGCCGACGACCTCGACGAGTTCTCCCAGCTCCTCCGCAAGGGCACCTCGCAGCACGAGAAGGTGACGCGGGAACGCTTAAACTTCGACTCGCTCTTCCGCGAGCCCGACACCCGCGATTACTTCTGCAACTTCGTGCGCGACGTCGACGCTTTCGACCACAGATTCTTCAAGCGCAGCCCGCGCGAGTCGGCCGCCATGGATCCCCAGCATCGCCTGCTTCTTCAAGCGGCGTACCAGACCGTCGAGCAGGCCGGCATCTTCACCGAGGCCACGCGGGCCGGGCAAGAGGACAGAGACCGGAGCCACGTCGGTGTGTACATCGGCTCGCCGTCGGTCGACTACGAGCACAACGTGTCCACACACCCCCTCAACGCCCTCATGGCCACGGGCAACTTGCAGAGCTACCTTCCCGGGCGCGTGGCAAACCATTTTGGCTGGACCGGGCCGGCCATCGCCTTCGACACGGCATGTTCGTCGTCGGCCGTCGCCATCCACACCGCCTGCAACAGTCTCCGTAACGGCGAGTGCTACGCGGCGCTGGCCGGCGGCGTCTGCATCCTGACCAACCCACACTGGTTCCAGAACCTGACGGCAGCGAGTTTCCTGAGTCCCACAGGCCAGTGCAAGCCGTTCGACGAGAAAGGGGACGGCTACTGCCGCGCCGAGGGCATCGCCTGCGTCCTCCTCAAGCGCATGGCGGACGCGCGAGCCGACGGCAACCCGATCCTCGGCCAGCTGGCCAGCTCGGCCGTGTACCAGAACCAGAACCACACGCCCATCTTCGTGCCCAACTCGCCGTCGCTGGCGCAGCTGTTCGGGGATGTCATCAAGAAGGCACACGTGTCGCCCCGCGACATCGCGCTCGTCGAAGCCCACGGCACAGGCACGGCCGTGGGCGACCCGGCTGAGTGGGCGGCGCTGCGCAAGGCAGTCGGAGGCCCGATCCGGCCGCAGCCATTGCCGGTGGGCTCGGTCAAGGGACATATCGGGCACACCGAGGGGACGTCGGGCGTGATCTCACTCATCAAGGTGTTGATGATGATGCACGAGGGATACATCCCGCCGCAGGCCAGCTTCAACAAGCTGAACGCCGCGATTAGAGCGGCGGCTGACTCGGACATGATGGAGATCGTGACCTCGCTTCGAAGCTGGGATAGCCGGAACAAGGTGGCGCTGATCAACAACTACGGTGCTTCGGGTTCCAACGCCGCCATGGTCGTGGCGGCTCCACCGACTCCCAACGAGCGGCAGGACGTGGCATCTATCAAGACGCTGGACGGACGGTTCCCCTTCTTCATCTCTGGGTCTGATGCACGCGCCGTCAAGGCATATGCCGCCAAGCTCGCCGCCCTCGTCGAGCGACGCCAGTCCAGGTCAGCGCTGGCCGACCTGTCCTTTAACATCAACCGGCAGAGCAACCCAGACCTGCCGCAGCGATTCCTCCTCCGCTGTCGCTCCGTGGACGAGCTCAGGGAGAGACTTGCAAGCGTCTCTGAACACGACATGACGGACACGCAGGCCGAACGACCTGTTGTGCTGTGCTTTGGCGGCCAGGTCTCGACTTTTGTCGGCCTCGACCGCAAGCTCTACGACAGCATCGCCGTCTTCCGCCACCATCTCGATGGGTGCGACGAGATCGTGCAAGCCGAGCTAGGTCTGCCGAGCATCTTCCCTGACATCTTCTCTCGCACACCCTTGGGCGACCCGGTACGACTGCAGGTGGCACTCTTCGCCATGCAGTATGCCAGCGCTCGAAGCTGGATCGACTGTGGACTGTCCGGCAAGGTTGTCAGCGTCGTCGGCCACAGCTTTGGCGAGCTCACGGCGCTGTGCATCTCTGGCGCGCTGAGCCTCAAGCATGCCCTTACCTTGGTCTCCCGCCGTGCACAGCTCGTGCGCGACGCCTGGGGTGACGAGAAGGGAAGCATGATGGCCGTTGAGGCCGACGAGTCGCTCGTCCAGGAGCTCCTAGAGCATGCAGGTCGACAACTTGATAACCCGGCTACTATAGCCTGCTACAATGGTCCCCGGAGCTTCACCTTGTCGGGATCCGTTGAGGCCATCGATGCCGTGGCCGAGGCCATCGCCAACAACAGCGACAAGTTCTCAGCCCTCAGGAGCAAGAGGCTCAATGTCACCAACGCCTTCCACTCGTCCCTCGTTGATCCGCTCCTCGACCGTCTCGAGCAGGTCGGCAGCGAGCTCGAGTTCCACGAGCCCTCAATTCCCCTGGAACGGGCCACCGAGACGGCCTTCACCGGCCCGCTGACCCCCAAGTTTGTCCCGGACCACATGCGCCAACCCGTCTTCTTCTCCCACGCGATGCAACGTCTCGCCAAGAAGCACCCGTCCGCCATCTTCCTCGAGGCAGGCTCGAGCTCGACCATCACCGTCATGGCGAGCCGTGCGCTTGCCGGACAGGCTAGCAAATCGCACCACTTTGAATCCGTCAGCGTGACGAATGAGAAGGGCCTCGACGGTCTCACCGATACCACCATCTCGCTCTGGAAGCAAGGGCTGCGAGTCGCCTTTTGGGCGCATCACACTCTGCAGACGAACGACTATACATACATCCTCTTGCCGCCGTACCAGTTCGAAAAGGCACGGCATTGGATGGACTTCAAGTCCGCGACCGACCTGGTGGCAGGCTTGACTCAAAAAGCAGCCGTGAGCGATCCCAAGACTATGCCGCTGTGGGAATTCGTCGGCTACCAGGGCAACGACACCAAGCACCCGCGCTTCCGCGTCAATTTGGTATCCGACAAGTTCAAGAAACTCGTTTCTGGTCACGTCTTCGCCCACACGGCGCCCGTGCTATCCGGAACGGTCCAGTCCGACATGGCGGTCGAGGCCCTGCTCAGCATTCATCCAGACTGGAAGAAACAGGGCATGATACCCACGATGCTCGAGGCCAACATCCCCACGCCCATCTGCGTTGACTCGTCCCGAAAGGTCTGGATCGATTACGAGGCTCTCGATGCGGAGCACACCCTTTGGCAGCTGAACGTCTCGAGCACCAGCGCTGAAGGCACTCTGCCCAGAAGACATCTCCACGGACGCCTCCATATTCGATGGCCCAGCGACCCCGACTTTATCGCCCAGTTTGCGCGCTTTGAGCGTCTCGTCCCCTATGAGCTATGCGCCAAGCTGTTGGCCGAGGCGGGCGGACCCGACGTCGACGTCCTGCAGGGCCGTCAGGTGTACCGGGCCTTCTCCGAGTTCATCGAGTACTCGGATCAGTACAACGCCATGCACGCCGTTGTCGGCAAGAAGAACGAGTGCGCGGGCCGAGTGCACCGTCGACATGCCGGCGAGAGCTTTCTCGACATCGCCCTCCATGATTCGTTCAAGCAGGTCTCCGGTCTCTTCTTGAACTGCATGTCGGATGCGCAGCCCGGCGAAATACACATCGGAAGCGACGTTGAGCTCGTTATGCGGTCGCCACGGGGCATTCTGCAGCCAGGACAGACGCAGGATGTCTGGCATGTGTATGCGCGACACTCGCAGGTCTCGGCCAAGGTGTACATGGCAGATGCGTTCGTCTTCAATGCCGCCAATGGGGAGCTCGTCGAGGTTATACTGGGACTGCAGTATACGCGTATGAGCATCGAGTCGATGAAGAGGCTCTTGATGAACCTCACTAGGGATGAGTGGGCCTTGAACATGAGCACGAGCGGCGCGACTGTGGCAGCAGATCCCACACCCAGAAAGCCCCAGGGTGTCGTGGGGGGCAGCTCGAAGAAGCCGCAGGAGAAGCAGAAGGCGGCCAAGAAAGCATCGTCGTCCCAATCACCAAAGTCCGACCTCACAATGGAGGTCAAGAAAGTGCTCGCGAGCGTCGTGGGCGCAGAGGTCGATGCCATTACTCTTGATTCAGAAGCCGCCGACATTGGCATTGACTCATTGATGGGCATCGAGCTGCTTCGCGAGGTCAATTCGGCGTTCCACTGCAAGCTGGACCTGCCAGAGCTGCTAGCAGCCACTACCGTGGGCAATATCGTCACTCTGGTTGCAAGCGCCTTGTCTCAAGGCGCTGTAGAGATCGCGGATGATGACGATCATGATGATGATGCCGACGATGATGTGAGTGAGTCGAGCCTAGATGATAGTCGTCCCACCACGTCTACATCCGCCTCGGAGCTAGACAGTGCTACCTCGGGAGTCGATTCCCCTCCTATCAAGCACATACATTCCGAGGAGCAGACGAAGAGAGATGTTACGGCACGCGAGGCTGAGGCCGAGAGGTACGTGGCAGAATACACGGCGGGATGGACGCCTGCACAACCGTCGTATACAGGTGAAGCCATCGCAGGTTCGCATGATGCCGTCATCATCGTCACAGGCGCCACCGGAAGCCTCGGCGCACACGTCGTCGCCGCTCTCGCCTCGAATCCGTCGGTCAAGACGGTTGTCTGCCTCAACCGACACCGTCCCACGCCGGTGGAAACCCGCCAAGACGACGCTTTCTCCAGTCGCGGCATCGCACTTACACCGGAAGCCCGGTCCAAGTTGCGCATCCTGGCGACCGACTCGTCCCAGCCGCGGCTGGGTCTCGAGGCATCGGAATACCAATGGCTCACGCAGCACGGCTCGCACATCGTGCACAGCGCGTGGCCCCTGAGCGGCTCACGGCCCATGTCCGCCTTTGCACCGCAGTTCCAGGTCATGCGGAACCTGCTTGACCTCGCTCGTGATATGGCCGTCCACCGTCGGGTCGGGTTCCAGATGGTCAGCTCCCTTAGTGTCGTTGGACATGCGAAGGAGCGACTCGTGCCGGAGGATCGTGTCCACATGGACTCTGTCTTGCCCCCAGGGTATGGCGAGGCCAAATGGGTGTGCGAGCGGATGCTCGACGAGACGCTACATAAGCACCCTGCGCTGTTCCGAGCCATGGCCGTGCGGCCCGCACAGATTGCAGGTTCCGCTACGAGCGGGGTCTGGAACTCAGTCGAGCAGATTCCCTTCATCGTCAAGTCGGCGCAGTCGCTGGGCGCCTGGCCCAACTTCCGCGGCACCGTGCGGTGGATCCCTGTCGACGCCGTAGCGGCGATCCTTGTCGATTTGTTATACATCGGGGACGACAAGACGGCGCCGGACCCGTGGCCCATCTATCACATTGACGACCCAGTCGGCCGGCCGTGGGAAGAGATATCGTCCGTCCTGGCTGACGCGCTAGACATTCCGGCGGGTCAGTTCATGCCGTTCAAAGAGTGGCTCGACACGGTTGCCCGCTCGTCCAAGCCGGAGACAGAGAACCCAGCCGGGAGATTGGTGGACTTTCTGGAACAGAATTTTGAGCGGTTGTCCTGCGGTGGGCTGGTTCTGGACACGACGAAGGCGCAGGAGCATTCTGCTGCTATGCGGGCGTTGGCGCCGGTGAGTGCCGAAGTAGCCAGGGGCTACATCAGGGCTTGGAAGGAGATGGGATTCCTCGCCTCGTGAAGAGCGGTCGTATAAACGAGATGGTTGCACAGCTGGCTTGATTATCTTTAAGCTAGTTGGAAAAAGTTCGTAGGTTTATATATATATTGGAGTTTGAAGAGGGTTTACTGGATTTGTCTGGAAAGAAAGGGTATCCCTAAGCATGTACTCCGTATAGAAGCTATAGAAACCGCAGACACCCAGCTGCATTTGGTGCTCAGGCTTGCTTGCTTCTAGTAGGAACTAGGACTAGGAGCTAGGCTCAAAGCCTGGGAGTAGAATCAGAGTCCAGTCAGCAGTATCAAGTTCCAGATCAGAGAGTCAGAAGAGTATCAAGTTGAGTTATATCAGAATGAAAAAAAAAAAAAAAAAAAAAAAAAAAAAAAAGTTAACAAGCAAACTTCCAAACTATTTTGTACTCCGTACGGAGCACTCTGTATTGTATGTATGTAATTGTATGTACTAAGTATCAATACTAACTAATCCTAAAAGGGCAGGTGGAAGGAGATATATCGGATTTAAGTTATTCCGTAGAAATTATGACAAATCTCTCACGTGAAACCCGCCGAAAAAAACGACCTCAAATCATCGCCGTCTCTTTGGAAGCGATATTCGGCGAGTCGCGATGGGAACATATTCGAGGCTTTAGTGGTTGGGGGGGCGCCTTTGTCCCGATGATAGTTGTCTCCACTCCAGTGTCTGATTTGCTCCCAGACCATGCAGCAACAGGAGATGTTTGCGGGATTCCTCCGTTCGAGGCGGGTCTCTCGGATCAAGTGCCCTAGAGTGGAATGTAGAAAGGGGGGGTGCAGGACTCAGGAGAGGAGTTCATGTTGATGATCATCGGGAAATTATAAATACAGCTTCGACGGTAGCCTTCTGCATGGCTGTGTTCCAGGAGGGCCTCAGTTTTTCTCTTCTTGGACAAGATTCGAGTCGATTCCCTAGAAATGCATGGCCCACTCCCATCTGATCTTCCCAGGTCCCGCGAAGGGTATCACTGGACTCCTCATGGTGGTGGTGGTTTCCAGCAAGGCCTTCCGACCCTTGCTGCGATTCGACCTGAGACGAACGTCGGTTCGCCCCGTCAAGTTTACGATGTCATCGTTGTCGGTGCTGGATACGCCGGTCTCACGGCTGCTCGCAATGCCGCCAGAGAAGGCCTGAATATTCTCCTCCTTGAAGCTCGCGATCGCATCGGTGGTCGCTCCTGGTCCTCCAATATCGATGGATATGCCTTTGAGCTGGGTGGAACCTGGATCCACTGGGCCCAGCCGCATACCTTTCGAGAAGTATACCACTACAACATGAAGGATGAACTCGAGATCTCCCAGGATTATACCAGGGGTGTTAATCATTTCCAACTCATCACTGCCGATGGAGTGAGGACCATGAGCCACCTCGCTGAGGTCCGCATTCGAACCTATCTGTCTATGCAAGCTTTACGCTGACTTGACTCCCCGTTTTTTTAGGATCAACTTTTGGAGAGTGCAGTTAAGAAGTTTGTCGACGTCGACGGCAATCTGGGTCGCACTGTGATGCCTTTCCCTCACACTCCGACTTATAACCCCGACATTGCGAAATGGGACAAACTTTCCATGGCGGACCGTATCGAGCAAATCAAAGACGACCTTACACCGGCTGAGAAAGCTGCACTGGAAGGATTTGTTTTGCTTTGCAGCGGTGGCACCCCCGAAAACACCGGATTTTATGATATTCTTCGCTGGTGGGCCCTCGGATTCTATACCTACCAGGGCGTTATCGACACATGTTCGACATTCAAATTTCACTGCGGCCAATCAGGATTTGCGAGACGGTTCTTTGACGAGGCTGTTGCCTCCAAGAAGGTCTCGTACATCTTTGGCTGCCCCATTACTTCCGTAAAGGATGACGGCAAAACCGTGCAGGTAACCGTGCAGAATGGTGACAAGTTCATCGCTTCGAGGCTTATCTGCACGATCCCTGTCAACGTTCTCGGGACCATCAAATTTGATCCTCCCTTGCCAGAAGCCAAGCAACAGGCAATCCAGGCTGGCCAGATCAACCAGTGCTCTAAAGTGCATGCTGAGGTTAGCGATCGGGACCTTCGCTCGTGGAGCGCCATCGCGCCCTACGGCAAGCTAATTAATGCCTTTGGAGACGGCACGACCCCTGCGGGCAATACACACATCGTCGCCTTTGGCGCAGATTTGAACCCACTTCACCCTGAAGACGATGTTGGGGCCACTAAAGCAGCATTCGATCACTTGGCATCTATGGACATCCAACGGCTCGTTTTTCACAACTGGGCTCGTGATGATTATTCCCGTGGAGCTTGGTGCATGTTCGCGCCCGGTGTTGGAACCACGTTCTTGGAGACTCTTCGTGAGCGACATGGTAACGTTCTTTTTGCAAACTCCGATTGGGCTACTGGATGGCGTGGATTCATCGATGGAGCCATCGAGGAGGGAGCCCGGGCTGCCCAGATGGTGCAGCAGGAGCTTGTCAGTCCCTCACAGACGCAAACCAGGTTGTAGCGAAGATATGCCATCGGACTTCCCCCTTTAGGATCGTCCTTGATCCAAGTATGTATGGAGTATGCTGCAGCATGATTACAAAAATCCCATTCATTTAGAGAAACCCTCACCCCGAGCATTGAGCAATTGAGTTGAGATTGAAGTTTAAAGTTAGCGTGTACTCCGTACATAACCGCTAGTTAGTAGATCCCGAAGCCTGGATCTGGAATTCTTAGAATCCGGGGTTCAGTTAACGTCGTCTCTTCCGTCTCGCAGCCGAAATCACCCTGCGAGTCTACTGCTATGCCTCCGGTGATCCGTTATAAGTCCTATTGATCTATAGTATAGTTTGTAACTGGTTATTGTGCAGCAAAGGCCTGCGGGCAAGACCTTTGAAGATTTATCTCAGACGTTCACCATCTTCGGTCACCGCGCCCTAGCAACTCGGGCGGGGTAACTAACAGCAATAACCCACAGAGGCTCTACTCGCCAAATAATGCTTTGTTCTCTCTCTCTCTCTCTATATATATATATATATGTGCCTCTCCTTCACCTGAACTTAACCCTCTTAGCCTAGTCATACTTTTCAGGTCGCGCGAAAATATGCAATATGCTAGCGTAGGAAGCATATCCCGCACCACCTCTAGAACCGAGCATTTCATTTAAGATTATTATCGCCGGCCTGCGAGATATATCGCTTAAATCCGCCCTCCAATAATGGGGAAACGCAAAGGTCAATGCTAGCTTCTGGTCCAAACACGGTTTTGTGTAAATTGCTGATTGCGGACTTAGGCTGTTTCGATTGCTCCCGGCGTCGCATCATATGCGACATGACAGAGCCACACTGTGTAAAGTGCGCAAAGAGAGGGATCGTCTGCTCCGGTATGGGAATTCGATATCGCTTTAGTCCAGGAATTGCGTCGCGAGGGAGGTTCAAGGATCGACAGATACCCGTTTTAGATGCCAGCGAGGCGCGTGGCTCTGGAAATCGGGAAGCATTATCAAGACGGAGCGGATCCGTTTCGCTGGTGAATCCGAATTTTGTCCAAAAGACAACTCGTTCTCCGTCAACAGTCCAGGCGAAATTCGCATCGATAGGGCCGGTGGACCATAATGTTGCCTGCCACGAGAATGATGACGAGAGGTTAATGTATCTTCAGCGGCTACTACCGGAAATCCAGATTCTAGACGGGAGGACACACATGCTCTTTACTCACTGTAATTTCGTCGATGTCGCTGCTCAAGGCAGCATCAAAAGCCGTGTGCGCGTGTAAAATTGACATTTTCTCATAGTTTCGGCTTTCGTCGCTTCTGCCCTGGTTCCACTCGACAGCAAATTCAACGGTTATAGGCGTATCCTCCTCCCATTAGCACACGAAGATCCAGAGGTTAGGAGGGCGGTTTGCCTCGTCTCTGCGTTGCATCTCAGTTCAAAAGTTCCAGAATTACGGGAAGCAGCGAATGCAGCAAGATTAGCATCGATCTTTGGCCTTAAACGATTTGTCCGTGAGCATGATCGGAGTGAAGTTCTGAGCGTCTCAAATTGGGCTGTTATTATTTTACTACTAGCTGGGGAGATGATTCGAGGAGGTTCTGATTTTAGCTATCTCCTGAAAATGCTGATGTCCTTGGTTGAGGCGAGAGGATCGCATGACGCGGACTCAGACGTGCACTCGTTCTTGATACAGGAAACAAAGATGTAAGTCTTCGCTATTGGGCTTCTACGTGTAAATGCTGGTTTTAATGGCTCACCAGGATTGGACTGTTTGGTCGACCGTTTCTCGGAGAATCCGAAGGCATCCAGGCACTCAGCAGGGGGGTCGAATCCTACCGCGACTTCATTTCCCACGCCACCAGGTATGACGAGAATTGCTCGCATCAAATTAGCGTTTCATTACTTATCGCCGCTGTATCCTTTGCAACCGACATCTACCTCCGACGCGCACTCAGTCAGCCTGCTTTCCCAAGCTCGACTTACGACTGGGCATCCCATTACCATTACCCTTCTTCTACGCTTCCATCCTCTCCGTCCATAAGTCTACAGCATCTTATAAGCCTAGTGTCTGGAATCTACGCTCACACGCCCGGTTCTCATTCACTCGTATGGGTGTACTTCATCGGTGCAGCTGAGAGTAGCACTGAAGAAGATCGGAATTTCTTTACGACAAAGCTGGAAGAATTGTACAGGACTATCGGATTTGAGAATATTATGATTGGCGTAGGCAATTTGAAGGAGCTGTGGGCCAGCGGCGAGAGACAGGGGAAAGGAGGCGAGAGAATAAGGTGGACGGAAAGACTGCCACGGGTAGAGTCGTTGGTTATGTAAAAGGGGTAAGATGTGCACGGCCATAAACTCTAGGGAAATGACCAGCGTAGTGATGATGAGGTCGACGCATAATAGATATAACTACATGAGGTTATGTGTGTCACGCTCTGCCAAGAGCAGCTTCTTCCTTGCTAGTTAGCTACTTATATACTTAACTAACTGCACGGAGTACATCCCCCTAACCGGAGAAATTTCCAATCCCTGCGCCTACTTATCTTCAACTTCCCTCACCTCAAAGCTGAACATGCCATTTGACTTAACACTATTTTCATCCATCAACTTGCTAGCACCTTCTGCTCCTGTAACCGGCACTCTATACTCAAACCTCTTCCCTTCCGCGGGACGCTTGTCGTTTGGTAAAGAATAGGGGAATGGCAAGTACTCAGGTAGCAAATTTAGTTGGCGTAAGAGACAGGCCTGGTCCCACCAGATATGTTCGTGATATAGCCTATCGCCACGGATATTTACCACGGAGATCATGGGAAGACGGACGACCTGGCCAGTTGGTGGGAGGCCTGGGGCACTACAAAAAAAAAAAAAATTAGCCCGCGACGACCAAGGTGCAGTCCAAGTAGTTAGCATTGAGGAGGCCACAAAGAGATAACCAATGGAAAGAAAGAAAGTGCATTACAGCCAATCAATCTGTTCATCATGGGTGAAACAGAAAATGAATTCATCAATGACACGGTCAATCCCCACTGTACGGCTGACCAGTTCAAGCCTCGTATCTTTTGGGTTGTTCCAGATGAAATGATAACGGTAGAACTTCGAAAGGCGGTCGCGGCCAATTCCACCGGTCATCTAGCATCTACCGTTAGTTCAAATGGCTCTCCATAACACCACTTCAGAGCACTCGCCGTCGGAATATGATTGACATATGGTTCTTGGACCATAGTCCCCATTGTCTTAGCAACGGATCGATCCCCGAATTCAAAATACGTATGTTCGTCCCATATAGCTTCAAGATCAAAAAGAGGGCCTCCAAGTTTTGATTTTAAGAATGTCAGCGAGCGAGTATGTGCAACCGCCGCTGAAGAAGGGAGAAAATCCTTGTGCTTGGGAATGACAAATTGCGGCGAGTTGGTCTCGGGATACTCGTGGACTTTCACATTTGCATCCAGCCCCGGGATTTGCTGCGCATCCTTCTTGGGAAAATGGACAAGCTGTGGATATCTAGTCAAAATGGGAGAGCCATATGTGACTATGCCACCAACTGGCAGGATATCTTGAGCCAAGCTGAACATCGAAACCTCATCGGAAGTTAAGAGGCCGGAATCATATACTATGCTCGAGTCAGTTCAGCCTGGAATTCAACCCGGTGGGTTGGGGGAGGGGAAAGCAACAAGAGTAAAAGGCATAGTTATTGGTACATACATATTAATCCAAAGGTATTATTGACATCGCACTCCTTCAAGGCTATCAGTTGGTCGACTGCCACCTTGACCGCGTTGCTGAGAACCGATCCATCCCGCTGAGTGGGCAGCTTAATTTCAACCACTGCATACCCCTCTTCTGCCCATTTCTGTCGTGGTGGCGGGTCCAATGTTTCTTCGCTATCATTTAGCTCTAGGCATTCGGAAGTGATGATGATTATTCCGGGGCCATTGCCACGGCGGGAGAGCGGGGGTTGTAGCGTGATGTTTGGGCTAATATCTCTTAGTGCTGCAGAGGGCAGCGGGACGGGCTCTTCATCAATGTCCATGACAGAGGGTTTCGAGAGGGGCTTGAAGCTGCTATTGGGATGCCGGACAGCACGCGAAATTCCTCTCGCGTTTGCGACTTGGGGCAGAAGTCCCGCTCAGCGATGGCCGCTGCGGGGGCCGCGGATATCGGCGCCGGAAGTTGGCGGCCCGCTCGCCGGCCCGCAGCACTAGCTCTGGGCGTGATCATGTGATTGCACAGGGGGGATTCAACGCCGCGAACTAATTGCCAGCTGGGCGAAACGGGGGAAAGGAGCGTGTGCGGATGTAAGTATGCCTGTTGATGTTATCAAACTTGGGGCTGACGAGTCAGTCGACTTCAGCCGGCCGGTCAGAAGCCCTATAGAGCACGACCCAACATATCATTGCGAATATCGTCTGGATAACTCTTCATTGCATTGATATTGCGGAGTATAATGTATTATGATCTACAGTGAATTTTGCAGTCCTTGCACACTGGGGCTCTGTCACTAACAACATCTGTACTTAGATAGTCAACTAATTACGGAGCACATTGCTGAGAAAACAAAGATTCCAACTCTTCAGCTACCCGACCAATACTATATAATATTTTCCCCCTACCTTTTATGTTACTGGGATACTCCGTACATCGAGGGCAAAATTCCTTGCATAGTGTGTTCAAGGGACTATGTTGGACTACGTACGCAAAAGAAGTACCTTTATAATGAGTGGAGCTTTATCTGCCTTGTGCTCTTTCAGCAACAGCTTGACCGGATTGTAGCTCTTGGCTTTGATGATACTTGTAGTTGGATAGTTGCAAAGCAATGCCAATTATCATCTACTCTATGATATCCTGATGTTTTTTAAACTTAATGCTCATTAACGCCTGCTAGCGCATTAGACCACTACTTGTCTACTGTAACTATATGATGGTTATATGCGTGTTAAGCATTATTAAAAACTTACATTTGTTGCCCGTGGGATAGTATTTGGAATAAGAGCAAATACAGATGCTATCTTTATTCCTTTTATGCTGCCCAGGATGATCTGGATTGTGTTAGAACAGAAATACAACCGTGGCACATCTTTTCTCAGGCATGCAGTCATGCAATCTCATGGATGGCGATACGAATGGTGCCATACCGCGCTCTCTCTCGAGATCTTCGAGATTAGACGAGAAAGGAATCCGGAGTGTCGCCGAAAATGAGCCAGCATTGCCGAATCAGTAGGTTGACCTCAACTTTCTGTGTAACGCGAGGCTGCTAACTCCCCAACTCGATTTATGCCCCGTACGGTAGGTTATCGATCACCTAACTGAAGGTCGGTGAGGTTCATATATCGGGAGAGTCAGCGGTAGAGCTCTCCAACGACCACAAGGTCCTCTTCGTCTCTTCGTGTGAGTTGCGTAAAATGGATAGCTGCGCTCGATTTCGGTTCTTTTTTTTAAAGATATTTTCAGGCTTCTGTTTTTATATGTTTTAGCATTGTGCGCCTACAACAATCTCGGTTGATGGAGAAGTTAACATTCTCTTCTCCGTGAGCAGCCGTGGCAGGATCGGGGCGATGTCATGACAACAACCGGGCTGTTCCGCACAGGGGTAGCGTAAAGCAGCCAGCTTTCCGAGAAACCATCCCATCTCCACAGCAAAGGTTCTCATCTTTTCCTCCGGTGTCCTCCGGAGAGAGCACAGCTTAAGAGAGCAGAGAAGATACACCGCGCATTGGGGATCCGTGGTTCATGGAGGATCATTTCATTGCTACAACCTCAATCGGCCTTCTTTGAGACAAAACACTCCAAAAAAAGAAAAAAGAAAAAAGAAAAGAAAAGAAAGAAAGAGATGTGGGATGCAATGAGAAAAAAATACTGTTTGGATGGAAAGTTATCTTGTAGACTCAGCCATCACGACCCCCACCTGTATCAATGACCCTTTTTTTTTGTTTTTGGTTCTGGTTCTTCTAGCTTTCTACCAGGATTTGCTGGGTTATGGTTAGTTTGATTGAAGCTGGCTCTCCCGGCATTTGGAGAGACGCGTGTGGGTGCAAACTGTGGAAGAGCAGCCAATGGCCTATGTACCCAGATGTCAGAGTGAGACTTTCACCACCTCATTGACTGTTTGAACCACATTGTCCAGCTTGTTTGCTTCAGGAACACAAAAGTTTAACTCACAACAAAGTTTTTGGCTTCTTAGGGAGGGAAAAAAAACAAAAAAAAAAAAAAAAAAAAAAAAAAAAAGGCCTCAAGCACCCCATGAGATTACCTGAAAAGGGAATCCTCCCGCTTCTTTCTGATTTGAACCTGGTTCTAGACTCAAACAGGAAGCTTCTCCCTAAAAAGGGTTAGCTTGCATTTCCTGAATAGGCCTAGTGCCATCTCTTGGGGAATGTTTCTCCACTTTAGGGCGGCCTGCAGAGAGTCTGATTGGACAGCTGTCAATACCCGCGCGACACAGCCTCTTTCCGGACTAGCGCACTTTTTCTTTGGAAGATTCCCGCGCTTCTCAACTGGGAAATTGAGACGTCACGTCAAAACCAAACCAACAGGCTGAAAAGGAAAGAATGTTCGCCAGCTTGACTTTTGGCCTCAGAGCTCTCTCTTGAGGATCAAACATAAGCTTGAGGTGCCATCAAAGGTTCCAAAGTGAGATGATTTGATAACAAAAAAAAAAAAAAAAAAAAAAAAAAGGATAAATAATCTAGCTGGTGAAATATCTCGCTGGTTGGTTGTGCCACTGGCTTGGATTGAAACATCTGCTCTTACAACTGCTGGGTTGGCGCGTTTATTTTTTATTTTTATTTTCTTTTTCCCCCATACCCCGTCCATCGAGCTGCAGACTGGCTCAGACACTGCGCAGAAATCTAACACGACGGAGCTGCGAGAATTGATACGCAATTCTATCTGTTGAAGAAGCTGAAGCCAAAAGTCTTATCTCCTCTTAGGGCTGAGACCCTGAACCAGTGGCCTCGACCATCCCGTTCCAACATATGCACTATGGCCAGCAGCTCGCTGTTTCCATCTTCTTCTACACCTTCGGAGTTTGTGGAGCTCTCTTGGATCGAACAAGGGTGGTGCTGGAGCTCCAACCGCGCATATCTTCCATCGCACCCCGACTTGGGGAATCGAATACCGCGCACCGGCTAGCGACAAGCTGTTCTAGACTCTTGGAGGCTGGACAATACAGTTAGCAGTTTGAGCAAGCCAACGATGTGGATCCTTTCTTTTACCAAATAGCTCCCTGACTTAGAGATTGCCTACGTGCGTGAGACAGTGGGAGGCACGGATATGGCAGATCCGATTCGAACGTATCGGAAGCAGATTCTTGGCATGTCATATTTAAATCCAGCTGTTCTGCCCCCCAGAGAGTCTTGAGCTTCAACGTCAAGGTCAATCCTCTCAAGTCTGAGAGCCTTCCTCCGGACGGGAAGTCGGTAATACCGAAATTTGACAATCATGCATCTCAAAAATCTCGTCATCGCGCTCGGCGCAACTTTCGCCGCGTCCGCATACGCTGCGCCGCTGGGAGGGCTCGATTCCCTGTTTGAGGGACTGGAGCAAGAATTGGAGACAGGGTTTTCGGATTTCGAGCGTCAACTTGAGGGTTCCGGGGATGACTTGCAATGCACCAAAGCATGCTATTCTTACCCCCCTGAGTGCCCACGTGGCTGGGTATGATTGCCTTCTTCTGATTTTACTCAGAGCAAGATGTGGTAGCTAACTCTTTTTTGTAAAACAGTGGCCAGATTTGCAGGTATTTCCCTCTTCACAACAAAAACAAAGGCTTCCAATTACCCCTGGATACTCTGAGGGGAAAATATCTAGATATAGCAACTGACACAGTTATTGCGTAGGGCCCTTGCTACACTTGCTGCACGCATTCAAAGCCGAAGAATCCGAATCCTCAGCCAAAGCCCTATGATCCCTATCAGCCGAAGCCAAAGCCAAAGCCAAAGCCTTATGATCCCTATCAGCCGAAGCCAAAGCCAAAGCCAAAGCCTTATGATCCCCATCAGCCGAAGCCAAAGCCAAAGCCAAAGCCAAAGCCAAAGCCTTATGATCCCCATCAGCCGAAGCCAAAGCCAAAGCCAAAGCCAAAGCCTTTTGATCCCTACCAGCCTGAGTCGAAGCCTTTTGATCCCTACTGGCCTGAGTCGAAGCCTTTTGATCCCTACTGGCCTGAGTCGAAGCCTTTTGATCCCTACCAGCCTGAGTCGAAGCCTTTTGATCCCTACTGGCCTGAGTCGAATCATTATGATTCCTATCAGCTTGAGCCAAGGGCAGGGCCAAGGCCTTTCCTAAGGATACCAAGGCCAAGACCAAGGCCTCATAGACCAAGGCCTCATAGACCCTCTCGACCCTCTCGGCCACGGCCAAGGCCAAGGCCAGGGCCTCATAGACCCTCTCGGCCACAGCCAAGGCCACAGCCAGTGCCAATTCCCCAGAATCCCCACCTGCCAAATCTGGATGCCTCCCTGATAGATGCCCTGCTGCCAAAGCCCCACCAGGAAACGCCTCAGGATCCCTACCAGCCAAAGCCCCAGGATCCAGAGCCGAGACCTGGTGACGGTGATAGGGTGATTAATGTTGGTTTCCCTGCGGGTGATTTGAAATGCCACCCAGCATGCTTTCCTCCTTCCCATCAGTGCCCATCTGGCCAGGTATGATTGCTTTCTTCTGTCAATTTTACTCAAATCAAGATGTGGTAGCTAACACTTTTGTAAAACAGCAACTACGTCATCTGGTATTTCCCTCTTCACAAGAACAAAGCCTTCCAATTACCCTTAGATACTCTGAGGGTAAAATATCTAGATATAGCAACTGACACAGTTATTACAGGGGGGTGGTTGCTCCACTTGCTGTGAACTTCCGAAGCCAAAGCCAGAGTCAAACCCGGAGCCAAGGCCTGAGGAGCTTACCAGCAGCGAGTTGCAAAGATCTACTAGCGAAGGTGAACTGAAGTGCTTTAGCGGATGCGGGACTCCTCTCTTTGAGTGTCCACCTGGTGGCTGGGTATGATTGCTTTCTGTCAATTTTACTCAAATCAAGCTGTGGTAGCTAACACTTTTGTAAAGAAGCCAGTATACTTAACGGTACTTCCCTCTTCACAAGAGCAAAGACTTCCAATTACCCTTAGATACTCTGAGGGGAAAATATCTAGATATAGCAACTGACACAGTTATTACAGGATCTGGATTGCTTCACTTGCTGCAAACCTCTGAAGCCGAAGCCAAAGCCAGAGTCAAACCCTCATGATTCTGATCAGCCGAACCCAAGGCCTGGTGACCATGATGGGCCGATTATCGACCATGGGGCTCTCGACCCCAATCACCCTCATCACCACCCTCATGATTCTCATCAGCCTGCTCCCTGAGCGCTCTGAGCGCTCTCGGCGCCCTCGTGGTCCTTATATCCCTTATTAGGACAAGAAGAAGACTTCCGATGAGTAATCTTGTGACCCAACTCCCTATTAAGCGGATTCTGTGATATGAAACACCGAAGGGTCCTCGAAGCCGATACGTCCGTTCCCCCAAGATGAATTGATTTGGTTAGCATTGGCAGAACGACTGGTTTTCTCGTCTGGACTCTGCTGCTTGTGAATAGCTAGCCTGTCAGTGTGCTTAGAAGTTGATATGTTCAATAGAACCACTTACATTCCTTTTGACATTTGTGTGCTGTTTAAACCTAAGAGTACATGTTACAAGGGATCTAGATGAGTAATCCCCTTTCGTAGGAAGGATAGAAAGGAATATCTGGGGCTACTTGGATCACATATTAATCATCGGCTAACTGTCCCTGAAGGGATCCCCTGGAGGGCAATAGCTACGGCAGCATCATTCCAACTTTGCTTTCTTCTTGCTGAAGTTGATAGCTGACACATTATCAACCGATCGAGAATTCTCCGCCTTGGCTCGGTCTTGGACTGAAAGGCCAAGGTTGCACACAATCTGATACCGGGTATCCGCTGCTCTGTCAGCGGTAAATTTGCCTATGCTCCGAGGGGCTTCGCTGGAGTGTGCCTCGGGAACACGAACATTCAGGGTTTGGAATATAGCCCAAAGGGAGATTCGCTGGAAGGGAGATAACTTCTCCCCACCGGCTAACTTTGTGAGGCGCCAGGTTTACTTCTCTCCCTCCTTTCCCCTTTGCGCCGCATCGCAATCGATCAATTTCAGGTCCCTTTATCAACGATATTCGTCCTCTATCCCAATGAAGCGGCCGGATATTTTCTTTCAGTTTCCATTCAGTACCAGATGGTTCCAATTTGGAAGCAGCACCAGCAAACCCTGTCCTACAGTTCCTGGAGAGATGAGAAGCACTGATCAGCAAGTGTAAGAATATCTTTCTCGCCGTCAAATGAAACAATGGCACTTCATCCCACCATTGATGCAGATTTACAAGATTGAGTGAATACGAATGATCTCTTCAAGATAATGGGCGTTCAAGTTTGCTCAGTCCAGCAAGTTGGTCGCTTTTACATTCAAATAACCATTGGAGTGTTTGCGTCTAGAACTTACAAATCAAAACCAGAACAATCAAAGAGATCTGGGAACCTTTGATTCATATTTGTGCAGGTAGCTACTTCGAAATCCCTTCTTGACACCTCTTTACAAACAAGCAAAGAATGGGAAAGACACACACAAATTCAAATGAACCGTACATTCATATCCTTTCATATTTCCCAGTTGATCGTAGCATGATCGCCCAGGACGTCACCCCATCTCTGACAGTGCACCATGATCTCATCGTGTTGCGCCTCGGTGAGGGTATCAGAACTGTCGACTTCAAGATGATTAAAGTTCGGCGTGTACTTCGCCCAGTCGTCTATCCACGTATTCAGTTCCTGCAGGACCCAGCTTAAGCAATCTCCGTTTACGCGATCGATAAAGAGAGCCTCCAGAGAGCGAGGTAGCAGGATATGAAGCTTCGAGTGACAATCCGTGCTGCGAAGAAACTCCACGCCTATTTCAAGGTATTTAAGAGATGTAAAGGCGGCGAATGAACCCACGAGGGCGTAATCACTTTGGTGACGTTGGTAGGACTTGATAGAGAGACGTTCAAGGGTATCCTTAACCTCAAGCAGGGAATTATAAAGCCGCTTCGGCTCGAAGCTGCCCTGCGTGCCCGGATAACAATGTGTGTATTCGAACGATTTTAGATACTTGCAGCTTGGAAGAAGCCCGTGTAAGCCATTTATGCAAACCTGGCCAGTGAGATTCAAGTGCGTGATGTTCGAACTCTCTTGCTGCTGCCAAGCTTCATCGTTATCAAAAATCGCAGTCGCGTATATGCTGCGTAACGCCGGAAAACGGAGAAACGGGATGAGCTTGTTCGAGGTGAAGTACCGGGACTGACCAATATCGAAAACCCTTGCTTCAACGAGACGTGCGAATCGTGGACCCGTCTCGTCGAACGGCTTCTTGCCCTCGGATGCGCGTTCCAGGATCTTGTGGCAGTACACTTCGTCTCCCACAGACGTAAGGGATAATCTTTTCAGCCCAGCTAATGATACCAGCAGTAGACCAATATACGCATCCGGCTTTCCCTTCTCCAGATCGCCCAGCCACTTAGTTTTCTCATCTGTTGAGTAGCTTGCATCGTCAACAGCACGTTCAAGAAGTCCGGGGTCGATTGGAAGAGGCATTGGCCTGTCTGAACCACCAGACTCTTCACATGGGCTAAAGGAAACGGGATCTGAAAGGGTAACATCGAGCTCTCGAACACACTGGGCTAGATTCGGATTCAGCAAAACCGCGCGTAGAACACCCGAAGCAAGGCGCGGAGACTCTTTGAGATGAATAGAGCGATAGGCCCAGGGGATCAATATATCGTATAATCGGCGAGAGCACGACGCTAGCCTCAGAACATTTCGAAGCGTCCTGATGTTGGCGGAAATATGAAGGAGCAATTCGACCGGCAGCGTGTTCAAAGTTGCCGGCATTTCTTCTCTTGAAGCTGGATCCCTTCTACTGATAGCTTCCACCTGCCTCACGCCTGATGGAGATGAGCGCTTCGCAATAGATTAGGGTATGTTATATTTTAAGCAAGGTTGACAAGCGTAAGTGGAAAGAGAATGTGCCAGGGGAGTTCGGTCTCGTAGGCACTGCAAGTTTGGAGCGACTGAAAGAAGGGAAGAGGTGATTAAAAAGAAGGAATCAGAATACAAGCTCGGCGCTGAGCTGCAGTAGTTGCCCATAGGCATCAGTAGCATGCCTGAAGCAGATATTCACGCTGCTGTTGTAACACCAGCTCCTAAGCCATGAATGGGGCGCACATAGAGGGAGTAGATCAGATATTACTTCACTTTTTGCAATTGCCATAAGTTCAGCTTGAAATTACTTCATAACTGCAGTTTTTTGGAGGTAAACTTCCGCATTCACTCTCCTATATCCTGTACGCGCGCTTGAAATTCGATAGCAGCAGGAGAGATACATTGATTGTAGATAGTACTATCCCACGATACCCTTCTGCTATCATTGTCATATGCCTCAAACACCAGATAGAAGGCGTGTTCTTGAACGTAAATAGCAAGGAGTAAAGAGATGAAGGTATTTCATATCAGGAAACCAGTACAGTACACCTGGTTCAGATATAAAACAGGAGCAAAGGTGCAGAAAAGAGAATGAATGCTGTGGATACACAGGGGCTTCCACATCCTCAAGAATCACACACATCTGCAGATGACTCGATTTGATATCCTAAGGTTGCAGTTTCAGCTTTCAGGCAAGCAGGAGGATTACCTGCGCTGATAATGCAATTGAGGTTCGACAATCGCAAGAACAAAGATTGGGAATGAAGTTGGATGATAGTAAACAGGCAAATGCAAATCAAACCATTTATCAGCGACGGGTCAACTAAGTTAACCGATCACCTTTTTGACTTGCAGGTAGGATCACTATGAGCAATGCCATGCAGTGCTTTATGATGCAGCATGAGCCTTCCCCCCTCAAGAGTACATGCATGCAATTGTACTCACGTTCGAGGCTCTATTTTTAGAACGGTCGCTGGGTTGTCCGTACAGAGCGTGGAGTTGAATTCCGGCCGTTTGTGGGAGGAAAATGTGGATGGAAAGATTCCGGTGAACCCCACACATCCCATGGAAGCCGAACACATCACCCGCACTTGAGGAAATGCAACATCCATCCCTAAGCTGTCTTGGAACATACCATGGTCTGCATGCTGGGAGTTGTAGGAGGCGAGAACAATCCTTCAAGCAGGTTAAAATTCACTGGATCAACACATTTTCTCCCCTCCGCAGCTAACAAACTAGTTATTTATTTAACCCGTTGAATAGTACGGAGTAGCGAGCTAATCGTCCGGCATCCCAGATCAACAATGCGATGGGCATGTTCCGATTTACTATCCTGAATTATCAAATCTGAGCTGCTAAAGCGGCTGCTGATATGGCGAGTTCGAAGAAATTCCTGAAATAGGGCCAAGAAGGAGTATGTGACATGGCTGAAATCGACCTGCTCCAATGAGTCTAGTCCAGCGAGATCCGGGGAAGATGAGGGGAAAGCCATGGGTCAGACGCGGTATATACCAAGTACACACATGCTCTCGCTCCGTCTCTCCGCTGCGGGGTTGAAACCTGGGGCCTAGGAGGGTCCAGTTGCTGCTAGCCCAGGATATAAAAGGAGTGGCTTGATTCTACGTCTGTACTTAGGCGTCTGAAATTTTGCCTCGTGCTACTAATCCAACTACTCGTCTCTAGTCACTAGCTTTTATTGCTAAACATATATAACTATACCACAGTCTGCCATCATGGGTCGAGAAGCAATCCGGACGGCGATGCACGTTGATCGCAACAAGCCTGCGGCAGAGCAACCGGGCGTTCACGTATGGTCTCCCAAGTCTAGCAGCTGTCCCAGGGGTTATCCAAACGAAGAAGTATAAGTTTCGAGGCCAGCTATCACTTACTAACCTTACTCTAGAATCGTTGGCATCCGGACAGTATGTCCTTCACATTGCCCCTCTCACAATTCAGACTATCAAAAAAAAGACAAAAATAAATATAGGAAGAGAGAAAATTAACAAGAGCACACAGTCCCCGCCGCTGCAACCATCAAAAATGGTGAAACAGTGAAAATAGAATGCCTGGACTGGACCGGTGGACAGATCAAAAACAATGACTCTGCGGACGACGTGCGAGACATTGACCTGACTGGAGTTCACTATTTAACCGGCCCATTCCACATTGAGACTGCCGAACCCGGCGACGTTCTCCTGGTAGAGATCCAGGACATCCAACCATTCCAGGACCAGCCATGGGGCTTTACTGGGGTGTTTTCAAAGAACAACGGAGGCGGTTTTCTATCTGAATTCTACCCGCAGGCGTGAGTGGTATTCGCAAGCTCGTAATGGAGGATACATCTAATATACACCGTTTTCAGTGCCAAGGCAATATGGGATTTTGAGGGCATTTTCTGCTCCTCGAGGCATATCCCTGGCGTTCGTTTTGCAGGATTAATCCACCCGGGCATTCTTGGCTGTGCGCCTTCCGCCGAAATTCTAGCCGAATGGAACAGGCGAGAATCAGAACTCGTCCAAGAGTATGGCTCAGACACGGTTGCGAGGCTTCCTGAGCCTCGCAATGCCCATACAGGTTCAGCAGAGGGCGAGGTCCACGCACGGATCTGCAGAGAAGGCGCAAGAACTATCCCAGTATGACAGGCCACATTTAATCAAAAAATTATACCCTCAACATTCTAATGTCTCTGTCCTACAAACCAGGGCCGCCCTGAACATGGCGGAAACTGCGACATTAAAAATCTCAGTCGTGGTTCCAAGGTCTATCTCCCCGTGCACGTTCCCGGCGCCAAATTCTCCGTCGGTGATCTCCATTTCTCTCAAGGTGATGGTGAGATCTCCTTCTGCGGCGCCATCGAAATGGCAGGAGTAATCACGATTAAATTCAACGTGATCAAAAACGGCATGGAGCAGATAGGCATGAAGTCACCGCTCTTCCACCAGGGGCCTGTGGAGCCTCAATTTGGACCCGGTCGGTATCTCACATTTGAAGGTTTCTCTGTTGATCATAACGGAAAGCAGCATTACCTAGACGCGACGGTGGCATATCGGGAGACCTGTCGTCGGGTCATTGAGTACCTAAGACGGTATGGGTATAACGATTACCAAGTGTACCTTCTCTTGAGCTGCGCGCCGGTTCAGGGGCATATTGCCGGCCTGGTTGATGTTCCGAACGCGTGTACAACGCTAGGCTTGCCGATGGATATTTTCGATTTCGATATCAGGCCGGAAGTGCCAGCCCAGAAAAGGAACATGGGCAGCTGTGCATTCGCAAGTGATCATAAAGCGTAAAGCACAGAGTGGCTAGCTGTATTTGCTTTATTTATTCTTATAATTCATTTTTTTTTTTAAATGATTGATGTGGTTGATCCATGATTTATATCGAGTCACTCGAGTTAAGATTGTAATTTGAGATTTCTATGCTTTCCGTTGCTTACGCTCTCTGAAAGCGGTCCATTGGAGGATAACGCAGATTACCATGTAATTTCCGAGGCCAGATTTATAACACCTACTCCATTCTACTCCGTGAATAATTGAGCGAACCGAGAAGCTCGGATCGAGACCATCTGCTCTAGAGTGCTAATCCCGGGGAGAGACAAGAGTCACGGCAGAAGGTATCCATAAGAAAGATTTTAGCAATGGAGCCACATTCAAGAGAAGAACTTCTTGACTGCAGCTCTCTGTTTGCGATCCTGCTCTGCGATGTGTTTCTTAACCCGAGCGATTTCGTTAATGATGGCGGCATCATTAGGCGCGAGCTCCAACGCCTCTTGTAGATCCTTAATTGCCTCTTCCTCTTCTTTCAATCCGCAGCTAGCGATAGCACGTCGGTAGTGCGCTTTGGCCTTATCAGCATCCTTGGCGTCAGCATCCTTCGCGGTGTTGATAGCGTAGCCAGCCCAAGAACGACCGTCGGCGAAACGCTTGAGTTTGTTGGCAAGGAGCGCGGAATTAGAATTCAATGTGAATCTTAATGCTGCAATTTGTGATGGAAGTTCTTTTGCGTCAGAATCGGACGGCTCCGGAGCCTCGTTGAGATAGCGGATTCCCTTCTGATACTTCTCTAGACCAAGCTCGACATCACCGGCTTTGAAAGCCTTATTTCCGAACTCCTTGAGATCGACAGCAATCTTGTAATACTGAGCCAAGGATAACTCTTCTGTGATGTCTTCAGGGTAATCCTCATATGTATCACCAGTAGTGTCAACAGAACGCTGCGTGGCGTTCTTGTAGTCATCCCCAGTAAGTTCGCCGCAATCAGTAACTTTAACATCCATGAGAGGTTTGTCGTTTGGATTGGTCTTTTGTGACTCAATCTTGCGCACAATGCTTCGGCCATTGATCACCTCTCCGAATACAACATGCTTTCCGTCAAGGTGGGGAGTTGGGACGGTGGTCACGAAAAACTGGCTGCCATTGGTGCCGGGACCAGAGTTGGCCATCGACAACAGGAACGGGCGGTCATGTTTCAGGTCGAAATTCTCGTCATCAAACTTCTCGCCGTAGATCGACTCGCCCCCAGTTCCGTTGAATTCAGTGAAGTCACCACCTTGAATCATGAACTGCTTGATTACGCGGTGAAAGATGGATCCTAGCAAGGTCTCTAGTTAAATTTTTGTCTTTTAAAAATCATATCCGTACCAAGATACCTTTATAGCTCAAAGGCTTCCCCTGCTTTCCCATTCCCTTTTCTCCGGTGCAAAGGGCACGGAAATTCTCAGCGGTCTTTGGGACAACTAGAAGGCGAGTCAGAACCTCTTGAGTACCGCATTTGTAGCATTACAGTCCTAATTCCGATCGTAACGACATACCATCATTAAACTACAGCCAGATTGATTAGTGTCTTTGAATCACCCTACGTGGGATATTCTCCGACTTACCAGTTCGAACACAACACGGCCTTCCTGCCTGTTTCCAATTGAAATGTCGAAGTAAACTCTTGGACGACCTATAACGCGACGATGTCAGCACCCAAGGCTCCTTTCGGCTCTGATAGCGATCTGGCGCCAGTACCTGTCGATTCAGCCATTATGTACTAGGTTTCCAGGTGATTATGCCAAAACCTTCGGGAGCAATGTGGGGAGATTATGCCTGTGAGAGCGGGTATGGAGAAGTGACGACGAGACTGGAGGAGCAAAGGGTGCGAAGCGAAGGGAGCTTGGAGCTATCTGAAGCTATAAAGAAAGGGCTAGAGGGATTCGGCCAGGGAAGAGAGTGACCACGAAGTGAATACCCGGCAACAGGCGGCGAGGAGGTTCAAGAACATTCCATTGCAAGTCGATTGTCCCGCATCCAACACTGCAAACACGGCAAACAACCCCACCCATCCGGCACGCCCTCGCCAAGCCCTAAGCCCTGCTTTCCCCCTTTGGGACTACCGGCGTTCGCTGCGCTTGGACCGTGAAGTAGTGAATTGAATTGAATTGAATCACTGGACCATTGGGTAAATCTATATGCTACGCGATTGGTATCTCTGGGTTTATCTATGTATATACACGGGTCGTCTATAGGGCTTGCTTTTGAAATAGTCAACGACTCCGTATGCTTATTCCGCCTTCTTGGAATCGGTATTAAGTTCCAGTGTCACCTGCTTCCATGGTAAGAAAACGGCCTCATATGAATGATATGCTCCGGGTTTTGCTAAGGAATGCTTGTCTGTTTCAACGTACCGGTCCATCGTTTACAAGTCCAACTTCCATCATTGCCTGAAACACGCCGTTCTTGACTCGGTCAGGGTTGTATAACGCCCCAACCTTGGAGTAGAAGTACTCGTAGAGCTCCTTAGCCTTTACTGCGTCCGCAGCACCGTGAAAGTCGGGTTTATTGCCTTTCTTCACCTTTGCGAACAACGTAAATTGTGACACTGGAGGATTCGGTTAGCTGAATCCAGAGCACCAGAAGAACTAGAGGGTCATCCAGGACGCACCACAAAGGACCTCTCCTTGTATGTCTTGGACATTTTTTTTCCACTAAGGGGAAGCGCTTGTTAGACTAGACCATGTCGGGCGTTAAAACAGTCTGGGAGCCGTACATTTGCCCCAGAGTCATCAGGCCACATCTTGAGCTTTAACACCTTGGCAGCAAGAGCCTCCGCATCTTTCTCAGTGTCGTGCGGCCCAACTGCTGCTAGAACTAGCACTCCCCGTCCAATGTAGGAGACAAGTTTCGTATCAACTGTAACCGAAGCGGAGGAGACCCGCTGCAAGATAGCTAGACAGCATATTAGCCATAATTCTAGGTTTAGTAGCATCGGGAAGACTTCACCTTTCATATTGGCAGAAGAGATGAACGAGGACTAAGTCTTCAGGCTGTTATTATGCTTGACTGCACCATAAAGACACGCGTGTTGTGACAATCGACACACTGTTTCGGGCCCCCTGGTCGCATTGCTGTTATCGACTAAGCAAAAGGCACATGGTTTCGAGCATGTCAACTGAGGTATAATTACCTATCCTTCTTGCGACAAGCTACATCTGCCCTCCATCCATCCTTGTTCTCCCTTTTCACCTTTTGGAACAGTTTCACTTAGCGCTGGAGCTTCTTCGCATTTATAATTTTCCGAGAACATCCATTCCGGGTTTAGAAACACATCCTGATGGTCTTGGCATCTCTCGTTGCTTGGCTGCATCAGGATAGCAACACCACCTGGAGAGAGCCTGTTCTGGTCGCAATTTTCCATCACAAATCACCTAGCCTGAGCTGGAAACTGACAGAGAGGACATTGGCAGTGGCCCCTCTCACACCCCATCACATCAACCATCCTTCACTGGTTTGCCTTTCTCTCTACCAACCATCATCCTGTTTCCGTCTCAACAGTGCTGCTAACTCCATCTGGCGCTACTTGAGCCGTTCTGGTATGAAGAGCAGCCATGACATCTCGAAAAACGCAGCAAGAGATCGATCGGACCTTCAAGAAGGTCGCGGAAGGCATCCAATCCTTCGAGGGCATATATGAGAAGATCAAGACCACGACTAACCTTGCCCAGAGAGACAAGCTCGAGGACAACCTAAAACGAGAGATCAAGAAACTACAGCGATTTCGTGACCAGATCAAGACATGGGCTTCCGGAAACGAGGTGAAGGACAAAGGTCCGCTTCTAGAACAGCGGAGAGCTATTGAAACTGTGCGCGACCCTTCCTTGCGGCGAACTCATCCCTATCCCTTACCACGACGCTAACTGGACACACAGTGCATGGAACAATTCAAAGCTGTCGAGAAGGAGATGAAGACGAAAGCCTATTCGAAAGAGGGATTATCAGCCGCCGCAAGATTAGACCCCAAGGAAAAGGAGAGAGTGGAAACCTGCGAGTTTCTCTCGTCGATGGTGGATATTCTTCAGCAGAAGATAGAGGCTATGGAGGCCGAGGAGGAGATGCTACAAGCTACAATGAAGAAGGGCAAAAAGGACGCGTCGAAGGCAACCAGATTAGCGGACATCTCGAGGATATCGGAACGGCATAAATGGCACGTCGCGAAACTGGAGCTGTTACTTCGATCATTACAAAACGGAAATGTGGAAACGGGTCAAGTTATCGATATCAAAGAAGCCATAAAATATTACGCTGAAGACGGTCACAATGCAGATTTTTGCGGCGAAGACGAGACAATATATGATGATATCGAACTTGGAGACGACGAAGCTCAATTCGGCATGGGTCTAGACAATGATCGTGTGTCCTCACAAGACACCCAATCGATACAAGAGGACGACCAGTCGGAGGTACGAAGAGGGAAAGCGGATACCGGTCCTCCAAGACGCTCGTCAACACAAACGAAATCGCCTCTATCGGCCCTCGCAACGCTTAACCTCAATGGACAGTCATCCACGCCGGCCCCCACCATGAAACCTGCGCCACCACCAACAAGGTTACCCGGAGAGACTTTGAAATATGCTTCTGCGGCGGCCGCTGCCGCTGCAAGCGATAAGAACGGAGTCGGCATAGCTCCTTTACCCCCGCCGCCTGGGGCAAGTCCTGCAATATCCAACGCACAACCGGTTTCGAAACCCCCGTCTTCTGCATCGCCTCAAGTAGCACCCGCGCAACCCGTACAAAGATTGATATCCAACGCTGCCAACTCTGATGACTTGAGCAACCAGTCTAAATCTCCGACTTTGAGCAGCGTCGCGGCGAGCCGGCCAGGCACTGTGCCACCTACACCCGCGATCACCAAGGCTGAAACGACAACACAGAAGCAGCAACAACCGCAACAACAACCACAGCCACAGCCACAGCCGTCGAAGGATCGCCCTATAGCCAACGGTGAAAAGAAGGAAGAATCGAATGCCGAAGAGTCTGTCTATCACCTGCCACCCGGCCTTCAAGACTTGATACACTCCTTCGAGGCTACGAAGTCCAGAGCAACTGCACCTCAGTCCGGATCAACGCAACGATTACTAGTAGCGAGTCATAATACGTGCCCAGAACCGAGCGATGCCGAGAAGCCACGCCACTACAAGCCTCAAACACCTTACAACACCCCACTTTACTACCCGCAGGACGTGCTTCCCATCTTCGATGACCCACGGCTCTACGAAAATGGAAGAATAGAGACAGACACGCTGTTCTACCTATTCTATTATCGTCAGGCGACGTATCAACAATACCTAGCTGCCAAAGCGCTCAAGAACCAAAGCTGGCGGTTCCACAAGCAGTACCAGACATGGTTCCAGAGACATGAGGAACCAAAGACGATTACGGAGGAGTTTGAGCAAGGAACATATCGATTCTTCGATTATGAGAGCACATGGTTGGTTCAACACATGTTCTTTTGTTCGTCCTGCGTATAGCTGACCATGAATAATAGGATGAACCGAAGAAAAGCGGATTTCAAATTCGTTTACAAGTTCCTTGAGGACGATCTCTAAACAGCGGGCTTCGAGCTTTCGTGGGCCCGGCTTAGCTCGCCTTTGGTCTCCCGGCAAAGGGTACGTTTTTGTGAATGACTTATTTCTCTCTGCGCCTTGTCTCGTCTTTTTGTTCTCCAAGCCAACAGGGGAAACGGGAACGGTGGTCTTTCGAACTTTCTTGCTCGGTTAAACGCTTGATTCAGCAAATTTGGCGCAAGGGCGGGAAACGGAAACGTCCACTGTGTTTTATTTCTTTTTTTTGAAAGGAGCCCTAGGGTGGATGGGCACTTTTTCCTCCATATCTCTAAGCTCGTGCTCGGAATTCGGATTGCGTTGCGTTGTTTCTTCTGTTTTTTGTCTTCCCCAGTCTAAGCTATCCGGGGTTTCTTGTTCTGCATGTGCCTCCACCCCATGGGTCCTGTTTTACCTTGTTGTGATGACGGATGCGAATGCTCCAAATTTTGTTTCTTGTTTTTCTCTAACACACGTTCCCTTTCCTAACTTGCTCTTGCATATGGTTTTATGAATGTACAGAGTCAAGACAAGGTATTTTGCATCGTGGCCTTTGTAGGTGATGCCATCTTTTTTCACATCAACATACATACATACATGCCTACATACATATCTTCCACGACACAACCACCCAACTGGGTCCCCCCAAAAAGAAAAGAAAACATAAATCAAAAGGGGGCTCTTGAGTGTGTCTCCTATCTAAGCTATGTACGGTACGCACGGGTTGGTCCCCCACGTTGGCCGACGATGGTCACTGGACCCGGATGGAAGATTAGAGATGCTACTTGCTCGCCGCGTTTGCAGATCTGGTTGGTTGTGTTCCTGGTGATGTTTCTGTTCCTGCGTCAAATCATGACTAGTGTGTATCCGGGGTAATTCTTCCAGGCGGAGCAGCTAGAGAGAACTAGACCCCTCCCAATCGTGTCGGGCAGTGAGAAAGGGGTAATATGTGGCATTCCAGAACTGTTTCATCGTCAAGCAACGCTGTTCATTGTAGGGCGGCAAAATCTCGGTGCGTGAATTAGGCTCTGATTGGACAAGTGCCTGGATCAGGCAGGATTGGGCTTAATGGATAGCTAATGGTTGAGCCCCCAGCCAAATGAACACGTTAATTATGCACGTTCAAGACTAAAATGTATACAAGATCGGATGGTTGGATTCCTTGTGGGAGGTGATCTTATGTATGCATTTGTTGTTGTGTTGTTCAGAGCCAGTTGTTATCGAAATTAGACAGGTCCAGACGCGATCAATTCTCAGCATTAGCCTCCTGATCATTCCCCCCAAACTTTGCGAGTGCCTTTTCGATCCACTCATTATCATCCCGTGACTGCCAAAGTGATGCGTTTAGGGCCTGAAATCCACTATTATTCTTCAATCTCATGTCTGCCCCGTTTTCCAGCAGTATGGTCGCCAGATCCCTTCTGATCTCTGTCCCAGTCCCAGCAAAGTGGAGGGCAGTAAACCCGAGCGCATCCTGCTTATTGACGGCGGCCCCATGTTCAACCAGCAGTCTGACGGCATCCAAGTACATAGTGGCGGCCGCAGTATGCAGCGGGGAGGCCCCTCTATTATTCTGACTATTTACGTCTGCTCCTTTTTTGATTAGAAGCTTGATCAGTTCGAGATTCGCTTCAGAATGTGGAAGCCGCAGCATGAAGTGGAGTGGTGTATTTCCGTCATGCTGGGCCACGTCAACGTTCGCTCCATGTTCGACTAACGCAAGCACGACTTCCAAATAGCCCTTGTCAGTTGCTATATGCAACGGAGTGGCCTGGTTGTGAGCTCGATGGTTGACATCGGCTCCATTGCGAACGAGCAGTTCGATAACGGGACCACTATGACGGACGGCAGCGGCGAGCAGCAAGGGAGACGCGCCATCATTGGAGGTACAGTTGATATCAGCTCCACGTTCAATGAGTGTGCGGACTGTCGCTTCATTTTTTCCAAGCGCCGCCTGATGCAAAGGAGTGAAACCTCCGCCATCTCGAGCATGGATGTCAAGACCCCGATTGATGAGGAGGCTGATTAGTTCTGCTTTACATAACTTAGCAGCGTCATGCAACAGCGTCTGCTTGAGGGAGGATATGACATTGATATCTGCACCCTTGTCGATCAAACGGAAAACAAGCTCATCATTTCCGACCCTGGCCGCATGTTGAACTACGGTCGATGCATCGTTGCCGCATTTTGCGTCGACGCTCATTCCATTGTCAATTAAGAACAGAAGAAGGTCAGCGCGCTTTTGCTCTTCACCCTTGTCAATTCCTCGACGCGTTAGTGAGGGGCCCAGCCACCGCGTAGCAAGGTAAGCAGCAAAGTGGCCAGCAGAGAAGGGGTCTCGATATTTGAGAGGGGGTTGTGCGTCAAGATCAGCACCGGCATCTAAGGATTTCTGCGCAGTTGCCCTTTCGCCGCGTTTAATAGCCCACCAAAGAGCGGAGGCACCGCTGCGCTTCACGTTGCGTGCGTATAGATACGGGGTAAAGACGGTGTTGAGGTGACTGTTTGCGCTGGCAAGGCTACCGATGCAGGGCTCGTCTAGGTAATCGGCAATGGAGAGAAGGATTTCGTTCGGCAGAGATGCCAACTCGACAGGTCCTGTTGGTGGCACAGGCTCCATGGTGGGTTGGGTGAAAGGAGGCAAGGTGTATGTATTGATATCCGAGGACGTGTGGGCCTCACGGTGCCAGGATGAAGGAGAGAGCCAAGCGCTGGTGCGCCAACGGAGTTAAAAACAAAAAGAGAGTGAACAACCCACGGCGGCGTATGTGGCTTTCGGCTGTTAACGCGCCGTGGTCGTGCCCTGGCACTTTGAGGCAGCAACCTTGTACCACCAATCACAGGGACCGGGACGGAAGAACATTGGAATGCCTGCCAGTCGAATCAGATAGTACCAGTTTGCAAGAAGCAATTATTTTACAATCGTGGTTATGTTTCCAAAGAAGACTGCGCAGTCATCACAAATAGATGGATGTATTTGTCCACTGCATACGTAGAGACTTGTAACTCTGTAGCTGCGCAAGGTCGTTTGAAACGGCCGGGAGGAGTCCTCCTGTGCCACGTATGCCCGGAATATCTAATCCGCTTTCCGTAGTCCGGGCTGACCCGAGCCTTAATATGATTTGAGCCCTTCAGTGGGAGAGAGAGAGTATGGGGAAGAGGGTGCCTGAGGTCGCCGGCAGTGTCGTCGCCGTTCGCCTCACTTTTTGTAGGCGCGAACCACGGAAGTACTCGCGATGCCGGAAGGCCTGTTTTTTGCACTATTTTGGTCTGTTTGCCATGTTTGACGGTACCGCTTATTAATAGAAGCAGCTATTCCCTATCGGGCTAGCTAGCTTACATAATGCACCTAATTGAGGCTAGCGCCACGGACGACGGTGCCACTGGGGCTGGGCCACATCGCAGCCGCTGACGGGACGACGCGAGACAGCGAGACAAGCGAGACAGCACGGCGGGACAGCCAACCTCGACGGCGTCAAAGCATCAGGCTTCGCAGGCCAGGGCTCGGGCCTGACAGCGCAGCATTGGTTTCTCGAAACATCTTGAAACAAGTCCCCTGGGTCAGTCACCAGCACAACAGCATGGCTGAAACCCCTTGCTCTACATACCTCCTTAACGAGCCCCTCTCTCAGATGCCGAGCTAACTACTGCCCATCACTCCGCTTGGGTGTCGTTTTATTTTCCCCTTTTCTTTTTCTTTTTCTTTTCCTTTTTTTTTTTAAAAAAAATCTCCGACTGGCTACGGAGTATAATGCCAATGTTGAGTGAGCGCTTTGTGTTTATGGTTATTTTTAACTATCATCGTGGTCTGACAACGTCGAGCCCACAACAGACCTAGCCACTCGTTTGCCCATCCGTGGCAGCCGCTGCAGGTTTCAAACCCGAATCTACCGCCAGCTTCATAGTAGTTCTCTGGACCCTTATCCATAACTTTCTACCAGATTTGTTGCTTGCTCCGGCAGTTCTCAAATCGGGTTGACCTGGAGGCCCTGCGATGAAATGAGGCGAAACTTACCACCTGCAAGGCTGTCTCTCCCTCCCTCCATCCCGTCGCCTAACGGTCCATTGCCAGCTCTCTCTCCTCCCCCCCTTCTCTTGACGGCCTGTTTTCATCCCAAAACGAAGCTTTGCCAACCGCGCGGCCCATCTGGCTTATCGTTCGCTTTCTCGCTGTGGATGATGTTCCTCTTGTCTTCTGTTTCGGCCCATTCCTCCTGCTCTATCTCTCTGCCCCTCTCTCTCTCTGTGTGTGTGCGCGATTGGGTGTGCCACCATCGCACAAAACCAGGGAGGGGCTGTGTACCCGGACCTAATCCCTCCACGTGCGAATTTTTGTGCAGAAACCCTCAATTCGCAGATTTGCTCTCTCGTGCTCCGGTTGTGTAATCATCCCAACCTTGTTCCACCTACCCTTGAAGGGCAGACTTCGGTTTCTCCTTGCTTCACTTTCTCTTTCTTCGTCGTCGTGTTCGTCCGTCTGTCTCTCTTCTCTTCCACCAGCTGGCAGCATTCCAAGAGAATGAAAGTCACGTGCAAGTCTTCTCCGAGGCCTCGAGCCCGACTCTCTGCCCGTTCTCACTGGCATCCTCGACCGTCTTGTCTCTGCCCAGACAAGACGTGGAGTAACAGACATATGTTACTCAGACATATATATCTCTGTCGGCTTCCCGACCGACTTCTTTGTCCTCCCATTTCTCTAGCTTCCCCAGCTCTGGCCCATACTATATAACCCATCCTATTCGGCTTATCTCTCTCTCTCTTTTTTTTTCTCTCTCTCTTTGTGGGCACCCTCTTCGGGGACCGCATTCAGCGATAATACATCGATCTTCGACGAAACACATGTCCTACTCCTATAGTCAACATCACACTCAATATTCTCAAAGCAACCCGCGATCACGGCCATCTGTCACTCACGCGGTATCTGCCTCGTCTATGCAGTACCAAGATTACATCTCTCCCGCCATGTCCCAGTACCCTAGATCTTCCATGTCATCTCACGATCGGTCGCCGGCACCGGCCATGAGCTATTCCGTCTCATCGGATAGCAACTGCTCGAGACACACTACCTCGAGTACGTCATCGGCTTATTACCACGCGGATAGCAACGCTTCGTACTCTCATTCGCAAACAAGTTACCAACATCACTATGGCAGCTCGCCCCAAGATATTGAGCCTACCAGTCCCCAAGCCAAACGATCTACCTCCCGATCGTCAAGACAAGACTCCCAGCCAAGGTGGGTTGATCCCTTACTGATACAATCGCATTTACGGACTATTACTGATCCCATTGTAGATCGAGTCCGCGCTACATCTGCGTCCATCCGGGCTGTGAGAGCAGCTTCAGTCGCCCAGCCGATCTGAGTCGCCACCAGGTTTCGGTGCATTTTCGCGACGGCGTCATGTTGGACTGCCCCAAACCGCGATGTACTCGGAAAGGAGATCAGGGATTCTCAAGACAAGATCATCTTATCGAGCATTTACGCCAGTTCCATTGCATGAAGTTGGCGAAACGAACCTCGAAATCTCAGCGCCGCGAGTGATCGTTTTATCGCATGGCGAAACGGACTCGCCCATTCTGCCGAATTTCTTTGTTGTTGTTCTTGCAACAGCCGATGTCCTAATATGCTCAGCTGGCCCTGAGCATGATGCCTGGAGCATATCACTGAGCTTTTCTTTTCCTTTTTCTTCTTTTTTTTTTTTTTTTTTTTTTTTTTTTTTTTTTTTTTTTTTTTTGCAATAACTTAGCTTCCTTTTAATGCCTTTTTTTCAGCATGTACCATCTTCTATTTTTTTTTTTTCCAGAGTGAGCGTATCCGCATAGCGTTGCACTGCATGATACTTTATCTTATCTTTTCTTTTTCTTTTTCTTTTTTTTCCCCTTCACATTTCATTATTACTTCTCCGATAGACTAATTCTCGTGTCTTGCTATGATGTCTCTACATTGCCCACCGCGTCTTGGGGTTCAAGGGTGAAAGGTACAGGGTATGGGAATGGGTAGAATCTGGTATGTTTGGCGTTTTCGATGGGTTTTTAGGGTGCTCGGTTCCACTCTTTCAGTTGCTTTGTTTGCTCAGCAGTCTACTATTCGAACCTATGTCTTACTATTCATCCATCCATGCAGCTGATGGATGGATGAACTCGGTTCTTTTCCCCAGTTTTTCTCCCTTGACAATATCCTGTCATATTCTTCTCTTCTTCAACAGAGTTTATCTCCGGACTTCATCTGTCCGTTGACCTGCGCTATGGCCTTTGACCTACGTTGGTTATTCTCAGCGCCAAGTTTCCGACCGTAATTGATGACGCTGGGTACCGAACCTCCATGGAAACAGAGCAATAGGTGGGTGTCTTTGCTTTAACAGATGAGTCTTTGCTTTTAAAAAAGGCGGTGTTTTTCGATCCGCTCGCTCGCCTGCGTTATGTGAGGCCTCTTGTCTTCGAACGTGACGTTCCTCATAATAGTTTCGAGGAAGCATCGCGCATCTTCAAAGGCACACAGTGCTTCCGGTATAATTATACGCTGATGAGAGCAGTGACTGCCCGAGTCACTGCGAGACAGTTTCTCTTATTTTGTATCATTATCTTGATGTATCTTGATGTCTAACGCCCCTTAGACGTTATGCCTCCTTCTTGTTTAGCTTCCAGCATGGATTGTATGTTATGTTCGAGGATATATGTACAGAAAATGATGCTCTTTCTAGAAAGGCGTACATACTGCTTTATGCACCTTTGAAATGTTGAAACGACCGATTCCAGGACTTTACTTGGCTTTCAGAACTACATTTTTTTCGTCCCTCGATTCCGACGCAGCCCACGGAGTGCATGGCTACACAGGGCCGGCAACAACACAAATCAATCAAGAAAGCAGTTTTTTCTTAAACAATATTTGAAATAGTAATGCCCTTACGAGTTATGTACTGTACATATCTACATGCTATCCCTTGTCCCGTTGCTTACTCCGTACCTTCCTGCCAAGCAATAAGGCCCTCGTTAACCGCGCCGATCCAGTGTTCCCATGCAGACATAGAGAAGACAGCAAAACCCAGATGAAAAAGCATAGGGCTGCTCAGCAAACAAGTCCTTTAACGCGCTAGAAATACACAACTCAGACATTCATCGTCATTCGCTCTCCTAGTTCTATTTTGAATTTCTATCCTTTTTTTCATTTGTTCTTTTTTTTTTATATATATTTTCTTTTCATATTGTTGGCTGGATATCAGTCAAACCGCATGTATATTCTCCTTAACCCGGGCGATTATATTCTTAGGCTTGTCGACCAAAATGCATATAATTGCGGCGTTGAATGAATGCAGCGCTGGCGGTGGCGGTGTTGGCAGTGGTCTGAACGGTTTGTCGGCCTTGGTCCTGCTCCTGGCGTTGACGATCGTCGTCTCGTCTATCATCGTCGTCTCGTCTATCATCGTCGTCTCGTCTATCATCGTCGTCTCGTCTATCATCGTCGTCTCGTCTATCATCGTCGTCTCGTCTATCATCGTCGTCTCGTCTGTCATCGTCGTCTCGTCTATCGTCTCGTCGGTCGTCGTCGCGATCTCGCTGGTAGTCCTCCATAGCGGTTTGCGAAGCGACTACACTACTAATCGTAGTTGTAACTAGACCATTCCGTGTCGTCTCAGTGACCAGATTGCTGGATGTTACAGTCTGCTGCACGGTTGAGGTAACAACCTGCGTGGAGTTGCCGCTCACAATCGTGCTCACGACCTCTTTCTGTCGATTCTTGCCTTTACGACCTCCCCGGTTGTTGCCGTTCCTGCGACCGGGTTTGCCGATAAGCTCTCTCCCACTCACGAGCCGCCTGCATTGCTGGTTGGTAAGACCAATATTGTGAAGTCCGGAAAGGAGGACGTTTTGTCGGCCTGGAATATCGGCTTGTATGAAGCGAGAGTTGAATCGCGTCACTCCTTTGAGTAGGTTAAAGATCTCGACGTTCATGAATAGCGGCTGCGTACCGACTAGAAACGTCACTCCCTCTGTGCACGGAGGGGTGGTCAAGCTTCCAACATATCGGAACATTGGCATAGAAGAAATAGTGCGAGAGAGGATGCCGAAATCGAAGCCGCGAAGACCAACTGTCTGACCGGGAGAGGAAATGCGTGGAACATGGGTGATGATACGCTCGAGGTCACTGAAGCCCCCGCGACTGGTGAGCTGGAAGAAAAGGGCAATGACGGCAATTTGGGATGGGTTAGCTGCACTCATCTTAATTAGCTGACCAACGCTCAGAGGATTTGAAAAAGGGTCCCAGGAACACAACATACCAACACTAGTATGGACCAGATGTAACTCCACTGGGAAATGCTGCCCAAGGATCCGGTGCTCGCTAGGTGTATGGAAATGGAACTGCTTCAATCTAAACTCGCCAACCCCGCGAACCAACGTTGTGCCATTTAAGACGACCTCAGCCGTGGTTCCCAAGTTCTCGAATAGAATATCTTGTCTTGGGATACTCGAGCGAACGAATCCAACAGGCTCGATTGGAATTCTCCCGTTCAAGTTGATGGGAGACTGCTGCAACCCAACCGCACAGAGGATGTTCTCACGGGAAATGGAATGCCAGTTTGTTGGTCCACGGACGGGGCCATAGTCAAAGTTTGGAAGCTCTCCGATCCCGCCGGCGGCTCGAGGGTGGAGAAATGTACCATGCGCACAAGAGGACAGGACAGACCCAGCATAGAAGACAAGGAAAAGAAGAGAGAAGAGCAGGACCATGGTTGATCAGGGAGATAGAGAACGACGGGAGCGAACGAACGGAAATATCTCTTGTGGAAGGCAATAGAAATAGGAAAAGAAGCCGGCAGAAAATAATAAGAAAGAGAGATAGAAAAGAGCGAACAGGATCAGCTTGATAACGTGTTGACTACCTGAACAACACCGACTGCCATGAGGAGCTCAGTCGCGCAAGGCATCGGGGGCGGAGCCAACGAGGCCATACTTATATAGAGCCCCCCGCACCCCATCGAGAATGTCACCCTGATGCGGGCAGGGTCGGCGTACAGAGTTCCAAGGCATCTAGGGAAGGAAGTGCAATGTTCCATGTGTCAAATGTGCGTCAAGCCTGATTCAACCAGCATGAAATCCCGATGCTGAACCTACTTAAGCTTGGCCATTTAACCTCAACCCCAATTCCCATATAGATTTAGGTTTCCAGTGGCTGTTTATGCATAGCCGCATTTGGAGCACAGGACTCTTGGAAAGTTCCAAAGGGAGAAATTGGGCTCATTCTGGGACACCTTTCACCGTTTAGGGTTGTCTGTGCCAGGAAGGGAACCGGGCCGTTTGTGGTCCGTTTTGAAAAGACGCCATGTTGCTCGATTGATGTTTGAGAGACTTGGCTTCTAATACACCGGGATTGACTCAGGTAAGACACTGACGCTTGAAGCTTAAGACTGTCTTAAGTGGCTGAGATGGAATTTATTGGGCGCTTCATCCAACCGGGATGACATGAGTTTAGAACAACAAAAAAAAAAGAAAAAAAAGGGAGAACGGAAACCTGCCAACGACCTTTGGAACTCGACAGACGGAAATGGCATGGATGCGGAATGTCATTGCGATTCCCCGTCCGTTCCGAGAAGTATGTAGTATTATCAACAAGCCGCTCGACCACTGCAGCCCCGGGGGTCGCGGAGTTGTTCTCTTGAAGCATTCCATGTCGAGTGTCGGCGCGATGGAACGGCTTGGCAACACCCCGCCAAGACCTCTGCCCAAGAATCGTCGAGCACGCAGCCAGCAGCACGGAAATTTTCGCTTTACCGATCCCTCTGCGCTCGGAGAGGGTCGAGGAGCCCGGAGAGAGGTGATGCAGACATCTCGGCTCCTTATAAACGAGGCTTTCTGGGGCCAATTTCTTTTTTTCTTCCCCCCTTAAACGCCAATTAACTTCACTGCAATGCCCTAAATATTTCAGCCACCACCCCCATGCCCTGTCTGGCATTTGACTTCCATCTCGCTAGTTACCCTGACCCGCCACCACAGACCCCATGTCCGCGAACTCTCGAAAGACCTCCCCATTCGCTTTGCCTTTGTGGTCAAACTCCACCCCTTCGGCCTTCAGTAGCTTCGTCTTCTCAACCGAGTACTCACCCCCGTTCCCCCATTTCCCTTTATAGCCGCCGATTGTGCGGTCCGTCGCAAGCACCCGATGGCAGGGCACTTCGGGGGCAAACGGGTTCGTCTTCATCGCGTTGCCGATAGCACGGGCCGACGAGGACAGATGTGCCGATAGAGTGGCATATGTGGTCCAACGGCCCGGAGGGACGGATAGGAGGGTGCGGTATACAAGTCGGCGGTATGGTGTGAGGGTGGGATGGCTCGCGATGCGGCGAAGAGAGTGGGCGAGGGCTTCCTGGTCCAACGCAGAAGGGTAGCTGGGGATCGACGAAATGGCCTTCGACTGTGACCTGGCTGTCTTACGGTCGGCGTCCTCGGACGAGAGCCGGCGTTGGAGTTTCGCAGCCCGCCTAGTGGATGTTCTTGCAGCTGTCGTCGTCGTCGTCGTCGTCGTTGCGGCACCCATTTTTTTTTATTTTTTTATTTTTTTATTTTTTTGCCCTTGCAGGCGAAGTAGAATCAAGCAATCTTGTCCTAATGCTTGGTATGAACGGTTGAGCCGTGCCGACAGAGGTGACCCCAGCAGGATCGACCCCCTTAATTATACCCCTAGGCGCCTATCGATGTGACGCACAACCCTTACCCTCAATATGGCAAATCACCGCCGATTACTATTAAATATAGCAGGTCACGGCCGTCTACGGAGCGCGGAGAGCGGAAATACCACCATCCAAAAAGAAAAAGTCTTCATCCTCGTATCTTTCGCGCGCTCTTCACGCCCTTTCGCCGGAGTTCGCGCGTCGAACGCGTTCCAGATGCGGCTGAAGTTGACAAATCAACGTGGAGCCCCACATCGCTCAATTATGACCAATCAGAAGCCCTACTCGTGGTTAAGCTCGCCGCTAGTTCCGGAAGGGAATAGCTCGCCCATGTCCCTTCTTGCGACTGCGTCTGTCGCGGACCTTCAAAATCGCCCGTCTTGATTATTATTATTATTCATTATAGTCTTATGCAGTCAGTGACTATGAAGACTTGACCGTCTCTCCGTGTTTGAGCTGCCCAAGTTGGGAACGTTCGCATGCACTGACTGTCCTCAGATGGTATTGCACTAACCCCGTTACGTCAAGACAGGAGGGACGGAGAGGGTAAGGATTCATGTTCCATTCTTCTTCTGCAGATTATGTACCAGTCGTTCTGGACAGGATTGGCAAAGCCCCGATCATGACGTCTCTCCCTGACCCAGCCACCACCATCATCCCTTTAAAAAGTCAGTTATTTCCACCCCCTCCCCCAGCCAAGCGAAACGCCCAAGAATCATCCCCAACATCAAAAGTGTCCCTCAATCTACTCCTTCTCCGGCAGCTCTTGAACCCCTAGCTTTCCTATCTCCTCGTCCAGCTTCCCGCCCTTTAATTGCGCGGCTGCCTGGGCGAAATCGGGGTTTTCGTTTTTAAGCTGCGTGAATGTTCGCTCGGCGTCCCAGGTCCAGGGGTTGTCGGCGGCGAAGAGAAGATCCATATCTTCCAACGTGCGCTGGTTGGATTCCGGGTACAGCGCCCAGACCATCGGGATGGTGATGACGTTGCTAATGGCGAAGATGTAGAGGGTCTTCTCACCTATGGAATCAAACATGACGGGACAGAGGAGCGTCTGTGGTTCAAAGTCTGTCAGCGCCTTATGTTACCTGGAGAGAGTATGTGAAAGTTCAGGCTATGTTGCCCCCTCGTACCAGCCAGCCGTTGCCCACACTCCATCCTACGACTCCCCACGCATTGCCTTTGCCGCGCACGGCTAGAGGGAATATCTCCGCAGGATACAGCCAAGGAACGGTTAGCCACGTTGCTCCGAAGACAAAAGTAAATATAAAGATCATGGCCGCCGCTGCCGCTCCGTAGCGTGATGCCTTTGACGCGTCGCCGGCCTCCGTGGCATTGATCGCAAGTCGGGCGAAACCCCCAGCAAGGAACATGGCAATGCCTTGCCCGGTAGAACCCCAGTATAGCGTCCATCGGCGACCAATGCGATCAAGAGTAAAGACGCAAATCAACGTAGAGATCTGTAGAGCCACCGAACCGGTTAGCACCCCATGACGAAGTATATGAACCTCGTTGATTTCACCATGTAAAAGATGTTGTTCAAGCCGCTAATCCACTGGCTCTTCATGGCATCAAATCCCGCGATTCGGAAGATCGTAGGCGCATCTATCGGATCGTTATGTCGAATTAGACATTAGGGCCGGAAGATGCATATGATAAAAACGTACAAATGGTAACACCGGCGATGCCGACCCATTCCTGCATAATCTGCAGCCACACAACCAGCTCAACTCGTCTTCCCAGATGCAGCTTTCCCGTCTTACGGCCCGTGAACATGGAGAAGTAGGAGGTGCTATATGAGAGTGTCCTTTCAAGCTCTGCAACGTGTTTGATATCTTGGAATTCGGCTTCTGCTCGGGCAACGTCCTCTCCTTCGTCACCGCGAAGTCTGCCAAGGATGTACCGTGCCTCTTCCTCGTGGCCCATCTTGACGAGCCATCGGGGTGATTCTGGGAAGAACCAGACTGCGGCGAAAAGAATGAGAAGAGGAATAATCTGGAACGCAATGGGGAATCTCCATCGAAAAGCTGAGACTCCATCGTCGATGTAGGCGAGACCGCTGCTCGCAGTTGTCAGCTCCTATTTTCAACCGGAGAATCCATAAAACAATGACAGAAAATGGGCGTTACTAACAACTCCAGCCAGTATGCGACAACCACGCCGAATATGTTAAGGGTGAACTCAATGGCTATGAATTGCCCTCTGGATGTATGTTCGGCAGTCTCCGTGGCCCAAACGGGCACGATGGCGTTCAGAATACCCGTTCCAAAGCCATTGACAAGGCGTGCTGTGACCATCAGCCTCCAGTCGACTTATCGTGGCTACCCCAAAGTTATCTATCCACCCACCGAAGATCATCCAGACATGGTTTTGAGCCGAGCACTGCAATGCAGCTCCAATTACACCCCACACAGAGCCCAGGGCGATGGATTTGATTCTCCCAATTTTATCACCGACCCATCCACCGAATAAGGCGCCTATCAGGGTACCCAGATAGTACACGGAGACGATCCCGCCCTGCAACAAGCTATCAGTGATAACTGGTGTATGCGGCGAGCCGTTGATCGTCTCCGTATGGCCGAATTTCATAAGATCGATGTAGTCCTTCGCATTGTTGACACCGCCCATCATACCCTGGTCATAGCCGAAGAAGAAGATAGATAAGGCGGCGACGGTGTTGATGGCGATAAGAAGCTGGCGCTTCTTTAGCCGGTTGGCAACATTCCATGAAGATATCGGAGTCTTCATGGTGAATAAACGTGATATCTCCGTCAGACAAAACAAATTTGATCCAATTCAGCACCAACCGATGGAGCCCGTGAAATGTGGAAAAAGCCCGGGGACAGCAAAGTTCGTGCGGAGGATCACATACAATATATATCCCCGTGCAGAGAAAAATGGAATGGACGATTCTCCAGACAACATTTTTATGTCTGGGGAATACCTGTGGGTACCCAATAGCCTAGCTAAGCATCCCGCTGGCGAAGCTGGAGAATCGTCCATAAACCATGCAACAATAGTTGCTGGAAACGACGGGATATGAGCGGAACAAAGACATCCACGGGGAAGTCGACTCCAGAAATCACGCAATGGCATTAGAAGTTCCGAGAATAAAGGCTAGTTTAGCTACATATTCGCCGTAGGCGGCTGTAGAGCGGACAATTTCTCTCCAGCATGTTCCACGATTGATAAACGGGACGGACGCGGTGGAACACTCCGTGGGACCGAAGCCGGAGGCGACGGTCGTGCTTTCGATGCATCTTTTGCCACCAGCCGATCGTCGTAAACATTCTCAAAGGAGCCTGGCGAAGGCCGACAGGATCGACTCACATCGAGGAAACCACAGGGGCGGATCAAGGAGGTTTCGAGCGCGAAGGATTTGGCCAGGGACGCAGATTCGAGAACGCCCTCCACAGTCAGACAGAATGGACTTGAGAAGCATGCCATCATTGGCCCAGGCTAAATGACAGTGGACCTCATCCAAGGGATCAAGGATGCAGCGATGAGCCGTTTCGACCCCCCAGAGTGAGTGATCGCGTGGCCCACAAAAAGAGAGCTTTTGACAGATGGGGATATCCCGCGGTCACCATTCCCACAACGGTAGTTCCGGGCGGTGGTAGAGCCAAGTGGGCAGCCGAGTTGCCGAAACGAAACGGGCCGCACCCAACCCGGACTGGAAGCATTGGAGAAAACCGGCCATGCGGAGGGAAAAAATCTTTCAAAGACACGAAATATGCAAGCAGAGCCCGCGGCCCCCATCCCCGGCGCAAGCTTAAGGAGGTGGGTTTCGAGTTGCGTCACGGTGGGCTTCTGGGATTTGGGGGGATCTCTGCGGAGCACTCCGTTTCTCCGCACGAAACGCCTCCAAAATGAACTTTCTGTGCGGAGCCAATACAGAGTTGGGAAGTGTCAAAGATTGGGCTCTTGTTACCAGTAACCAACCAGTATATATACATACGGAGTACAGAGTACATGCCGAGTATATGTCCAGGGTAACAACAGTTGTGTTCGCAGCTTTTTCGTATTCCCTGCTTAATAGCTCTGTGAACTCGTTTTTGTCTACTTTGTAACTATCGAGTAGCTTGACAGCCCAAAGGATTCAATGCCTTTATCCCCTCAGTTGGGATGTCAAATATCCTTGTAGGGACGGGTCCGTCCTGTCACTGGAAGAGATTTGTCTACAGAGTTTCGCGATCATATCGCCAGTCAATTATGAAAAATGAATCAGGGTGCATTTTGATGAAAGATTGTCTGAAATTCCTGCCTGGAGTCCCCTCTCAGCCTTTTCCCTTCTTTTGATCCTGGCGATTTCACATATTTAGTTTCCAAGCAACCGAGCATATGCGTTGGAAACACAGACAGTAACAATTAGGGACAGCCAGAGTGGTAGTTAACTGGTAACAAAAAAAAGAAGGAAAAAAAAAAAGAAAAAAGCTCCAAGACACAGGTTCCGGTGGTCATATCTGAAATAACTTCTCTAAAGTAAACTGTGAAGTTGGTTTATCTTGTTTTGTCGAACACCGCCAAACACCATCGAATGACGACTTCACATGCTCTGCAAGCAGCTGGCTTGGCAATCGGCATGAGGAGCGCGGCTAAAATAGTCAAGTTAACGATATCTAAGCGCGATTGGCCCCCGCCGCAACCCCAACGGCTCTGCAGGCTGTCTTTTGCCTTTCTGTGCATCCCGGCCGGTCTGCAGCTGGCGTGCTCTGTTTTCCCGTCATTCCTTGGTCATCGTCGATGGAGCTCACCCGTGCACGATGCCGGAGCCAATACGCAGACGGTCCTTCGCTGTTCCTCCGAGGCCGCCTCACCGGATGAGGCACTCCCTTGGCTCGTATGATACGTCCATTCCTTCCAACGACGTCCTATTCCACCATCCCTCCGTGACCGTCATAAAATTCGAACTCCCTCAGTCGTCCAGCCCCGGCCCAATCCTCCCCGACCTGGACTACCCTGTCGATGCCATCGAGACCCTGCCCTGGAGGACTCGCTCCGAGACGATCGCCGCCATCGGGGCGCTGAGGATAGAGAACATTGCCGGCTCCGCTGCTTTCCTTAAATCAGGAAACGTCGTCTATGCTCTGTTGAAGAACTGCCAGTGCTGGTGTGTCGATGCCAGGTCAACCTTCGTCCTGCGGATAAGGAAGCTCACCTACTACCGTATCGAGTTCCCGCACGAGAGCGAGGAGGACGTCAAGAAGGTGGCAGAATGGAAGCTGGTCCTCTCCAGTATAATTCGTTATGAAATTACGCCTTGCCCGTTTAAACGGGAGTTCTCTGTAGAGCTCCCGGAAGAAGCTAAAACACCGAAGAAGAAACGGGCGTGGCGGCCGAAGACAATGGCCGGTCTACCGGTGAGGCCGTTTGACTTTGAGGGAAGTCTTTCTTCGGAGGACCGTGAACCCAGTGACTTTGGGAGCATTGGGTACGACACAGACGAGCAGAGTGAACGGGGCGGGAGCCTGCCTCCTTCCACCACCCGATGTTCTTCTCGCGATCGCCGGTCCTCACCCATACGGATCCCCAAGCGGTCCAGCTTCCGAGTGGTCTCTGAGCCTGCACCAAAATTTGAAAGTTTGCTCGCGAGATTCGAGTCTGAGTCTGAAACCGTCAACGACGCTCGTGATGGCAGCGCGGGCGTCGCTTCAAGTGCTTCTTCGTTCCACTCGGTCTCTGATGCTTCTGTCTCTCCTCCTCCTTCGCCGCCTTATTCCACGCCACCTTCTCCCCGCGCATCCGCCTGCGAACCCTCGCCGTGTGTGATCTTGAAAACGAGCCATACTCGCGACAACTCTGCAGCGACCATCGTACCCGACACCACACATGATTCGGGTCCTCTCCGGCCACCATCCATGGCTCTCAGCGATCCGCCAAAGCCCCTCACGTCGTGTGAACCGGGCGACTTATTTCCTCGAGTACAAACTCGTAATGGTTTAGAGGTTCCTATTGAGAATCCCAACTCGATCATCCGCCGACGCATTCGTGCATCGCGGCAGCGCTCTTTCTCTCCCTTACCGCCATCTTCAACATTGTTTACGCCCGCCCCTAAATCGCCGGTTAATAATTTAATTGATGCCATTTTCGAAAAAACTTACACATTCGTTCTTGGGCCTCCTATACACCTTTTACTTATGTTCCTCAGACTTGCGGCAGAAATGGCCGCTAAAGATAATAATCGCGGCCCAGCTGGTCCTGGGTCTGGGAAATTTCCCACTCAGCCTGAAACTATGAGCGACACCGACGATTCTTTCAGCGAGGATGATTTTGGGAATCCTCTTTCTCCCATTGCCTCTGCGAACCTGGGCAGAGACTCTCCCACAACCTCAGAATCCTCGAGTGAAGTAGACTGAGATCGCAGGCTTCTTTTGTCTCTCATTCCCCGCTTCGGATGTTTTCTCATCCAACCTGGGATTTACTTCCGCCTTAGTGACCACGGCTTCCGGCCCCACGTGTACATATTCGTTGGGACAATACATTTTTGTATTTTGGTTTAGCTTTTGGTATGTACGTGGCACGACTTCGTCGATATATTTCTCATGTATGTATGTACTTCTACTTTGCTTTTTATTCTCAACGTTACTGGGTCCAACCCCCGAGGAGGAATATGACACCCTCGCATATTCGCTGTAGTCCGATGCTCAGTGGAACATTTGCCAAATAAACACTGTTTTTGACATGCTCGTGAGAACAAAGAAATAAAAAATAAAAAATTAAGAGCCCCAAACCCCCCACAGAAAGACGCCAAACGCATGCACCACAATTATCCAAAAAAAAAAAAAAGAAAAGAAAAAGAAAAGGGCGTAGAAAATCTCACGTAGATCTGTTTTTCTTCTTTTCCCCCCCACCGGCATACCAACACGACGCGCTACCGTCGGGAGTAGTCGCAAAGTCATCCCTTAACCACTTTTCCCTTCGCCTTCCCTTTCTTCTTCGCACTTCTATCTCTCTTCTTCAGCCCCACCATCCCCGCCTTGCACAGCTCGGCGTATCTGGCATAGAACGCCTCCAATTCCTCCGGTTGTACGATCGTGGAAGCCTTCACTTTGGCGGTCTTATGGCGCCCGTTTGAAGCACGGATTAGCACCGCAGACTGGTTGGGTTGGAAAGTGGTTGTCGTGGTTGTTCTCTCTGTGGATGAGGGAGCTTCAGCGCTGGCGGTGGTTTGTGTAGTGGTTGTCGTCGTGGACCGGCCTGGTGGTGGGGCTGGAAGGAGCTTCTGAGTGAGAAAGACGGAGCCACGGAGGGAGGTGGACTGGTTGGTTAGGAGCGCTGTGAGGTGCGTGAAGAACTAATGACATGGGGTTAATTAGTTTCATAGGGTGGAAAGGGATAAAAAGGGAGAAGGGGCGAGAGAGAGTGAGTGTGTGTGTATATCTGTGTGTTAGATTCGACTCACCTCATCTTGGGACAGATGCGCAGTCATAATGGCGAGGTTGTCTGTGGGGGAGGATCAAATTGTAATGAAAGCAAGGAGCAGCTCTAGAATTATGCTAGGATCTATTAATGGAGGACAGATAATGAAAATCCCTGTGATTCTCGTCGCACACTTCTGCTTGCGGAATGGGATTTGACGTCCGGGTGATGCTGTCCTTCAACTTGCGCACGGTTGATGCCGCCAAGACCAGAAATTCCGCTGTAGACGCACGGGCCGCAGTTAAATATTTCGGGAACGAAAAAACCGCTGACGCTCAATAAGTTTGTATTCGCCGTCCTTCTCGGACATAACTACGATTCTACGGCCGGTGAATACCTCTTGCAGCAATGCCACGACCGGCATATAATACAACACAGCTCCCCCGACAGCTCCGCGAAGAACTAGGCTTGAAAGATACGATCACAACCGGCGCGAGAAGCTCGAACCCTCACAGCGGATTCTCCAGAAAGGAGCGCCGGAAAGCAGAGCGATCGCGGACGGGGCCTAGATTTCAGCAGAGAAAGGGACATAAACGCAGACAAAGGTCACAAGGCGAGGATGGGCCCGAGCACGATGTTTTTGACGAAAAATCCGGACGGAGCGAAGATGAACGCCCGGCGAAGCCGAAAACGAGAACACCCGCAGAGCCAAGGACGTTAAAATCAATATTGAAGCGGAAGCAGCCCGTCGAACAGGAACACGAAGAATCAGACGTTGAAATTGACCTTGACGAAGGGGAGAACGAAGACGAGACCCCCGAAGCTGAGAACCCGCCACCCCACCCCAAGATATCGCGCTCCGTGCAAAAGAAGCTCGAAGAAGATGATGCAGAGATTGCGGCCTTAGAGAAAAAGTTGGGCCTTAAAGGGAAAAAGAAATTGCCTAAATCTTTCCTGGAAAGCGGGTTGGGCGACATCTTGGGCGAGTTGGGGTCGGATTCAGAGATAGAAGCGAAAAAGCGGAAAAGAGAGGGAGAGGAATGGCTTCAGAGGAAAAGACAAAGGGCAAGAATGACAGAGGTGGGGAATAGAGATGAGGAGGAAATTACTGGAAGTGAAGACGCGCATGAAGACGAAGAGGACTTTGACGAGATGCTAGAAGATCTTGATGACGACGACGACGATAGTGTTGGTGAGGGAGATAGTGAATTTCAAGGCTTTGACGACGAAGAGGAGGAGAAGGAGGAATCAGCTCCGCAGAAAACGAAACAGAAAGAGAACCCGTACCGCCCTCCCGTCGCTGCGAGTGATACCGCCCCAGCCAAATACATTCCCCCATCCAAAAGAATGCAATCATCCACTGAATCGGAATCTCTCTTGCGTCTACGACGCCAAATACAAGGACATTTGAATAAACTATCGGAAGCTAATATAATATCTATCCTTGGTGATATCGAGAAACTTTACCAAGACTATCCCCGCCAGAGTGTAACATCTGTCCTGATAGACATACTCTTCGGATTGGTATGCAGCGGGAGCAGCCTAAATGACACCTTTATAATTCTTCACGCGGGATTCATCGCGGCGATATATAAAGTGATCGGCATGGAATTCGGTGCTGAATTTGTGCAGAATCTCGTGCAGCGATTCGATAGCATGTACGAGGAGAAGGATAAAGGGGAGTCGAGTAGGAAAGACATGGTTAATTTACTGTCGCTGTTGTCCCATCTCTATAATTTCCACCTCCTCGGATGCGGCTTGGTGTTTGACTATATTCGCTTATTCTTGGGAGAAATTAACGAGTTGAACACTGAGCTGCTCCTCAAGGTTGTGAGAAGTATGTTCTTCGTTCCCTATCTAATTGTAACCTATCCTAACGCTAACATATCATAGATTCCGGTCCCCAACTTCGACAGGACGATCCTTCCGCCCTCAAGGACATTGTTCTCCTTATTCAACCAGCAGTAGCGCAAATAGGAGAAGCGGCTCTTTCAGTTCGCACGAAGTTCATGATCGAAACGATCACTGACCTTAAGAATAACAAGCTGAAAAATGCCCCAGGAGCAAGCATATCGTTAGAACACCTTACAAAGATGAGAAAGATTCTGGGCTCTCTTAACTCGAGAAGTCTCAGAGCGAGCGAGCCTTTGAGGATTGGACGTGCCGATATCCAAAACTCCGACAAAAGGGGGAAATGGTGGCTTGTTGGCGCAAGTTGGAAAGCAGACTCCGCTAGCACATATACTCACAAGGCAACCGTTGACCCGAGTGCAGTTCTCCCAGATAATTTGGACGATGACCTGGGCGATAAGAAAGCCGTGGATCTTGCCCAACTGGCCAGAAGCCATCGAATGAACACCGAGGTCCGGCGGTCTATTTTTGTAGCAATAATGTCTGCATCCGACTATCAGGATGCGCATGTTAGGCTGACTAAGTTGCGCTTAAAACGAAGTCAGGAGACCGAGATTCCTCAGGTTCTCGTCCATTGTGCCTCGGAGGAGGGTTCCTATAACCCATACTATACCCTCATCGCAAGGAAACTCTGCGGCGAGAGGAAGATGAAAATGGCGTTCCAATTCTCGCTCTGGGACGTATTCAAACGAATGGGCGAGAGTGGGAATATGGAGGACGATGCCTTCAGCGCGGACGAAGATGAAGATCGGTCGTTGACCACGCGAGCCATTGTTAACCTTGCCAAAATGTACGGCTCATTGATAGCCGATGGAGGCCTTACGCTTGGAATTTTGAAGACACTCGACTTTTTGTATCTGCAACCCAAGACTAGGACCTTCGTTGAACTGCTGCTGATCACAACAATGCAGCAAACCCAACAAAAGTCATTACGCAAGCAGCAGAAAGCAGGCGAATCCACTCAATTTACCTTTGAAGAAAAACCGCTTGTCAACGTTTTCTTAAAAGCGCGAGATACACCGCAGGTCGTGACTGGGTTGATATATTTTATCCGCAAAGTTGTCGCAAAATCAAATGTGGTGGCCTCAAAACGGGACAAGAAATTGCTTAAATGGGGCTGCAAGCTCGCGCTGGACACGTTGAAAGTGATATCCGAAGGTGCGGGATCATGAAGATCTGCGGATTGCATTGTTTGTATTTATCACCCGAAACCAGGCTTGTCTGAAGAGATACAATCATAACAACTATACCAACCTTCCATCGTGATCCTCCATGCGCAATAAAGAAAATAACTGATCAAGGTTAGAGATTGAGCGTGCAGACTTTTGTGCGTGTTCTGGGATTTCAACATCTTCCCTTAGCAGTAAAAAGCTATCCCAACCAGCACTCTGTCCTCCCTGATAGTCATCGTGATAATCATCCCCAACATGAATGCAATAATAGCTCGGAGCTGGGAAGAGTGGACGTTTAGCAGGGCTAGTGACATTCAGGTACTCGCCTGCACGCTTTTGAGCAACGTCGAAAATATGCTTATTCGGCTTTTCCTTCCCAGCTTCATAACTCGTAACAATAAAATCAATATCATTTTCCTGCTTTATCGCATCATGCCTTACATCGGCAGGGGGAAGCAAATCCCCGTTATCCGCCCACGCACTTCCGACCCGCAAGCCCATTGATCTCAAAATCGTAGGGACTCTATCATCCGAATTGGAGATAACTCCAACAACAATCCGATCCCAACAGTCCTCCCTAACCAGGTCTTGGGAGACGTTTCGGGACCTCTTCGCCTGTTTCCACAATTGCAATTTCCTGAAAAATGGCTCTGCATCATTGTACAGTTTATACGCCTCTCCCCCGAATACGGTGAACAGCGTTTCCACCAACCTATCCGGAATCTCGTCTACCGTCGTACTTCCCCCTTTGACCTGAGCGAAACACTCTCGAATGACTTTGGCCCACCATGCTTTCGGTCCGCCAAACCCGGGGGTATCTCGACCATAGTTCGGGTACTGCGCGCTGTTGCGCTTGAATGCGGTCCTGAACGCCGGTTTTACCGCATCGGCGGTTATTGTGGAAGGGATGACGCCGAGAGCTTGTGCGACATGTGTGTAGATTTCAGGTACGGGCTGGCGCGGGTGAAATATGGTGTTGAAGGCATCCAGGGTTAGGAGGAGGGTTCTGGGGTGGCGGACCGGTAGCATAGCTTTGGGGGGAAAAATGGACGTTTTGATAGGAAGGGTGGAGTGGAGCGGAGCGGAAAGGCAGCTCCTCTACAACCTCACCCACGCCAAGCGCAATCTGACTAAGCGGATTCGAGGTCGCGACGTCCTAAGGGGAATTTCAACGTGCAAAAGAGCAACAGTGGGGCACGATAATACGTGATGTGATTGATATCGTCTTTATGAGCTATGCAACATGAGTTCCAAATATGTCAGTGCTTGCCGCGCTCTATGTAGGAAAAGTGGCTCACGGATTGCTTTAGACACCATCGCGAGAGAATGTCAACTCCAACAAACAGTACACCTCCCGGGCCGAGTCCAATGAAAGACCTAATGCAACTGCACGGACGCCAAAATTCATATTTAGCTCATCTGCACAATCAGGCTTTGCGGCACAGTTCGCCGCGACTCCTCGATTTGTGTTTAGCCAGCGACAGAATAGAAAGTCTGGAGACGGAATAGATGTTAGTGACAAAGGGTCCTCGCCTGCTGCCCGGGCGCGCAAGACTATTCAAGATACGCCAAGGAACACTGAAATTAAGATGAAGGAGGTAATTGAAGATTCTGAAGGGGAAGAGGAAGGTGATTTGCTTCAAGGCATTGTGGAAACTTCTCGTAGCGGCCGTCCAGAAAATGAACCTGGAAAAACTGTGGCGGACGACGATGACGAAGAGATGCTTCTTTCCTTCTCTCTAAGTCAGCATCAGGCGAAACGTCGACGCTTATCGATATCTTCAGCAGACGACTTGGAAGTGCGGCCAGTTAGTGCCAGAGAGCTTGACCAAATCTCATCCACTTCGTCTGAATCACCACCGTCGTCTCCGCAGGCGGGGCCGGCATCGCCATCAGCTGGAAATGTGGATAACCTATTGTCTCCGACGGTCCACCCTATGCCGTCTACTCCATTTCAACCAACTGGTGCTGCTAGTGTACCTCACCACTCTTCATCTCGCGGACCCCCGCGGTTTATGTTTAGCACACCCATATCAAGTACTCCACGGCAACCAAGTGGAAGCAATAACGCCACGACTGCTCAGACATCCACGCAGCGGCAAAAACCGCGATTTGTGCTACCTCAAACGCCTTCTCGACGGCGGGAGCCGGACATTTCGGCGTTACTGACAAGCCCTATCCCGTTTCCATACGCCAAACGCCATGCTCGATCTAAATCTCGTACATTTATTCCTGGTGGTATGGCATCCGAAGTCCGAAATTGGATCCTAGACTTAGGTACAAGGAAACAAGTGTCACAAAGTCAAGCTCCTCCGCAGACGACTCAGACCCAAGCCGACCAAGGAGAAAGAGAGCAACCTTTTGATAAATACCAACTAATTGTCCAAGTTGGTGAAATTCGAACTTCAGCCCCTACTGACGTCCGTAGACAAGGTGGACAACGGCAAGGTAGACTGGGTCACCTTGCTCCATTTACCTTGATATCCCCTTCAAAAGTACAACCTCCCACTGCTTCCCAGAATAATATACTCCTTTTCGGCTCTCCCGTGTCTACTGTTCTACCTCCGATGCAGAAGCTCCAGAAAGGAGACTGGGTAGGAATCCGACGAGGACTAGTTTGGGACATGGAGATTGAGCCTTTCCACACTGGTGATGCCTCTAATAACAATGCCAACCCTGAAGAGTCCGACACCATAAGCTCTATAATAACACGGAGAACAAACGTGTGGTTGGTGAGTATAGAATGGGATATTATACGAAAACCGGAGCCAGGTGGAAGCGGTACGTGACCGTGTAAATGATGCAGGACATTTGTTCATAGCAGCCTTCGTAATGAAATTGGTGACGAATCAGGGTCCAGCCCTGATTAATCTATTCTAAAAAATTCTTGCAAAATGACCACGGCGTGGGAAAGGGTAACACAAAGCAAGTCACCGTGAGATTATTACATCTCGTGGGCTCCAGTGTCATTTCATGCGCGCGTCAAGAACTAAACAGAAACAGAAAAAAAGATATCACGATTATTCCCAGCTTGCACCTCCCAGCAATCCCACCAGTCCTTTTTCCCTCCTAGCCCTATGATCCTCCATCGCTTTCTTACTTGCGACGCTCTCTCGAATCAAGTTCTTCTTTAATTGAAATTCTCGTTCCTTTTCTCTTGCCGCTGCGTAATAGTTGACAGCGCCTTTCTTGCTAACTGTGGCTCCACTAGCACCAGAACCATCTGATTTCACTACTGCAATGGAAGCTGGCGTGACAGCGCCGCCGGGCCGCGAAGAGGAGGAAGAGGAACTTGACGAATTTGTTGTAGTGCGCCGGAGAAGCAACGGTGGCGGGCGTTTGAATTCAGGGACTGTGGTCGAACTATGGAAGGCGACTTTAGACGATGAAGACGACCCAGATCCGGATCCGGGTCCAGGCCCGGCAATCGCAGACAGGGCAGCATTGGAGGATGCAGCTCTGCGTAAAGACAGGCGGTCTACTACTCTGCCACGTCGGCGGGGATTAGTGGATCGAAAAGCCTCGGGACGATCGTATGAGTCTTCTTTATTAGTAAAACTGACTTCGTCGTCGAGAGGTATATCGGGCTGACTATCTGGTATGACTTCCACCGCATCGTGCAACCCTGACTCGCCGATAAGAGAGGATAGCTGAGCGCGGATTTCTGCTAGAGTGGACGGCTTTTTCTTTCCCGATCTAGATGTACGACGGAGTTTAGCCGGTGGACGATTTAGCGAATCAGGTCCAGCAGCATTCAAGGGGCGTTTTCGTCCATCTTGCATGCCCTCTTCACTGTTACTCTGACTATCGTCGAGTCCTTCACCGATTAATGCGCCCGTATCTGAATTCGATTCACCGTATTCATCACGGAGGAAATCAAACATATCGTCCATATCCCTATCCTCAATGGATTTCAAAAACGCTTGCTTCTTGGGGTCTTCCGCAATTTTGTTGATGTTTTCATCAGCAAGGAGGGCTTTCCGCATTTTTGCAAATTCTCGTTGCTTAGCCCGGCGACGAGCTGCGATGCGCTCATCGTCAGAATCCGAGAGGTCTAATTCATCGCCCATGCCGCGTTTTCTACGAAGGGCGCCAGTGGTAATGTCTCGAAGAAGCTTGTTCACGTCTCCTTCATCCCTTTGCCGGGCATGATCACTGTGTTTCAGATTAATTAGCATGATATCTTCATCAGGGGGTACGAAGTAGGGCGTACGCATTCAGAGCAGCCAGTTCCTGCTCATCCACGATTTCTCCACTGTTATCGTTGATCATAGTTAAATCCAGCTCGTCCTCCTCACCCGAATCGTCGTCGCTTGCACCACCAAGTCCTGCATATTCATCCTCGGACTCTTCGGCAGCTTCGTCAACGACCTCTTTTGCCTTGCTTGCCTTTTTGTCGAAGGGTGTCACTGGTTTCCGAGCCGCCTTGCGCATGATGTCGAATGCACTGGGCCGGACTAAAAAGCTATCTTCTGCATCTGACATTTGATGCAAAGCACCCCGTCTTAACCGCTTGCCTCCCATTTTTGCAATGGGAGAATCATCTTTAGATACAAGCACAGTATCTATAGTCGATTTAGGCTGAGTTAAAAAGCGTTTTTGTTGATCGAAGGGAGACATCACAAATCCAACGTCCTGGCTCGGCTCTGGGATCTGTGAATACTCGCTCATTGTCTTGGCAGCTGGGGATTCAGCCACACGGACATCGTTCTGAGTAAAATCTGCAAGGAGATCAAGTGTTCCGCTGGTTTGTCCTTGACTCTCGTGGATAATTCCCTGGGAATCTGCTTCGAGGAGTTCCCCAACTTGCATGTCAAACTCTGGTATCTTGCGGAGGACGGCAAGGGAATCCTGCTCATTATCATCTTCCCGGTTATCAGCGAGAGTTGCAGCAAATGCTTGGGATAGCCGGATAAGGGGAGTTCTCTGTTGTTCAAGGCCTGGGATCACCGGTTTCATGGGCGTCTGAGTAACAACTGCGGGCTGATCATCGTCTTCGTCGTCGGAAACGACGAATTTCGGTCGTCTTTTAGGACGTGATATTTCCATTGGTTTTTCATTTTCTGACTCCTCTTGTGAAGGCTCCCCCTCGGATTCGTCAGCTTCCGTGGCCTGATCATCCATTAATCGCCCATCTCGTGTCGGATTTCCATCCCCTAGCTCATCTTCATCGGCGAGCTCATCTTCTCTCTCAAGTTCCCCTTCGTCATTTTTATCCTCTGAATCCTCTTCGCCTTCTTCTTCATCGTCTTCATACTCGGCATCCTCACTATCGTCAAGCTCCATATCCTGTGCGTGAGCCTCCTTTTTTCTTGCGGCCTTTTCTTTGCGCGCGATTTCTTCAGCCTCTTCCCTGGCTTTCTCCATAAGGTTTTCAACGTCGTCCTCTAGACGTGCCTTCTCCTCTGCAGTTTGTATGACAATGCCCTTTGCTCGCAGCGCAGCAATTTTCTCCTCTCTTTCCTGAGCAGCTTGTTTTCTTGCCTGTCGTAGTAGCCATTCCTCGTGCTCGGCACGGGTCAACATTCTATTCTTCTTGGGAGAGGTTAATCGCGCCAATAGCTTCAGTTTTCGTAGCGAGTCGGACGATATAGAAGATTTTGCGGAGAAATTTTCAAATAGAGCTAACTTGCGCGCCTTTGCGGGCGACGTTACTATCTCGAGCTCCGAATCAGAGTCGTTCTTCTGATTTTCAGCGACATCTTGCCTCGAAAGCTGGACCCGAATCTGGCGTGAACTCGGGGGTTGCTTTGTAGACGATGATGAGATATTTTCTTTGGGGTTACTAGCACGGTTTTTGGAAATAGGAGCAGTAACCCCTGGATCGAGGGCCTCAAGTTCAACAGATAATTCTCTCTCTGGATTTCTTGCAGGCATGTCCTCTTCGGCACACATAGCGACTGGATCAGCAGCTTTAGCATCCTCTTTGCCTTCATGCACATGTGGCAAGGGTGATGTGGGGGGAGTAGAATGCTTGTCTTGTTCGACATTATCGTTGTCGGAATGGTTGACGGAGCTTGCGATCGCCGAACTTCTCGACTCTAAAGCCGAATCAGGGTTGGGGGACGATTGATAAACGTTGCACTTTTGATTAAATCGCTCGATGAAACTGTTCAATGGAAACGTCTTTTTTGTAGTCGCCTGATGCGCCAGTTGCATATTTCTGCTCATCCGTTGTGTTTCGCGGCTCATTTCCAGCAGAGCCTTCTTGCTTGCCTTCCGCGTAGGGCGCGATTGCTGCGTTAGTCTGCGAGACGATTCGTCGTCATCATCATCTTCTACGGCATCTTCCAGGTCGGATGTGAATTGCACTCTTGCATCTGCGAGTCTTTGCATCCGCTCAGCTTGTTTCTCCGCTTCCAGCCGCTCTTTTTCCTCCCTTTCCTTTCGCTTTTGGGCAACAAGGGCCTGTAGACGGGACTGATGGTACGGTTTGACAACCTCGCTTTCGGAGCCACTGGTCTCATGCACGAGGCTGCCAATACGCTTTATGGGAGAGTCCTGGGGCACGAATAGTGGCGACGAAGCGCGATTTGACTGATCATCTCGAATGATATCGGAGTTTCGTCTCAAAGGTCGACTCCTCCGTGCAGCAGGACGGATATCTCCCGAGGAGGACTGAGAACTGTCCGAGACATTTCCTCGCTTAGGACTGTCGTTCACAAGGCTCCCCACTGGGATTACACCGGATCCTGGAGCTGCTTGTAATCTCGCAGCCAATCTTCCTCTCGGCGCAACCGGAATATCGTCTTCATCTTCATCTTCATCTTCCTCCTCGGCCCAATTTCTGACATTGATCGAATTCTTCTTTGCACTGGGGCTTTTCTCTAGCGATAAGAGGTCCAACTTCTCTCGGGAATTGCTAGCAATGCCCTCATTCTCAGAAGCTGAATCGCTATCAAACTCCGCAAGTAAAGCTTTGATCTTTCTTCCAGGCGTTAAAATGTCGGGCGAACCTCCGTCATGAGCCGTGCTATGCTGGCGCGACGCGCTGGAACGCGGTGTCGATGGGCTCGACATTCCCTGGCAATTGGATTCAAATAAGCAGTAAAGAGCAGAAAATGGATGGTCTTTATATCATATCAGTAACAATGTGACGGTGGACGGAGCGCCTGCTGCGCAATATGGATTGTTGTTTTGACAGCTGAGCCGAACGGGGGGTTCTTGTTGGCGCGTCGCATTGCCCGTCGCGTGCGAATTGGCGCCAGCGCGTTGAGAATACGCGTGACGTCACCAAGCGATACGCTTCATTTCCAGCGTTTGCAGGTTTTGCACTAGCGGCCGGCCGGGCACTATCCTCCCGAAATTCAGTTGTCGCCCCGACTCTGATGCTATATCGGATGACCAGGGCACATATTTTATACATTGTACGGAGTATAGTGATAGAATTAAGGCCGAGTGCTTTTTATCTGCGTCATATTTTTTTTATCGTACTTTCTAGTAATGCTCGACAGAGGCGCAATAGTAATGAATGGCTGGCACCGAAAGAACAAAATACATGACTCGCAGCACCAATTTTGATCCGGGGTGGTCCCTCTGTTACCTCAGTTCGGACCAGTACGCTCACCCCGAAATGTCCATATGAACCAGATATCAAAAATCAAGCCGTGGCGGTAGAAGGAAAAAAAAAAAAAAAAGAAAGCCCGAAGTGAAACATAGAAAGTACAGTACATACGAGGACCCAGCAATGCACTTGCACCGGAACCAACCAAAGAGAGCCTGCATGTACCCAACGCCCGGACGCATCTGACCTAATGTTTTATTATGTCCGTCAACCAACGCCAAAAACAAATCTTAAACACCGCCGGGGACGCAGAGAAGTACACGCATATCAGTCCATTAAGCCATCAATGCGCATTGTAGGTTCATGAAATCTAGAGGCTGGAAAGGGAACTTAGATTTCGATGTCAATCTCAAAGTCCAGGGAAGCAGCAAGGATTTCATCGGCATTGGGAGCGTAACGGAGTTTCGGGATCCCAGTCTGCGGCTTGGTCTCCTTAGTAACATTGGCGTGGTTGACACCAGGAGGAGGTGTAGCCTTGTTGGGAGTATTGGCGCCAGTTGTCAGTGGAGTGACAGACCCGCTAACTTCTCCAGATTCTTGTTTCTTGGGCAAAAGACGGTTGCCACTTGCATCGTAGTGGGTTCGAGCTCGGGTCTTGACGCGGGCAAACCGGTCAGGAAGGGCTTCTCCACGGGCAACAGCTGCCTGCTGCAGTCGAGCAGCTCGTCTCTCCTCAAGCTGAGCTTTGCGCACATTTTCGGCATTTAGCTTTTGGTTTCGACGGTTGAGTTCGGCCAATCGTTCTTGCTGTGTCTTTTCGGTAGACCTAGGCTCCACGAGGGAAGTTCCAAACGCCAGTTTTGGACCGGACAAGCGGGCGATTTCTGCATCACATTCAGCAATAGCAGCTTCATCACCGGTTGCAACTGCTTCCTGACGGCGCTTTTGCAGCTGAAGACGCTGAAAGACTGCCATTTTGTTGTCGTGAGTGCCTTGGCGTTTTAGCTTTTCCTCGAGTTCCTCCTTCGAAAGGCGATAGTTGATAAGGAAGTGAATATCATCAATCTTCTTGTTCAAGACTGACTTGGTGGGCATCTTGAAGCCTTCCACGACCATGGTCTGACGATAGCGGTTGAACTCCGACTACAGATCTCAGTGTCAGTAAAGTAACTAGGGTAAGCATGTCATGGACCCTAGGACTCCATACCTCAGTAAATGGAGAGTCAGAGCAAAAAATATATGGAAACTCCTTCTTCGACTTTCCATGCTCAAGCACAGCGTACTGCTTAGTGACAAACTTCCTCCCGTTTGGACCTTCAATAGCATATGGTCTACCTTCAGTGAAATCTGGAAAATCATGTATTAGTCTATTTTGTTCAAACAGAAAACCTCCGCAAGGCCTACCAGTGATGAGACAAAGGCGGTAAACAAGTTCGCCAGTATCTGGATGTGGGCCGACGTTGATACGAGTGTAGCAGCCAGTGATAAGCTTCTCAAAATTTGGGTAGAAGCAATATTGGGCAAAGTTGCTACGGCTAACTCGTGCACGCTCGAAGTCTCGGAAGTCAGCCGGAGGATCGTCCTTGGTTGGTGAGGTAGAACGGCGAGCAGCTCCCTCATCCCATTCGACTTCGCTTTCACCATGAGCGTCAACGTCAGAGCCTTCCACGGAGCGAGAACGTCCGTCCTTCTTCCTACTACTAGCATCACGACGGCGCTGCTCATCACGTTTTCCCTTCTGCTCCCGCTGACGTTTATAGGCTTCGATGGCATCGGATGTTTCGCCGACCTTACGACCGCCTAGAGTGGTCTTCTGGCGAGCGCTCTTGCGCTGGCCTTCAGCATCGGAAGCCTTACGCTTTCTCTTCTCAGCGACCTTAGCTTCCTCCCGTTCACGCATGGCGAGGAGGCGACGAAGCGCGATATCTTGGTTGTGGCGATCAACGAGCTGAGCTCTTTCGGAAAGCAACTCTTCACGCTGAATCTCCGGCATGGCCATAATCTCTTCTTTGTCTTTGGCGGAGTAGAACAGCTTTTCGTAGGAAAAGATCGGGCCTTGATTATCTTCATCGGGAGGCGATCCCTCAGATTCGGATTCGGACATGGATGCAGAGTTCAGGGACTTGCGGGAGCGAGGAGTAGAAGAGGACCTGGACATTTTTTGCCTGTCAGTGGGATTCACACAATTTGATGGTGTACATGGAAGGGGTGGAAATGGTGTTCAAGTGATGAAAAAGAGGAAAGAAAAAAAACATGAAAAGGACAAAGTAGCCCGTGAGCGGCGGGCAAGAAAAGGAACATGAGGGGCGGGGGAAGGGAGAGGGAAAGGGGCAGTGGAAAAAAAAAATAAAAAAATAAAAAAAGGACGAAGATAAAGCGACAGCCTGGACGCGGGGAAAGGCGAGAACACAAACAGGGGGATGTTGGTAACACTCACAGTTCGCCTTCCTCCTCTTCCTCCTCAATCCTCGCTCTTTTTCTTCGCTTGACAGGCCTTGCAACACCTTTGCGCGCCATCTCCTCGTCTTCATCCTCAGGTTGCTTTTCTTTGGAGGAGGGAGAAGGGGGAGGAGAGAGCTCCTTTGACTGAGCAGGCATGGAAGTTTCCTCATCTGATGAATCATCACCCCCTGCCAGGGCAAGGAGCTCGGCGTCTAAGTCTGCCATTGTGAAAGTGAGGATAGGTGATGTATCAAAGAACGGGTATGCAGAAGGGATGGAAGACAAAGGTGGCGGGAACTGCCAGCAGCTGGCTCAAGGCGCGCTCCAGGCGACGGATAAAATCCAGGGAGAGGGGCAGGGCAGGAGGTGAGGTGGCAATGGACGGCAGATAGGGGTGTGGTTGGTGGGAACCGGCGTGCAGCAGTGCAGTCCTGGCTACTCAGGGCTGTAGGTCAAGATTCAATATATATATATATATATATATATATACGGGAGCAGAGGTAGTGTGCGCCGATTAAGCGGGAGGCGGCTGCGGCCCGAATAAAGGGAAAAATGGCAGCGCACAGGCGGTTTGCAGGGCTGGCAACCTTTGCCGTCGTCGTTCGTCCTGGCGTTCGTCTTTCGCGGCGTCGGTTTTGCTGGGGCGGCAGACGGCCTGCTGACTCAGCGGTCGCCGGTTGGTTTTTCCGTACCAGCCAATCGGAGGTCTCGGCGCGGAAACGGGCCTCCGAACTGCCTCTTTTGGTATGTAACTAACTCAAAAGGTACCTTCGAACCTGGCAGCAGGCAGTACATACTGTACGTATTTCTGTCGTGTTGTACGACTCCCGCCAGTGATCGGCTGGCCCAACCACCGGAGATGGATGTACGCGCTGCTCTTCTCAGACACGCTCGCCTCGTGCGTGGCTCTGTCTGCTCCCAATGCCTCCGCACCCTCCAACCACGGGTCCGCCACAGCTCCACCACCTCCCACCGCACCGCGTCGCCCGCAGAGAAACCCAGGATGGCCCTGACGAAAGAACAGCGTGACTTTCTCGACAGCGCCCTCAGAGTCAACCAGGCTGGGGAGCTTGCGGCCACTCTGATCTACACCGCCCAGTCGCCCCCCGTGGTCCGCTCACACCCACACCTTCGACCGCTTATGAAGCACATGTATGACCAGGAGGCCGGTCACTTTGACACCTTCAACAAGCTGATAGCGAAGCATCGAGTTCGACCCACGGTCATGTACCCCATCTGGGAGGGTGTGTCGACGTTCTTGGGCTGGTCTACCGGGATAATGGGGCGAGAGGCCGCAATGGCATGCACGGAGGCTGTAGAGACCGAGATCGGGACCCATTATAATGATCAGATCCGGGTGATTCTGGAATGGTTTGCCGATGCCGAGCAGAGAGGAGAAGAAATTGATGGTGAATTGAAAGAACTGGTCTCTACGCTGAAGAGGATCCGGGATGAGGAATTGGAGCATCTGGATCATGCTGTCGAGAACGATGCGAAAGAGGCTAAACCGTACGATCCATTGGTCAACGTCATTCGTCTGGGCTGCAGGGCTGCAATCAAGATCAGCGAGAAGATATGAGTTCACACGCATGTGCTTTTTGATGACCCAAGCTTGTATTAATATTCTGTTTCTGTTTCCTATCCCGCATTGTAAATGGATACACCGCAATTCTACTTAGCAAAAGTCTTAACTCTTGTGCTTGAAGTGTTCCGAAGGATGTTTTAAATGAAGTTCTTGTAGCTCTACTACCTCTTATGCGATGGGGTATTATCTTTTAAAAACAAGCAACATTGCCTAGAATCAAAGCCTTTTCTTTCTTTCCTTTTTTTTTTTGGTTTTGTCTTTCCCTCTGCCGCCGCTTCCCCATAGTTGGAACACAGCAGCTCCCAAACCCCAGTGGTCATTGCATGTTCATTAGACACATCTTCGGAAGCCGGGATATCCCAGGAACAGCGAAGACCATCCATCAGTTAGCCTCTGTCTTCTTTTCCAAATACTTTAAGAACCCTTCCGTATGTCCCACCACCTGGTGGAAAACGTCCTCGAATCCATCATTCCCGCCATAATACGGGTCTGGCACACTCTTCCCGCCACCCACCTTCTCGCAGACACTCCCGTCGCGATTAAAGTCGCCGAACAGCCTCAACTCCGCCAGGCCGTCTGCTGCTGCTCCCTTCTTCTCGTTGTCCCTTACCACCTTCTCCTGCAGCTCTTGCAGGTCGTAGAGATTGGAATCGTCCATGGCGAAAATGTAGTCGAACTCTTTGAAATCCGCTTTATTAACCTTACGAGCCGCGTGGCGGTACTTGGTGATGTTGTGTCGCTGTAGTGTAGACATCGTACGTGGGTCCGGTGGTGAGTGGACATGATATGCGCCCGTGCCTGCGGAGTCGATGGTTTTAAATTTCAGGGACGATGTAGTGGGGAGGTCCAAGATGTGGTGTTTGAAAACAGCTTCGGCCATTGGAGAACGGCCTGTGAGATAGGACATAGGATTGTCGGTTAGCTACATGTCCCCAGAAGCAAGCCCAGTGGGTGTGGGAGCGGGGGCGGGGTTGGACGTACAGATGTTCCCCAGGCAGACGAAGAGAACGGAAAGTTCTCTGTCGGGAGACTGCTCAGTGTTGGAACCCATTATTAGTGATATAACTATCACTTCAGGATTTCAAGCAAGCTTTGGTATTCAACGGTTTTCGAGCAGAAAGGCGGGATTGCACGCAGATATTGATCAACTCAAAGTTAGACTTCAGGAACAAACGGCAGCCAAATCAATCGCGAACTCTCCCGTCTGCCAAGACTGTCCACCAGTCGTCCCGCTTATGGTCGCCATGGGTATTCCTTGCTGTCAGATATATGGTCGTGATCGATGACGGCTAAATGTCAATAGGGAGCCGAGTATGCTAAGCGTGGAGCAGGGCTGCTGGAATACAAATAAAAGTCTTCACGACCACTCTGATTTCAGGCACGGACAAGCCGCATTCAAGTCTTTCGAAATCATAAATTACCGGCTTAAGAATATACGAAAATAAAAGTTTCGACCTATGTACGATACAAAATATTAAACAGTGGCATTACTTTTCTTTTTCCCTGGAGCACCCAGCGAACTGTACACGTTCAACATCATAGCTCATTTGAAGCAAGGTGGTAACCAAGCTTCACGGACACGCTCCACACGATGTTCGCCGTTGTGGCTGCTTCTTCTGTCCTCGTGCAGGACCTCAACTGAGTTGGAGACCAAGATGCCCCTCGAAGGGAGTTCAGCAGACACAGACGCCGGCGCCGCAAACGTCTCTAACTCCTGCATCTTAATGTTGCATTCCACGATTCGTTCCTCACTCCCGTTGAGTGTTAAGCCGGTGGTGAGCGTATCTGGAGGTTCACGGCGATGACGATTCCGGCTGTAGGAAGAACCACCGCCGCCGCCGCCAATGGTCTGGACACCGGCTGGTGATTTGTAGGACTTCTTCTGAGTCGATGCCAGGGCCTTGCCGAATAGCGGGGTCAGCACGGACCGGATGACGGGGAATATCATCGGGAGATTGGTCGTCATCACTGCAACGAAGGCTTCACGGACGCCCCATGTGCCGGCAAGCTGGGGGCCATTGACGGGGTCCTTGGAGCGAGTCAGAGGAGCCCTGCCGAGTTTGCTACGGCAAAAAGAAGAGGAGACTCACGACTAAGACAAAAACACTCTTTAGAGTCGCGCAGACGAGAACAAACACACCAGCTCCGAGGACAATACTCGACGCTATTTTCTTAATCATCCTCAACCTAGATCTCCAAAGCATGGGAAGAGGGATTAATATCAAATAGATGTCAGTCAATACATTTGCCGCAAATGAGATCCATATGATTGGCTTGGACACTCCAGCCTGACAGAAGTCTAAAAAGAGAAATAGGAAAAGCCTGTCAGCTTCAGGGGACGGGCACCGGCAAGAAAAGTACGAAGGGCTAACTGACTGCCAGGATCTGGGTAAATCTGCCAGTATCTGTGGAATGGCCGGCAAGCTGTGAAGATTGTTATTATAGCGCCAAAAAAAGTTCCGATTACAAGAGCGAATCCGATTTGAATCTGAATACGATAGCGTCGGCCAAGGCCCTCCTGTTGATCTTGTTAGTCCTTACTTCTCTCTGGTACGGAGAAGAGAGTCGAGAGTTATCGAAGGCACGCTATGCATACCGTAAGTCGAATGTAGAACGAGAGCACCGACAACTTAAGAGCCGAGATCAAGCCCGAATATACCGTCCATCCGGCTACCTGTATTTTGGAGCCAATCACCCTAAATAGCGACTCAGGATCAGTCTATTGATGTCCCCGACCGTGTCCCTCGGTACGCTCTTCAGCTCCGCATTCACAGGACGGACACACGCACCTGAATTGGTACTCTGGATCATTGATGGACAGTGCAGCCCTTTCAGCGTCCGTCAGGCTATTGTTTGCGAGGCCCTTAGCAGAATTGCCTATGCTATACCCGAGAGCCGATTGACATGCGTAGAGTATCTGCGGACATGTTTTGACGGGTAAATCAGCAACCCGGCTGAGACTGTGTGGGACAGATCAGATATTTTGGGGCACGAACAACGCCAACCCACACCAGGTAGTCGTCGGGACGAAGATTCCTGAAACCCACAGCGCTCACTCGGGCGGAAGTCCTAAGAACCGTTGCGGAAACTCCAATCGCAAAGAGCGTCCATATCTCGATAGTTGACTTGCGGAAAGCCTCTTCAGCGGCAGCCTGCGCCGCTGGATCCGGCGGTGGGCTCCTGGCCAACATCACAAGCGAATAATCATGCAAAATGAGATGTTCAGCGCATCTTCCACAATACTCGGCGTGGTCGACGTGAATTGAAAAAAGGTGATGATGTGGCCTTCCATCCGCAAAGGAGTCAGGAGCAAAATTCTGAAAGTCTTTGATCAACAACAGATTTTCATATGCTCTGTTTCCACCCCTTGTAGTCTCATCTTGGAATTTGCATTCACGCAATACGAAGTAGAGTTCCTGCCACTGTGCCCCCGGGATGAAGAAAGGACCCTGGCTGCCGTCTCGTGAACTTTGAGGCAAACGGAGTCGCTGTCACTGGCCAATCAGGGATCATCGCTGGAATGAAGAAAGTCAAATATTGGTCCAGCGATGGCTGGACACGACAGGGGTACAAAGTAAATCGAGATCGAACAATTTTAGCTTCTCACGATCCACTGGACGTGTCCCCGATGGAGCCCGAATTGCAAACTCTCGGAGGTATCTTGAAGGCGGAGATAAACTAGGGTAGGGAACAGAGGACTGGGTAATATGACAACTCGATATTGATATCAACGGTCCTTGTCGTCGGCATGCACCAAACCACTGCATATCGGCCCCTTGTTGTTGTGGCTGGGAAGAACGACTTTGTGAGGGTTCTGGGGCCAGCGAGGATATGACAGGGTATAGATCCCTGCAGAAGGATGCAACCACGACATCCCACGCCTTGGCCGGGCCTGGATCAATGGCAACCTACCCAATTGGATTCTACGATCATGGCACAAAACCACCGGGATCCCAAGCTCGGGTATTAGGAAACTATCCCTGCAAGGGTTGCTGAAGCGGGGATGGCCCGTCCGGAAGACCAGGTCACTTCCGGCAAATAAATACATGTCGCTGCCGCGACGCTCACGTTGTAGGGCAAGGAATGCTCTATGCGGTTATGCGTCCGGGGTAGCTTGTTGAGGGATTCCTTGTGTTCTGTTATTGTTCTTCTTCTCCCGTGCCAGAATGCACTGGCTTCCGATAAAAATCGCCTCGGCCCTGGCCCTGTGGGCGACAAGCTCAGCAGCTCGTGTCGTACATGAGCTTGTTGACCGCAGCCCTGTTGATGGTAGCTGTCCACAAGGACTGGGCTGGGTTGACGACGTGGAAAAGGACCTTGTGAAGAAGCTGTCGGGCGCCGCTCACATATACCTCCCAGGTTCTGGCGAGTTCGAAGCCGCATCAACACGATGGTCGGTGCTGGAGACTCCCAGAGTGAACGTCGTCGTGGTTCCCGGCACGGCAAATGACGTTGCTGAAACGGTGGGATTGTACCTTTCTTCAATATTTGATTAGGTTAATTTTTGACGATATTGCTTATCACAACAATGGCGACTTTCTAGGTGAAATTTGCAAACAAGAAGCGAGTGCCTTTCCTGGCGTACAACACAGCGCATGGCGCGCTCACGACGCTGGGGAGGATGGATTGTGGCATTGAGATTTTTATGAAGCAGCTGAGCGGTGTCAAAATTGCCAAAAATGGGCAAACAGCCAAGATGGGCGGTGGAACGTTGTCCAAGCTGGTCACTGATACGCTTTGGGCGGCTGGAAAGCAAACTGGTAAGTCTACAAGCCGAGAAAAAAAAGAAGGGAAAAAAAAGAAAAGAAAGAAAAGAAAAACCCGTGTTGACTCTGGCCCCGGGAGGGGAGTACAGTGACTGGAGCATGCGAATGTGTTAGCTACCTTGGACCCGCACTGGGAGGTGGCCACGGCTGGCTCCAGGGACACCACGGGCTTATAGCTGACCAGCTCGTTTCGATGGATGTGGTGTTGGCCAACGGGAGTTTGAGAACAATCAACCCAAAATCCGATCTCTGGTGGGGGATGAAGGGCGCCGGCCAGAACTTCGGCATCGTCACCTCGGCCACCGCAAAGATCTTTGATATCGAGCACCGCGACTGGGCCATCGAGACGCTCACCTTCAGGGGCGACAAAGTCGAGGCCATCTACCAAGCAACCAACGAGCACCTCCTCCGGGAGGGCAAGAGACGAGCCGATGTGACCAACTGGTCGTACTGGCTCAACATTCCTACGGTTGACCCGAACAAAGTGAGTTAGACACGCATAACGAACTTGCAACACACTCCCGCCCCCCCCTCTTCTTCTCACTCCCTCTTTCTCTCTGCCTGAGCGAACCTTTTCCCTTACCGTCTTTCTCTTGCCTAGCCCGTCATCGTGTTCTACATCATCCAGGAAGGCGTCAAGGCCGTGGACCCCGAGATCACAGAACCTTTCCGGAAGCTCGGACCGCTTGCCATTGAACGCCTGGTAGGAACGTACAGAGACCTCGCCAGGTGGACTGGCATCGCCATCACGTCTCCGCCGTGCCAAAAGGCCGGGCTTGCCAACCCGCGATTCCCCATCTACCTGGAATCGTACAATGTTGCAGCCCAGAAGAAGGCATACGAGCTGTTCGCGTCCGAGGCGCACAGCGGTACTCCGTTTTTCAACTCGATCTTCATGTTTGAGGGCTACTCGGTGAGAAAAGTGCAGTCGATCGACAGCTCCTCGTCGGCTTTTGCCTACCGGGGGGACAGCATCCTGGCGGCACCGCTCCTCAGCTACGAGCGTGTGGGCGCGGAACGCGACGAGAAGGCTGCGACGTTGGGAACGCGACTCCGTGAGATCATCCACGAGGGAACTGGGCGAAATGAGCTCCATGCGTACGTGAACTATGCGTTTGGAGACGAGACGCCGCAGCAGTGGTTCGGAGCACAGGAGTGGCGCCAGAGCCGTCTGCGAAAACTGAAGCAGAAGTACGATCCTCAGGGGAAGTTTAGCTTTTATGGTCCCATTGCGTAAAAGTCGATCGCACCGAACATGAATGTATGCGTGTATGTACATAGCATACATACATACATATATATAGTGAGAGGCCTCCTCCATCCAGACAGGACGTGTCTTGACAGTCGATACTAGAAGAGCCAGCGCTTAGCTGTTAGCATAACCAAGTACTTATAACTAGTTAGTTAGTAAATATAATAATTACATAGTTAATTACATTCATACATAACTTGTTATTTAACCTAGCTGATGGAGCTATCGGTGAGGGGACAAAAAAAGCCCTTCTCACTTTCACTGTCATTGACAGTCCTACCGCGATTCAGGAAGCAGAAAGAGAGAGGACCATCTGCGTATGGCGCATGACGGCAGCGGAGATTGGTGAGACGGCGAAAAGGGCGAAAGCGCGGGCGATGCGACTTGGCACTCCAGGGAGCAGGCGGAACGGCTGCAGGAAGCGGGAACGCGGCCAATGAGGAGGTTGACGGCGGGCGACGTTCAGCTGGCGGCGGTTAAGGTTTCTGGCTGTGTCGTTCGAGACACGCTGCGGGCGGTCAAAAGTGTGTGTGTGTGTGTAAAGCGAGGTTCACAGCCAATTGCCCAATGGCAGCGGACGAGTCGGTCGTGAAGCCGGTGGGAGAGTTTGTGCTGCGAACCCGGAGAGGATCGGGCGATGAACCGTGGAAGCGGACGGGCAAACACGAGCCCAGTTTCCCCAGAACCTTTTCTTTTTTTTTTAGTGTCTTCCAGTCGTCGTCGTCGTCAAACTGGCCCACGACAACTCCGTCCTCCAGATGCTTGTTCGCAGCGTGGCTGGTTGGCGCCGAGACGAAAGCTCAGCCACGCGTGCTTGGCGTGCAGCGCCTCGCCGTGAAGCTTTGCCTGAAGCCCATCGCGAGTCTCTCTCTCTGCTTGAAGAACAATCTCCTCTCTCTCTCTCTCTCTCTCTCTCTCTCTCTCTCTCTCTCACTTGCTCTTCTTTTTTGCTGCCTGCTTCTCTCACAGTCTCTCTTTTCGCTCTTCTATCTCCCATCTCTCTCTCTCTCTCTGTGTGTCTGTCTATGTCTGCTGCCTGTGACTCTTGTGTCTCTCCGTCTGCCCGTCTTTGCCTTTGCTGATCGTGTGATCTCCCCGTCAACCGGCCTCGCTGCGCGGGGGGGAAAAACAACACACTCGCTCGCTCAAACGATCGATATAACACCTGCGACTCGCCTTAAATATACTCGCTCTGCTTCTGGACCACTCGTTCACCGGGGCAATCAGGCTGCCCCAGAGTCACCATGTCGTACAACAGATTGCCCAGTAAGTGCAAAACATCACTGCTCTGTACAAGCCAAAAGGCCGTCACCGGCGCGACGGCCGGGGGGGTAAAAAAAAAAAAAAGAAAGAAAAAGGGCTGCGCTTCCTTCTGTCTCTCTCCAACGTCGCCGAACAATGTCCCTTCGTCTTGTTTTACATCTTCCTTTTGACCGTCTGTCACTCTCTGAGACCTGGCACCGCGATCTCTGCCAGAACGTGGCTACGGTTGCTCGCAGGTAGCTCTGAAACATGAGCCTTGGCTGTCCGCGCAACCTGCTCTTGTCTCTTCTCTCTCTACTCCGTATTGACGACGCTTTGCAAACGTCATCCCGCACTTCGTATTGCCTCTCTCTCTCTCTCTCTCTCTCTCTCTGTGTTCCCCTCCCCTCCATCTTGAAGCCTGATTGCTTGTTTCCTTGTGTTTGCTCTCGACGATAGCAGCATCTCCGCTCGTTTCGTTTCCAACAACCACCCGCCCTCACCGACAGGCCTGCAGCAAAAGCCGATGTTTCACCTCCAGTACTGACCCCCAGTGTTTGTTTTCCGTTAGATCCTGTCGTAGACGACGACCCGGAACCCGTAATGGATCCTCAGAATCTCCATCCTCATCGCAGATCCTCCCCCGGCAGACCGCTATATCAGCTGAGCGATGATCCATACCAGCAATATGGCCATATCCCAATGCCCTCGGCCGATCGATTGTTGGACCAGCCCACGGTATGCTCCCCGGCTTTGTGTGCCCTTGGTCTTCCCGCTTTTTTGGGTGATGGCTCATCGTGCTTCTCATCCTCTAGTATTCTGTCGACAACATCCAAAACTCCTACGGACACAACGAGACCTTTGAAGAACATAATCCCTATCGACCCTCTCCCGGCCCACCTAGAGACTATACTCTCTCCCCTGAAGCCCACCATGACTCCTACTATAACCCTCCGTACCAACCCACCCCATCCACTGTCGATACCTACGACTTGACAAATTACCCGCAACAGTATCACGACGACCACGCCCCCATTCTACAGTCAGACAGTCCCTTTGGGGAGACCCCTCATTCAGAGACCGGAGGCTATAACGATGGCTCTGTTGCAACGCTTCCCACACCGAGCCCGGCGCCGATAAGACGATGGAAGACCGTGAAGGAGGTTCAGTTGTTTAACGGAAACTTGGTTCTTGACTGCCCGATCCCTCCCAGGCTGCTGAGCCAGGTCAACCACGCCGCGCCGCCGGAACGCGATGAATTTACGCACATGCGATACTCAGCCGCAACCTGTGATCCCGCTGATTTTTACAACGAGCGTTTCACCCTTCGCCAAAGGCTGTTTGCCAAGCCCCGACATACTGAACTGTTTATCGTCGTTACGATGTACAATGAAGATGACTTCCTCTTTGCGCGAACGATGATCGGTGTCTTCAAGAACATCGATTACATGTGCTCTCGGACAAACAGTAAGACCTGGGGCAAGGAAGCGTGGAAGAAGATTGTCGTCTGCGTCGTGAGTGACGGACGTGCAAAAATCAATCCACGGACGCGCGCCGTTCTGGCCGGTTTGGGTGTATATCAAGACGGAATTGCGAAGCAACAGGTCAACGGAAAGGACGTCACTGCCCATATCTACGAATACACAACACAGATGGGAATGGAACTGAAAGGCAACCAGGTCCTTCTCAAGCCGCGCCGAGGTATGCCGGTGCAGATGCTGTTTTGCCTGAAGGAGAAGAATCAGAAGAAAATCAATTCCCACCGTTGGTTTTTCCAGGCGTTCGGACGAGTCTTGGACCCGAATATATGCGTGCTCATCGACGCTGGTACCAAACCGGGAAAGGATTCCATCTACCATCTTTGGCGCGCCTTCGACCTGGAACCAATGTGCGGCGGTGCTTGTGGAGAGATCAAGGTTATGTTGGACCACGGCAAGAAATTGATCAATCCGCTCGTTGCCACTCAGAACTTTGAGTACAAAATGAGCAACATTCTCGACAAGCCACTGGAGTCGGCTTTTGGATTCATCTCCGTGCTCCCAGGTGCCTTTTCAGCTTACCGCTATGTGGCCCTTCAGAATGATAAGAACGGTCAAGGTCCTTTAGAAAAATACTTTGCAGGTGAGAAGATGCATGGTGCCAACGCTGGTATCTTCACTGCAAATATGTACTTGGCAGAGGATCGAATTCTTTGCTTCGAACTGGTGTCTAAGCGCAACTGCCGTTGGATCTTGCAGTACGTCAAGTCCGCTAACGGTGAAACTGACGTTCCCGATCGTATGGCGGAGTTTATTCTTCAGCGCCGGCGTTGGTTGAATGGAAGTTTCTTTGCTGCCGTCTACGCTATCACCCACTTTTACCAGATCTGGAGGAGCGATCACAGTGCCTCCAGAAAATTCATGCTGCTTATTGAATTTATCTATCAGACGATCAATATGCTGTTTGCATGGTTTGCGATCGTAAGTCGGCGACACACCCACCCACCCACATACATACATACACACGAGGGCCAGGGGCAGCTAACCATTTTCAGGGTAATTTCTTCCTTGTCTTCCGCATCTTGACAACTTCCCTTGGAACCAAAGACCTTCTCGGACAGGTTGGAAACGTTTTGGGCGTTGTATTCGAGTGGCTTTATCTCGCAACCCTCGTGACGTGCTTCGTCCTGGCGTTGGGGAATCGCCCACAGGGATCGAATAAGCTTTACATGACCATGACCTGTTTCTGGGTTATTATCATGATATATCTCACGTTTGCGGCGATCTATGTAACCGTGAGGTCCATACAGCACGAGGTTGCGGATGGCAGCTTCAGCTTCTCTGCGATATTCAGTAACCTGCAATTCTTTTCGATGATTGTGTCGCTGATGTCGACGTACGTGCTCTGGCTTGTCGCTTCCATTCTGTTTTTCGATCCGTGGCATATGTTTACATCAGTGAGTTTTCATGCGCGTATACTATGTAGGTTGGCCAACTAATTCTCTCGTACAGTTCCTTCAATACATCCTTCTTACTCCTACATATATCAACGTCCTCAACATTTATGCCTTCTGTAACACCCATGATATCACGTGGGGAACCAAAGGCGATGACAAGCCCGAAAAGCTTCCTTCGGCTAACCTCAAGCCCGGTGGTAAAGTTGACGTTGAGATCCCGCAAGATGACGGAGATCTCAACGCTCAGTACGACGCCGAGCTGCAGAAGTTCGCTTCCAAACCGCCAAAGGAAGTTCGAAAGACAACGGAAGAGGAGAAACAAGAAGACTACTACAAAGGATTCCGAAGTTCCGTCGTTTTGGTGTGGATCTTCTGCAATTTTGCGCTTGGTGCATTGGTCTTGAATGCCGTTGGCTTGGAGAGAATTGATGTGAACGAGTCAACTGAGACTCAGCGGAGCGCAATTTACATGGCCGTTGTGTTGTGGAGTGTTGCCGGGCTGTCACTGTTTAGGTTTATCGGGGCCATGTGGTTCTTGGTTGTTAGAATGGTGAGTCCCTACCCGAACGTCGACTTCCATTACGATTGTACAACTGACACAGGAGCTATTTAGTTCCGTGGTGTATAATCGGATTGTTTCCGTTGCGACTTAGTCTACCGGCTCAAGTCGTCATGCTGAAATGTGATACCCCTTTTTTCTTCCTTGGAAACATATCGTTTGTCGGGCACGGTTTACAATGATTTGACGAGTATACGGAGTACCTTTGCACGCATATTACCGGTGCACCATTTTGATATGGTTCGCTGAGTGGCGCTGGTTTGTGATATCGCATTATGGGTGTATGTGATTGTTTGGACCCCTATGTTATGTCCTGGCATGCTATAATTTCTATGAGGGCTCAGTGCCCTTCATGATGCATGTATGTATGTACAATAGAACTGTTGCTTTTTGTTCTTTGATGCCGGGGGGTATTCATTTTCATTTTCAAATTACTGTATTGCGACCGATGTTATAGTCTTTTGAAGCCATGTGTGCAAATTTTCCCCGGTTGTGCACAAGATTCCAGGGGTCGATATATCGCTTCGGTGCCTGAGGTACCTGTCACTTGGCATCAACGGGTTACGGTGAATTTGCATTTACATTAGGGTTTGAAGCCTATCATCAATTGACTCCTGGATAAGCTCGAGACAGAATCCTGCTCTCCTGCAATTGGAGATGACGTCAAGAGGCTCGGAATTGCAAGCCTGCCTGCGATGTAAGGCATAGGTTTTGGATGTCTATGGAGGCGACTTGTGCCAGCTGACTCCCTACTCCACGAGCAAAGAGTTGACCGGGGCGCCATCGCGTATACCGCGCATACATCAAGCGCCATCATTCCAATTATCTTCTCTCACTAGTTCGGCAGCCAAACTAAAAAAGAAAGAAAAAGGCGTCGCCCATGGCCGCCCAACGCGAATACGGCGACTCCAAGATTCCCCCATCCAAACCATCCCTTTCCACCACCGATCCCACCGGAACCCGCCTCACCACCGGCGGTGACGCTCTCAACGTCCACGGCACCCACGCCTCCGCTGGCGCCACTTCCAGCCTGTCTACTGACCCATCTGCCCCTTCCACCACGTCCACAGGCACCATGAGCGAAACTACCCGGATGCCGGGATCCGGGCAGGCGGGAGAGGGAGTAGGTGGAATTCAGGGATCTGAAGGGGGACGGGCAGCAGGGTCGAGTACGGGACCGATGGGTGCGGCGCCACCTATGAGCGCAGGGAGTCACGGGGAGAGGACGGCAGCGATGCCAGAGAGGGAAGGTGGTGTGAAAGGCTTCATGGCCGGGGTGCATGTATGGTTTTCAGATCAGGTTTTGGTTTTGTATGCTTGCTGAAGGCGTGCTGACATGTTGGCTCATTTGAATAGGGGGCGGGTGAGGAGATTCGTGGTAAGGCACGGGAGGTGGTTGACCGAATGGCACATGATGAAGAAGGTATAGCAAAGGACCGGGAGATTCAGATGCAGGGAAGGGAGGAAATGGAGACAGGCAGGTTTAGCCAGGCGACAAAGGAGAGGGAATGGGGGAACCAGGAAACCGGGAGGAAGAAAGTTTGATATCCATGTTGGATTCATGATTGGCTGGTTTGCTCTCTCGGGCCTTGACCAAAAAGTAGAAGTTTCACTTTTGACGCGGTGTGTTGCATGGGAAAATGACCTGTCTCTGTTCTGTTTCATTTTGCTTGAAATGTTTCACTTGACAACAGGGTCACTCCATTGCCAATTGAGGGGGTGCTCAGTCTCTTCATAAATGTTCTCTGGGAGGGCAATCAAAATGATTTCTTATCAATGTTGTGCGCACTGTTCGTCTTTGATATCCACCAAAAAGTATGGCGCGATCTCCAAGGCCTGAAAGTGACTGGATTCCCAGGGAGCGGTTGAGCTGCTCCGGGAGAGACAAACCCGTAATTGATGATGGCGAGTGTTAAAAGTTATGTGTTGACAGTCTTATTCGCCCAAACTATGAGTCCTGACTGCCTCGCGAAGCTTGCTTGAGAGGTGGGATGAGAGAAGTTTTGTTTTTACACCGGGTAACTAGTTTTATGCTTCTCGTTTTGCCACCAGAAGTTGAATTTCCAAGCCCTCGAGTTGAAATATGTTGGCAAGCTTGCATGTCCCAGGGGTTAACCGGAGTCGTTCGGTTTACGCTTAAAAACTCCAGGTATGGCTGGTAGATGTCTGATTTCAAAGTATCCGGGATATAGAAGCGACGAAACCTTTCTCAAAACTCCATTCAAAGATGTGCCCACCCATTTCCAACCAGCACCTGCATTTCATTAATGAGACAATGGACGCCATGCTCTTCCCTCTCTAGCCCATTCGCCTTCCAAGAACGCACTCTCCAAGAGACGACCATGTCTTCGATCGTCCTCCGGGGAAAATTGATCAAGCGGGCAACTCTGTTTTGCCATATGCCCAAAAGCTTCTCACCTGCGCTGGGCCAGATGGCTGAGTGGCGCGGGTGAACGTTCGCGTATGCTTTTTCGTTATATCCAACACGGACATCTGGGTTTAGCCACACACCTTTTACCGGCGTGAGGGGATTGTCGGCATGAATCAGACAGCATTCAGAGCCTTCAAGGTGATATTTCGCTAGGCCGTCGGAGATGCCACGGAATACGAGAGGAGGCCTTTCATAAAACGGAGTGGCATCGAAAGCGACGATTCCGTTCCAACATGATTGTACCGGCACGGGGAACCCGGCCATCATGGCATGGCGAGACATGGACGAAAGAAAATACGGCCATGTATGAGTAATTGCCTTTGCGCCGGAAGAATCTCGAAGAGCGAATGTGTCGTAGTAGGCTGGTGGCTTGGAAAAGTCAAGAGAGCACGCAGCGGCGTAATCTCCTTCTCGAGTGCCTAGAATATTCAAGGCATCGTGAGCCTATGGACCAAGGTTAGTCAACAGATATGAGATCGAGGTAGGTCTGCCTACAGTGAACACGACATCGTTCAGCCAGAGTACCTTATCAAAAGTCCTCTTGGCCTCGGTCCTCGACGCCAGAGCTGTCAACTCGTCCATCACTCGGTTTCTCAACCGTGATAGGTACGGAATGCGTCTCAGTTCCTTCTTGCCTCTTACAGTCCAAATCCAGCCCGGCTCATCGGATGACGGCATACGTTGGATCTCATCTATATGTGTGATATCTTCCAAAACGATCTTTCTTTCCACTCCCAGTTTCTCCAGCTCAGTGTCTAGGGCCCTCAGCGCATCTTTACTTCCATCCCAGCTCCCGCTCTCCAGAATCGAAACATATACGTGCTCTGGTCCTAGCTTTTGTACAAGATCCAGCAGCGCATCATTCCAGTGCGAGCGAAGAATAGACTCGTTGTTCCAATGGATGCTGGCTATAAAAACCCTCTCCTGATGCCGTATATCTAGAGGAGGCGCTGGTTTGATGACGGAGGGAGAACCGGATTGAGAGATGCGCCAAAGATCAATGACGAAGAAGGTGATAAACGCCAGCAAAAGCAACCGTAGCCATCTCAGTCGTCGCAGGCGTGCTCGTGATGGCGGACGGTGGAAAAGACTGCGGAACATGGTAATCTGAAAAGAGAGTGGATTTTCCGCTTAGATCCCATTTGGATTGACGGATAGCAACTCTTGCTTTCTATAACAGTGCAATTGATACGGTGTCTGAGCCGACATCGTCAGGCAAGAGAACGATATCGTTGTTGGGGATAGCTGCGAGCAGACCATTGTGTGCTGCTCTGGCCTGTGGCTGTGTTAGGCTTACCCCTGTCCAGCCTCGGCAGCTGACAAGCTAAGGAGCGATGCATCTAGTCCTGTTTTGCTCTAGCGCCATACCCGAACGGTCTCTATTTTTAGAGAGTTGGCAAGTTTGTGGCTGCACGGAGCTTCGGCCTTGCTTGTTTTTTCAGCTTTGATGGATCTACTCCGTACAAGAAGAATAATATGTACTCCGTACTCCGTACTAGGAATAGAATTTTAACGCCCGCGGCAGCTCCACTCTGTATCAGATGCATGATAACAATCTGTACGGAGTACGGAGTACAGAGTATAAGAACCATTTAAGATTAACCCCAACAGCCTACTAGAGTACCTCAGAGCCCTCCACAACTCTTACTGGAGAATCACAGGCCGCTGCACAGGTGCAACCCCCCCACCAAGCTTCAGGAGATCGGTTCGAATTTCTTTAACGTTCACAGCATCGTCGAGCTTGGTGGCGTTTGACAAGATCGTAAGGAATTTCAGCTCGTCCTTCAACAACTTATCATCTGCCGCATTAGCAACACGAAATGGCTGGGAAAGTTGGTCATGGTTCACAGTAACCAGACGCAACTGAGAGTTTAAACGGGTTCTCAATAAAGATCTACTTGAGCAATGTTGATACATACCATGTCTGCCTCAGCGCCAACTTTTCTTATTCGCTGCACTCAGCTGACAAAACAGGCATCGCAACTCATAGAAGTGATCCTTGAATATGGGTGGAATCTGGACTCCTTCAGCCCATTCTTGTTAGAAGTGCTCACACAGGAAGGTATGTGGTTGTACATGCCTAGATGTGGACGAAAACTCTGAAACTTTCAAAACAAACAACCTGTGAATATCAAGGGCATTTGAATCGTGCAATATCCATTGGGTCCGCCCGTTGGAATAGGCTATTACTAATGGTTCTCCTACTGTGAGGGTATCTTCATGATTCACAAAAGGCATGGAGCTCTTTTCCAATTCTTGAATCGTTTCTTGGATGTAGTATGGCCCATTACCACACAAGTCAGAATGTAAAATAGCAAGACTAACTAGTGAGGATGATAACAAGTATAAAGGTGCCAGGGATGATGAGACTGACGAGAACAATGAAAGGACAATGAGATCAGGGAACAAGAATAAGCCTTAGTTGCATGATCTTACGGCATCAGCTTGGGTTTGATCCGCGAAGGATAGCCGATTATACCTATGAGGTCGTCGTCCCCAAATTCAGCCCCTTGTTCGGGTTTTATCTCGGGTCGCCTTCTTCCTTTCCGCATACGATTCCAATTCAGAGGCTGGGAAGGCATAAACACCACGGAATTCCTCGGGCCAAGGCCAAAACTGCTCCTGCTTCTTGTGAGGGCATTTTGATAAAGCAGAATTGAGAGGATAGAAGTTGGTATAGAAAAAATTTCTAGCTACTTCAAGCATGTTTACGTATTCTTTGAGTGCACACATAAGGCGATGCCGCTGAGGACAAGTAGCATCCCCAGCCAAGTTTCTAACATGGACAATTGCCGAGTTAGTATAAAAATGAGACCCTAAACGGAGGATACTGAGATTAACATAGAACATACGTTTTGAAATGACCTTCCCCTCCACGTACCACTCCCCCACCACCGTAAATAAGAACGCCATGGAGTTGGTAATCGGCACAGTTAAACTCAGCTCTGCAGCGGAATTAGCTCGGGCTCTCCCCACGAGTTCCAAAAAGTGCTCATCATGGGAATTGTACTCCGTACCGTGCTTTCCAACTAGCAAGAAAAACCATACGCTTCCTGAGAGGTTCAATAACAATGGCACCGCATATCCAGGTGTTCTCAGAAGATTTACAACCGTCCAAAACAGTGACGTGAGTTTCCGCTTAATCCATGAACCTCCTCTTGTCATTCGCCCACCCCCCACATCACGCCCAACTTGTGTCTTTTGCTCGTTTCTCGCGTTAAATTCCACGGCGGCGCGGCGGATGAAGGGCGTTGTGAAACCCCATGCGATCCCGACTAGAAGGAAGCTGAGGATGTAATTGAAAGCGCTGGGCGCTGTGTCGGGAGGCGCAGCATCGGGATCCATGTCTGCCAGAGGATGGAATTGATTATCGACAAGCGATGATGAGGAAAGTTATTGAATGCTGGGGCGTCGCATTGTGCTCTTGACATCAAGCTGGACTCCGGTGTCAGCACAAAGATAACAACGGATCCTGCTATCACCACGTGATCCTGCTGTACGGGATTTTGGACGATCTGGTAACTTAGCTAGTGGGCTGGAGGAATTACTCACTTAGGAAAGTTCCGGAAAGATCGTATGATTAATAAATATACTGTTCTAATAACTATACTTCAACTGACAGTGATTAACTATAACCGGATCGCCTACAGAGTACGGGGTACGGAGTACATTAACAGAGGATCTCCACGCCATACTCTGTACACGCCCGCTGCAAAAGGGAAATGGATATTATGCTGAGACTCCACCAAGCCAACTGCCCAACTTTAGGGAGACAATGCGGCCAAGCTCTGTAGAGCCATCACTTCTCACATGGACCTCCTCCATGTCACGCATGATTCGATCGATATATTCACCAGCACCACTGAGATGAAGAATAACACAAATTGCTCGGTGGATGGCCAGCAATTTCCGGGACGGTGGGTCAATGGTATGGTGAGGCGAAAGAAACAAGGTCCTTGTGACTGGAAGGCCCTCTGGACGAGCGAATGGGTTTGTTTTCTTGGAATCTATTCTGTAGGTGTGCTGGGGATAGGTAGTGGGATCCATCTCTTCAAAATAAAACTTAAAGTCGCCAAAAAACTGGTGGAGGCCAAGCGTTAGAGAAATAGCATTTGTCGAATGGTCAATATCAGAGCCCTCAATCAAATGAATCGCACTTGGGTCAAACATGCGCAGTATTGCAAGAGCATTCTTCTTGGACTGGTTCTAACAGAAAGAAGTCAAGTTAGAAAATGGAGACCAGTCACGTAGGCAAATTGATCTCTTTCAGACATTTGACCGAGGATGGCCTTGACCTTTTTCCATACAAAAGTTTGGTATAAGGGTGAAGGGATTACGCACCAACTCTGCTGAACTTCCTGTTGACATTGATGACATGATTGAATGAGGAATTATGTGTGCGACTTCAAGATATTCGAATTGTCCAGGAGCGTAAATCAACGTAGAACCATCGTCGTCCTCCGCGTTTGTCCCGTCCTTGTCGAATCTTCTTTCGGCTTCTCGGATATCAAACATGCGCGTAACAACACATCGATGGTGATCACGAATCAAACAATCGCGGCGGAGAACCGATAATCTTCCAAGAGTTCCAACCACATTTTCGACTGAAGATGTTAACGCTGCTGGGGTTGGTTGCGATGTTTTATTCCCTGATGCTTTCACTATGAAGAAAGCATAAGACAGAGTTCATGTAGGGCCCGAAAAAGAAGTAGTTATACATACACGGTAAAAAGAAGTTGTTGAATAGGTATTCTGCAAATGAGTTGACAGCTTTTTCTGCCTCTATCTTCTCAGAGACGGAAGCAGCAGGATCAAAGCCGGAAAATCGAGATATTCCCCGTTCAAAGTCTGGTTCACTGGGGTGTTCTTGGGCATCAAGGAAGACGAAAAACTGATGTAAAAAGATCTCCTGTGACTGGACATGTTCATATGTTGAGCGAGCTAGGGTCACCCTCTTATATGGCTTGCTCCTTTGTACTGGCTCGCAGTGGCTTATGAGCTTCTTGAAGACGCCTCTAGCCCGTGCCACTTCATCAGTGTTCAGGGACGGCGGGAGTGGAGAAAAGTCAAGGACTTGTTCAAGAGATGCTCGATGCTCATGGTGAGCAGACATTCTGTCATTTTTACCAAAGAAGCCCGTGCTGTGGAAGTGTACTTGAGTACTCCGTCCACACGAGGTCTCCAAGATGCAGCGCGTCAAGCTTAACCTTTCGGGAGCAACTCTCAGACACGTGACTAGTTAGTTAGGTGTTAGTTATGATTTGGAAGACTGAAAAGCGCTCCAAAAAAGTTACTCTCAGGAAGCCGACTCTCAGATGCCAGGGTTCAATCAACGAGTTGCTTGTTCCTTTCGGTAACTAGTTTGGGTTCGAAGGTCATGATGGTGGGTTACTAACGCTAGGCGCCGTTATGGGCCGTTCCGATGCTCTGGGTATCCAGGCCTAGAGCCCTCCGTGCTGAATATTCATTCCTCCCACCCCCCAAGATCTCAGCTCGCAGGTTACATGTTAGTCATTGGCCAGTTAACCTCGTTTTCCCCTACCGATCAGACTATGCGCTTCAGTCGCTTCTCTTCGCACAACTGGACAACCTTCCGCGGTCAGCCCCTGACCGAGATTTCGGGAGCTCTCGGTGATCTCGGCACCTTTCTGCCCATCCTCATCGCCCTGGCAGTCAATGACTCCATTTCGCTCCCCGCCACCCTCGTTTTCTCCGGCTTGTACAACATCTTCACTGGCTGGTTCTTCGGTATCCCGCTACCCGTTCAACCCATGAAAGCCATTGCTGCCGTCGCCATCGCTCGAGACTTTGATGGCGACCAGATCGCGGCCGCGGGCATCTTCGCCGGCGTGGTGATATTTGTCTTTACCGCCACCGGCGCTTTGAGATGGTTTGCGAACGCGGTGCCGATCCCTGTGGTAAAGGGCATCCAGGTTGGTGCCGGGCTGTCGTTGGTGATTTCTGCCGGCGCCAAGCTGAAGGGTAAGATGGGATGGATTGAACCGCGGTGGGCAGACAATTACCTGTGGGTGATTGCCGCCCTTGTAGGGTTGCTGGTCACGAATATCTACCGTCGTGTGCCGTATGGGCTGATCCTGTTTCTGCTGGGATTGGTATTTGCATTTGTTTCCTTGGCTACTTCGGGACATGGGGATTTGCCTCACTTTAGCATTTGGATACCCAGGGCTGTGCAGCCCACAACGGACGATTGGAAAGTTGGGATCATCCAGGCGGGCATCGGTCAGATTCCGCTTACTACGCTGAATTCTATCATTGCCGTGGTGCACCTCGCAGGAGATCTGCTCCCTGATGTTCGCACTCCATCTATCACGTCGATTGGCTTCAGCGTGGCTATGATGAATCTCGTGGGAACATGTGTGGGATGCATGCCCGTCTGTCACGGGTCGGGAGGCCTGGCGGCACAGTACCGCTTCGGTGCTCGTTCAGGGGCAAGCATCATATTTCTTGGGGCTGTGAAGCTCATCGTTGGCATCTTCCTCGGAGATACCCTTCTCGATCTATTGTATTCATTCCCGACAGCATTTCTGGCGGTGATGGTGATCGCCGCAGGTTTAGAACTTGCGAGCGTTGGGGAGAGTCTCAACACTACGCGTGCATGGGACCTAGGAAACAATGACCGTTCAAGCTCTTTACCGACTCTGGGACTAGCTGAGGTCAAACTCACTGACGAAGAGAGGAAGCGGAGATGGACAGTGATGATCGTAACGGTTGGATTGTTGGTTGCATTTAAGAATGCTGGAATTGGCTTCGTCGCTGGGATGCTGTGTCATTGGACCTTTGGCTTGCCATCATTGATAGAGAGGATAAGAAGTCGCTGGTCTGAGGGAAGAATCAGACTAGCCTCCGGTCGAGGTCAAGATTAGCCGGACTAGGAGTGGTGGACAACCAGCCTCTACAAAATATAATTTGTGATGATCCTACCCCCTTTTTTGGGATCACAACATCCACTACCTCATGATCAATATCTATGGAGCAAATTGAGCTCTATCTGTGTCGTCGAACAAAATTCACTGCGGGGCTTTGAGTTGATAGAGTATCTCTTGTGCCGGCGATACCACAAAACTCCACAACCTAAAGGAGGGTAGCTAATCGCTTCGCACTCGGAGAGGATAGAGGAATATCAAGCTGTACACAAAAGCTATCAGTCTAGTATTCGCCACAGTAGCTCATGATACACGAGTGGTTTCCGAGTCGCTCATATATGCGCTTTCAATTGGCTGTAGGTTTCCTAGGGCTGGATGGCTGGGCTCTTTAATCCGCGAGGCCAGTGTTACCAGATCTACACAAAGCAGCCGGTCCCAGCAAGCTCAACTTGATTAGCGCTGAATCCAAAGCCTGTTGCAGGGATGCGCGCAGGCGCATATGTGGGGGAAGTATGCATATTACTACCTCAGAAGAGGTATATATATACCAAGTATGGAGTAGTACACCGTACAGACAGGACAATTCTATCTTATTGAAATAGCGGAGCTACCGACTGGTAGATGGGTAGCAAGGCAAGCTGGACAATCGGGCCCATAGTTAACTCGTTCACTAATGGTTAACCCTAACGAGAAGTTAACGCAACTCAAGCTTTGGCGCCAACTCGTTAAAGCCCTGGGCACGGCTGGAAGAATCCCGTCCGGTCCGAACCCCGCTGTTGGATTTATAGTGATTCTGGGCTTGATGATGCCAGCCTCTCGTTCCAGGCTATCCTTCGTTACAGTACGGAGTTCTCCGTAGATAAATCACATTACATATATGCACCAGGGCTCCAAAATGTCCTCCCAGCCTGGCCTGACTCCTGACCAAGTCGCCTTCTTTAGGGACAATGGCTATCTCGTGATACCCAACTACCTTTCCCAAGACACGCTCTCGAACCTCCTCTCCACCACGACTGACCTGCTCGACTCCTTTTCCCTCTCCTCCCATCCCCTCACCCGCTTCACCACCGGAGACGACGAGACCGACACGAACAATGCAAAACATGTGGGTGACGAATACTTCCTCACCTCCGGTGACAAAATTCGCTTCTTCTTCGAGCCGGACGCCTTCTGTCCCACCTCCGGCAAGCTCTCTCGGCCCAAACATCTCGCCGTAAACAAAATCGGCCACTCCCTCCATACCCTCTCCCCGCCTTTCGCAAACATAACCCAGGATGGACTTCTCGGCGCCAAAAACGCCGCCATCGCAAAGTCCCTGGGCTTCCGTGACCCGCGCGTCCTGCAGAGCATGGTCATCTGCAAGCAGCCCGGCATCGGTGCCGCTGTGCCGCCGCACAAGGATTCGGAGTTCTTGTTCACGGATCCACCCAGCGCGGTGGGATGGTGGTATGCTTTGCAGGATGCTGGCCGGGGGAATGGTGGGCTCGGGTTCTGGAAGGGAAGCCACAGACGTGGCAGGGTCCGGCGGAGATTTGTCCGCCGCAAGCCTGGCGATGTCAGCGCGGGAACAGATTTTATCGATTGGTCTGGGCCCGGGTTGGCGAAGGAACTGGACGGGGAAGCGGGTGATGATTACGTTCCTGTCGATGGGGACTTTGAGATGCTGGATATTCCTGCAGGGTCGTTGGTGTTAATTCACGGGAATGCGCTGCATAAGAGCGAGAAGAACACGAGTGAGAAGAGCAGGTTCGCGTATACATTTCATGTTATCGAGGGGGATGAAGGTTGGAACTACGATGACCGGAATTGGTTGCAGCCACCGGAGGACGGGAAAGGATTCACAAGGCTCTTTGCCGGCAAGGGATAAGACAAGGCAGTGTGCGAGGATTATTATCAAGATGGGTTTCGATTTTTGGCGGTATATGCTTCGTTTATTCTGTCTAAATCCAACAGCTCGCTCGAGGTATTCATATCAATCGACTTTTTCTTTTCCCAAAATTCGCCCATTGAGCTAGATAATTGGACAAAAGCGAACTCCGCAGCGCCCCAGCTTCCCATAAGTATGCATACAAACCACCAGCATCTAAGAATAAGAGCCAAAAGAACACGCAAGGTCGACAAGTAGACCAGCTTAATTCAGGAGCGCCTCAACATATCCAACATGCCTTTCGTCTGCCAAGCGTGCTGTGCACGGTCAACCTCCTCCCTGACTCGTCGATGAAGCTTCTCTATCAGTCGATCAATTTGGGCTGATTGTCCCAAATGGGCAGAGTACAAATCCAGCACGTTCATCGAGATCTCGACACATATATCGACCAACCTCGGATCTGTTATCGACTTATGCACCCATTTTAGGATAGGCTGCAGCGTAACTTCGTCCCGTCCTGAGAGTGCTGTGCGGAGCGCCGCACGGTGGCGTAGTGCAGTGAGAAGTGTAACAACGGTGATCTTATCGCCCGCGGCAAGAACCTGGTCGAGTGATGCGGCATAACGACCCTTCCGCAGGTCATTCTCCCAGGACTTCTCCTTCTTCCGTTTCTTGGTGTCCTGCGCATCAATGACGATATCGACACCCTCACCGATGAAATCCATACCTCGAAGTCGTTTTTCCCATCCGCGGCCGCGTTTCTTCTGTTCCTTTGAGACCGTGCGATCATGTTCGACGAGTTTACCCTCGAGAAGAGCCTGCATTTCTCGTTGGCGCTGGCGTTCCCGGATTTTCTGTTCGGCGGAAAGGCGAGTGCGGAGAGAGAGGACACCCGATTGCATGCCGACGGCGATGTGCTTGTCTTCGCGCTGCGGTCCTGACGTGATGACCCCAAGCGATAAAATAGGGGAAGGATATTTGGATCCACCCACAACATTCCATCCGGTCGTTTCGAACACTTTCATGTGGCCATCTAGAGCACCGCTGACAATCCTACTGCCTTTCGAGGCCAATGACAGGCAGGTGACAGTCTTCTGATGGCTCTTAATCAGGTGGAGCGGCTTCCCAGCGACGACGTCCAACACGGCAATCTGATTGTCTGCGGCAGCTAAGACGGTTGTGCCGGAAGGCATAGCAAGGACGCCCTCCACCGGGGCGGTCATTTTAAACGTCATGACCTGTCTGCCGGCCACTCTTGAGTCCCATAGCCTAACCGTCTGATCATAACTACCAGACAGGACCAAATTGGCAGACTGAGCCCCAGGCATGAAGCAGCCGCTCCGAACATAATCCGAGTGGCCAACAAAGACCTGAGCACTATTCTCGCTGGGCAGGTCCCATACTCGCACCGTCTTATCATCACTTGCGCTGAGAAGAGAGGTCGGATCCGTCGGAGAGAACCTGGTCACCCATACAGGTTGCTTGTGGTCTCGCCATGTCTTTAAGATGGAGCGAGAGTTAACATCGAAAACCTGAATTGTACCCGTCTCATCACCCGCCACGAGGATCCTGCCATCTGGGCGGATCTCAGAACATCGGGCGGTATCATCAAAGCGAGTAATCGACTTTAAAAGCTTTCGCGTCCGGATCGAATATATCTGGACGCGGGCACCGGTTGTGACGGTAAAAATATCGGGGGGATGAAGGGAGGCAGGAGAGGACAAAGCAGGGGCGGGAGGCTGTGATATGTGGTTAATCGGCGTGTTGGACGGGGAGGATATGAGAAGAGGAGTCTTGAAGGAGCGCCAGTGAAGCTGTTCTGCGGTAAGCCTGGTGGATGGTATGGAGGGTAGCTTCACCTGCGGCAATGGCAGGACCGGAGCCGCCATCGTCGCAAGCTAGGATATGATTGTATATTAAAGATAGGATATTATCATGTCAGAATGCATGCTCATGTCAATCCCAAACCTCGACAAGCAGCCCGTCGCGCTCTTCAGATTCACCTTTTCCTTTCCTTTTTTTTTTTTTTTTGCGATCAAGGCAAAATTTCGCCGGATCAGCAATAGTCCGAAGAAGATTAGTCATATTCTGCTTAGCCATATTAGGTAATCCGTGTAGGAAGCCGCCGTTGTAGTTACTCCGTAGTCACGGAACCCATTGATAAAACCCACCCACTGAGCCTGAGTTCAGCCCGAGCCTTTTTTGATCTAAGTTTGAGGCGGTGAGAGAGATAACTGTGTTCTCCGAACTCCGTACTCCTGTACTCTGTAAAGACACCAGTAGTTACTCCGTAAAGGAACCAAAATTTATAATGTACTCGTACATCACATGCAAAGATCCTGGTTAGATCCTGGGTATCACGTGACTGAGCCCGGCCGCAATTCCTGAAACGGCGAAACAAAAACAGATTTCCCGAACGGGGGTGACCCAACCTCGCCTGTCGATCACGAACTCTCGTCCATCCGCCTGCTCGACCCGCGGCGTCTCCAGTGTTGCATCGCACGCTCGAATGCCCGCCGTCAATCGCTCGTCGTGTTGGAACGAATTACCTGCTGGGATCATCCGCCGCCAAGGAATCCTAACCACCAGCCACCCGAATAAGTTCACTCGACGTCATCCAATTGGCTGCGTCGGGAGCCCTACGACACCCAAGAATCGCCCACCAGCCTCCCTTCAGCCCGCGTCTAGCTAACGAATGCCAACAAATTCGCTGCATGATAAACATTCACGGCTTGAAAACGTGTTGAACTCCATTTTCTCGTCTCTCGCTTGCTTCTGCTTTTTGCTGCTGCTGTGAGGAAGACCGGGTCTTCATTCTCTTCTCAGAGCAAACGCCCGCTTTGTTATTCATTCAGCTATGCTTGCTTCACAATTCGGCTTGGTCTGGCGTACGTCACCCGGTCTAGCTCCTCCACTTTGCCTTCGTCTTCATTCAGGCTGTGCCAGCTCGATCCAGTTCGTCGAGGTGGTTTCGGTTTAACAATAAATACGTTTGTTATTTCGGGCGTGACTGTGAATATTCGTCAAGTCCTCCCGCCTTCCCCCCTCCGTTTTATACGTTGGGAGCTGCTCTGCATTCCTGCTACACAATGTTGAGCAAATCGGCCAAATTGGCCCTCGGTGCCCATACCGCGGGGATCTACGCCGACATGTCGATCGATGGGCCTGAAATCGGCACCTTGGTCGCGATCATCGATCGTGCAAAGAATCTACCCAATAGGAAGACCATGGGAAAACAAAACCCATATTGTGCCTGTCGTCTTGCAAAGGAGGCAAAGAAAACGGATACAGATATGAGAGGAGGACAGACGCCAAAATGGTAAGTCGGACCCTATTGCGTTCCGACCCGCTGTTCTGATGCCGATTGCCTAGGGACCAAGAGCTCCGGTTCACTGTACACCAGTCCCCAGACTACTATCAGTTGAAGGTCTCTGTTTTCAATGACGACAAAAAGACAGATCTGATCGGAGAAACGTGGGTTGACCTCAAGGGAGTCATTATTCCTGGAGGAGGTCAGAGTGATTCATGGCATAATCTCAACTGCAAGGGCAAATATGCAGGCGAGATCAGGATTGAATTAACATATTACGATACTCGACCGAAAGATGAAGCCGTTGTGGAGCGTCGGAAGGAGGTGAAGAAAGTAGAGGCTAGGAGTCAAACAAATTCCTCCATCTCTGGCCCTCGACAGTCTAAACCACCGAAGAGGCGACCATTGCCCGCCGATCCGACGGGTTCCACCCCCGCTCGACCCTCGTCGGTGGACGTCGGGGCTACCTCGAAAAAGGAACACGCTGCTTCCACTCCTTCTCGGCCTTCAGCCTCAGAAACCCAACCAACATCCCCGCTTAAAACTTCACGCAGGAGTGAGGCCCCGGATGACTCTCATCAGTATCGGGCACCCAACGAACTCTATGCCCCCGCCCAGAGTTCTGCTCCTGTCCGCCAGGACCATCATAATTCTGACCGTTCATACTCCCATGGCCCCGGACAGCAGGGTTACCAAACCGCCCCCGATAATCCGTATCCACCGAGACAGGACCATGCCACGCATCGCCAGGTATACTACGCTGAGTCAAACATAGAGCAGTCGGCTCCCGCTCTTCATCCTTATCAGAGTGAGCTCCAGAATTCCCATCCGCCAAGGCAGGACCATCTTCCAAGCCATCAAGTATATTACACTGACCCAAACTTGGAAAAATCGACTGCTGCCCATCAATCCTGCCAAGGAGAACTCCAGGTTTCTGACCCGCCTCCACGTGTATCGACGTCCGTACGTCAGTCTCAAAATTATCCTAACGATCTTCGGACCGGTATTCCTTCGACAACAGATATCTATCATCATCGGGACTCGTATAATCAACCTGCCCCATCCTCTATGCCACAAGAGGATCTTTATCCAACTTCAGAGTACGGATATGACCACCAACAGCCACCTACTGATCCCTACCCGGAACAACCTGGTCACTCCTACGCGGTCGATCAATACCAGGCATACTCTCAAAATTCCTACGAAACACCTTCTCGTCACAATAATCGCCAGATGGCGACCCCTGAGCATCGGCAAAATTCATACCCACCGCCCTCTAAGGGCTCACCGCACGGGCCCTTAGAAGTTCAGAGCTATGGCGCACCAGACCATCCACAGCAACTTGCACTGAATTCTGGCGAACGGCGTGGCCAGCATCACTATTACAATTCTGCATCAAAAACGGACTGCTTTAAGGATAGTCCGTTGCGCCAATCCGTAAGCCAAGCTAATTATCACCATCATCATCAATACCTGCAGCCTGATGGTGATGACGACGACGACGATGATGATGGCCCACCCCCTCCTCCTCCCGTGCATCGTGATGGCCTGGGACACTCCTCGATGTCGGAGCATTTCATGAGCGACCCACAACCCATGCCAGAGCCCCTGAATATCACCCCTAGGTCTTCTCCCCAGCCAATTGAGAAGCAATCCGAGTATATCGCGTATCGTCCGAAATATTCAGATTCGGGTTGTAATTCTGAAGCGGAACAAGTTTATTCTACATCACCCGCACCGTCATATCGTACTGCTGTTCAGGAAAGGGGTTATCTGCAGGAGAGACCGATGACATCCGGGAGCGAATCTGTTCCTTCATCTCTAGTTGCTGGTTATGACCCTGGCTTGGCCAAAGAACCTGATCGAATGCATTATGATAATCGCCACGTCCGTCGACAAAGTAATATTCCCACCCAATCATCAACAATAACACAGGCCGTGCGCTCGTCTCCGGTTGACATGCCCGAGAGAAGGTCTCCAAGAACAGTTGTGGATCCACGCCAAATCCCAGCTCGTAAATCAGTTAGCCCTCACCCCCCTCCTCCGACTGACCCCGACTCTTTATCTGGAATCCCGTTTTCTCCTGATTCGTACGACGTTATTAACCCAAATGCCTCCCTTGCGTCGGGCGTGGAGCAACCTGCTCCTCCATACGAAAATGTTGAGCAAGCTATGGAGGCGGCTCGTCAATATGAAGTTGATAAATTGCGTGCTTTGGGTCCAATAATTGGGAATGATGGCCGTACCATTGACCCATCTGACCATCTTCCTGCGGATACCTGGGCTCCCGAGCCGGTGAGAAAGCAAAAGAAGCCCGAAGTTGTTGTCCGGTTCAAACACGCCCCGGCTTCTAGCATCACCAGTGGCCACTCGTCGTCTGCGGATCGAGAACGACAGCCTCGCCCTAGGTCAGTAGTTGCACCTGGCCATTCCTATCAGCATTGTCCCCCTGTTTATGGAACAGAATCACACCCACCCAGCCGTGGTAGGCTTCAAAAGGCTTCTATGCGGCCTCAATCTTATATTCAGCCAAGTCCAAGCGCAAGGGACCCGTCGCCAAGACCTAACCACGGTCTTAGAGAACGTGACGCTCTGGTTGCTTACAACCATTACTCGAGCAATCCAAGTGCCCCGTCACACTACAACGGTTGTGCGCCACCACCTTATAGCGATTCTTCGCCTTCCTCAGCTTCCCGATATTCATCTTCAGTCGTTTCACACCGTTATCATTCTTCTGGTCCTCCGATCCCCGCCAAGGTTCCGATCCAACCCGGGTCTCAAACCTATATGGATACACCATCCGGCCATGGACATTTTGACGCCCTGAGTGAAGAGATGAAACGGATTGATATCGGTGTTGGCAAGGGTGGTCGCAAAGGCCGTACATCATTTATTGGGGGATATGGTCGGTAATTTCTAGAATCTTTCCGTTATGCATGATGAATTTGGTGTTTTTGTTTGATAACCACCATCTGGATGCTATGGGTTTAGCTTGAAAAGATAAGAAATATTTTTGAGAAGCAGAGGTGGCGCTACTTGGTTTGACTAGTTCTACATGTCTTGCATGTTCCCTGGGGCAATGTTTCCTCATCTTTGTGGTTGCTTAATAACTACGTGCGAAGGATTAGAAGAGGATAGTAAGGGGCATATCTAACACATTATGTCAACGAAAAAGGGTAACTAATATTCCCTTTTAACTGTGTTTTACTCATGATCATTATACATTCTATACATTACACCATCATAAGGTGGATCTCAGGACCCGGCCTCATCAAACCGAAGCTAATTAAAACCCTGCTGTTTGACAAGAATGAAGCAGATAATAAAACGATGATCCCCCACAGAGCACTCTGTATGGCAATTGCCCTTTCGCTAGTATGGGAACTAGCTGCAGAATAAAGAATACGCTAAATATTTGGTGCTGTGAAGTCATCTGCGCCGGCTCCTTGACATTCAAAGTACATCTTGGGGCCAAAAAAATTTTCTATTTCGTCGAAGCATCTATGCAGTATACTCATCATCCAAAGAGCCCCTGAGAGCCTCCTCCGCTGCAAGTCCGGCAGTCCACATCGCTGCATCTTCATCCCCCTGTATAACCCCTAGTTCTCGTCGGCGAGCCTTGACATCTTTGGTCAGACTCCCGTTCACTTCTCCATCATTGCCTTCTTCCATTCTCGCTAATAAATCAGCATGCAACAGCCCTCTTTCCAGCCTACTCACATAACCAACATCGGTAATATCAAAATCCGTGTGGAATCCATGGCCATCCCCGTCTGTTCCTCCTAGTGTTTTGAACCAGTATTCAGATGTACTCTTTGTCGACTGATCTGCGTTTTTCTCCACAGCCCAGCATCCATTCCGCGCGCAGAAACTTAAAAAGGCGCGCCATGTCTCGTCCTTGCCTGTCCCTACGAGTACGTTTGGATTTCCGATGATGATAACACCCTCCTTTGCTCGCGTGATCGCCATGTTGAAGCGTCGTCTCGCACCCACGAGACCAAGATCTCTGGATTGATCGATGTCGAGAAATTTTTGGTCTGAGCGGGTGCGTGTCGTGCAGATTATCAAGAAGCGGGTTTCTAAACCCTGGAATGCTTCTAAAGGCCCAATGCTAACGTCATAAAGGTGGTGGGCGCGAAATAGTTCACGGAGGCGGGTCACTTGTGCAAGGAAAGGGGTGATTATTGCAATTTCCGGCTGGGATATTGGTCTTGGTGGAGGATTCGAGTCTTGGGATGTGTAGTCGATCGTGGACGAATGTGACAATAACGAGCGGACATAGCGAAGGGCGATCTCGGCTTCAGTATCATTATAAACACCTGTACCCGGACCGTGGGTAAGAACATCTTCCACTTGATCCTGCGAAGTGTTACAGTTAAATAGGATAGGCCAACAGTAGCGACTCGGCCAATCTGGCCAGGTAGGAACCGGTCCCAGTGGATCCGTACGCTCTGCGGACGGAATTAACGTATCGTTGTAGAAAAGGACAGATGACATGGCAAGAATTGCGGGATGAGAGCGATAATTGCGAGTGAGGTTGACAAAAGCTGGGCGACGCATCGGAAGCATGGATCTCGTGAGTTTTTTGTAGGGTCCAATGTTTCGACGAGATAATGGATGGTTCGAGTAAATCGGCCGCGCAAAGAGCCGTTCAAATAGAGATACCGATAGTGCTGTGTCAGAATTGTATATTCGTGGCCCTAGCTGGTGCTCATCACCGGCCATGATGAAAAGGGGCAGTGAGGTCTTCGTAGTAATTTTTGGGTCGAGAGGCATGGCGGTTGAAACCACTGTAAGTGGTACACACACTGTTGGTTCCGTGGCTTGAGCTGCCTCGTCCACAATAAGGGCGGTCCAGTGAATCAGCTTCTCCATCTTCACCTGGGTGCTTGGGGCTATGGTAGATATTGTTTCGTGTGCTAAGTTCATCAAGTCCTGATTGGTCAAGCGAGCTCGGACAAGCATGTCTGCATCCTTGCAGGTGGTAACCACAATCTTGTACTTCATCATCGTCTGAAAATCAGGCAGGGAGAACACTTCTTTCTCCGTATACGAATAGGGTAAGACTTGATCTGGGACTTCGGCAAAGGTTCGGTTCCACCCGTTCATTCTGAACAACTGGGAGGGATTTAAGTGAGCTGAGAGGCGGATGGCAAGAGTGTCAGCCGCTGGATTAGACGGAGCGCATATAAGAAGATGCGGTGTCACATCAACAGTACAACTAAGCAGCTGAAGCGCGCATTCGACGACAGTTTTGGTTTTCCCGGATCCTGGGACACCCGATATCAAGAACGGGACGTTCCCATAATCGCGAGAAACAACCGAATCAACAGCCTTTTGCTGTTCGTAGTTGAGCTGTGAATCACACCATTCGCGGTCGAATGAGCCTTTTGGTAGATTTTTCTGAGTTACACAGTCAGTTTCCTTTGGGAATAGCATGTGGCGAACCCAGCTACGTTCATCGTGAAGGTTCGCAGTAGGATCCCCGGGAATAGCAGTGGTGGTTGAGGGTGCCGCCCCACTGACCCTCCGAATCGCTCGCCACAGGGCGGTATACAAATCAACCGGCAGGGTGAAAGAGGCATTGCAGCAACTCGACGATGGGAAGAATCCGTCTACTCGAAGAATAACAGTTTCTGTAGCCCGCGAAACACCCCACACGTAGGAGTATATTTGGATGCCGTTGAAACCGGGCGAGATAGAGCCATTTAAACCATTCTCATTTTCAGATAGCCATTCCAAGCCCTGCTGGGCAATGTGAGGAAATGGGAAAAACTGCCGCACAGCAACTGCATCACCGATATCGAGACTTGGAGTGTTATCCCTGAGTCCCGGAACCCTAAGCGCGTAGAGGTGCTGGTGTCGGTCTGACAGTTCGAGCGTAGTGTTGAAAAGAGTTAGGCGCGATAGAGTGGCGGAATGGGCAAATGCCTCCAGTTTAAGGCACTCCGAAAAGTATTCAAAGTAGTTGTCGACAGCAAGGTTTCTAGGATGTCGGGAAAGGGTGACACGCACTTTGCTAATCTCTGGGTGGGTTTCCGGGACAGGCTTCAGATAACGGGTACCAGCAAAGCTTTGGATGTATGTTCCAAAGTCGATAGAGTCTAACTGCTTTGAGAATCGATTCATCACAGGAGATTGCTGGATAGCCCAAAGATAAGAGGGAATATAAGGAGGGGTATTAATGTCCGGCTTCCAGCCCGTGCGACATGATCGAGGGACGGCAGCACTCTGCTTCGGAGTCGTGGTCTGCGGGGAACGTTGACCTCCTTGGACAAAGGTATCAGTATCATTCTCGCGGGAAGATGCAGTCAAGCCCTCGTCCGCTGCGGTGTCAAGCGATGCTTGCTCTCCGGCTCCCGATTCGGCTGCGCTCGGGGGTTCTCGGTTTTCGTGCGCGTGGTCCCCATTCTGGAGCCTTTTTGTCTGGCCTCGAGGGAGTTCTGTGCGCGGTGGTATCGTGCTTTCTGCCGTCCGAATGCCGGGTTGGTCCGTGGGAACATCGATTTCTTCGCCGTTAGCAGGGTTGATAATGCGAATGGCTGCTTTGCGCGGTGGGATCTTGAACGGCTTGAGTGCCGACATTTTGGGACATGGATTCATGTAGACCTAAAATAATGATATTTCTTTCATCCCTCCAAAAAAAAGGAAAAAAGGTAAAAGAAAGGAAAACGGATCATATGCTGGATTAACGAAAATAGTCGACAGGACTTTTGTGTATGAGAAACAGTGATCCTACAAAGTTGATCAGCTGCTGCAGGAAATCTAAGTCAGCGACCACAGCAGATGTATGGCCTCGAATCAAAAGTTCCCAGCTATTCTATGGTCAGTATTTACTATTTACACTGCCGCGATGCCTCCGAGTTTGGAGTGAGGTGAATTGGGCTGACATACAGCGGCGCATCACAATCGAGGCAGAAGCCGCAGTCTTTATAGATTCTGGTGTCATAATGGGAATGCAGCAAAACAGGTGTCCATTTTGCAGAGGACCATCACCTTGTTCAGATTTCAACCCGGCCTGCAAGGGTGTTTATGAATTGTTGTTGTGGTGGTGAAGAGTGAGAGTGAGAGCGTGAGAGAGAGAGAGAGAGACAAGAAGAGTCGACCGCGGAAGTGGTTGCAGCGGGACTCGCAGGATTAGCTAAGCAATACGTTACCGTAACTAACTAGTGTAATTTACGCACTGGTGGTGTACTGTAAGGCTGGCTGTGCGTTATGTATGTTTGGGTGTGGCTGGAGGTGCCATGCCACACACAGCCACAAGGGCCACTACGCCAAGAAGCCGAGAGCCTCACCTTCACCTCAAACCTCATCTCATCCCAACAGCGCATCAACCACCAACAAACACACTGCCCGCGAGAGGTAGTGTTGCAATTTAAAACAACCATACAGAGTACAGGTTTATTATCTTTCAAAAAAGATAGTATATAGTTTGCACACATAGATGGAGGTGCATTGATCATCATAATGGCATCACGTGTGCACCCACTTGTTAACTTTCGTCCCATCAGCCTTGGGTACTTGGATACCATGGCTAGGAACACCTGTATATTGCCATGTGCATAAAGCATCGTGCTATATATTTCATGCAGGACAAGCCGCACGACTAAGCAGTGCTTGTTTCCTTTTTCTTCTCTTCCCTCTCTTCATGCTCTTCATTGTCTTCCGCCGGACTCTGGTCTTTATCCGCTGCCCCCGTTTCCCCAGTTAGGCAGCTTTGGTTGAATCTTTATTTACAACTGTCAACGTTCAGGTATATGGCTGAATGGCGTTAATCCTTCTTCGACACTTGCAGGTGCTCGTAGAGCCCTCACGCGCTCCAGCGGAAGCAGGACTTCGAAACCGAGGCCTAAAAGCGCTTCTTAAGTGGGCAGGTAGCAATGAATTGCCGACTCCCCTCGTCACCATTCTTCCTCCTCTCTTCAAAAGTGGCATGCTTCGTGATACCCGGGTCGGTGGTTTGAAATCCTTTCAACTGACGTCTTCCATGCTAGGTCTGAACGCTCTCCCGACACCCGGGAAACGTATCACGAGACGGTATATGGAAACGAGATGCGAGGCGCCTATCCCGGCCTTGAAATATCTTACGCGATGTTTCAGCTATGCCCCTTTTATCCCTTGAAAGATCTCGTGCAGCATCTAACCTCCTCAGTCATTGTCTTATCTGTAGTCGCCAAATGCCCCCTTTTTGCTTCTGTATAGCAATCCAAAGCCTACTCGGAGTACAGAAAACCAGTGCTGACCAGGAGAAGATGCTGCGTGTCCGAAGCCCTGTGTGTGGTAATATTAAATAGAGATGCGTTTCGAATCTTGGTCTAGTTGTCACCCGACCATGTCTTTCATCTTTTGAATGCATTTGGCCAGGTGCCAGGGCAACTCCTGATTAGCAAATTTTTTTTTTTTTTTTTTTTTTTTTTTTGGTCTCTCCAAGTTTTCTCATCTTCCCTATGCTACGCCTGTTACCTACCTTTCCGCACTCACCCTTATCCTTCTGATATCACTTCCATCTCGTAATGCATTCATCGTTGGCGCTATCCTTTCATCCTGAAGGAACATACCTCTGAATTGCTTCAGGTCTTGAGAGTAAAACGCTCTTCCGGTCCATATTGGGACGAATGGACCGGAAATTTCCTGATATAGTCTTTGTCCGGCTGTGGCCTTGAGATCAGGCGAATATCGACCTTTCACAGCCTGTATTAATTCTCCCCCTCCGACATTGAATACTCGATTCTTCCCATTCACCCTCTGACCAATACTATTGTGCCCCTATTCACCTCCTTACAGAGCGAAGAAATTTCTTCCTCTTCACAGTCATCTGCCTGTAACTCGGTTTTCCACGGTTTGACCTTTTTTTGACTCATTTGTCGACTTTGACTTTCTCTTTGAATCACAGCCTGCATCTCGCTCCACCTTCATATCCCGCACCTCGCCATACTTGAGTTCATCGAGACTGCCTTGTTTCTTTCTTGATTTTCTAATCCTCCCATTCCGTCTTCCAGATTATTTGAGTCTCTCGCCTTATTCAGTTCTATCTTGGCGCTTGGTGTCGAACTCGGCTGCGTCTCTTCACTTTCCACTGTGTGATCCCCTTATCGGGATTCACCACCTCCGCTCAACGTGAGTTGCCGTCACTTCTTCCCCCATACCCTCCGGTATTTATTCTTGTTCACCTCCGCCTCTTGGTGAGTGTTCTCTAGTTCTTTTGCCTCCTTTTTTCTCTCTAGGATTGTTAAACCAGCTATCATCAACAAGAGAGAACTATTTAAACAAAACAGAGAAAAGGAAATTGAAATTTGCAGTTTCTCACAGAGTCTAACGTCAGTGTGAGAGTAGCATAATGAAAAACTCGGAAGAACCACCACACCCCCGTTGCCAATTTAGCGGGGAGGCATGCTCCACGGAGTCGCCTCACTATCGCAAAGTCATATCTCATATCTTCGGGAGAAATAAGCGCTGCACAATCGGTGTCCCAAACTTCGTTTGGATCTATTATTGCCGGAAGCATTACCAACGTGCGCGGTATCGAACTGGGGAATGGCCTTTCAGACAGTGCGACCTCGCCATCGATACGATCAAGAACATGCGTGCCTGGGGTGGAGTAGAGGATTTCAATCTTCAACTTCGCCGCCGAGAGACTCAACGAAGCACGGGAAACGAAGGCCAATTCGAGGAAGATGACTCTACTGTGCAATCTACGGGTCACGAAACTGGGGAGTCCATCGTTACCCATGATGCTGATGCCAACGAAGAAGATTCTTCTGCTGAAGCTGCTGTTAAAGACGGACGTGGCTTCAACCCTGACGAACCTGGGGAGTCCTCGGAGCCTAAAAAGCGTTCGCCACGGATCATACCTCGCCCCGTCCCTGACTGGCTCTATTCCCGTATTGGAAACCATAAGACGTTCAGTCAGACCCTTCAAGTGCTGCGTGATCTTCGACAACATCTCCAGCAACGTATCGAGAATGGTTATGAAGCCCACTTCCCGGATATCGAAATTTTACCCAATCTTCGTCACCGGCCCCCTCCACTCCATACGGCTGCGAGCAAATCGCGGCGGGTCTCTTCTCGCGGTGTCGTTGCGAAAGTGGTAAAGAAGTGAGGGATCGTGGCATATTATTCAAGGAAGTCGCTGGATATTTTCTCTTCTCCTTATAGCACCGTCTTCGAGGTACTGAGCCGCGATCGATTTTGACTGATCCTCAACGGCCTATTCTGGCCCAGCCTCATGCCCACCCGTAATTTCAACTGCTATGGGCTAAATTGCGCGGCTTTGAAATTATTGGGCTTCATGGCTTTTTTTCTTTTTTTTTTTTTTTTTTTTGCTTATTTTATTTTCTTGCTCTCCTTTTTCTGTGGTATATTGGTTTTTGGCTTTGATAGTTTCGTGGTTCTGGCTTTCCTCTTCTTTGTAATTTATGTTCTCCCGACCAGATACCCCCGTTCGAGGTCTCCGGTTTTAAGCTCTGGCATCTTCGAACACGGTCTTGGAGGCGGTTTATGGGCGATTATGGCTTCGGGGTGTTTAATCCTGTTATTTTTCTTTTCTTTTCTTTTCTTGCCTTTTTTTAGATTTCTTTGATATTTCTGTGTCGTGCGTCTGTGTAGTTTTTCTTGAAGATTTTATCCACTTGCCCCTGCCAGTTCATGATTTGCAGCGACATCTCAATAGTAATAATGGACCCGGAGAAATGTACGTTGTTCTCTTGCCCTTCCATTTTAAATATAACGCTTCACATAGCAATGCTAAACGAGTCGATGCCGTCATGAACAGGAGCCAGTTGCTTCTCTCCTGGCTACAGTGGAGCGACTGTCGGGATTCCCAACAACACCTTATAAATGTGAGTGTTGAAGGTATGCATTGCCTCATTCGATATCAAGGAGGCTCCTGCGGAGGGCAGAGACCCCAAGCGGCGCCAACCGCCCCGTTATCCAAATTCGATCAATTTATCAAGAGTTGTAGTTGAATATTTGAAGCTTACCGATAATGATAGCTGACTGCCATTTCCATTTATATAACGCCCGTAGAACAGGAAGTGAAAACTCAACAGAAAGAAAAAGAGAAAATTAAAAAAAAAAAAAAAAATTTCAAACAAAGAGCCGAAGAAAAGGGATAATCTATGATACACACACACATGTATGTCGTACAAGCATGTAGTAGTGACTCCGAAGCCCCGCCTCGCTTACCATGCATAATACTGGTTGCGCATCGTCAACGGTCGATCTGGCAGCTGTCTCCAGACCTTTGCCTTCCGCCGCCTGATATCCTTCTGCTCACGTTCCTGCCACTCACGGATGCGAGTCTTTTCTTCCTTGAGTATCACGCTGATGGACGTGTACGGAGGTCGTAAGATGTGGGTGTTGCCTCTGCCGCGAGGGGAGGCTTCTCTTCCGAACGGGCCCCGACCGACCCATGCCTGGGCGATGTAGATGGAGGTTGGATCTGTCACCACCAGGCGCTTGCCATCCTTCAGCGTGAGCGTAACGGGGCGAGCTGCGTCGGCGGTGGCAACGGCAGTTACTTCAACTTGTGCTTCTCCTTCGGCGGTTTCAGTCGCGGCGGCCTGGGCCTCAGCCTGACCCAAGCCCATACCCCGTGAGACAATAGCTTCGTTCTTGGCTTGTTCCAGGAATGCTTTTACATCCTTGGCGGCCTTCTTCTTGCTGTATCTCATCTGCAGGATGGCCTCGTCTATATTTTTGCCCGCGATCTGCCTCGCCAACGGCCCGAGTTTCTTCACCGAGGTCTTGAACCAGTGTGATTTGGAGGACAGTTCTCGCTCAGACTGCATTATTTTCTCCTTTCGCGTTAGCCGGCCACGTCGGTGGATGGTCCGTATTACCATCTTGCGCTGCCATCGTGCACGGCGGTTCGGGTGGGGGTTGAGCGATCTCTCGAGACTCGCGGTGTCACGTTCGCTCAGGTCAACGATGGTCGTCTGCGCCTCGCCATCCTGTGCTTCGGCCTCAGCAGCCGCCTCTGAGCGACGTTTGGGGGTTCGGCCTCCGGTGGTGATTTTGGGGAAATCCTCCCCATCGGCGAAGATGGAGCCCGATGCGAGGGAGCCACGCTTGACAGGGGGCGGACGGAAGGAGACCTTGGGCCCAGATTTCGTGTCCGGAGAATCAACTGACGACGTAGAGGGCTCCGTTGAGGTAAGGAAGGGGGTTGACAAAAATCCTCGGCGGGAGATCTGGGGGAGTCGATTTCTCGCTGGAACCGGAGAAAGCAGCTTTAGCAGGCTGCGCAACCGTGGCGATTGACAGGGAACATATGGCACCTACCTGAGCGAGCCAATTGGCGAGAAGCGAACGCAGCGCACACGGCCGCCATTCTCGCTTGAACTCTTTCACAATTGCCTGGCGAGTCGGCGTGCTCCGTTGCAACTTTTCGATGCTTTTGCTCTCGGACTGAGAAAAAGGTCAACATGGCGCTAGTCCCGAGACGGCTAGTCTCATCGTCAAATAGATTACATCAGCAGGATTTCGTCTTGGCGTCATTATGTAAGTCTTGGCGCCGAGCCGGGTCGGGACTCGCCGTTCCGGTCCATTAGAACTGGCGTTTCGTGCTCCGTGCTCCGTGGGAGCCCTGAGGTCGCTGCAGTTTGGCCATCTTTTGCAGCCGGCCAAGTGCATGCCGAGTGGTTCTAGATCGTTGTGGCGTGAGATGTGACACGCAGGGAAGCTCATTTGTCGACATCATCATAGCCATCAAAAAGTTGCGAAGACCGGGCTGCTGGTCCGGCGTTGCCGAAATTCAACTCTTTGCCAAAACCTGCCACAGGTCAAACGCAGTACGGTGTGAATGTCGGAACATTTGCTCTTCTCCCCGGGACAGAAAATGTTTTACCCTCCCAGGCTGTGAATTATCTCCTCCGTACTTCGTATGACGTACATATTTAGGTACTTTACTATCATGAGCGAAAGACCAATTGCTAACGTCACGGCGGGAGCCATATATCCAATCCAGCTACCTTACGCCTACATTGCATGAGCACCTTGAAAAAGCCCCCGGAGAAGCCCTAGTTGCCATTCGCACACGGAAAAGCTAGCATACGCTCGACATCCATTCGTCCCGCATGTTAGTGGGGTGGTGGTGTCGTTGTTAGTGTTTTCCGCGGGCTTTAGGATCCAAGACCGTCGAATCTTTACTTCCTCTACGCCAACTTCTTATTTTTTTCCCTTTTTTTTTTTTTTCTTTTTTATTTTTTTTTAAATATACGGAGTACGGAGTATACGGAGAATATATATTTTCAAGCCACAGGGCCAGACGCCGCGATTGTGGGGAAGTCATTGGCTTTTGGATCTTGCACGAAACTGGCCAGGCCTGACAAGGAAAAAAGGGGGCCGAGGAGCAATCTGATTTTGTGGCTGGCGAAGCCGATGACGTTGCAATCCTGCAACAAAAAGAAAAGTCTCATTTGCATGGCATCTCACCTGTCCCATGCGATTGCAGCCTTTCGTCACCCCCCGGTAATGGGGACAAATTGACACCTGATGATGTGAAATTTGACTGGCTTGCTTCCCATGAATGCCAGTCCAGACTTCGCGCTGTGGAATTTAACTGCCCAATGGGAGCATGGGGGTATGTCATTCAAGGGGGGGAGGGGTATGTTGGTTGGTCCAAGAGGGTGGTGGCTGAGTGGCAATAGCCCTGTGAAAAGCCCTACGGAGGAAATCTGGGTAAAGATCTCTTGGAGCGTTCTGGGCTCAATAGAAGTAAGGTTGAGCAGAACATGGTATGTATGAGATAGCGCCTTTGATGTAGGAGAATACATCCACTCAATGTTGGAGAAGTCGTGGATGATAAATAAAGGGCAGAGCCACGGCAGGCCGTTGATGTACACATGTATCTCGTTACCTGCGAAGGGGCAGTGGAAAAGGAAGCTTTTTCATTTCATTTCATTTTCTTTTTCTTCTCTCCTTTTACTTTTTTCTTTCTTTTTTCTTTTTCCGACTTTGTTCTTTTTTTTCTAGAAAGAACCGGATGCCTTCGTGTTCTGGACCTTCTCGTAAAAAGGGGGCTTGCGCGGCAGGCAAACGCCCTTTGGGGAAATTGGGATATTCACTGAAGCCTGACTACCGTGGAGACCTTTTGTCTACCAACGCAGAACTCGCTGAGATGGAATCATGTAGATAAGTAGTTGTTCTGCAGGAGTGAGGTATGTAAGTATCGTAGAGCAGCGGGATTGGCGACGAATGCGGCCAGTTTCGGAGGATCAGCACTCGATTTGCCTGTGGATACCGGCGATGACGTCGAAAGAAAAGCGGACGCGAACATCGATTAGCTCCGAGAGCTTCACAACAGCTGTCCGCGGGCCGGATGAATTTCCAAGTGAACGAAGAAAGACGGGCGAATCGTCACTCACGTCCCCCTCCGACTGAAAAATCAGCCGAGCGTGACTGGCTCGATGAAGCGAGAAATGGGGGATGGGAACGCGGGCGACGGATCAACTCCTGTTTTTCCATATCTCCCTTTTCTCCACCGTCGACGGCTGCACCTTTTTTTTTTTTTGTTTTGGCGAATAGGCGGACTTTCTCGCCCGGCGGCCGTCTGTGCTCCCCCCCTCGGCAGCGCTGGGGGCGGCAAGGGCGCTGGCAGATGCTCGTTACCAAGGTGATGCTGGAGTTAAAACACACACAACCATGCGGGATCGAGAGCTGGGTTCCCTTGACCAACGTCCGGAGTAAGATAGTTAGTTACCTAGTTAGATAACGGACAAAAAAAAACAACACTTAAAAAGCTGGTGGAGGAGAACTCTTTGCTTTCCTTTTCGTTCGGCGCCGAGAAGTCCCGCAATCTACAATTTTGATTTTCTTAAGCTTTTATTTTTATTTGATTTTTTATTTTTATTTTTATTTTTATTTTTTTCCATTCTCTCTGTGGGGTGGCTGTTGTTGTTTCAGCAGTGGGAAAAAACGCCGCCGAAAGTATGTGGTATCTTTCACTTCCTCGAAGGTGAGTTGACCTGGCTGCCACGGTTGCTTCGGGGGAAGTCAAAACATAGGAGGGAGATGTAGAAGTAGAAAGTAAAAACATGAGAGGGAGATGTAGATTGCAGAATGATGCAGAGGCAGGAGAGGCAGAGGGATCCGGACGGTGACTTCGGGCGCGACGGTCTAGAATACGCCCGGCCGGCTCTGACTAGGGCTCGAGCCCGGGATGGCTTGAGGAACGAAGGGGGTCATGGGAACGGGGGTTGCTGGAATCATCGAGGAATTTGCTGGTCGATGGATGTTCGCTGCAGAGACAGCTGGTATGGGAGATACTCTCTCTCTCTCTCTCACACACTCATTCTCTCTCATTCTCTCTCTCTCTCTCTGTGTGTGGACGGCGGAGGGAGGGTTGAGCTGGAGTCGTTAACCTAAGAGAGCACGGACAAAGCCAAAGTAGCTACATAACTATCCTCTGTAAAAGTCATATCTAGTCATTTTTGGAATTTTCTGTTTAAAATAGTCTTCTTGCTCTGTGATTTGATGATGTGAATATCGTTCTGTCGAGAGGTGCAGGGCAGAGCAAAAGAAAGTCGACCGCAGCGGCTTTGATGGTGTGGAATTTTTTTCCCTTTTTTTTTTATTTTTATTTTTATTTTTTATTTTTTTATTTTTTCCTCCTTGCGGGCGGCGGGAGAGACTCAGAGAGCACGCTTTCACTGGCACTGACCGGCTGGGCGACAATCACTCGCATCGCCAACCTTCATCGTCCGCCATCCTCTCCCTTCACCAATCCCCGTGGCATCTTTCTTATCCACTTTTCCCTCTCACACCACCCTCTTTGCTCTCGATTTCTCACTCGCACATCACCTCCCCCCCTCCCCTTTCCTCCTCGCTCAATTCTTTGCACGATGGGCCCTTTTTAACCCGCCGCCCTTCCTGCTCGCCCTCCAGAAGCACGACCCACCGAGACCCCAGACGACGAGATCCCTCGAACTCTGCCGTCCGTCGCCGTCGCTCTCTGTCGCCAAATTATCTCTTCGATCTCCGTCCCCCAACCATCTTCCCCTGCCCGACCTCCTCACCCTGCCCTTCGCACGCCTTTCGCATCCCCTCCGCCGGCACTCGGGCCACCGTCGCACGCACACACACACACACACACACACACACACACACACACACACATACACACATACACACATACACACACACACGCACGCACGCACCCCTCTCCCCTTCACGGTTTCCCTTCTCCTCTCGCCCTCTTGCCCCGTGCATTTATGCTTCATTCCGAAGATCTCTCCTGCAGATCATCGCTCACCCTTGCCCTGCCGCCGCTGCGCTAGGTTTCTCCCCGGCGTGAGCATCTGACGTCGAAAAATTCTGCCGCCGTCGCGAGTTCCGTCGAATCGAGGCTGCGCCGACGAGGTCATAGCCACGCGAGCGACTCTGGTAGCAGAATACCACCTCGAGAAAAAGGCTTTTGGAGGCACCTCCTAAAAAGAATTTTTTTTTTTTTTTTTTTTTTTTTTTTTTTTAAAAAAGCAAAACAAGTATAAAAGCAAGCCGAGAGAGCCTTCCCTGTCCTGGGACCCTTTGGACGTGTTCATTGGAAACGACGGCGAGAGGATCATGGACCTTGCGAACGTCCAGTTTGGAGAATATCACTAGTGCTTGATTCGCAGACTGAACTGGATCATTTGCTCCTCGTTCCATCTCCTCCGGGCCGTAGACAATCGCCTGAAGCGTTGCTTTCTCCTACCTTGGTCTCGGCGATTCGTCTTGATATCTTTGTTTTGTCACTTTTCTTTTCTCTCCTTTTTTGTTTTCCCCCCCTCCGTTTGCTAAAATTCCAGTGCAAGACCTCGGTCGCCGGGAACTGCCTTAGCTCAATCATGGATATAAATTCGCTCTTGTCCCACGACTCGACGCCCTCGAGTCAGGCTCGTAATCCCTCGGCCAACTCGCCTCGCAGAAGGCCGTCTCACAATCTTCGCTCCAACCCAGCGAGGCAGAACATGACCTCTTCTCCCCTCGTTCACCAGGTTCTTACGCCTTCGAATCTGCGCGAACCGTCCCCGCCTGCCATCAGTCCTGTAATTGGGCCTGTGCGATCCAGCGGCGGGACTCCACCTTCCTCCGATTTGCCTCCGCCCAGACAGGCGTCGACTCCGGGAATGGATACCCTCGCTGATCTCGCCTCGATGCAGCAGCATCAGCCACAGCGGTCTAACGCCCCGAGACTGAGGAATGCCGAATCCTACGAAAGCCAGCTCTCCCCGTCGACGATGTACCCAAACGTACCTCCGGTTACCCACACCACTCCGACGCCTCGCCCCTTTGAAAGCAATGCGGCCGATGGGTCCAGTGATACACCGAGGAGAGATTATTCCAACACCTGCCTCGCCCCGGATGCCCGTAAGCAAGCGACCGAGCTTTGCGCCGAGATCCAGCGCAATCCCCATGCCTACGACGCCCGCGTCAAGTTCATCAAGCTGCTCCACCAGGGCTTTGTTGACCACGTCTATCCTCCGTCGTCGCCTGGCTCTCGCGGAGATCCCCAGAAGTACGATGTCCTCAAGGACCTCCGCGCGGCCCGTGAGGAATTGGACAACCTATTCGCGATCGGCGAGGACCTCTGGGTGGAATGGATACAGGACGAGAGCCTGCTTGCTCGCACAGTAGAGGAACGCATCTCTGTGATGGAACTGTGTCAGAGATCCGTCGAAGAGGAATTTGGAAGTACTAGACTCTGGATTATCTATGGGGACTGGATGTTATATCTCTACAATTCCGCTTCCAATTCTGGAGAGCCGGCGGCTTCTCAGGCGCAATGGTCAGAGGAGGATAAGGTCGTGGGTCGTGAGGTGTTTGGCTGGCAGTCAGTTATGGATGTGTGGAGGAAAGGCGCCGAGGCCACGAGATGGCGTATTAGCGACAGCCACCTCGTCTGGAATCGATATCTCGAGCTTGCCATGCGAGATCTTGCCAGCTCACCCACCTCCGAAAAGGCATCCCAAGTCCGAGCCTTGTTCGAAAGCAGACTGCAGACTCCTCACATGGCCTGGGACCAGACGTTTCAAATATTTTCCAATTTTGTTTCAACTTACTACAATGCCAACTATGAGGATATCATGGTCAGTACTAATGCGAAAGCCGGCGAAATAAAAGCCATTTGTGATGCCAGAGAGACAAGCGAATTGGCCCTGCAGCGTGCCGTCGAGTCGAATGACACTACGGCTGAATGGACCGCATACAGCCAGTATCTCGAGTTGGAAACTACGCACAAGTACAAGAAGCCTTTGTACGGCTTTCAGTTGATAACGGCGTTGTTCCAGCGTGCTCTGCTGCGATTCCCGACTGATGCGAGTCTCTGGGATGACTACGTCATATACATCGTCAATGAGTCGATGCATCGCCGCACCAATGAGCCCGTCATTCCTATCCTAGAGCGTGCTGCAAGGCACTGTCCCTGGTCCGGTTCTCTCTGGTCTCAACTCTTATTATCCGCGGAGCGAGCCGGCTATTCCTTCCAGGACATATCCGATTTGAAACATAGGGCCACCCGTACCGGATTGCTCGAGGCTGCAGGTGTCGATGAGGTGTTGAAAGTTCACACCACCTGGTGCAGCTACCTCCGGCGGCTGCCGTTTCAGTCCAATTCTACGGATGAGGATTTAGACGTGGCAGAAGTGGGGATGCGGTCCGCGATCGAGAGTGTCCAAGCTATAGGCGACAAAGGCGACAAGACGGTCCCGAACGATCCTCTCTTCCGCCTCGAACGGATATATATCCGTTATCTGAGCGAAAGCGGCAGCTGGGATAGTGCCAGAGAAACATTCAAGGGCCTGGTTGGGCGTCATGGTCATACCTACGAGTTTTGGCTCATGTTTTATACGTGGGAGCTCTTGTGCTGGAGTAAATTTACACAAGGTGACGGTCCCCGGAAAGCCCCCAGTCCTCACTACGCGACGGCGGTGCTGAAGCAGGCGCTGCAAAGAGATGACTTGGACTGGCCCGAAAAGATAATGGATACATATATCGCGCATTGCGAGCAGTACGAAGATGCCGAGGAGCTTCAGCTGGCCATCGTCGAGATCCGAAGGGTCTCCAAAAAGGTTGCGAAGCGACGAGAAAAAGAAGCTTTGGAGGCAGCGGCTCAGCAGCAAGCAGCGGTTGCTCAGGCAGTGCAGGCAGTTCAGAATAACGCTGAAGACACGGTGCATGTTGGAAAGCGAAAACGTGAATCCGCAGACGTCAACGGCTTGGCTAGCAAAAAACCAAAGGCCGAGGTTAGCGAAGCCAAACCTGCGGAACCAGAGGCGGAGCATGCTCCCAAACGCGACCGGGAAAATTCGAGTGTTTCGGTCAAAAACCTGCCTAGGGATGTCCGAACCCTCAAAATCCGGCAGTTTTTCCGTGATGTGAGTCTATTGTGAAAGCTGTGCATTTCCTTTTTCTTTTTTTTTTTTTTTTTTTTTTTTTTTTTTGACCAAGCTGACCTCTTTCAGTGTGGGAAAATCAACGCCGTCACACTCCTCCCGGCGGATGGTGATTCTGCCTCTGCGATCGTCGAGTTCGACTCGAAAGATGATGCGGAAGTTGCTCAGACGCGGGATCAAAAGGTTTTGGAAGGGCGTGTGCTTAGCGTCCAATTGGAAACCAAAGCAACACTTTTTGTTACAAACTTCCCACCCGAAGCCGACGAGTCCTACATTCGACGGATATTCAGCCCAGTAAGCTGCTTCTCGTGAATGCCTTCCCGGTCCTTGGCTATGTGCTGATGGTCTCTGTAGCATGGTGAGATTGTTGAGGTGCGGTTCCCGTCTCTCAAGTTTAATACCCACAGGCGGTTCTGTTATGTGCAGTTTGCTTCTGCAGCCGATGCGCATGATGCACTCGAGTTAGATCACAAGTCTGTGGGGGAAAATTTGAACCTCGTGGTGAAGATATCCGACCCCTCGAAACGCCAAGCTCGTTCTGGTGCGTTCGAGGAAGGCCGGGAAATCCATATCTCAAACCTTGATTGGAAGGCTACTGAAGACGACCTAATTGAGCTCTTTACGGCTTTTGGCAAAGTCGAAGTTGCGCGCATCCCAACGAAGGCCGACGGTGGCAGTAAGGGGTTTGGGTTTGTAGCATTTTCCACACCGGTAAGCTCATACCCGGGTGCAACATACCTCCTTGAGCAAAACTGGGTTAACTCACAGTGCTATAGGAAGCTGCAAATGCTGCTTTGGCGATGGATCAGAAAGAGTTTCGCTCCCGACCGCTCCGTGTCAGACTGTCTACGCACACCGGCGCAAAACGCCAATCTACTACCATAATTTCGCGCGTTGGGCGGTCCAAGTCTCCATCCATGGAACCAAATGGAGGGGCTTCGCCATCCACCGCTTCGGTCAATCAAGCCGACTTACCAGTTGGTGAAAGGAACCTTCGCACTCTCGGTCTAATGAATATTCCCGACACCGTCAACGATGCCCGTATTCGCACTCTAGTCGAGCCGTATGGACCTCTTGTGAAGATAATTCTTCGCCCTGACCATCAAGGTGCTATTGTCGAGTTCATGGACGTGGGTGATGCTGGAAAGGCGGCCCTTGGGCTCGACGGCCAGGAGATTGCTCCGGGTCGTCAGATTCGCGTTGGACCAGTATCAGAAATGCTGAAGCAGCCGCCCGAGCATAAAGTGGATCGTCTTCAAGTTGGAAAGCAAAAGCAAAAGCAAAAGCCGGCGCTCATGGTCCAGCCTGCCGCACCCATTTCGAGACCTGGTCAACAGGGTCGTGCGGGAAGAAGAGGCGGACTAGGTGTAAAGAAAGGCGCCTTCAACGGGAAAATTGGGCCCGCTTCAATTGCCACGAAAGCAGAAGCACAGCAGTCTTCTGCAGATCGAGTTTCCTCCCATGATCACATATTATCCGAGGCTCCGAAGCCAAAGAGCAATGACGATTTCCGAGCCATGTTAAGTCAACCCAAGACTAAGTCAGAGGAGATATGAATAAAATTCATGCATAAATAAAATCATGAATTTGCCGGCTCTTCTATCCAGTCAGCGCTGGCGTTGTTTCTTTTATTATATATATATTTCTTTTATGTGACAAAGTAATGATTTCGGGCTGGTTAAGGGAGGAAAAGAAAAAAACAGAAGTTGAATGGCAAAACGGAAAACGAGACCGCGAATAAGGACAACCCAAAAAATTTTAATTGCTAATGGTCCACTGGCAGCCGGGTGTGGTTTGCCTCCCGTCTCTTCTCTCCCTAAAAAGGCGGAAGACGCCAGTTAGCTAGGATTGGCACAACGGGAGGGCTGGTGATGGGTGGACGGTATGACTTTTTACTTCCCCATCCCTGCCTTTTTCATCATCTTTTTAATTCTCTATATGGGCATGACATAGCTACCTGATCTTGTTCTACTGCTATGTTTTATCTTTTAATTTTTTCAGGCTTTGTTTCTCTATATATTGCCTTTGTTTTTTCAGTGTATTCTTGTTCATGTTACCCATTCCAGCAAATCCTCATCTGCACCCCCTGATGCTTTGTTTTTCAGCCCACCTCAAGGTTTTTACCATATGTGTCTTGTTCAATTTTTTTTTTTTTTTTTTTTTAAACCTTTCTTCTTAAATTGTGACTCCCCTGTATTAATCCTCTGCAGTATTATTGTGTTCTTTGCATGTTGTTCTTTCTTTTTTTTTTTTTTCCTGTCGTGTGGCATGGGTTACTCGGCTCTGAATGATAATGGAGGTGAAAGGGCTAGAGGGGAGGAAAACATTCAGCTTTGCATTTAGTTATTTTTCTATTCTGCCTCCTTGAATTCCCAAACGCATTGTACGCATCGGGGGAGTAAAGTGCTTTTCGCAAACTGGTTTTGTTTTGGAGCATGATAATGTACGCTATGAAGTGCTTTCACAACTCCAACATGATGATCATGCAGTTAAGAAAGGAGTTATAATGCAAATATGTGGCGAGTTACATGGCTTAAGGGGTGTGGTCGCGATGCTAAGCAATCAATACAGCGTTGAGCTGTTGCATTATATCCAGTAGCTGAGCGAAGCGATAAATATAGAGTATTTCTGTAGAAAGCGTTTTACGAAAAGTCTACTCCGTACGGAGTACATTTATGAACAATGTGAGGGTATGTCCAGTGCATTAAAAACGGAGTACCCTTCAGGTACCTCTAACCTGAAAACCGGTGACGAAAAGGTGGACTCTTTTGGTACCCGATACCTGGAAGCAACCTGCATGGATCATCCCACCACGTGCGTCACCGTGCCCGGCGGCGCCTCAAAGCGCAGGCAGCAAAATAGCGCAGAGTTGTTACACGCCGTCCTGCCCATTCAACGACGGCAGCCGACGCAACGTCGCTTCTGGCTCTACTATTTGATGGCAAACTCGTAACTGAAAGAGTCCTGGTGCCGTCATCCGTGCACCAAAACCCCCTCTGAAGACGATCCCACCAGCAGTTGTTCACGAGGACGGTGTTCCTCCAACCACTGACCTTCAGGGTCCACACCACCTTGGTATTTAGTTGACGACTTTGCCCCCATCGTCGTCGTCGCCGGGGATAGCTCTCACCGGAAAGGCCTTCTTTCGCTCAACGCCAGTCGACTCGCCTGGCAAACAGAGTCTCTGAAGTGTGTATTCTTCGAACGTTGGGAGGGAAGGCCATCACCAACCGACCAAAACATACACTGTGAGACCAGCCGCCATCCTGGATTTCCATCTGGTGCCCGGGGAAGGGCGAAGGAACTACACTGGATTCGTCACCAAGACGATCCTGTACTCTGCCACCTTACTCGTTTTCTTAACTGGTACGTTATCCGCCTCCCCCGGCCTGCGTCGCAGGAAAAACCCATCAGTAACTTGAAACTGACGCATCGGATCGGGCAGCTTCTGCACTGACGCTGGCGTCAATCATCGTGCCGAAATGGGTCAGCTATTACAGTGAGACGGTGTGTATCTACCTGCTTTGCCCATTATTCGCTTTCTCTACTTCGCTAGAGTGAGCGTGTCCAGCTCGCTGACTGATTGTGGTCGTTAAATATCTAGCCATCTGGCACGAAATTCCATTACTCCTATGGCCTTCATCGCCGCTGCTCCTCCCTTACCCAGTCTTGCGACCCATTCCCACAATATGAAGACTGTCACGGCGACAATGACGGGTCCTTCTGCTCGATGTGGCGCTCCGTCGCCTTCCTGATGTCGTTCGCGATCGTGCTTGAAGGAATGACACTAATCACATACATTTTCATTCTCGCGGGTGGAAAGCAAATGCGAGAAACCGGGTGGAAAGTTCTAACGTTGTTTTTGGTATTTATAACCCTAGTGCAATGCGCCGCGATGGCGCTGGTGGTAAGTCCGAGCGACAGTCTGTCCTTATCAAGCCGTTATTCAGGTCAGCCTCCTGACTCTGCGTTTGTAGTCGTATCTCTTTGACAACGATGAACGGTTCTATCCCGGCTGGAAATTGGATAAATCTTGGATTATGAGTGTGGTCAGCATGTGCCTGGCTGGTTTCAACGCGGTCATCATCTATATGACCATTCGCACCCTGCCGTCCGAAGGTGGATACGAATTGATTGCCGATAATTCCTAATGATTCTCCATCTATCTCTACGTATACCATTTTCCGATCGATGTGTCTTTGTTTTTTCTAGCGGTGGATATTCATGCTTTCAGCTTTGATCTTAATAACGAGTGATAATCCTGTGATGTCGCATTATTCGAACTAACAATCCGGCGCTTGGCTAGCTTTCCTGAACCTCTTTTTCTTGTTCTTTGTCCTAGCTTTAAATAAATTTGTGACGTCCAGTTGGTTCCCATCCGGTTTTTTTGCCTCTATTTCATTTGCGTTTCAAGATCTGATGTTGCTTTTTATCGAAGACCCAACGGCGATGGTGGTGCATGCATACCTGCATCCTCCAATCATCCATCGAGTAACTAACCAATATCCATCCTCGAATCCGACGCAACGAATCATCCACCGTCAAATCGATTGCTTTGGGGCAAAGGTACTTTTCTCCCTGCTCTTGTTGCCCAGGAAGCAGCCTCACTTGCTGCGGAACAGGGTTGTTCCGTGTTAGCCCGATGACAGCTCATCACAGCTTTAAATGCCGCCCAACTTGCAACAAACTTATCGTTGGAAGTAATTAGAAGATTTCAGCATATTTAAGAAACAGGTCCAGTAAATTCTGGCATCTTGATGAGCCTGTGCAGGTGTATCTACTTGACATCAGTGACTTTGCACATACATACTCCGGACCTACTCCTGGAATACTTTGCCAGCCCTCCCGAACACATATTTTCTTTCGCATAGCCCTTGCCTGTTCCTAGGTCCTCGCCTAGAGCATCACCACATTCCACAGCATTTCTACTCGCGTAGAAATACCTCAGCATGACTTCCCTAAGGTTCCATCTTCTGACCGAATGGTCTCTTATGTTTTGGTTGTGATCGGGCTTGTACTAAAGCATGGCAGGTTTCGTGGCGTGACCGTGATTACGATCACTGTTGGCGAGTCCGAAGCTCAGTTCCAAGCCCACAAGGACCTCCTATGCCAGAAATCCCCATTCTTCAACGGCGCCCTCACCTCTGATTTTAAGGAGGCAGCCGAACACGCCATCACCCTACCGGAAGACGATCCAGATACGTTTGAACGGTTTCTGCAATGGGTATATTCAGGCACATATGTTCTGTCGGGGATCGGGAGCGATGAGGAGGTAGACGAGCGATATATGCAGCTTGCACAGCTCTATGTTCTTGCTGATAAGCTTGAAGTACCCGCGCTGAAGCATAACATAATCAACGAGATGTTCCTCATGAAGCTGAGCCCAGGCAAGCCTCCACAGGTCGATGTCATCTCATACGTCTATGAGAACACGCGGGTCCGGTCGCCACTGCGCCAGTTAATAGTTGCGTGGCTGGTGTGGCATGTCGATTTTGAATGGTATAAGACGGCGAATGCCATGAATTTCCTGCCTCAGTGTCCGGAATTTGCAGCCGATTTGGCGGTTGCTCTGGCACGGCGATTTGTCGACTTTAATATGTTAGACCCATTCACGGGATCTCCGGATAATTTCTATCACGAAGGGTCCGTGTTCCCATATGTACAGAGTCCCACGAGCGACAACCCGAAGCATGCAAGGCTTGGGAGCACGAAGAAGCAGCCCTTGGCCATCAATACCAGTGCAACGCAGCAGTCGAACCCGGGGCTTCGGCCGATGGCTAGCATAAACACGATTGCGGCGTCAGGAGTAGGCGGATCGAGAATTGGCAGTTCGATGAGCTTAAGGACATCGGAGCCTCTCAGGAGCCCTGGGTTATTTTCTTCCGCAAGTTCTGATACAGCTCAAACACCAACCCTTAGCAGTAGCCAGGGGTTCGGATACGGATCAGGCGCAGGATCGTCGAGTGCAAGCTCGAATGGCTTTGGTTAAGAACTGTAGGAATTCTCGCTTGTTGGGGTTGAAAAGGATCGTTTCGAATATCGGTATGGGAGGAAGACTTCAAGCGTGAGGAGTTGGGAGTTGTGGTTTTGGGCTCTGGATGTTCTATGTATGGATGTATCGCGAACTTTGCCAGTATCATATCTAAATACGGAGTACGTGCCATGGCCCTTCTTCTTTTTCCCACTTTCATCCGTCTCCGTGATCTTCTCCTGGTGTCAATCCAACGAAGTAATCCAGTTTAAATTAACTAGTTTTGAAGTTTTTAATTTAGAGCTTACTAATAACAGCCGCCTGGTTAGCTCAATCGGTAGAGCGTGAGACTCTTAATCTCAAGGCTGCGGGTTCGAGCCCCGCATCGGGCTTATCCTTTTTTGTCAGGGTTTGATTTTTTTTTCTTTTCCTTTTTTTTCTTTTTCTTTTTTTTTTTTCTCCTTTGTTTCTGTTTTATATTTACTCCTTTCTACGATCATATAACTAGCGAGCTGCCCGGCCAAAATGGGTCGGTTTTGAAGCCGCTTCCAGCTGCCAACCCGCCAAGGATTCCCTCAGCACACTCTGGGCTTCGAAGCAGTGACTGCAGAAGGTCTATCCCACCTGACCAAGGAGTTTAATCTTTTACCAAAGAACCACTTTGGAGCATCTGCTGTGATTACAGGTCTCGATTTTTTATACCATTGCTCATTGCTGTTATTATCAAGTCAGAATTTTGTCATCCATACGTAGATGAAATACGGTTCTGCGTAAACGGGGGATACGATAGGCAACGCTGCGTCCTTTCTGCGTTAGATCCAACGTCCTGTTGGACTCCCCGGCTGCAGCCTGATATACCTGGTGGTCAGCTAAGATCTGATGCATTTCTCATGTATGTTTAAGAGGAAATGCGCGATGCATTGCTATCGGATGCGACTTCGCATTCGCACGGAGCTCAAGATGCATCTAGCATAACGCCGTGCGGCGTCAAAGACCAGCCAATGTTACATCCAGATCTCTCGATACTTAAAGATTGGATATCATTGTTCCCGTTGACGTCACGCTAAGGACGTCTCAACATCTCACTTCTTTTGGAGCCTCGGGAGAGTCAACGTAAAAGCATCCAAAATTCTCCAGGGTAACGCTAGATGATCTATTCGCTCAACGACTTCCTTCTCAGGCTGCCTTACTCGAACTTTTCCTTTTCATCCAGCCCCTGATTCATCAGCGTCGCTGCGGCAGGCCTACAAGCTTTCAAACCTACAATAGTGGAAAATTCTCAATATGTCTTCAACTATTGGACTATATGTTGCCATCTTTGATGATGGTGGTGTATGTAGTCACTGAAGTCTCTTCATCAACAGGCCAACAGATGCAGAAGAGGCCCTCCTCCAAATCATGGGTTCCTCTACCAGATATCATTTCAACATGAGGAACTCAAACACTCATAATGGTTCACTTGTGTGACATGGACACTTCTAAAATTGGCACAATTAAGAATGCTGCGAAAAATGTGGTTATCCATAACAAATATCCAGGCTATAACTGTCAGGACTGTCCTTGAGCTTCTGGGTGACTTGGAGAAGAAGAATATTATCAACAAGAGCAAGACCAATTATAAACATAACAAGAAAGTCATTCAAAGCAAGCAGGAGTGATTGGCATAGGTGAAAGGGTCTGATAGAATACCTTCCTTGAAGTGTTGTGTTACTCATTTGTTACCGCACCCTAGCTTATATACTACACTGCTTCATGCATTGGAGTGGTCATGTTCCAGAAAGGAGTGAAGGAATTTGACATAAGCGGAGCTGCTATAGTGGTGGGCAGAGAATTGCAAGTCATTGAACTTGATGGCTGTGGTGATACCTGTAAAAAGGGCACATTCATCAACATGGAGCTCTTTGATATCTTCTCCACAGACTTCTCCAAGCACATTGCCATCGTTCACGGGCCGCTCCAGGCGCTGATTAATAGTTTTGATCCGATCAGATAAGATAGCCGCGACCCGCCACCCGAGACGCACACTAGCCAATCGGATGCCGAGACGGACCGGCTTCCGCGGAATTCCACCGCTGATGCTTACTCAATATTTGCAAGCCGGACCATCCACTCCGCCTATGATCGTGGTTCGGGGCCCTGGGGAAAAGAACTCTCCCTCGGCCTGGAGCTGAGCCATGTGTGTTATGGCTATATATATAAGCCATCAGCCGGCCTCTGCGAGGATGATAGGCGCCGTTCGAGAGTCTCCGGGTTGGCAGGCACAAGGGACGGTCGATTTTGGGAGGTTTCGCGCGCAGCCTGTCGGCCTCTCTCAGCATCAATTATTCGAGCAAAACTGAAGTGGAACGGCGTCTGGTTCACGAGGGACTGGGTTTATTTGATCGAGTTCGCGGTGCACTTTCACCTCTATCTCTCCTCGGGATGGCAACTTATACGGAGTCGAATGGCGCCCAATCCTCCCGTCAGCCAATAGACGAGGAAGCAAACTCAAATTCAAACGATGATTCCATCAAAGCCGGGAGCAAGGGCGAGCGGCCAGCCTGCTTCAGGTCCACCATCCAGGAGTGTATCTTTGTCGCGACGACGACAATGGCAATCGGACAGGCAACTTTTTTCACCGGGATAAATATCGGTATCTCAGCCTCCATCGGGAACGCTCTGAACATGACATCTGCGGAGATCACTTGGATCACGGCGGGGGCTTCGTACGTATCATTGGCATCTCACCAGTTTGGCAACATTCCACTGATCACCTCCGTATAAATGTAGACTCAGCAGCGGGGCGTTTCTTCTCTCCTTTGGCAAATTGGCCGACCTCTTTGGCCGAAAGGCCATGTTCGTCACCTCTATGCTGGCCTTCACTGTTGCTGTTCTCGCTGCCGGCTTTGCTCCGAATGCACTGTTTCTCGATATCTTCTCCGGCCTCGTCGGGCTTTGCTCGGCAGCCGTCGTCCCACCCGCCGTAGGCGCCCTGGGAGCTGCCTACGATAAGCCCTCGAAGCGGAAAAATATCGCTTTTTCCTGCTTTAGCGCAGGTAACCCGCTCGGCTTCGTAGGTGGGGCGATAATATCCGGTGTCGCGTCTAGATTGTACAACTGGCGGGCGTCGTATTGGGCGTTGGCGGCTGTATATGCCATATTCTCTGTGATGACGATTTGGACGGTCCCGCCAGATGCACACCCGAGGGAGAAGCTGAGTTGGGAGGCGTTGAAGAAATTTGACCTGGTGGGGTCGATGTTGATCGTCACCGGGTTGGCCCTATTCTCGAGTTCCTTGACGTGAGTTGCTGTTTCACATCACTCCGCTTTACCGTAAAGATGCTGACGAAAGGGGCGGTAGACTTGCTGGAGATGCTCCGGATGGCTGGAAAACAGGATACGTTATTGCCCTTTTGGTTGTCGGCGTGGTACTTGTCGCCGGGTTTTTGTTCTGGCAGTCTGTCGCTAAGTACCCATTGATGCCATTGTATATATGGAAGGACCGAGATTTTTCTCTAGTAAGGAAAATATTGTACCTCTCAGTCGTGTGTCAAACAAGCTAATGTATCTTTTTGTTTCTAGCTGAATATAATTCTCGGCTTGGGATTTATGGGATTCTCATCGGGTTCGTTCTGGCTGGCCCTGTACCTTCAGCGAATCAAAGGCCTAGACGCGCTTCAAGTCGCTCTTTATCTTCTTCCCCAGGTTATCAACGGAATCCTGGTCAATATTGTCGCAGGCTTAATCCTCCATCGGGTGAACAACAAGCTTTTGATGGGCATCGGTGCACTCTCATATGTTGCCTGTTTTCTCATCCTCAGCTTTATGAAAGAAAATGTGACCTACTGGGCATTTATGTTCCCCGCCCTTTTACTTTCGGTGGTGGGGGCTGATATTGAGTTTAATGTTGTTAATGTGAGTCTTCGTCACATCATGTGCCCCTTTTGACCGCTACCTAACAAAGGCGCCGATAGATGTATGTAATGTCGTCTCTACCTACGGACCAGCAATCCTTAGCTGGTGGGATATTCAACACCCTGACGAAACTCTGCCAAAATATTGGTTTGGGCATGACTACTGCGATCTACGTGGCAATGGACCATAAGAATCCTGATCCATCGCATATCGAGCCGTATCTATCTACATATTGGCTCTCGGCCGGTTTCGCAGGATTAGGATTTGTCTTGGTATTCTTTCTGAAAATCGGAACTCAGGGCGGATCATCTACTGGGGAGGAGAAACGTGGTTTTACGGAGGATACAAACACAGAAAGCGTAGGGATAAAGAAAGAAGCCAAATCCTGACGCTGGATCGATACACCAATACGCTTTGCTAGCCGCAATACCGGAAGGTTTGCAACTCGACCAGTGGGATGGCCGTTCAGTGCAAATTGGCGAAGAGCCCTTTGCACCAAGAAGGCGCATTCTCAATCAGTTAGCTTGGGATGGAAAGCAGTAGACTTTCCTAATAGCTCAAGCTAGTGATTATTAACAGTAAAGGAGCTCTATGGTTTCGGACCCTTGAGGCACTTCGATCTTGATAGCAACGCTCCATGACTTAATGAGGAGCAGTCAAAAGTAACCTCAATGTCAATGAATGAGTTACAGCAGACACAGCTCTGTTGCTCATCCTATCACTTCAACCTTTACTTTCTTTTCACTCAATATTCACTTTATGTTGAATGGGTCATTACATCTCACTGTACAGGCAGCTATTCACCTTCTCAACCCCTCAGCTTACTCATTCAGCAATCGCCGCTAATATATAAGACTCTGCAGCCTCTTAACCCTCTTTTTCAATTTTCCATCTTTCCTTTTAACAAATAATTTTGGGACCTCCAAAAACACTCTAGCAAGTGTAACGCACGATATATCTTGTCCGGGCCTATAGAAATATGCTAAATCTAGTCCAAATTCTTCAAATTTGAAATTATACCTACCAACTTAAATTAAATATTGCCTTATTGGCTTTCCCTGGAACTATCCTACAAAATCATGATTCATATCGAATCTCGAAGAATTGTCGATATTACAGCCCTACTCTTCCTAAAGTGACTTACATTTCGAACTCCCACTGTTGTCAAGCCGCTGAATGGTGCTGTCACCTTCTGCCTTTACCAAATATATTTATGCAACGGCGAGAAAGAAGTGCCAGCTCGGCAGAAGCTGGTACGGTCTCTAATCACCTATTGTCAAAGTTCGGTTCTAGAGCCCTTTGAAATCACGCAGTCTATTGCTTCAAACAACGCAAATACAACACGCTATAGACTTTTTCGGTATGATGTATGCCACACATGCATAAAATATTATCCAAGTGGTGTGCTAGTTGGCGGGTACTGAATACTCCTGCTTGTACTGAAACCACCAGAGATCCAACCTAGCAGGTCATTTGTTTTTTGAAAAAGTTGCAAACCCCCTGCGGTTGGCCTTGGTACATATAGGTGCCATATCACGGACATCCTGACAGGCAGCAGAATGCTGCAGCATAGTGGCGATTGTGTTGCGAAGAGCAGGCGAAGTTGGTTCCCACGTTTGAATGGGTGTGAACTTCTTACGAGCTGTCAAGCCAGCAAGCTTTATTAAGCTCGAGAAGTTTTGGTGCCGCCATGCGTCCGGCCTGGTGGGGTAGAGACCACTTCCAGCGCGCCAATTACTCCATCTCCTGGAATTGAAGCAGAGAATGAACATATATCCGTCGGGAGAGGGGTACAACCTGCAGACATGTGAAAACCTTACTGTTGCCTAGATTGAAGCAACTCATAAGGAGGGTTTGACAAATCAAAGGACTTGACAGCTGAGATTTGGCATCGACGAAACAAATCAAAGACTCATGGGTCCTTTAGAAAGACCTAGGAATGCCATATCAGAGGCCTACGGACCTATGTGAGGTATACGCGGAACCTCTAGGAACCACGAAACTACTGGGTTCAGGCGTTCACTACCACTCGATACCTTTCTATCAGGGCTCAAGCCTGTATAAGTATAGGATTGTGATATAATATTATCTACTTCTAGTATAATGGATTTAGGCCTTGATTAGGATGACCAAAAAACAAACATTTTAGATTAACTAACCAAGAGTTTAGAGTTGTTACTTCAACGCAGCAGCTTCAGGCTGTCACCCGTTAACTAGTTTAACTAACTAACTAACGGGTGGGAGGCGTGGCTCTTGAGCCCCCACCCTACTGGTTTTCTTCGCCGGCGCTCCTTGGAGTATTCGCCTTCATTCCGGCGTAAGCCTTACATAAAAACCGACTAACAAGTTAACGTACATACCCCTGTGGATTCCCGAGTTTTGTGGGGCACTTGAAGCTTGTTCTGGTAGTTTATTTCAACGACAGCAAGTTAAGTTTGGCGGGTCAGTTGCTCCGCCGCGCTCTGCCGACGGGTACACCGTTTTTTCCCCGACAGGAAGATGTTTAATAGATGCACCCGAGAATAGAGCCGGGGAGACTACCATCGTTAAACTGCTACCGGATAGCATTTGTCATGTAAGTTAAAGTGATGAAAGCATGATAACTCTTGAAGGTAGTTGTTGGTGATCCAGCAGCTTGTCATTTCTTCTTAGCACTACTATGGGCTTGCCCCAGTTATTTTTGTTTTCCTTTAATTGTGCAGTATTTGTATGGACTGACACAATGCTGGCTAGTCCTTTTCTTCTTGTTTCCACAGTTCTTATCACCCCCTCTTTCGTCAGGATGGGAGACTTAGCGCCCGTCTCCCACCTGGAGTATTCTACTGTGACGGGATATTTCTTGCAAGACGACCCTGCAACTGATCCCGCAAAATTTGACTATGTATGCAGAAATCTTTCCCGCATAGAGGCTGGAATTACTCATTCGCAATAGGCATCGACAGGCTTTGGCCTCATCGACCAAACTTACGATACTGACGAGTTATTTGACCCCGATCGTAGCAAGTCCCAATGGGAACGCTTTAAACATAAAGTCCTGACACTCAATCGCGATGCTGGACCAGAAGTAAGGTATGCCCTGCTTTATCTAGGGAGACATGGTCAGGGCTACCATAACGTGGCGGAAAGTCACTACGGAACTGCTGCTTGGGACGTGCGTTTTGATACACTTCTATCGATTCAAATTTCTGAAGAGCTGACTTCATTAGTGTTACTGGTCCATGCTTGACGGAAACGGAACCACCAATTGGGCAGATGCGCATCTCACAGATCAAGGCATAGCGGATGCTAAAGTTGCGAACGAAACCTGGGTGACTCAAATGAAAAATGGAATTCCGGTTCCCCAAAGCTATTATACGAGCCCCCTCTCTCGCTGCTTAGACACTGCCAAAATTACATTCAGCACGCTAGACCTTCCCAAGTCAAAACCATTCGTTCCTACCGTAAAAGAGGTATGTATATTCATACTTTAACCTTTGGTATGAGTCTAAGTCTCCCCTAAGAAGTTAACTAAAAACAATTCTCTCGTAAGCTCCTCCGGGAAACTATTGGAGTCCACACATGCGACCGACGTAGCTCCCGAACATATATCCAGGAGAACTACCCAACGTATATCATCGAGCCAGGATTCGCCGAGTCTGATTCTCTCTGGGTGTCTAATCTTCGTGAATCTTCTACTGCGCACAGAGAGCGCCTGCGAACCCTTCTCAATGATGTACTCACACATGACAACAACACATTTATCTCTATGACAGCTCACTCAGGAACAATTAGGTCTATACTCGGGGCCGTTGGACACAGGGATTTTGCTCTTCCTCCCGGAGCCGTGATACCCGTTTTTGTACGAGTTGAAAAGAAGCCTGGTCAAGCACCACATCGAACCGTCCAGCCCTGGACTCCGCCGCCAGAATGCACAGTTGATCCTACTGCGGCTCCGCAAAATTTGAACTAGCTCTGCTTAATCGCACCTGGTATCGTTCTTAGGCATGCATTAATATTAATATAAGATCAATCATACCAATTATCCATGTTTTCTCGATATTGGTTGCTGGGTCCCGTTGAAGTACTTAACCCAACCACCAACTATATCAAATCCAAGATGGGAAAGCCTTTAAAATGCTATCATGGCCGCTGTGGCAGTTATGTACAACGGTCACCACCTTCAGAGTAGATATTATTCATCCATATCTTGACAATTTCACAGTTATGACATATTACCTGTGTTTGTGGCCTTTGTTTTGGTGAGTCTATGGATAACTATTGGCCAAAATCTAGATTTAGATTTGTCGAATATTAGCATCAAACATCACGAACGAGCCATTCAGCCAAGGAGGAATAGTCGCTCCTTCTAGCCTGATGCCGGGTGCTCCTCCGATGTCGGCGTATTCTAGTCAAAGGAAGGTGATAGATACCGATGTCGCAGTCGCCGAATTAGAATTAGACAGCCTTGTTCACTGCTCTCTATCCGGACTGATGATAATACGTGTCTTCGTGGATCCTGGTGCTCGGGCCGTCTATTGAGTGAAGCAAAGCCATTGATAGAAGTCGCACTGGTAAAGGATTTAACGGCACATCCAATGGGGTGCTGGTGTACGGAGTACTCGCATCACAAAACTAAAGCCTCCAGGAAGCAGACTCCATACGTTGAATCTGCCACTAGAGCAGTTGATATGTACTCCGTAGACTGTTTGGACATGGTTCATCCACTCAGAGAGCTCTAAATTGGAAGAATATGCGAGTGGCTTCCCCTGAAAGAGAGATGATCTTTTCCATCTGTACGCTAAAGTATGCACCTTCAAAGTTTGTGGTGTTGATGCAAGATATTCAAGCTAGGAGATCGCGGCTGGGAGGTGGCTGGCTGGATATACTGGAGCCAAATAAATTAGAACGCTAAAAAGCTGTGTCCCGTTCTTCGTTTAGACTTCCTTCTGCGTAGTTTACGGGCATTACTCGAAGTTCAGAGTATAGGACATGTACGGAGTATGTACTGAGTACGTATTATTTCCTCTTTCCTCCAGAATATGTGGCATTAGATGCCAGCCTTGTTACTAAGGAATGCTGCAAGAGCGGTCTCTGCTCGGCGCAACACGCTGTCCAGTAACTAAAAGATCGACAGGGTACTCCGTATCGATGTCAGCTAACTCTAACTGTTGTCATGACGATCATATGTCGAGCGTCTTTATGCGAATACGGGGCACATCTATTATTGTCGCTGTTGTAAAGACAGAAGTGATAGGGAATGGCAGTTCCCCGTAAGATTCGGAGCTCAAAGTTGGCATGCACCTCTACTGTCTCAGGAGCTCAAGGCACGACCGCATACTTCAAATTGGAAAACAGGGTTTCGTTGCGTCGAGGATTTCCTTTACTGCACGATCCGCGGAGTACTCCGTAGTTAAGGTTGAAAAGCAGGTGAACAATTCAATCCTTCAATGTCATGCATAAGCGCTTTCACAGGTTGCATCTCACAAGCCACCGACACATTTATCCAGCATTTTCGCTCCACTCCTCGATCATGAATCGGTTAGAGGTTTTCAACATATGCAGAGGCATATATCGCTGCTGACCCTCAATATTCCAGAGCCATCAGTCTATAAAGAGGGCGGAAACGAGGTAGGGAGATCCCTCGGAAAGCCACTGGTTTTGTGCTCCAAAATTTGAATGAACCCGACCGGACGACTTTGCAACTTCTTCATCAGGGGATATGACACTCGATACATTTCTGTCGGTAATCAAAACCCGGCTTTCAGAAAGAGCAGAAGTGCTCACCGGAGCGTTCGATTCGACGTTCTGGGAGAAAAGGTGGTCAGATGATGGGTTTCAAGTCCCGGGAGCGATTGTAAGGCCCGGATGCGAAGATGATGTTATTCAAATAGTAAGTTCAAGGAGGGCGGAGTGACTCTTTTTATACGAACAGAGTTGCCTTGATGTGATAGCGGTAACACCTTGGTATTAGGTCAAATATGCAAAAATCACGTCAACGCCTTTCGCAGTGGCTACTGGTTGCCACAGCCCCTGGTCTTCCATTAAGAAACACGGCTTTATCATTGACATGTCGTCATATAGCACAATTGACGTTGACCCAACTGCCCGCACTGTAAAAGTCCGTGGTGGTGTCCTGCATAAGGAGTTCCAGGTGGCCTTAGCTCGTCAAGGCCAGTGCACAGGTGACTATCTACCGTAATGAGTTACGAAAGGCCTAGGTATGGGTACTGACAAAGCATTCCTCTGTGTGTATGTAGTTGTTGGAGATGCACAAAATATCGGTGTCATCCCATACTTTATCGGCGGAGGGATCAGCATCTTTTCTGGTCGTTTCGGCTTCGGGTCCGACAACATCCTCTCCGGTCGCATTGTTACGGCCGATGGGTCCCTACTTCATGTAAGCGACACTTTGAACTCGGATCTCTTCTGGGCACTTCGCGGCGCTGGGCAATTTTTCGGGATCGTGACCGAATTGACGATTAGGACGTACCCACTCTCCTTAATTGGGAGTGAGATAGGAACTCATTATTTCAGTCGGTTCTTTTTCCCAATCTCCAAAGTGAGGGAGGTTGGTGCCGTGATGGAAAACATCATACAGAACCGCTCGCAGCCTACTGCCGGTCATTTAATGATCATGGCTCAGCCGCCGAAATTTGAGCAGATTATCGTGGTGAATGCCCATTATATTGGAAACCCTGCAGCCGGGGCATTTTCATTCAAACCGCTCTACGATCTCGGTCCAATGAAATTAAGCTGTCGCAAAATTTCATTCGAAAATAATGGTGATGAGCCCCTATGCAAAGATAGTATTAGGCGCTTTAGACGTCTCAACCTGAGTGCTCTGGACGAATTCACGACTGAGAAGTTCATCGCTCTTGCATCGCTACATCGAGAACTCATTACCCAATGTCCAGATGCTGAGTTGACTCAGGTAATCATCGGTTGGCGGGCGTCAGGTTCCTCGGCGCCGGTAACTGATACCGCATTTGGAAATGCAGGTCGCCTCCTTTGGCTGTAAGCCTTCTCCTTCACCTGTTTCCATTTTCTTTCTTTCTAACTGACGGCGACTCGACATTCGTAAAGGAATCTCCTTACTTGGTATGGAGATGTTAGTAGTCGTGCAATAGTTGCAAATTTTGTATCTGAAGCCACCCGTGTTGGACGGAAGGGCTCAGCAGAAGACAAATATATTTCGTACACCAACAGTAATCGGGAGGATCCTCTTGAATGGCGTTACAAAGGAGTGGAAAGAGTTAGAAGATTGAGAGAGTTAAAACAGCGATGGGACCCAGAAAGTAGGTTCCCGAAATTGTGAAATTAAGCGAGTAGGATAAGGCGTCATTGGTAGTATTGGCTGATTGGCTCAAGAAAAGCTGTCTTTCGAAGCAGATAGACCTGTTCTGTGACGAGGAAATGCCAATACTTCTAGCATCACGCTTCGAAATTTAGTAAAATAGGAAAAGGATACTCGGTAAGGACTGTTGTAAGGTGGAGTAGCTCCATTGGAGGAATGTTAGCGGGAAAATGTTGTTGGCAGCGGGGAACGGTGATCCGCGTGCAGAAGTGATGTGTCGAAGGGCTTGCATATTACACCGGCCCCATTTTCTCAACTAGGATGTATAAGACCGGTGGTATCCGCCGTTTCCAACATCTACCTCTATACTCCGTACTTCTTCAAACACTTTTGAGTGGGTCAGACCAGCTGAGATATCACTTCACTTCCACTACCACAAAAATTTTAGAGAGAGAGAGAGAGAGAGAGAGAGAGAGAGAGAGAGAGAGAGATCCCGGCCAGCCGGACAGCGTCACTGCTCAACAATGGGTTCTATTACCGCTTCAAGGATTGACCACATCACAATTATCCTCTCCGAAGAAGAGTTTGAAACCCTACCTCCATGGCTTAGCGAGAACTTCACTATCATCGAGGGTGGTAAACATACCGGTTCGTATACCACTTCTCCAAGAAGAGAAGAAAGAAGCGCGCTGACATAGAGATTTGTGAACCGGTTTAGGCCAGGCTAGCCAGCTGAAGCTCATAATCTTTGAGGATGGTACCTACCTAGAGCTCTTCAACTGGTGGGGACCGCCACCAAGCAACCACAGCTGGGGCCGTAAAGAGCCAGGCTTGATTGACTGGAGCATCTCATGCACATCTGCGCAGAGCAGGGATGAGCATTACCATGGCATCGACATGCGTGTAAACAAAAGTCAAGATGGGGATGGGGGGCTCGGGGTACGGTACCCAATACCGACCAGCCAAGGACGAACGACACCAGAAGGCAAGAAGTTCCATTGGACGCGTGCAAACCCAGAATTCCACGACACAGCAAACACACCGGACGCAGGGAAATTCTTTCGCACAGGACGTCTAGATGCGCCGTTCCTATGTTACGACGGGACACCTCGGGAAACAAGACTGCGGTTTGGAGATCCATCACGGACGACACATCCATGTGGCGCAACGGGTGTAGATCAGATTGAAGTGCTTGTTCCGAGTTCGCACGAAGCAAACTACCTCAAATTACTTGCCAATTTCACTGCCACGCAGCCGGGTACGAGTGAGTCCGGAATTGGCAGCGTGTTTAAGCTGGGATTGCCAGTGGAGGGTGAAGGGAGCGAGTGTACCGTCTGGGTGCACGGAGAGCGAGGTGCAGAAGATAAGCAGTGGTTAGCCAGCAGAGGGATCGGGCCCATCAAGCTGAAACTGAGGGCGAAAGGGAGAGAAGGGCATGGAGAGGAGGTTCTAGGAAGCGAGGGTTCAGCATCGCATGTGTCTTTGATCTGGTGATGTGTTTATAGTTCCGTACTCCAAGACTTTGGCTCCTTTCGGCTTATTCAATACACTGACCTGCTCGCGGGACTTGAGTATATCTTGTGCAGAGAAAAGTTCCCTTTTGCCAGCAGCCGTTAAAGATATCCTCAAGCGGAAATCCTTCCATGCTGGGAAGCTTCCCTTCTTGGGAAAACGACCCGATTGATTTGTAGCTCAGGGCTTCGTAGGGATGTTGACAGGCCACATGGTGTGTAAAATTTAGCGTGAGGAGTCAATTGAGCTATCCGTTTGTGGATTTCGAGATAGGTAATGACTTAAGCTCTCGGCGCCAGTGGTTTATTCAGCCTCAAGCGGTATATTGGCAAGCATCAAAATAGCCGGCGAAGTTACTTGCAACCTTTGGAAGGCTGAGAATGGAGTCACAGCGCGGGCTCTGCCGGAGTGGCCGATCCGCATTCGATCCGGGAGGGATATAGCGCAGCATTATCGCTTTTAACGATGAGAGAAACGCCATTTTTGCCGAAGCAGCTTATTATCATCGCCAGAATACCTGCCTGTTTGAGGATACGGACTCATCGAGCGACATCTTTCGCCGTTGTCTGTCACCCAGATAGCGTTTGCGAGATCGTTGGGAGCAAAACGCGCTACTCCTGACCAAGATGGGAAAAGGAACTTGTTGCCCGCAAAACTCATCCATGTCTTGAAGCACGTGAGCCACGGAGGGAAAAAAAAAAAAAAAAAAAAAAAAGAAAAAATTCTGACAGCTTGTGTCGGTAGTCGCAGCAAAACTGTAACAAACAAAACTCGCAAAAAAAAGGGTCAAAAAGGAAAAGCCCGATGCGGGGCTCGAACCCGCAGCCTTGAGATTAAGAGTCTCACGCTCTACCGATTGAGCTAACCAGGCAGCTTTTTGATGTAGCGATCCTATCACTTGGCTACTTATAATGAGTGTAACATGACCAGATGTTGTCATGGTGAAAATTTGCACTTCGAGACTTGGAGAGGGTCCCCTTTGGCTAACCTGGTGCCATCTACGCACTGTAATCTTCACATTCTTAGCTTAATTTTGACTTTTTCTTTTTGAAAAGTACTAAGGAAACGGAAGCAACTGTTCATGACCAGGCAGAGCAGTAAAAGTTTTCACATTCTTCTGCTAGACACTTCACCTATGCTTTCATCTAGTCGCCTAAACTCGCATCCTGAGCAAATCAGGCAATACAGCCATGTACCAAACATCCAGGGGTATCGAGCGGCGAGGAGCCACCAGCTGGATGCAAAACGATAGCAAAGAGAGGGATGAAGAAGACATAATAGATGCACGCTTTCTGGAAAATAAACGCTCCAAAATGAAAATCATGTACAAAGATAGACATGCCCTTACTCGATCACGGTGGACTCATTCGAGGGGACCGATGTGGGGCCGGTAACCTCAAACGACAAGGTTATACCAACACATTTCGGAGGAACGACGTCCAGACCACGGCGAATGCCCAAATAGCCAACCAGATTCGGAACGAACCGTGGGCACGAAGTGTTTGCGCCTTGTGCGTGGGCTCGAGGTGAAGGGCGCGTGACACGCTGCAACTATGTTCCGCAAACCAATGAGCCAGCACCAAAATGTTGTTTGGTACCATCGACGTGGTGGCTTGAATCACCACAGTAAAACGGCTTCCGCCGACTGTGGTCCTCCCCTCGAGGATCCACCGATATCTTTGTTGGAAGGTGGTCGTGTAGCCTGACGCCTGGTCCAGTTTGGAGAAGTTACTGCTGTCAGTGGGGCTTTGGCGGGCGTGGGGGGCAGTGCTGGATCGGGATGAAGAGGACGACGGCACGGTAGCGCTGACAAATCGTTGTGAACAAGATTGAGCAGCGTTGGGGGTAGAGCTTTCCGGAATATGTTGATCGAGAAGAACGTGGCTCTCCGTTGAAGCGGATGTCTCAATCAGGGTCCTGCGAGCTGCGGATGGCTGAACAGTAGCATTATGGCCCGTGTAACGCACGTGGACATTGTCTGTGTCAACCTTGACACCAACGGACGACATTCTTACGTCTGCGAGTGTATTTGTGCCTTTGTTCGTGGTGCGTCCAAGTTTGAATGATGAGACTGGCGAGGTGTGGGTTGGCATGCATGGCGAGCTCTGCGCAGCAGCTTGTAGCTGGTTGTCGGCCCTGTAGCGTTGGGCTAGACTAGCATGGGCGATGGTGCCAACAAGAGGAAGATTAGCCGGTCTTTGGGATGCAGAGGGTGACGCATCTTGCACACTGCCTTCCCCAGAGTCCCCAGACTGCAAAGTTTTCCCGACACAAAACCGTTTCTGTTTTGCCTGGCATTGAGTATGCACAAGTTTCTGCATGGGGTCAAGAGCAGCAGCTTTGTCGAGGTTTTGGAGATATTGCCAACGAAGCATATCCTCATGGCAACTCGTGCATTCACACGGTCCCTTCGGGTCTAGACTGCCTCCCGGACACCAAACGTAGCCCTCCGTGGGTGAGTTCGTCGTCGATCGAGATGAATCGACGTTCTGAGAATGAACGGTTGAGGACTGTCTGCGGAGCATGGCATCGCAAAGTTTTGAATTCACCACGCGCTGCCCGGCATTTTGCTTCGAGGCGAGTTCTTTATCGACGCAGGTGCACTATGGGCCTCGTTAGTTAACCTCCCCCCAGAAAACCAAAATGGGACGAAATTGAAAAGGTTCGTTACCCTCTTGTGCTGCTTCTTATGCTTTTCGCATGCACCACGACTGCGCACCGCAAGGTATCGCTCTCGCTGTGCTTGGGTTCGAGGGCGATGACGGCGGGGTAAGCTTGTGGCAGCATTCATATTTAGGTCCATCACCAACTCCAACCCCCCAGTCACTGGGGGCCTTGCCGCTGGTTGTTGTTTTGACGGGACGTCCGAACTTGGAGTGGAAACGGAAGTGGTGAAGGCTGCGGAGGATTCGCCGGGTGAGCATTGTTGCGAAGTGAGGTCTGTTAGGATGGCATTGTCGAAAAGGGCGGAGTTGCATTCGCTCGCTGAACCCTGTCCCCACGCCACTGGAACCTGGTCGTTGTGAAAAGAATTCTGGAGTGAACTCATGTTTGGTGAGCTGAAGCTGGAACCATTATCGGATTGGTTGGAAGCATTGGAGGAATTAATAACGGCGACGGCGTCATCACACGCATCCCGTAGTCTCTCCAAATACAAAGCAATTGACGCGTCGCGCTGCTTTTGCTTGCGGGACATCGGGCGAGGGTCAGCCTCAGCTCTCGCACGGGCCAAATCCCGGAAAGCAGCTGCGATTTGGTTAAAAGCGGTCTGCGAATTGTCATCACGGTTCCCGGGGGTTGGCAAAGGTTCAGAGAACGCATCGAAATTTTGTTGAGCGTTCATTTCGGCGAGAGCCGCACCGTCATCGAAGGCTTGGTGTCCGGATAGAAAAGAGGCCAATTCTTCGTCAAAGGCCGTCGAAGTGCTGAACGAAGGGAAATCTGCAGCTTCAGGCACAAAAGCGGAGTCTCCGTTTTGCACAAAGCCGTAGTTGTCGGTGGCGAAAGTAGGCCATGTGTTGGGTGCCAACAATTCAGAATCGTTCATTGTGGGTGCGGAGGGCGAAGTCTCGGAGGCAGCGGCCATGAACCCAGGGTATGCAGAGCCAAATTCTAAAGGAGGAGTGGAGAAGAGATCCTCGTTCAGCATCTCTTGCATCCACGGCTCAACATCAACGATGGTTTCAGTCACAGGGCTGCCGCTGTAGTTTGACTGGTTGGAGACAAATGAGCCGCTCATTTCAGAAAGGGGCTGAGCATCGGTTCCTTGGCGAGTAGAGAAAGTCGATTCCATGGCCATGTTGAGTTGTTGTGACATGTGTAGAATCTGAATAATAACAGGTTAGTTGGGTACGTTTCTGGTACGCCGACGGCTGCTCACGTACCAGGCTCACCAGATATCGGCAGGTGGCTAATTGGCGTGTTGGGCGGTGGATGCAAGGAGCTGTCCGAGAATCTCGAATAGTTATCTGTTACTCAGAATCATTCCAAGCAGGTCGTGTGCGACTATCCCTACCAGGCGCCGAGGGCCCGCTTTTTTCAGCAGCGATAGGACACGGCAATGTGACTGAAGGAGGAACTTGATGTCGCAACGAATGATAAACTTATGCGTAGGAGGTTGTTTCTCCTGATCCTCTTCTACAAGTTATGTCCAGCCTAAAACAAGTTTTCGATTTGAAGACACACAATCAATGAGAGGAGAAGATGAAAACAGATGAAGAACAAGAGGAAAAGAGGAAAAGGAAAAGGAAGAGGGAGGGCCGGCGCAGATGGCTGCCTGTCGCGAGGTTCTTATCCACCGCTGGCGGGCTAAACGGAGAGTCGAATCAGGCGACGCCCGTCTTCCCGCTAAACCGTATCGGGACTCCGACGCCGCCAGGGCAATGCTTGTCCCATCCAATCAGATCGCTGAAATTTGGATGAGTCAGGCAGGATTATGTCACCGCCGCCCGCACTCGAACTCAATGCTGCGGCTGAACGTGAAGGGCAGGCTGGAGGTTCAACCGCTGGCTGCACGGCGCAGCATAAGCTTGCTGTTGCGTTTCTGCGAGCATCCTCGGAAAACGAGTCAGACGTAACTATTGAAGACTTGGATGAGCAGATGACTCAAAATTGCTTCCAATTGGAATTGACCTATTGAGAATCTAGCTATCTCTCATGCTTCGCATCTTACGGCCGCAACCTTCTCCGGCTCCGTTCCGTAAGTCTCGCCGTACATCGAGAACGCTTTGCCAACCTCTTCTTTGCCCTCTGTATCCTCATAGAGCTGGCACTGCACTTTGGCCCAGTTCACGTCGCCAGTCGCCGAGACCACCATTGCTTCAAGCACAGTGTTGCCAAGCCTGGAATGTCTCCCTACAGACGCGTCTGGTTAGCGCTAGCCGAAACAGATGTTCTAGAACCGATACGGTTCGCATACCAAGTGGCACAGTCTCTCCTAGCTTGACATCTCCCTGCGTGAAGTCGTCGAAGCCCGTCCGAAACTGTATTCTCACCGTCTTGTCCGTCTTTTTGCCGTCCGACTTCTTCAGCGATAACGGCTTTTGTCCCGGCGGCTCCAATTTGTCCAGGCTGTCCGAGCAGTAGAATGAGCCGATAGGAACTGCTTCGGCGTCCTTTGACGAAGTGAACGTGGCGTCGTTGGCCGCAGAGAAGGCGTCCCCCAGCTCATCGCGGCCGTGAGGGTCACTGAAGGCCTGGCAGTAAACGTGTTTGTCGGTCACAGACGCACCGATACCGGAGGCAGCAAAGCCTAGAAACGAAGGTGAGTTCCCAGGAAGAGTGCAGTGCATCGGAGAAAAGTGGTGGCATACGATGTGTTCTTTCCAACTCATCCATATTCGCGAGAAGGCCGACCTCTTTGTCCTTGCCGGTTCGGACTCTGATGTGGATGAGATCCGCGGCGCAAACAGCCGCGAAGCAACACAGCAGGATGGTATGCGCTTTCATATTTTCCACTCTGCGAGACCAAAGGGGGAGAGAAAAAAGGCCTACGCAGACTTTGTTTTGCTGAGGAGGCAGGGTATAACTAAGCAAAAGCGGCAGCCGAACTATCGTTGGGAAAGCTCCAACAAACCCAGCGCAGGGGAGATTATGGAATCAGAAGTCCATAAGGCCTGGTGACTTTCTGTCCCAAAATAAAGAATCTGGGCACGATATTTCGGCAGTCGCCTGAAGCACCATATTGACGGCTCAGCTTTGATTGTGCTCCCGCTCCGGTGGGCCAGGGAAATAGCGCGTGGTACCACAAACGCTAATGTGGATTGTGTTGTTCCTAAACTGCTAGTCACCAGGCGCTCCGTATCCCGGAACCAAACACTCTGTGGGTTCTTATTACTTCTTCTCCCGAGGAGTTGAATGGACCTCTTCAAGGGGAATTAGACCTGCTTTTTCCCATGTCACGAGACAGTAACCGATCAAATTTCGAGATATTATTGAGGTTGAAGGTGAAAGGAGCCGGAGAAAGCTCGAAGCAGTCATATGCCAAGACACTAGTTTTGGATGTCCGAGCTTGGCAATGGCGCAGTTTCCCAGCGGGTGGCTGTGATGTAATCCATTTGTTCCAACCAATAGCCGCGCCGCATCGTCATTCCGTGGCTGCCATTGGACAATGGTGTTTAGCGTCCGGCCCCACATGGCTCCTGACAGCGGTAAGAGCTTGGTACGGCGCACGTCAAACACCAGAGCCACATATCATCCTGAACCTTGAACGGAGGCTCCCAGTTAAGAAGACTTCGACCTACAGCTCTCAACTGTGCAGCCAAAATTGAAAGGTAAAAACACCCCACAACATCGCTGATGTTGAGATCCAATTAACCTTTTAAGAATGAATAGAATTAACTTCATGAAACTACATACATATATGTACTGCATTGGTTATGATTACACACAAATCGAAGAAAATCGAGACGCAAAATCATTAGATATTAGTACAACATGAGTCCCGAAATTCACAAGCTTTGAAACCAGTCCACAACGAGCGAATATGCCAAGGGGAGTAGAGTGTACGCGAATGGGGAAAAAAAAAAGAGCTCAAATGATACATAAGAGCCTGCGTCTCTGTCCTGGGGAGTATCATGACAAATGCTTAAAATGTTTTCAGTTTCCTTTCCTTTTTTTTTTTCTTTTTTTCCTTTTTCCGAAAGTCTTCCTATGACTCTCGTGCAACTCACCCACATCCAATCAACCAAAGTCACATCAAAACTCCAGCTTTATACGAAGAGATACCTTTCCGCCCCAACTCCATCTTATGCGTTATCTCCCCTCTTCTAAAGCAGTCAACCGTTTCTAGAAGGTAGTGATCGAGCAGGCCAGTCACTGCCAACCATATACCCACAGCCCGCAATACTTTCGTTCAGACTTGAGACATCGTTGGCTGCGGCGCAACTCGGGATGATCGTCGATGCGCCCGGCGGCTAATACCCATCCATCCCCCAGTCATAGTCATTCCTGAGAAGATCGTGGTGAGGAGGAAGGTAAACCACAAGAACCAAAGAAAAGCAGTTGATGCCTTCGCCTCGCGGCAAGTCTTCGACAGAGATCGTGACTGCTTCGTGATAGAGTTGTCACGGAGCTCATCCTGGAATGAAAGGCGTCAGTATTCAAAGTCCTTGCCTTCTTTTCTTCCAAGGCAATCATGAACATACATCATTACTGCAATCTGGCACATGCAATTTCGATGGCAGCGCCACAGCAGCGCAGAAGATGAAAAGTGTGTTCAACAAGTCCACAAGGAACAAAATGACTGGGTGAATCATGAACATCTCACTGGCATTAGCAGCTATGAGATAGAATAGCGTTGCCAATGAGAAAGCTACTGCGAACATAACATAGTTCACTGTCGACTGACTGTGGTCATCGTAGTCATTCAACATATCACCGATCAGGCCCATCACAATGGTTGCGAATGCAACCTAGATCAAATAGAATCACGTACATCAGCAAAACACCCATACATAGCTACAACGAATGTAATCATGGTCAATTTGGATAAGTGCATACCTGCAACGCCCTGAGGAACAAATTCAATGGCTTCATTGGGACCATGTTGGCGGTATTAATAGCGAGTAGCTCACTATAGCCAAGTACAGTATCAACTGTGATGAAATCGTCCTAGAATTAAAGTGATCGGTTTTTGTACGCAGTATCCGAAATGCACTGAGATAAAGCGAATCGTTCAAATTCCGACAATGGAATTGCATCAACTTGTAAAAAGAACTCGTCGGACGAGCTGTACCAGAAATCAGGGAATAGGAGAGTGCAGAGCTTTTATCCCGGTCCGCGCGAACTCCGGACCTCGCGGACCAGTCATGACGATATGGGCAACCTGGCTCCCATACGTCATTGCTCACAATCCAAAAATGCTGGCCGACTCACTAAACTTTTATGGCGACTTCTGTTAAACTTTTCCACGTGGCTTTATTCATCAGAGCGTGGATTTGTCCTTTAGAAGCATATAGAAGAGGACCGGTGGTTGTCATAACCCTGATTTGTCGAGTTGCAACAAGGTCCCCGAAGTGGAATATCTAGTGAGAAACCAATGCACGAGATGCTTTGGACCGTTGGAGGCTCCTTGTCAAGTGGAGGAAAAAGCCATGTGGGAAAAATCTTAACACGCAGCTTATTGATTGCCCGTAACCCTAATTTGATGGTGTCCTCGAACCGACATATGGCCGTGGAAATGGCGACCATTATTAGGTTTGACGGCTCGGGACAGTTTGAAGAAACCAACATATACTCCGTTGTGTTATACAGGTAGCCAAGAATGACGTTGAATGTAAAACAAAGACGAATGCCCTTATATCCCAATTAAAAGCATGTTAGCCCACGAGGCCCAACAGTCATCAGTATCATGATGCTCATTCATCATAATGCCATTGTACCAACAAAAAACTGATCAAAAAGCAAACCTTTTCTGGCTGAGCGACGCCGTACCCCCACCCCACAAAGAAAGGCCAGCTGGATGAGGAAACAGAAAGTTGCAAAAAGGGGACGATCTAAGTCGCTGCCGCTAATTGCGCCACCAAATCCGATGCAACATCTAAGAATGGATATGGACTCGTAATTTCCTTTTCTTTATTCCGGAACCGCTTGCTGATGGGCCGCCATTCAGTTGCACTGCCATCACCCTCAATGCGCACGACATTTTGATAGCCGTCACACTTGAAGTCGACCATGTAATTGTCCCGTTCAAGTTGGTAGAGCTGAATGTCAATAAACACCCAAACGCCGTAACTCAAGGTCGCCGAATGGGATGATAAAGAAGAAGCTGCTGACAACCCAGCTCCAAACCCCGCACTCCCGGAAACAGACTTGTCCTCCTGATGTAGCACTCCGCCCTTGAGGCTTACGCGCCGGCGCAATTCTTCTAAATCACTCCTGCTGCTGTGGGCACTGCTTGCGGGGCCAGGAGCCAACACGCCTTGCTTCAAAAGACGAGCACGAATGAACCACAAATCTTTTGGAATATAATATTCGGATGGGACGTCCCGATATTTACGCTGCAACGGCCCAGGAATTTCAGAAGTCATCTCCGGAACTCGGTCGTCGTCATGATTGTCTATAGCATCAGATAAGCGAGGAACATGGAAACCCATGAAAGTGAAACATGCAAAATGAACTTACCTGGCTCTGCTGGTTGTATTTCCCAGACACCCCCTTCAGCCTGGATCGCTTTATAGAGACATAGCATCGCCTCATACGGCAAATTGCGCGATCTAATACCGAATTGCCATTTACGAGAGCGCTTGGGTTGACTGGGGACCTGTGTTAACATCTCAGGAGGTTCATACTGAAGTTTTTCCAGGTCGACCACGCTTCGTGAGTGGGGCTTGAGCGCCCTAGCAGTTGCAGCTTGTTCTTCGGGCGAGCGCTCTCTAGGAGTCCCTGAAAGGTCGGCTACCTCAATGTGCTGAGAGTAATCCTGTGGCGGGCTAGCAGCACGAGCAGTCATATCCTTGGTTCGTTGATCCATGATTTGATCGTGAACGTATGGAAGACTGGTGGGGAGAATTCTCACATGGCTCACACGAGATTCCGGGGTGTTAATCGGGGTGACGCGGTAGGGCGTAAGGGGCGTAATAGGTGTGTCGCGAGGAGTGGAAAATCCAGGTCTGGCCGCGGTGCCAGGGCCTTGGGAGGAGGCATCTTGGCCTTCTCTAGGCTGAGGGGATGAAGGGCAGCCATCCAGCTCCGTTGGGGCTAAGCTTGTCAGTTCCATGGTCTCAACGCCAATTCAAGTTACGCCCGCCATGTAACATGCGAGAGGCTGAAATATAGAAAACATCAAACTCACAGTTTGTCTGCATCATCTCATTCTCCACCACGATAAAGAACGCATCCTTAATAGCACTAGGTTCAGGTTTTCGTAAGGCTTCTTGAATATCCTCTTTACCATACCCCATTCTCCTCTCTAACTTTGATACCGCATTTTCCCGTATCCGCTCTCGAACCGCAGCTGGCTTCCCAGGTGCAATCGAACGGAGGTCAATGGCCTTATTCGGATCAGCTCCAGTTGCGACAAACTCCTCTGCAGGATGCTGTAGATATTGTGGAAGGTCCTTCTTGAACCAAGAGTCCCGGCGAATTTCCGGAATAGTGATCCGGTGAACAGGATGAACCTGCAGCATCCGCCTGATCAAATTGGCGGCACCGGTGGAAATATATGATGGCATGTAAAAATTGCCGGCAGAAATCTTCCGGAATAGGTTGGGGATGTATTCATCGTCAAAGGGAAGCTTTCCCACCAGAAGCACGTATAAGATCACACCACAGCTCCAGACGTCGACCTCAGGGCCCGCATAGAGTTTGCCGGAGATAACTTCGGGCGCTGCATAATTAGGACTGCCACAGCTGGTCCTTAGGAAATTCCCATCCGTCATGATATTGCTCAATCCGAAATCAGCAATCTTGACATTTTTCTCTCTATCCATCAGCAGATTCTCCGGTTTGAGGTCCCGATGCACGATCTTATGACGGTGGCAATACTCCACTGCGCAAATGATCTGCTGGAAGAATGTACGTGCTTCGTCATCGTTGCATTTCCCGCGACTTACAAGGTAATCAAATAACTCCCGTTCGGCGTACTCCAGTACCATGACTATGTCGGTCTTCGTAGTGATGACGGTGTATCTGCAAATCGAACAGTCAGTAAATGGATCCCCAAAACTATTTTTTTTTCCTTTTTTTTTTTTCCAGCACGCAGCGAAGCATACAATTTAATAATGTGCGGGTGTCTAAGGAGCTGCAGGTACTGAATCTCGCGTTCTACTCGTCCGACCATATCTCTTGATAAGAGTTTCCGCCTTGAAATTATCTTCAAGGCTACCTCCCTGCCGGTCGCTTGGTGAATCGCCAATTTAACTTTTCCAAAGGACCCCTCGCCGAGTATCCGCACGGTCTTGTACTGCTCCAAGCGCTGCATGTCTCGGGCCGTCGCAGGTGACTGTTCAGGAGGGACCGTGAAGGGTCTCGAGGGTGGTGGCATGGAGGGATGGCTATGGGAAGTTCGGTCATCTTTCCCGTCTCGGTCAAAGGACGGAAGAGATATGGAGAGGTCTTCATCGTCGAAGGCCGCAGCCATGACAGCCGTAGGCTAGCGGGGTTGGCAGTGCCGATTCAGAGTTGCTGTAATCGCTTTCTCAAGAAGGATGACCTGATGCCCATTGATGGAGGATGTATGGTGTGCAGCTATCCAAAAGTCATCAATAAATGCCTTCTTTTTTGCCCTTGGCCAATCGTTTGGAGGTGGAGTTGCAGGGTGGTGAGCTCCGTAACGGGTCAAAAGTGGGATGGCGCAATGGCGGAGATTTGAAGAAACCCCACAATTTTCATTTTGTTCTTGGGGAACTCTGAAGCAAAGAGATGCATTCACATACCAGCTTGTCTGAGTTTTAGATGATTGTAGATGCTGCCAGCAATCTGTTGTGCATTTGGTCTTAGGGAAATGGGAGAGTTCAAGAACGTGATTCTCCTGACGGCGATTTCCACTGGCGTTTGTTTTGTTGGAACCAACATGCTTTTTCTCCACCGTCCAACAACCAGAGTTTCTCTCGCAAACCAAAACTGCCACCCACGTAAGTTAATTATACTGACTGATGTTCTGTGCAATCATCTTAACTAGAGCTACAAAAGCCCTCAACTAATTTATGATTGAACAGCACCGACGTGAAGGAACTTAGTTACAGGAAAGCTCTCGCCCAAAGTATGGGTATGTAACCCTGAGATGCCATTAAGTTACACAATGCCAGCAGCCAGCTTCATTGGTGCAAAATGACACGTTCAGCAGACCTTATTGCGGCAAACTCACTCTAATTGCTGTAGCATCAATAAGGATTTGTCTCCTTATGCCCTGGGAAATTGAAGCGATGGAGCAGAATAGATAGCGGGCTGCTTCCTCTCAGTCACATGAAGCAAGGCTTTTTAAGGAAGAAAGGCAATCAAACTGCACCCGCCAATACTCTGTGGTTTGCTTCTCTTTCTAAAAGCTCACTGATATCCTCAAGACTTTCAATATCTTAATTATTTTTTATATCCATGCCATATCACATATCAAACAGCATTTACTGTACATACGTATGGTAGGTATTCTGCCATTTTCCCATACATGCCGCTATGTTTTGTCCATGCGAATTGCCCAATCATCCATTTCCGACAATGCCGTCTGCAACGAGAAGCTCTGTGCTTAGTAGCTGAAAAGTAGAATAGGGGAACAGGTAGTTAACCCCAGAAAAAGCAGAAATATATAAGACAGTGGAAGAAAGGAGATGTAGAATGAAGAAAGATTTCAACGAAATAGGAGAGTTTCCGTCGCCAAACCCCAAAACCCAAAAACGCCGCGCTACATCAAAAAAGACGTGATCAGTTAAGAAGCGGTTCGCATGCCCCTCGGAAGGCCCGCATTCGTTCATCCGTCGTCCTCGGCATGATCGACCTCAACGTGCGGGAAAGAATGCTTTTCGTTGAGGTCGCCACCGCTAGTGCCGTGAAGCCAAACTCGCTTCCATGGACCTTCGTGGTGATGGCCAAGGGTGGCGGCCTCGCGATCCTGGCGCATGCCTTCGAGAACAGCTACGATTCCACCATGGCGTAGCCTCTCCAGCACAATGTTCATACCCTGCTTGCTTTTGTGAACCGCATCTCGGGTTCGCTTCACACCGATAAGCTCGATGGTTCGCTGGAGGCCGGCCGTGGACCATGCGGCAAGAAACCCTTTCTTGTGAGAGTCCTCGTCGGAGTCAGGCGCTGAATCGGCCTTGGTGGAGCGGTTGAGCATCGATTGGCCGAGTCGAGATCGGAAAGTCACCGTCGTTTTGACGGTAGTCCACTCGTCCCGTCTGTCGTCGATGCTGAGAGCTGACGAAAACGCTGGCGTGCCAGGGCTAGAATCATCCGATCGAAGACAACGCCGATAGACCTGTTTCTCCACCACGCTCAGGATGCCGGTCCACTCCATATTTCGAGATTCAGTTTCCATCCAACCCTCCTTCACATCCACAACGCTGGTCTCCAGGATAAAGCTCTGTCCAGAATTTTCGGCGCCGCCAATGCCCTTGGGCAGCAACTTGAGCATCGCCGAGGGGATCTTCGACCGCTTCAGGTGCAGTCGAGTGGTGTGCAGCCGCTGGGTCTCGGGGTCGACATAGCGGTCAATGACATCGGAGGTGAGAACATGACGAGAGTAGGGATTGGGGTAGCGAAGGAAGAAGGCGAGGGAGACGGCGGGGAAGCTGTAGTCGTAATTGAAAGTGTTCTCGAAGAACTTCATCGTTTCAAGCCATCAACATTCTCCCCACAGAGGGAAAGAGAGAAAGAGATTGTTCAACGAGGCGGAGGGTCGAGCAGGCGAACGATGGACAGGATGGCAGTTGGTCAATTGGGGGCGAGGAGTGCGAGTTGGTGCGTGCTTGTCGGTGTATTCCCTGCTGGCTCACTTTTTTCTTGCTTTTTGGCTGTCCAATACGGAGTAGAGCTTCCAGAATCGGTGTAGGGACTAGGCCAAATCTGGACTAGACCGCAGCGTGGGCGGACGAAAAGTAACTCCGGCCGCTGAATAACAAGGTTTGAAGCCTCGCTGACGACTTTGGATGTCCTGGTTGGATGAGATCGCGGCCCGCTAGTCTGTTTCGGGAAAGAAGCCACCCTGGGGCCCCACCCGCCACGGGGGCTCGGCTGGGCTAGGCTGGGCGTTGCATGCAGTTGTTGGTCGAAGCGACGGTCGAGAGGAAGCATGTATATGTACAGTAGTCCGTGCTGCGTACAATTTCCACATGTTCAATACCTTGGCCAGCTGTATCTATAAGGTGAAAGCATACAAGAAAGGGGCCTTGATTTATACACGTGTGTGTGCTCCAATGCAGATGTATGTATGTATCCATAGTCCTCCATGGTTAAATATATGTAAGCACTGCGTACTCCGTATGTGTAGCTGGATCATCCAAGCTCGAGAACGGCTCTGATGAAGCCCCGCACGCCATTGCTTAACCAAACCTCTTCGCCATCGACCAGATCATCGACCCCAACAACTTCTTCAACACATAGTCCTTCTTCCAAAGCATACCGACGCGTTGTACCCGCGTTTCCTCCACTGCTCAACGGCGGCGTAACCCACACCTCTTCCAGTTCCTGTCCGTGCCCACCGCGGCCAGAGTGGATCCGGCTCCGCCTGAAGTACGGAGTCGTAATACTCCCTTCCATCACTTCTCCCGATGGACTGTATAGTAGTACCTCAACTGTCTGCTGGGGCGACTTGATTCCTGCCCGCTTCCGTGCTGCGTCGTACAATTCACGCTGGGTAGTCTTGTGTCGTGTGAAAGGGGAGGGTTGTGTGGGCTGTGAGTCTAGCCTGAGAACCCAGGACGGATATGAAGGTGCGGACGAGAATGGATGAGATGGGCCATCGAGGGCGGGCAGAAAGAGAGCGCCCGGCAGAGGTGCTGTCAGTGGTGTGAATTCGGCTTTAATATCACCTTCCTGGTCAAGCAGGATCCGCATCCGCCACCGCTGCGATTGCGAAGGGATCTTCTGGTCGAAGAGCTTCAAGAGGCCCCCGTGCCCGCACTCTCGCAGGCGGGACACTGCTTTTGTCCACTGAAAGTCGGTTGCAGCGGATAGTAAGCGGTCATAGTGGTAAGGGAGCAGGTAGTAGGCAGAATTGTGGGACGAGCGCAGAGTTGCGAGGGCAGGGTCATAGCAAAGGGTAGAGATAAGGTGAAAGCCGACTGGAGGGTCATTATTCGCCATATCGAAAACAAAAACTTCGAACAGAGGCTCTAGGCAAAGTACTCTGGACGGAATCTTGTATTAACTGCCACAATTATTAATTATCGCCGAATCGAATTGAGGATTTGGTACATCGCCTTTCTTACCGCTTCCTAGTTAATCTACCACCCAAGTTAGTACGGAGAAGGCCTGTTTGACTCCAGTTTAGCATGCGCCCACTCTGGAAATCTTGTATGCTGCTTTTCTTGCCCACAAGACCGTTCGTTAGATGTATTTGTTCTGCAAAGAGCACTAGGCTTGGATTGGACCTTGCCCGGTCTTAAGTCCCATATGCTGAATTCTGGCTTGGCATGGCTGACCTGAGATGACAGAAACTTTTCTGCTTGCTCTGCGAAGGCCCTGAGTCGCCGTTGGTGGTATGTCTTTGGGCTTTTGTTTCGGGATTCGATGGCTACTTATTCAGCGTTTTCTTTAACGCAAAGGATGACTTATTTAAGCTCCCACTGAAAATTCCACAGAAAGGACATCTCCAAACCTATGCCTTGAAAAGACAAGATAACAACACAGTTGTGTGTTGTTTAACTGAGTGGCAAGACGTTTTGTGGTCGGCAAATTGGAGTCGCGAGCGTGGTGAACCAACTAACTATTACATAGGTTTACATAATCACGCGCAGCATCGCAGCAATTTTTTCGTTGTTCCGGGAATTCTCAAGGAACAAGAAGCTCTGTGTTAACATATCAACTATCCCTCATATCCTATCAAGACCAAGGAGTGGTGTCCGTGCTTCTGTCATCTCCCCTTGCTTTAAAAAGGCCCCCAATTGGCGTGTTTGCGTTACCCTTTATGAGTTATATAATTCTGATCCGTTGCTGGAGTTAATTTCACATCCTCTTTTTGTTTTTGTCTTACCTTCCTTCTATCCATCCTTCATTGGCACCCTCATCGCAACCCACGGCCGCCCTCTGGCTTCCAATTGAGCTCCTCCCAATCCGGATTTTATCTCTAAGGCTCACATCATGTCTTCCGCTAAGCCTTCCCAGGCCACAGTCGTCCCGGTTCCAGCCGCGGAAACTACCATCGTCACCACACCCGTCTCATCATCTTCCTCTTCGCTTTGGGATCGCGTCTCCAAGTGGGCATCTGAACACAAAGCCCTCGTCTATACGATTGCCGGTGTTGCCGTCGTTGTAACGAGCGCCGGAGTTGTGTATTATTTGTCCGACTCCGGACGAGTGCAGGCCGCTATCCAGCCCGCAGAAAAGCGGAAGAGCAAGAAGGAACGGAGGCGAGAGAAGAAGAAGGCCGAGGAGGAGAAAAAGGCCGAGACAGCAAAGCTTTCTGAATCGCGTATGCTCTGTCAAATTCTTAGATGATGGTACCACTTCTTGATTGAACTGACTTGAGATTTGTAGAGGCGAAACCAACAGAAGAATCGGAGGAGCTTCCAGAAGTCGATGAGACAACCGTTCAAGCCTTGGATGCAGAGGTATGTCCGGGTAAAGGACTACACTGAAGTGCTGTTCTAATTCAAGCTACTCCTAGACCCTCGCCCTCTACGCTGGGAAATTAAAGGCTGCAGGCAATAAAGCTTTCGGGTCAAAAGACTACAACAAAGCGATCGAACTCTATGGAAAGGCTATTTTGTGCAAGCCCGACCCCGTCTACTATTCTAACCGCGCTGCTTGCTATAACGCGCTGAGTGAATGGGACAAAGTAGTGGAGGATACGACGGCGGCAATTGCGATGGACGATGAATATGTCAAAGCAATGAATAGAAGAGCAAACGCCTACGAGAAGCTTGAGAAGTATGGAGATGCGCTCTTGGATTACACTGCTAGCTGTATCATCGACGGTTTTGCCAAGGAGTCAAGCAAACAAGCCGTGGAAAGATTGCTCAAAAAGCTTGCTGAACAAAAGGCCCGAGTTATCATGGAGGGTAAAGGCAAAAAGCTTCCAAGTGCTACCTTTGTTTCCAACTACCTCCAGAGCTTCCGACCCAAGGCAACTCCAGAAGGCTTGAGTGAAGAGGCAGAGCTGGATGAAGAGAGCGGCAAGGGCCAGCTACGAAACGGCTTCCAGGGCATTGCCAAACATACCAGCGATGGTTATGAAGAGGCTGCTCGTGCTTTTGAGAAGGCCCTAGAGTTGGGTGCATTGGAGGACTTTGAAGCTCTCGCGCTAAACATGCGTGCAACTTTTACGTACCTAGCCGGTGACGCTGACAGTGCTATGAAAGACCTGAACAAGAGTATCGAACTCGACCCGTCGTTGGTCCAGAGCTACATCAAACGTGCCAGCTTACACCTGGAGATGGGCAACCGGGAAGCCGCCGCGGACAACTTTGACCTGGCCCTGCAACAGAACAAGGATGACCCTGATATCTACTACCATCGTGCCCAGTTACATTTCATCCTTGGTGAACTCGCCGAAGCCGCCAAGGACTATCAAAAGTCAATAGATTTGGACCGGGACTTTATCTACTCACATATTCAGCTTGGTGTGGCACAGTATAAGATGGGCTCTGTCGCTTCTGCTATGGCAACATTCCGACGAACCCTTAAGAACTTTGAAGACGTTGCGGATGTTTATAACTACTACGGAGAATTGCTCCTCGATCAGCAGAAGTTTTCGGAGGCCATCGAAAAGTTCGATCGAGCAGTTGAGCTAGAGAAGAGCCACAAGCCTTGGGGTATCAATGTGCTTCCTCTCATCAATAAGGCCCTCGCTCTTTTCCAGTGGAAGCATGACTTTCAAGAAGCTGAAAACCTCTGCCAGAAGGCATTGATCAGTATGCACACTCCACCACACATCATTTAACCCATTTTACATATGATGCTGACAATTGATTCCAGTTGATCCCGAATGCGATATCGCTGTTGCCACCTTGGCCCAGCTGCTCCTCCAGCAAGGCAAAGTCTCCCAGGCACTTAAATATTTCGAGCGAGCAGCCGAATTAGCACGTACCGAAGCAGAAGTGGTCAATGCCATCTCCTACGCTGAAGCCACCCGCGCGCAACTCGACGTCCAGGAACGATATCCCAAGCTGGCAGCCCGATTGGCCCAGATGGGCGGTGCTCCGGGTCTCGGCGGCGTCTTCTAAGCCCATGGTGTGAATACAGTGATATCAAGATTCAAGACTCTCAGCAGATCGGAGGTGCCTCGCGCTACTTTGTACTTTAATAAACCATGTTTTGTTTTATCCTGGCTTCTTGTTGCCTCTGATCCTGAGCTTCTTTTATTGTTCCGATCTGCTTGTGACATGGGCGTGGGCCTTATGATATTGCCTAGTGATCTATCTGTATGTACCCACAGATGTACATGCAATGTTGCCCCAACGATATGTTCCCCGCAACTTCTTTGTTCAGATTTTTTGTATTATGAATTGCTGTACTTTACCTTGCTACGTTCTTTTCCTTTTTGCTGTTCTTTCAATTTCTTAAAAGATCCATTTTTTTTCCCTTGCCGGGGCGTTCTTGTTCCAAAAGAACAAACTAAACAGGGGGATACGGCTCGGATTGTGGTGGGAATGAATATTTAAGGACTGCCCGTGTATAAAATGAATTTTAATCGAACGACTCTTCTCTCCGTGGCTTTAAGGGTTAGAGTGGACGCGTTCCCTGCCGGGTAAATACCGAACACCTACACCAGTCATCTATACGGTCTACCTTGGGGAGTACCAAATATGCACATTCGTATCGCCGCGGAAGGGGCAGCATTCTTCTTGAAATCTGGAGCGGGCATTGACTCCAGAACTGCAGCATGAAGTCGGTTGCATTGCCTTAATTGGTAGGCCAACCAATGTCCATAGGTGGGGCAATGCTGCAAATGTTATCGTGAGAAATAACCTCATCATAAGTCAAGGAAAACCCCCCCCCCAAACCAAACACAGCAAACATCAACACCTTGTCTTCCATGTATCGCCCTCGGCACTGGTCAACAGACATCAAAATTAGCCCGCGTCAGAAATCTTGATTTTTCAGGTCTCCTGCCGGGTCTCCCACATTAACCAACACTCCCCGCTCGATACGATATCCGCAGGGAAAGCTTGACGTCATTTGTCGCCACGACCAAACAGATGGAGAGCTCATACTTTACAGAGCGTGTACCAATTGCTGCTCGATACTCAGTTCTGTCTCGCAGCGACAAATTGAACGGCTGTTGCAGCATCTTGATAGGTTTACTCTGTTCGATTGACTGCTAGCATTACAGATTCAGCTTCCCAAAATACTCCTAAACATGTCGACCTCTCGCCGTCCAACCAGCCGGCGTGAGCCAGAGCCGAATGTCACCTGCATGGGAATGTGCATGTACGGCATTGGAGCCGGGCTCCTGGGCGTTGCCGCGTATGGGTTCCCTTTATATATCCCCTGAACTCACATTAACTACTACTTTATCAATTGCGCTGCTAACAACGTCTGATCCACCAGCATGACCGTTGGCGAAAAGGTGGAGCAGTACTTCACCGGCCGCCCTAGTTCCCTTGTTCCCGGCCGCGCTCTCGAAAGCCTCCTCAAACTCACCCCGCGTCCCGACAGCCAGATGTTCTCGCTCAATGTATTGATGAGTTACACCCAGGGCGCCGTGGCGGGTGTGGCTCGTGCCATGATGAGTTTCCACGGGATCCGGGGGCCCATTGCCGACTTCTTGTTCGTCGGGGTGAGGCTGGCAGTTGATCAGGCCCTGGAAGTTTGGAGTGGGGTTGGCTCGTGGCCTTGGTGAGCAAATTTTAGTTCTCAATCGATTTAATACGATCTGTTGTTAACAATATGCGATTCAAAAGGAACTGGCCGCCGAGCGAGCAAGCCTATGAATTGCTACATAAGACGGTGTATGCATTGTCAACAGGATACCTGGTGGACTGTTGGCTTCATTGAAAGCTGGGGTTCACATTGGTATACTTGATCATTGCGGCACTCTGAAAAGACCATAGGTTCAGTTACTTCACGTCCGCATGTACATTAGGTATATCCAGGTATATAACTTTTTCTATGTTGAATGAAGGCGTTATGGTCTGGCTCTTGACCCTGGATTAATCGGAATTAAAGAGAATTTTTGGTACTGGTCTTGATTAGCACAGTAATGAATACACAGGTACCAAGCATGGATCCAGATATATTCAAAAACTCACGTCACAGGTGGTACAATGTCTCCAACCCAGAAAGATTTGATCAGGAGAGAATAACATGCCAGAAGAGTTCACCAAGATATAGTCGTTGTGTCCATCTCATATATGTTGATCAGATCATCGTGATGTCCGGTTTACGGTGAACCCCCTGTATGTTGAGTTTCCATTTGACAATTCTATTTCAAAGTGACTCCGCACACGCGAGGGTTGGAGCCTCCTGTGTCAACAGTGATATATGTGTCTTGCTCCAAATCATTAGGGCAGATCCCCGTCTATCCACATTAGCCTCGCCGACCGGGCCATATTGGAAGGTAATAATACTATTTCAGATGCACGGAGCATTGAGGGCTACATGTGCGAGTCGGATCCCAGCTACTCCTCCAGCGACGTTCAGCCGTACGGCAGTATCAATGAGTGACGTGTTTGTCAAATTCAGCGGTATCAGCTATTGGGTACTGTTGGCGACCCTCTTAACAAGGTGTCTGGTGGTCTCTTTGGGTTTCGTCATGTTTAGCTTAATGCGCCCTGTGCTTCAAGTCCTCGACACTTTTGGAACTCAGGGTTTCGAAAAATTCTAGGGATTAGTTATCTTTCCGGAATAACATATGAAAAGATAAAACGTCGATTTAACAGTGGCCTCTGCTGAGAAGTGGATCACCCTGCCCATCCATCCTGGAACCACCTAGACAGGCTGCAAGTCTCTAGAAGGACGGGGCGCGAACACAACCACCGTTCTAACGGAGAATGCGTGGTTGTGCACGGTGCAGAGGGGGAATGCGGAAGGGGAAAGGTGGAAGGTGTGGTCATGGCATGTGAGGATTGATTTCGTCGGCCGCAAGCGGAGAGACGGGCTCGGAGATGGATGGGCTCGGGAAGCATGGGGCGGTTCTCTGACTCCTGTTGGGCCAGCCCTTGGACTTCAAAGGTTCCAAAGTGGAAGCTTTGCCTCGAAGGTGCCCGGAGGAATTCATTGTCCGATGCCGCCCCAAATGACGCTAAGCCATTTGAGAGTAGCCAATGGGTCCACTTGGTCTAGTTAGGTCTAGCGCCGTGGGGTACGATAAGGTTTCAGCTTCGAGCTGATAAGCCGCTGGCTGATGTCATTGTGAATCACCACCCAGCTTGGGGTAGAGAGAGAACGTTTTTCTTTTGAGAAAATTCGAAAAAGTTGAAGACCCTGGTCTGGGTAACTTTTGAGATTTCTACCGGTGGGCTTGTGCGGACCATAGAAAAGCTCTTGAGGCCGGCCCGGTCTCGACGATGTGTCTACGCCCGCCGTACTACACACACACACACCGGAGACGAGTGAACCGTCAGACATGGGTGCGAGTGTGAGATGCTCCACGGCACCATGGATCCTGAAGCTGGATCTGTCCATCGTTCGTTTTTGTTTCCGCCTGTCATCCTGAGGCAAGGCTATTCTGCCAGCCTGAGCCGGCAAGCTCCGCCAAGTGCGTGGACACAATGATGTAAACTTGGGGAGGGAAAGGAGAAAAGCTGCCTGGGGGAGCAGCATGATGCCCGCGCCCTTGCGCTGTCTGCTCAGCCGCTTTGGGGTGTATCTAGTTATGTAGCTATGTACAGGATAGCACAGCATATAACATTAGGCAGTCGGTCGAGCAGCGAGCCATTAGATAACCCACTGCTTTAGGCAGCCGTAGCTGGCTGGGTAAACTCCGCTTTGGGTGTTCAACTTGCACTGGCCTTGTACCCCACCTCCACCTCGCCCAAACGATGTCCCATCAGCACAGACTCTCATCTCCCTTCTCCCATCTTCTCTCTTCTCTCTCTCTCTCTCTCTCTCTCTCTCTGTCTCTCTCTCTCTCTCTGTCTTTTTTTTTTTTTTCCTTCTTCTTCTCTCCCTCTTCTCTCCATCGTCAGAGATTGAACGACTTGCCGCTCTACCACACTATCAGCTTGCTCTATTACCACTCTCCGTCCACAAACGCTGCCCCGGACCCTCCTCGAATCAAGTACACACGTACACGTGGAGGTCTCTCCGGTTGCTAGCGGGGTTATCAGTACGCTCAGCTCTTTTCCTCCTTCATCATCTCGTTTTTAACACTCCACTCCCCAGCTAACTGGTCATCGATCTGCCTTCATTTTAATAGTTTCCCCCCCCCATCTACTCTCAGTCCACCGACCCCGCATCCTCGCCTCGCGGTAGCTGCTTGCCGATTTTTGCCCTCTAGATCTTCTGCAGAGCGAGCCATGGGGAGCAATCAATGTATGCAGGCGTCGCCGCTCTGCTGATGCTCCAGTTTTTGACTTCTTGGGATACTTTACAATGTGTTGATGTGCTGATGCAACTTCGTCGGCAGTAACCCTGACCGTTCACTGCCTGGATGGCCACAACCCAATCTCCGATCGAGTCGTCTCTTTGGACTCTAACACCCATCGGATTGTCCTTGGCCGTTCTTCAAAAGTTCAAGCGAAGAACCTCGTTCCTTACGCCAACAACCTATGGTTCGACAACCCCGTGCTCTCTCGCAACCATGCAGAGTTCACTATCATCGCAAGGCGGGAGGTACCGTACCCTTACCGTCTCCCAACCCATCTCTCGATGACTGTAGCTGATACTCTTCTTCTTTCTATGTTTTCAGGAAGCGTACCTGATAGACACCAAGTCAATGCATGGAACATGGGTGAATGATCACAAACTTTCGAGTGGCAAAAGAGCTCTACTGGAGGATGGTGACATTATAACTTTTGGAGCCAGAGTTACTCGAGGCACAGGTACGTCCATAGATCATCAGAGGTTGAATTCTCCTTGCGTCTAACGTCAAACGCCATCCAGAGGCATTTGAACCCCTCCGAGTACGCCTCGGGCTCTCTTGGGCGAAAGGAGACAGTGATGGGTGAGAATTTTTTTTTTCTTCTTCTTCTTTTTTCAATGAAACTACGCCCCGCAGAGCTCTACTGACTCGGGTATTATTAAAGAGCAATAGCGAAGAAATCTGTTCCTCGACCGACAAACACATTTGTTGTGCCTGATGACGACTACGACCCGGAAGATGGCAAGATTGACGTTGAAAGAGACCTTGGATGCGATCCGGAACCCGAGCATCAAATAGCTCCCGGCCCAGATGCTGTGTCAAATGTGCATTCGCCTCCTTTATCCTCAAAAGAGGAGGGAGATGACGACGGTGATGATGAGGACGAGGGTAACTCTCCACGAACGTCCCCTATCGATCATAGTACCGAAAAATGCCCCAAGGAAAATCGACCCTCATCAGATATATATGCAAGATCAGACGCCTCTGGCCTATTTGTACAAGAGAACGACATCGAAGTTGCCATCCCTGTCAGCAAGAACAACACTGGTCCGGCAGAGGATGCGCCAAAGGATGGTTACACCGTCATTGCTGAAGGCCTCTTGTCCGACGTGTTAGAGGATTCCAGCGTCGAGTCCATCTATTCCGAGGATGAATTTGGGGACGAAGCTGATGAACTCGAGGTTATCGATAACCCTCAGATTCCGGATGCAGATGACCGTGTTGTAACCCAAAATGCGACCGTCATTGCGCGCCTTGGTGAAGCTGTCCTCCCCTCTACCCCCGAGTCAATGCAACGCGATGAGTCAGTTGTTGTTGTGCCCAATCATGCGCAGCCGATGCCTCAGTCAACAGAGGAGAGTGAACCGTTGTGTGCGTCCCCGAGCATGAGTCAATTGCCACAATGGCCCAGAGCATTCCCCAGAGAGCCATCCCACCAGGAGAGTACCACATCCTATCCGTCTCTGAAAGTACCCACAAAGAATGACACTCGCGGAAGGTCGGAAAAGCAAGCATTCACAGACTCCAGCCACACGTCGCTCCTCAGAACCGTGGACTCAGGCTTAAACGGCTGGGCTTCTTGGCCCTCTGCATCGCGACCCGTTGACTTGCCGAAACCCCCTTATACCGAGGGTCCGTTTGCAGGCAGTACTCCAGGGGAAATGCCGGCGGAGACATATGCTATTCGCAGAGAGCTCCGGCCCGACTACATGGATTTTTGGCAAGGGCCTTACTCGTCTAAAGCAGCCCCCCTCCTTCCCGAATTCGAATTCGATCTCGGGAGGCCTTCAGCGCTTTTAGATCCTCCGGGCGCCGGCTACGATAACCCGCCATGGGGAACATCGTGTGAGTGTAAAGAAGACGCGAATCATTTCGACACCCGAAATACTGCAGAATCCAGCCACTCCAACACTAAAGCAGAGAATATTCTGGGCCAAACCGCTCGGGCAGCAACAGGAAAGATCCTAAAAAGGAAATTTGAGGAAGCAGACATATCGATCAAGCAAGGCACCGATTCATTCTCTCACGGTGAAGCGCTGCCCTATCCACAACCACGAGACACTGCTCCCAAAAAACCAGAGTTTGACTCCCCACGTAATGAAGCGGGTTCTACGGAAGCAAGAAAGGAACAAGTTGATCCTGGCCCGGTTGACACTCATCAGCCGAGCAAACGAACGAAAGTTGACAATGAACGACCTGCGCGGATGAAGAGTATTGCTGGATACGCGGCAACCGCGGCGGTCGGCGTGTTTGTTGGGGGAGTGGGAGCCATTGTGGCCCTGGCGTCTTTGCCTCCCGACTTTTTCAGCTAAAAAACCGAATTGCTCCTTTTGGGCAGTTGAATCTTGCTATGGGTATTCTTCATGTCACCCATCTTATCACACAGTACCTGCATGGTTCTACTAATTTATCCCTCAGTAAAAATTTTTAATTTCTTCATCTTAGGTTTGATTCCCTCCACTCATGGCGCGGACGCCAGTTTCATATTTCCAGAAGGATGGTGTGGGGCGTTTGTGAGTGTAAAGGGGTCTTGGCCTGTGTTCCTTTGACTTTTATTCATGTCTTTTTTATCAATTTAGTTCAACATTCTATGGAGTACTCCATAACAAATACACATTAATAAATTCTGTCAACTCTGAAGGTGTACAACTACCCCCCAGCTCTCTGGTTACCAACATTTATGGAACTCTCACAATTCAAGGCTCTTGGGTGCAGATGAATGCACCCTGTAGAAGCACAATATAATGGGACAAGATGAGGAGTCCGTCGGAGCATGAAACGAGAGAGGGATCGTGTGGCTGACGAAGAACAGAGAGCAACGAGCTGAAATCAGGCACTGATCCTAGGGTCCTTTGGAGAAAGTTGATGATTGCATAGCTCTCCCGCAGATTCGCAGATCAGTGGAAATTTCATTTGAGAAGGGGCACCGAAATAAACTGTGCAGGGGAAAAATAGGGAAAGCTGCTTGAAAATTGCAGCGAGGATCGGTACCGAAAAATGATCCAGGCCAATCTGGCAACAATAGCTCCTCGGGATTTGCCCTTCGCTATGTCAGGTGTCGCCCTCGTGGCACCGGACTTTGTTTAGAGACAGCATAATGACCCGTGGGCACCGACTGGCATTCGAGTGATATGCCTTGGCTCTCGGACGTGTGACAGGCGGAGGGCTTACGTGTCGATCAATGTGTATTCTTTGTCCACGAATGGAGGAACCGGTTTTCTTCGAACCCGACGAGAAGTAATGATGGGAAACACCGAGCTCACCACGGACGGTGATAAGCAGTGAAGTCCCATTTGGGTCCTATCGATATAAAAGTTGCTAGTTTTCCAAACACATTTTTAGCGGAAACAGACACCGGGTGTAGGTCATCATTCAACACACATTGGGCTATGGATAGCTACCCGGAAGGCTCATTTTCTGTGTCTATTGCCTTGGGTGATCTTCCGAGGGAGTAGGACGGAAAATGAGACTTTGGGGATGAGACCTGGGTGCACTGCACTGAATGGGGTGAGTTGAACAACATATTTCTCGTGGTTTTGGGTAACGAACTGACTATGTACTTAGTCTGCCTCGGGATTGCGATGGAGAAGATGTTGAAAAGAGCGTCGAACCGCGAGATCTTCAGCAGGACAATCCGCACCTGAATCCCACGCCATGTCACTGACAGACCTCAGGAGGTGCCAGGAGGTGCAAAAGAGAGGATTTGGAAGCAGGAAAACTATGTAGTTAACTACATGTTGATGATCCTTGCTTGCCTTAGGCAGACAATATCTCTACAACCATTTCTACCCTTCAAACACCGTGAGTGTGATTTCTGCTGAAGATAATATGATCACTCTCACTGCTTTTTTGCCTCCTAACATCACCGTATTACATGATACGAGCTGGTTGCCCATCTACATATGTGTGGAGTATATATGTGTGTTTGAGCGTGCATACACCTACAATTTCGGATACCTGCATGAAACATTCTATGATGAGCCACTCATGTTGGCCTTTTCGGCTCAGAAAAAGTTGGAATTTGATGTTTCAAAGCCAATCACGGTGAGTCCGGCCATTGGAAGGCTTCCCGTCACCATGAGGTTTGGTTGAACGGCGTTTGAATCGACCTGCGAATACATCGCCTGTTCCCGTGCGCCGGTTGGTCTTTGGGTCTGTATAGCCGTATATGTATGCATGCATCACCTCAGCCTCGCCTCAGACGCTTCTTCCATATTAATCCGTCGTTAAACGGCCACCCATTCTCTTTAATGACCTTCGGGGGTACACAATGCCAATTCTGACGAGCAGCGGACAATTCCGTCTTTTTGTTATTGACCTCGTCTTGAACATTTGTCTTTATTCCCTTCTCACTTAGTCAAAAAACTGACAACATCCCAGCCAGGGAAAAGCGGCACCCTGAGAGCAGGTACTTTAAAATATGGTCATATGAGCTACTTGGCAGCGGTTCCAGTTGACGGGCTCTCATCGTTCCTTTTTTTTCAATCATTTTCTCTCTCCAGGCCCTTTGCTGGCCTCGAGAATACAACAGATTTCGATACCCAGCCAGCCTGAAGTCTCCGTTGGAATGTTCCTTGGACTGTCGTCATTCCCGATGGATATCTGACCTGCTTCATCTCCAAGGGCCCTGAGGTAAATGGCGGCGTGCAATGATATCAACGGCCTTGCTACCTTTGCTTTTTTTTTTTTTTTTAAACTGCCTCGGATACCGCCACAAAATTATGCCGAGCTGTGGCATGATAATTGCGGTATTTGACTGTGTCATACAAAAGGGGAATTACCCCAGCGCTTCTGGCGGTGAACACTGACCAGGGCTGCCTGTACCACCGAATAACAGCCTCCGCTGCTGACTGGCTTCCGCTCGGGTGGAATCGATTTAGGCTTGGGTGCCGATGCCAGATGTGCCTCCGTGTTTTCCGGGTTGCACAGCACGCGAATTGGCCTTTCTTCGGTTCCAGTCTGTCCGGATGTCAGTTCGCATCTTATGTTCGTTCTCATCCTCCCCCTTGAGCACCAAGAAAGCAATATTCACGTCAGCTTTCTGACGAACATACGTCATTTTCTATGCCCACGTGCTGTCGTATCCCTCACTCTGCCATGAATGCCAATGGCTGACTGGTGCTACCACAACCCGTGTGAATATGGTCAATGTTGGTCTATCAGCTCGTATATCAAGCGGATTTGATATTGCTATCGTCCGACCTCGGGTCCTCCCTTCCAAGCAATATTCTGCCTTTCCAATACCGACATTACTGGGCTAAAGGCTCCGCTGGACTCTTTTGCTTTTTGGAATCGCGTAACCGGCATGAGTATGAGGTAGAAAAGTGGGATGAGATGTTGCAGGTCATGATTGGACGGGATCTCCGGAAGACCCGTTCATCACTATACTTTTCGACCTTATAGCGCTTCCACAGCGGGATATGCCCGTCCAGCGTCGCATCTTATGGTCTACCTTGGAGCAGAAGTCACACGGCCTTTTGCCATCGTGGATGTTGAATGTTGCCTTACTATCAAATTCTGTCACCATTGGCTCATTTCCCTTATTTCGTCCTAATTATTCGGTTGGGGGCACTCCTTTACATTATGGCCTGGAGGAGTATAAAATGTCCTGTCAGCTCCCCCCATTCTCTCAATTTTAGGCCTCGAGAAAACCACAAGTTTTGCCTTCGAATTAGAACCTCCTGGTATTCATACCATCTCTCCTTTCCTAGCTATCTCGAGCTGGAAGGTCCGCTGCAACCTTTGACCTGGTAACAGACCTTGCCCCTTTTGCGTCTTGAATCCTCTATTGCCACACATAACACACACTTTTGCGAGTTGAAAATGTCGCAAAGTAGCTCTATATCGCCGTTTTCGCTGGAAGCACACATGAAGAGCTGTATTCACGGCACGACTGTTTTAACATGCCGTGCTTGTGCCGGGAATCCTCCCCGGTAGGTTATTCCTCCTTATGAGTCCTACAAAAACGTCAATTAATTACAATTATTTTCCTCCTGTGTTGGTATTAGAGTCAGAAGTGAGCCATGCACTTCCTGCAAGGGGTATGGATACCACGTATACCCTTGTCAGCTCTGCCAGCCCAGCCCCTCCGGTTCTGTCAACGGTGGAACTTCTAGATCCCAGTTTGGCTCCCGCTTTACTGGCCCGGGCGAAAGGCATGATCCGGCTTCTTCCTCTCGGGGACTTGGCACCAGGAGCTGAGAAGTTGGTGGTGCTTAGCGTAGTTGGGATACTCAGTTTGCCAGAGATTTTACCAAGAATATTGTTGAACGGATGATACATGAATTAGGAATCCCATGATGTCTTGTTCTCTTTCTCTTTCTCTCCTCATTTTCGATTTCTCTTCTTCTTCTTCTTTCCTTTCTTTTTTTTTTTGGTGGTAGAGCTGCAAAGGACGATACACCATTTAGAGTGGGTGAAGACTTTCGTCTGGTATTGCTTTCTTCCCTTTTTTTGGGGATTCTTGTGCAGAAGTCGCACTCCTATCCAAACTAATCATCTCCATATTGTTTTGTTTCTATGGTCAACTGCTTGTATGATGTTGTCTGAGCCAGGAACTATCTGATCATTTTTGCTTTGCTGCCTCACTCATCAAAGCTGATACCCGAAACGGTGCATCAGATGGGAAAACCAAACATGCTGAACTCCCACCCATGTAATTACATATATATGACGTCAACAGGCGCCGCCAGACTCGACGAAGAGTGTATGCAAGATGCAATAACTGCTCACACGTCCTGAAAAATTAACTCTCCCTCCCTAAGGGTTCTAAGGCCTCCCTCAAGAAATCACCAGCATTCAAAAGCTCTGTACTACCATATACAACCCTCCGCTGGGGAACTCCACTCACAACAGCGCTGGCACCACCGCCAGTAGACGTCTGGCCTGCACCTGTTCCGCCACCAGTCCGCTTAACCCAATCTTGTAGGTTCCCATATTCCTCCATACTTCCACCACCCACTGTGAATACAATTGCCTCGCTGAACGCTTGTCGTCGCTGGCCAAATGTGGCACTTGTTCCGGGGCCGGGTGCTCCTAAAGACCCGGGTATTCCGACCTGTGAAGTGTTGCGTAACGATGCCGATGGAGGCATAGCGCCGCGGGCGTTGGCGCTGCGAGGGTCAAAGTAAAGGTAATTTTCAGTCTTCGCTATAGCGGAGCTCGATGCAGACGCCGGGTCCATTATGGATTCGGTGATTTTGGTTAGGGTGAGGTCTTTGTTTACAGGAAGGAAGTTCTTAACTCCCGATATTAGGGAATCAAAGTTTGCACCGAGTGCACCTGATGCGATACGGTCTGTTAGGCGGTTGGAAAGAGATGAGAAGCCGCGGAAGAGGTCGGAGGAAGGAGGCTGAGGAGTTGCGGCAGAAGTGGTCATCATTGTCATACGCGTAATTTCGCGAACACGTTTGACGTATGCGATGGAGCTAACGTCTTTGCATCCGGCTTGGACGAGAGCTTCCTCAAATCGGGTTAATTCAGCGCGCGAAAGATCGGATTCTATGCTGAGGAACCATATTAAGAAGAGGCGGAGTTTATCGGTTGGATCATCTCCACGGTTGGGGTCGGCAAGGATTTCGAGCATTTGCTGCTTAGTTTGTTTACCGATGTTTTCCTCCATTTGGAAAAAATTATCTAGCTGGCGGTCTTTTATACCTTTTAGCAATGCAGTCGCAATATTCATATGCATATCAAGAACAGCCTTGCGTTCGCGAAGTTCAGGTAGGAGAGTGATTGCGGCTTTCAGGTGCTGCGCTGAGGACGAAGTGTCGTTCTGAAGATCCTCAATGGAAGAAGCTCCTGTTTTCTTGGTGATGTCGTTGGCATCCTCTTTGTACCTCGTAAGCTCTGCGTCGATATCTTCAGCAACTTGTGGGAAAGGGGCTCCAGCATTGCGGGACCAAAAGAAGTCGCTAGCTGTGAGGTCGTACGAGCGCTTCGTAGCACCCTTAGTCGGATTCGAATCATCAGTCGGAGCCTCCATGGTTATGCGATTCAGATGCATCGTTAAAACGTCGTGAACCAGGGATTGATATGTCCAGGAATGTGACAGCATGGGAACCAGGTCGACATTACGATCCACTATAATGAGAACTGGTCTGGCGGACGGCACACTTAGACCTCTCTGGCTGCCACTGGTGAAAAGGTTATCTTTAGAGTTAAGGATATGGTCTCGAAGCTTGCGATCGAGTTTCGTAGCAATCAGCTCTGCCGCGCCGCCTTTTGGACATCTGATAATAGGAATGGCGCCTATTTCGCCGTTTAGCAACCAAAGAATGTCCAGTCTGCGATGTCGCAATGCTCACCCATAGTAACGCTGACGCTAAACAGGCCGCTAACGATTCTGTCTATCAATGCATCCAAGTCCTCATCTCGTGTTTGTGCACTGTTAATTTTCCAGTACGTATCTTTGCCCATCCCCAAGCTAAAGAGCTCTGGCTCTGCGACAATAAAATTTAAATACTGGTCGTATATCTGTGCCACCTTCTCTGACGTCCCTGTCGTGGCGATCTGGGCGGCGAAATCCTCGAGGAGAGGCCGTGGAACAGACGAAAGGAAGTTAATATATGCGGGGGCGTATAGTCCTTTGGAAAGGTCATTTGTGATCATTTGGACGTTGTCGGCCGTAGGTTCGACAAGGTAAAGTACTGGAACATCGGGAATGGGATAGCGGCGGGAATTGATGTTACTATTGAGAAGCGGTTAGTACGTGATCGAACCGGGGTTGTCTCTAGCACGGTCGAGACAGACAGATGGATGGTGACTCCCCAACCGCGAAGGTCGTTCACACGTAATACGCTACTGATAACATCTCTGCCCAGGTTGTCAAATACAAGAACCTTCCATATCGGATCGCCATCCTCGTTCAGGAGAGGGGCAGTGTGAGTTATAGCTCTGTTGGCTGCAGGCGGCTCGTTGCCAAATTCCGTGGTCTCGGGAGGGTCGTGGTTCAGGTTTAAAATTCTCTCAATTGCGGCTATCACTGAGTTAGCGGAGCTCGGGGACATCAAAATCAACTTGAGGGAAAGCAGCAGCTCCTGGATCAGAGCAAGACTTTACCAATTTGTCGCTGCCGCAGGGAGAACGGGCTGGCGGCCATCGTTATAGGATTGGATTGATGACGACACGGAGCATACGGTGGTTGGGAAAGTCTAAAGAGTTATGCGTTCGGTATGCTCAGCTGGGAGGATGCAGTGAACAATTCAAACTAGACGACCCAATTCATCATTCGAACAAGGCACCGTCCGCGTCGATACAAATCTCGCGGACTCCGCGAGCTGCCAGCAAGATGCCACTCTTCTGCCAGCACTGCGCGGCCAGCGGTCGCTGACGTAATCATCATGTACCTCATCTCGGCTTCCACGTGACTAGCTGCGCCATTAGTCATCTAGGGCGATAAAAAGACGCCTGCAAACCTGCGACGGCCCGTTTTCGACCTCAACTCCTCACTTCTCCCCATCCTCATCCTCATCCTCATCCTCGCTCTCTCACACGTACTTCTTCTCATAACGCCTGTCTGCGTCCTTATATCATCAGCCGGGCCTGTGCCCTGCGTTCTCTTCTTTTCCTGCTCCCCAATTACACGGTAAGGCAAACGCTAGCAATGTCGCACGTCTGAGCTTGAATTTCCTTCCCCTTGGCGCTCTGTAAGAACACCTTGCCTCGCGCGTGCAGAAACAACTCCGAAAAGTTCGGCGTCGAAGTCGGTAGTCTGATGGAGGATTAATAACATTGGAGAAGTTAAGTCGGAGCATCTCCATAGAGAAGGAGAAACGGGAAGCTGGGCTTCGTCCCTGGGTGTACGCCGGTCTGCTTCATAGCGACTGGATTAACAGCGTTTGACAGCTTACTGAGAGACCGTTTGTTTTTTTTTTTTCTTTCTTTTTTCTTTTTTCTTTTCCTTTCTTTTTTTTAAAAAAAGAGAGAGGGGGAGGGAGAGAGTCTTGTATTACTGTGCCTTGTTCAGGTACTATTTTGAAATCTGAAGCGCAAAATCCCCTAATTAAGCAAACCAGCGGCCACCGTTGAAGAGCGAGCTCTCGACAAACAGGGAACCAAGCGCGCGGCCTGGAAATAAGGAAAAAGTCGGTGTGGTGGGTACAAAGCAAATCGCCAGCCTGAATCGACCATCGCCACCCATTCACGGTGACCCACGCCTGACCATTCCAAAATTTCTCTTCTTAGCAAATGGATTAAACCTCTACGAAGGCCTTGGTGTTCCTCTTTTTGTTTTATTACATTATTTCCCCTTGATTAAGCCCTCCAATACTGCAACAACTGTGCGTGGTGGCGGTTTTGTCAAGAGAGGCACACAGAGAGAGGGAGACAGACATCAAGTTCCTGGTCTGGAATTGTGGCTGCAGCCTGCTTAGAGACACGACGTCCACCCCCTAACCCCACGCACCGACCAGGGTTCGCCCGTCTGGCTCTTCTCTGCGGTGCTCCCTTCATTTTTGCCCCTGTTTTGCTTTTTTAGGCGCAGCGTCGTTCTCGCCCGCCCAGCCCGGTTTCAGGCAGCCAGCCAAGCACGGCGATCACATGCTCGGCGCGGATTCGCCCGCAGCTCCCAACCGCTAGTCCCGATCCGACTAGCCTATCATTATTCGGCAAATCTTTTATCCGAGTAGTCTCGAGCACGTGACCACGACGCTCTCCGCCCGGCAGAATCGTCCACAAAACGACGCGATGGACGCCGCGACCGACTCAAACCCTCAACCGCCGGTCGAACCGCCGGCACCCTCGTTCTCAACCGACTACTGGAATAGCGTGAACTCCATATATCCGTCCAACCAGCCCCACGACCAGCCTTTTGGCATCGGGTGGGATCACCCCGTTTTCCAGCAACATGACTCGCATCCACATCCGCATTCCCATCCACACCCGCACCCACACCCTCAGTCGCAGACGCCCGACCTGTATGCTCATCCTCAGCACGCATGGCACCAACCTCCGATCCAGCAGGGCGTGGTTACCGAGCCACAGCAGAACTTCGAACTTCAGAGCCATTTTCGAATGACCTCCTATCAGCAGCCACCTCAGCAATCCCCCCCCCCGTCCTACGATAATCCACCACAACCCAACCCGGCATATCCAACGTACTCCTTCGAACCAGCTCCCTATTACCAGAACTCTCTCCCGGCCCATAACACATCGTTTGCACAATCTCAGGTGGATCTGCAAAGGGCCACTCTACAAAATGTCACAGACAATTCTCTTGAAAGCCATCCCGCCCCTTATGCCGCTCCTCCACCTCTACAACCGAATATCCAGGTAAAATCCCCTGCTATATATTTTTTATTTTTAGTTTTATTTTTATTTTTATTTTTTTTTATTTTTTTGGCTTGAAGATAGGTGAGCTAACCCTGATTTAGCCGCGACCGGTTGCGTTCGCCTCCACATATCCGACCCCTAGCTATCACAATACCATTGATCCTCAGTTTCTTACAGCTACCCGACATTCCATGCTTCAGCCTGACCAGGGCCAGAGAAATGTCTTCGTTGTCAACCCGGCAGATCTTGAACGCACTAATACTACGAGGTTTGTCTTGCCTCCCAATCCCTCCCAAACCTGGATGATCAGTTTTGACCCCAAAGGCAGAAATGTCCAGGTTCCGAATGGCAGCGTGGCCAAATCCACTGTCCTCTCATCCCAACACGCAAACCTCATCCAACCGCAGCTGATTAAAAATGGTAAGCCTCCCCGTGCCTAGCAATTGGTAGTTAAGTATCTCCTGTTAACCACAACTTCTATTAAGGAATCCCGGCGATTCCCAAGCCAATTCAACCACGTAAGAAAAAAGAACCTGTGGCCAAGGCGAAGGCCCCCGCAAAAAAGGATCAGGTCAAAATAGTAAAGCAGGATGGCGATCGCATCTCCGACAGCGACACCTCATCAGATTCTGAGACGGAAGGAGCGCCGGAGCAGTCGCCTCTTCCTCTATCGCGACCTACCGACCTCGATGGTGGCGTCAAATATGACGCAATGAAAATTGTCTGGTTTCCGAGGAACCGACAGCCATCAGCTCCCGCTATACGAAACGCGATGGTTTTATTCTCAGACCTAGTAAAAGGTGTACGCGACGTTTGGAAGTCTCGGAGTGAGGCTCTCAAAGCTGCAGAAAATCAAAATCAAGAGGATAAGATCCCGGCAATCAAAAGAGAGGTCATCATGCAGCGACGATTGCTGGATATCATCATCAACACCACTCTTGTCAACGGCCACCCTTCTTATGTTCAAAGGTACGTACTTTTTCGATACTTTTTTCTCCTCCTTCATGGCTGGCTGCTTCGTCAGTTTGTCGATAGAAGCTTGAAACAAAATGGAGAAAGGTTATTATGTAGCCATGTCAATGTCTGGACTTCCAGCATGTCATCTCAATCTAAGAAACGAACGCTGCCATTTCTAACAAGGGCATAAGTCCTTGGAGAAGCTGCATGCGGTGTATTGAATGAGCACATATGGCCATTGCTCACGAAATACTGATACAACTACATGTTGCTACAAATAATTTAATATTACGGATTTCCCCCAATTCCCCTCGATACCATTGAGTGGGATGGGGATAGCGTTGAGTGGATTTTGCTGCCTGAGGTTATCTCGGCTACACCATGGAACTCCATAAACCCAAGAAACAGCCTTAGCCTTTGAATTTTGTTTGCGCTTTTATTAGTTCCCCTTTTTGCTTGTTATCCTGTCGGATATGGTAAGACCTAAATACTTATTGTTTAATATATAGATTCGGTGAACATCCAATTATCGTCTCCGCATTTTATTCTTTTCTTTTGGACCGTCACACCGCTGCCGATAGCGATGGTGCACTAACGGTCAATATACTCAAGGTACCTACAGATACTCCGTCCACACACTTCAAGTAGTAACTAACATGTTCGTAGTTGATGACCAAATTCATAACAATGGATCAAGCTATGCTTGAAAAGACCAAAAACGATAAGATTCTCTCCCGGTTTGTCAAAAAGGGCGGCGAGACCATTAAGAAGCTCGCACAAGCCGTCCTCGAGAATGCAGCTCTGGCGACAAAGAATAAATCCGAGTCGGCCAAGGCTGCTACAAAAGAAAATACAACACAGGTTAAGAAAGAATTATCCGAGGTCCCTTATCCTCACGCCCTAAATCGAAACCCTGGCCAGCCCAATGCCAAGAAACGAGCTCGAGAGCCTGAAGGTAGCAATGGCCCAGCACCAAAACGAGTAGTCTCACCACCAAATGCAAAGACAGTTTCAAGGCCTCTGGCAGCCAGTGCAACCAACACACAGCGTGGCATTGCCTCTGGTAGTGACAATAAACCGGCGTCACAAAATGCAACCCAGCCTATCAAACCCAAGGCAAACATCGTTACCCCTAAACCGACTCCGAGCCTCTTCAGCAGTTTAATGTCCGCCTCGAAGAAACCGGGAACGTCTAATGCCGCCCGTGCTGCCGCTGCCGCCGCTGCTGCTAAAGAAAAAGCAAAGTAAGTTCCCTTCTTGTCCCCAGATATCCCCAGTTTTGAATATCTTTGTTAATGGAAGCAGAACTGAACAAGAAACACCACGCCCTCCACCGAGGCCAGCCTTCTCGTTTGCAGAAACGTTGGCTGATTTGAGCAAGCCTAAAGAGGTCACTTCGGCAAAACCAGTCGAGGACTTGCCACCAGAGACGGAAGAAGAGAAGGCCAAGAGGCTCAGAAAGGAGGAAAGACGTAAACTTCGAGTCTCTTGGAAACCTGATGATAGTCTAGTCGAAGTTCGGTTGTTCACTCATGATCCAGAAGAGGAAATCGGCCGAGATGACAGTGCCAAGCGCGATGTTAGTGACCTTGCTGGAGAAGGTCGAACACTCAAAATGCATCGCGGTCTGGACGATTTGGACGAGGATGATGATGACGACGATATGCTGGCTTACCGTTGTCCTTCAGGTATGTCAAAAACATGTGCTTCCTTATTTCAATCCTAACATCACCGTAGAAATCGATTTTACCGACCTTGAGGCCAGCGATCGCGAAAGGAATTTTGTCAAGACTGGCGGCGAAAAGGCACCGAAGAGTCCTGCGAAGGAAGACCAGGACCAGAGAGAGGCCAACACTCTAAGCGTATTCTATACATCTCCTGAGGACGTCCCTGTCTCTCCCAAAGAACCACCAACCCCTGAAAAGGACGAAGAAGCCTATGAGCCTGAAGATGACTTTGGACAGCCCAGCGATCAGGTCAAGGTACGCTGTTTCCGCAAACATATTGTTTAGGCAGTTTTAACGATTTTTCACCTATAGGCCCGATCCGCGAAATACTTTGCTGCCATGGCTGCCGTGGCCGCCAAAGCGACTGGTGCTAGAACTCCTGGTGCTGGCGTCGCACCACAATCGGCGCCGCCAGTTCCAGCAGCTCCTCCAGCTCCACAGGTCCAGCCTTCGGCACAAATGGATATCTCTTCGTTGCTCAAAGTCCTACAACACAATCAATTACCCCCAGTTCAACCCCAGCAACAGCAGCCCGCACCGCAATCCAACATGTCTGACCTCGAAAGAATTTTTAATCAATTCCGCGAGACGAACCAAGCCCCCGTGCAACAACAACAACAACTACCGCCAGCCGCGCCGGTGGCTACGCAAGGCCTCGATTGGCAGAAGCTGCTAAATGTCATGGCCCTTCAGAAACAAATGCAACCAGCTCCGACCTTTCCGCAAGTGCAGGCCACCCAAGGCCCTGATTTGGCTGCCATCTTAGCTCAGTTGAACCCAGGCACGCAGCAAGGACAGCAGCAACAGCAGCAGATGGCCCAGTCGTTTGACTTTAGCCAACAGGTTGTAACTCCTTACGAAAATCCAGAGCGGAAGCGCTACCGTGAGGCCGCGGAAACCGAGGATGCAGATGATAATGGCTACGGATATAATAAGCGTTCCAGGGCGAACGGCGATTCCGGAAAGTCTAAAAAACATGTAAGGGCATCTTTCATCCGCATATTTACCTAGATTAGTGCTAATCATACTCGTTCTACAGCCTAAAGCAGGTTTAGTTCCCTGCCGTTACTGGAAAGAAGGCAAATGCCTGAAAGGTTCAGACTGTACCTTTAGACATGATCCTCTCGATTAAGTTATCATACCCGCCAAACTTGCATTGCATCTATCTATATTTTTATCTGTTCGAAGCATTTCGATACCCCTCCCGCATTTCATTCTTGCTTGGCGTCTAGTTCTGCATACAATCATATACATGGGTGGATAGGATGGGCTTGTCTTTTAGTTTTATGGTGGCGAAACAGCAGGAGAGACAGGCTTTGCGCTTAATATGGTGTTGTATCTTACCGGGATCTGGTGGCATTTCTTTTTGCGGTGTAATGTCTTACTGTTGTTCACTTCCTGACACGCTAGAGATGTGCTTGGAGTTGTTGGGTTTGAGTGTCTTTATCTGTTTATGTTAACTGTGATGTATTCACTCCTCTGCGCGTTTAGAAGTCCTCGGATCTTCTCCGTTCATCCTCTGCCGATGTCTGCCTACTACACATGGTCAAGTAGGGAGGTGTTTTTTCTTTTCAATGGTCATAAATCAGTGTGATAGTCCTGGTCTCCACTGCTATTGTATTGTACCACATTGTGTCATCAAATCCCATGCCCATTTGTTGCTTCACAGTTTCTGTGCGTGCGGCTTGTAGGTAGTCACTCGTTAACAAGGAGCCCAGTGGTTGGCTAAGAATATTGACAAATTGCTCTACCTTACAATTCATCATAATAATACATTTATCTGAAATACACTGCTTGAAAATACAACATGCAATTACTTTGACAAGAAAGCCTGAAATGCCTTGTGCTCAATGATCACATTCCCCACGGCCTGCAGCCTCTTTCTACCTTCTTTCTGCTTCTCCAAAAGCTTCCTCCGCCGAGTGACATCGCTGGCGTGGAGTTTTGCTAGGACGTCTTTCCGGAATGGTTTGACACTTTCCCTTGCCACGATCTTGTTGCCCACAGCGGCCTGGATGACAATTTCGAACATTTGCCGGTCAACGTGCTCTTTGAATTTGGTTACCCATTGCCTTCCGAGACGGGCAACCTGGCTGGTGTGGACGACCCGTGAGACGGCGTCAACGGGTACCTTGTTCACCAGGAGCTTGAGCTTGACGATGTTGCTCTTCCTCCAGCCGGATTCCTCGTAGTCCAAGCTTGCATATCCCTTGGTCAATCCTTTTAGTTTACCGAAGAAGTCGTCGACGAGCTGAGCAAGGGGGAGCTGGTATTTGAGAATGACCTGAGTGGCGGTGAAAAATTCAAGGCTGACTTGCTCACCGCGGTTACCTTCACAGAGCTCAATGACTTTCCCGAGATATTCCTGTGGGAAGGTCAGCGTCGTAAGGACATACGGTTCCTGGAATTCTTCGACTTTCATCCTCGACGAGTCGTCGTCCGGAAAATCGATGGGGCTGGTGATGACGGTTTCCTCCCCACTTTTCCAGAGGATCTTACAAGGAACGCTTGGCGGCGTGATGATGATATTAGCGCCGTGTTCCTGCTGCAGTCGGTCCTGAAATACGGAGCAATGCAATGTCCCAAGAAAACCGAGACGGAAGCCTCCACCCAATGCCTCAGAGGACTCCTTTTTCACAGTGATGCTTCGGTCATTCAACAGCAATTGATTGATACTCTCTTCCAGATGGGGGAAATCATCCGAATTCACCGGATAGGCAGCCACAAAAACCATCGCTTTCGGCTCCTCAAAGCCAGGGAGCGGCTCTACGAGCTTTTCGGAGCCAACTTTGGTGTAGGTATCTCCGATCTTTGCTTCTTGACTCTGTTTCATGCCGGGATTGAAGTAGACGTAGCCCACTTGCCCTGCGCGTAGGACGGTCTGAGGAGTTTGATTTGGATACATGATACCGACTTCGCCGACAATATACTTTTTACCGGTCGCGAAGGATACGACTTGGTCTCCTGCCTTTATCTCGCCATCGAAGACGCGTATGAGAAGGATGACGCCCTTGTATGTATCGTACCACGAGTCGACAAGAAGAACCCGGAGAGGTTTCGTATGGTCGCCAACCGGACTGTGCACCTTGTCAATAAGATTATGCTCCTTTTCTAGCTGTAGCCGCTGTCACTCACGCTGGGATCTGTTCAACGATTGTCGGAAGAAGCTGCTTGACATTTAAGCCTGTCTTCGCAGAGACAAGTACGGCCTGCTCTACGTCCAATTCAAATGAACTTTTCATTTGGTCCAGTGCCCGATCAGGGTCCGCAGAGGGGAGATCGACCTTATTTATAACCGGTACTAGCTCTAGACCCTGCGCAAAGGCAAGGTAGAAATTCGCAACGGTTTGAGCCTGAACGCCCTGGCTGGCGTCGACAAGCAGCAGGGCTCCCCCGCAGCTAGCGTAACTCCGCGAAACCTCTGCACGAAAATCCACGTGGCCCGGCGTGTCGACGAGATGCAGCAAATAATCCTCGCCTTTGTAGTTGTAGAGCATAGTGCAAGTCTGTGCCTTGACCGTGATCCCGCGCTCACGCTCCACATCAAGCTTGTCCAAAACTTGTTTATTCGAGCCAGGTTCAATGGTCCCAGTCAACTCCAGGAGGCGATCAGAGAGCGTGCTTTTGCCATGATCGACATGGGCAACGATACAAAAATTGCGAAATCGTTCGATAGGAATAGCGGCGATGCGTTGTTCGAGCTCCGAGGGAGGCTTTCTTGCGGCGGTGGCCGCTCTACTCGCACAGCTGCTGAAGAGACGGGAAGTGCTTGCGAACGGTTGGAACGGGAGGCACGAAAGCTGAGGCGCAGGCCGCCTCAGTGCCGTGGTCAGCCATCTGACCGACTGCAGACATCCTCGCATCGGGGTAGCAGCATTGAAGCTCAGCGGCGTCCTGTCCTGTGTGTGTGATCTCCGGTTCTCGAATCAGGGCGTTTGGGCAGTTTTCCGCGTTTGAAGATTTTCAATAGTGGCACGTGACTGATAGCCCCTTATCGCCGATTATCACCGCAGCGACCAGAGGAGATGCGTTAACCAACAAACTAATTGCTGGGACCATTTGAGACGAGCTTTGCAGCCCGGGAAGGGAGTCTAGGAGCAGGACGGAACGGTTCAGCCCCACACAGAGACAATGGCTTCGCAAAAGGACAAAAGCAAAGTGCACAAGTTGTCGCTGAAAGGTACTAGTTACAGCGGTGAAATCCCGAGTGTTTATCTGTTTTGGGCTGATTGAGGGGTTCCGGTAGGCTCAGCGAAGCTCGTCGCAGAATTCGTGAGTCTCTGCCCTTCAATAATCCAAGACTGGTATCTAACGTCGATAAGTTTGAATACTCGATACATTCCATCCTGTAGGTGTCACTTGACGACCAGGCCACATCCATCGTCGCTAACTCGGAAAGGTTTCAACGAGGTGTATATCCCGCAGACGACTTCACAGCGTAAGCAGCAGCAGCCAAATGTGACCAATGATCCAATTGCTAACAAATTTTTTGCAGAGTTAAGAAGTATGGGCTTAATATGCTTGGTATGTCTAGATTCTACTTTGTCTGCTAGCTTGCTGACCGGCAGTGTAGTGTCTGCCGACGACCAGGTCAAAGCCTATATTAAACGGATCATGTCACAACTAAATAAATGGATGCTCGGTGGGAAGATATCAAAGCTCGTCGTCGTTATCACAGACAAGGAAACAGGAGAGCATGTTGAACGATGGCAGTTTGATGTACCACACACTCAGCCGTTGGCTTTAATTGGGAATCGCGCGACTGACTATCGCGTCATAGGTTGAAATCTTCAGCAAAGGCCCTCGGAGTAAATCCTCTGAGAAGAAAGCAGACAAAGAGAATGCTTCTCCGAAGTACGTGCATCACTATACCTCTCCCTAGCAGTAACGGAGAAGTTGCTCCTGCAAGCTGACACGCTCTGCCCTCCTAATCCAGTGATATGAGCGCTTCTGCACAACCGGAGAAGTCCGAGAAGCAGATCCAGGAGGAGATCCAGGCGATCTTCCGCCAGATCACCGCATCCGTAACATTTCTGCCTATGCTCGACGGCAATTGCACATTCAACGTTCTTGTGTATGCGGATGCCGACTCTGAGGTTCCTCTTGAATGGGGTGATAGCGATGCCAAGGAGATTAAAAACGGGGAGAAAGTTCAATTGAGAAGCTTCAGCACGAACAGTCATCGTGTCGATACGATGGTTAGCTACAGGTATGGACTGAACCATTCCCTGCTGATCCCGGAGCCTTTGTAATGAGCTTTTTGACTGACGATCTCTCGCGCGTGCGTTTAGGCTTGCCGAATGATGTCTGCAGGGTTTGGAGTACGGAAGGATGGAGAGTTCCCGGGGGGTTGGGTATATGGAACTGGCGTATGGGACAAGTTAAACTACACTTCATAGCGATTGAGTCTATTAATGGGAATTTCTGTGTTGTCTTTGCATCGTTTTCTCCGTCGCAATTCCTCCCGCTCCCGGCCGCAGCCGGGGACGATGCCAAGGCTAGCGGATAGATGTGGTCACGTGATGTAGCCGGCCCGCATCGAGAAATTTTGGAGTCATCGCGGGCGGGCAGCGAACAGCGAGACAACACGGGGAGCGTTGAGCTGTGTCCTGCTAGCTTGCTTAAAGATCAGAGGCCTTACTCCAGCGAATTTGTCTCTCACCGTTTGCTATTATTGTATTATATACATAGTATTACACCTAGGAGTCGGACTGATCCTCGTTGCCAACCCCGCCATCGACTGGATTCAAGCGCCAAAGAAGCGACGTTGCGACGGCTCCTAAGAGGTGGTTATCGTTTACACCGCAAACGGCATCTTTTTGCAGGAATAAACCATTGTTGGAATACCCCCGTTATACCACCTAAAACAGCGTTGAGCGCCCCCCAATCGACAGCTTCTTACCATGATCCCCTCCTGATCCCGGCACGATGCAAGCTGTGGAGGGTGTGCCAATAGACCCTGGCAAAGCCCAGGTCGTCGATAGGGTTCCCAAAGTTATTAAGGAAATCAAATTCGGCGTTCTGTACGTACCATTTACATCGCTCTGCGGCTCGATGGGGACGAGCTAACAATCACCCAAAAATCCTCTAGAGCGAGTCAAGATATCGTAAGCCAGGCTCTCGTCGAAGTCTCCGACAGAAAACTTTTTGACCTTGATAATGATCGTGCTGTTGCTCGTCATGGACCGCTGGATGGGCGCATGGGCATATCGAGTAAATCCGGCACTTGCGAGACCTGCGGAGGCGCTTTGCAGGAGTGCAACGGCCATTTCGGTCATGTCCGACTCGTTCTACCGGCTTTCCACGTAGGATACTTCAAGCGAGTCATCGGCATACTACAGGAGATTTGCAAGGTAGATATTGATCTCAACTGTTACATGCAGAAGTTGGGGCTAATGTCACTCCTCAAACCGTAGGATTGCTCACGAATCCTGTTGCCTGAAAATGAGAGGCGTATATTTCTGAAAGAGATGAGGAGACAGGGAATCGATAATCTACGGCGCATGCAAATCAACAAGCGGATTAATGACCGGTGCCGGAAGACTCGAACGTGCTATGTCTGCCATGCCGTCAATGGTGTCGTTAAAAAGGCGGGAACGAGCGCCCTGAAAATCACACACGATAAGTTTCGTGCTTTCAACGCTTCTACTTCTGCCAAAAAGGTACCGCCTCCGAGCAAGCTTGTGTTCGACCGGTCCTTTGAAGAGGCCAAACGTTCGAACACGGATATCGAGAAACACTTTAAAAAGGTGCAGGATGATCTTAATCCCCTCCGGGTGTTGAAACTATTCCGCCGTATCTCGGATGAAGACTGCGAGTTACTTGGCTTGAACCCGGAGGAGGTGCGGCCGGAAATGTTCCTTTGGCAATATATTCCTGCTCCACCGGTGTCCATTCGTCCGTCAGTGGGCCAAGAGGGTGCAAGTACCGAAGATGACCTGACTGCGAAACTCGGGGACATCGTTCAGAGCAATATCAATCTGAAGAATGCCATAAATAAGGGTGCACCAGTACAAACTATTATTGAATGCTGGGATTATATGCAGCTTCAAATTGCGGTTTATATTAACAGTGATGTGCCCGGTCTACAGAAGGCGGACTTTGGAAAACCTATTAGAGGCATCTGCCAGCGTCTAAAGGGAAAGCAGGGCAGATTTAGAGGCAATCTCTCAGGGAAACGTGTTGATTTCTCCGGCAGAACGGTCATTTCTCCCGATCCGAATTTAAGAATTGATGAAGTTGCTGTACCGCAGCTTGTCGCGATGAACATGACATATCCCGAGAGAGTGACAAGATACAATAAAGAAAAGCTTCGCGAACGAGTTCGGAACGGGACGAAGATCTGGCCTGGAGCAAACTACCTGTCCAAAAGAGGCACGACTTTCAAGGTCTTCTTGAAGTATGGCAACCTTAACCTCATGGCAGATCAGTTAGAAGAGGGCGATGTTGTTGAGCGGCATTTGGAGGATGGCGATATCGTACTGTTTAATCGACAACCCTCACTCCACAAACTCAGTATTCTTTCTCACTTTGTCAAAGTGCGACCACACAGAACATTCCGTCTGAACGAGTGTGTTTGCAATCCTTATAATGCCGATTTTGATGGAGATGAAATGAACTTGCATGTTCCCCAGACGGAGGAGGCCAGAGCTGAGGCAATGGAACTGATGGGGGTTAAGAACAATTTAGCTACACCCAAGAACGGAGAGCCTATCATCGCCGCCATCCAAGATTTCATCACCGCTGCATACTTGCTGAGTAGCAAAGATAATTTTTATGACCGGGGATCGTTCACTCAGATCTGTGGCTACATGCTGCAACCGGGGACCAAATTCGATCTTCCCCCGCCAGCAGTGCTAAAACCGCAAATGTTATGGACCGGAAAGCAGGTGTTTAATGTGCTGATGCGTCCGAGTAAAGAGTCTCCTGTTCTTGTCAACCTAGACGCTGCATGCAGAGAATTCAGAGCACCCAAAGGGACCCCAAGAGATCTTGATCCCAACGACGGTTGGCTATGTATTCGAAATTCCGAAATAATGTGTGGTGTCATGGACAAATCGACTATCGGATCCGGTAAAAAGGATTCAGTGTTTTATGTCATGCTTCGTGACTTTGGACCGCAAGTAGCCGCAGAGGCTATGAATCGACTCTCAAGACTCTCCGCTCGGTGGTTTACAAACATTGGGTTCTCCATCGGTATTACGGACGTTTATCCGGGCGATTCACTGCTCCAGGCAAAGAAGCAGCTCGTTGAAGAAGCCTATGCGCAGTGTGACGCGCTGATTCAGTTATTCAAAGCCGGCAAGCTCGAAAAGGCTCCCGGGGGTGATGAACAGCAGAACATGGAGAGCCAGATCTCGGGTATTCTCAGTAAAGTTCGTCAACAAGCTGGTGAACAGTGTATCGCGGAATTAAGCAAATGGAACTCTCCTCTCATCATGGCTACGTCTGGGTCGAAGGGTTCTACTATCAACGTTGCGCAAATGATTGCCCTCGTGGGTCAGCAAATTATTGCAGGGCAACGTGTACAAGACGGCTTCCAGGATCGAACCCTGCCGCATTTTCCCAAGTACGCTCGTCAGCCACCTGCAAAGGGCTTCGTTCGAAACAGTTTCTTCTCCGGGTTAATACCATCTGAATTCTTCTTTCACGCAATCTCCGGACGTGAAGGTCTGATTGATACTGCGGTCAAGACTGCAGAAACGGGTTACATGTCCCGTCGACTCATGAAGTCGCTTGAGGATTTGTCGAGCCGTTACGATGACACCGTAAGAAATTCCTCATCGAACATCGTTCAGTTTCAATACGGTGATGATAAACTTGATCCGGTGGACATGGAAGATAAAGCGAAACCGGTCCACTTTGACCGGACGTTTACGCACGCAGAAACTACTACGTACAGCAAAGAAGATCGAGGTTTACTTCCGTCGGAGGTTATGGACCTCTGTCGCCAAATGCTTGCTCCTGAACGTGCCAAGCTTGACCGTTTTGATTTACTCGGCAATAGTCTCGAATATACTGACCGCAGTGATCATGGCATTGATCAACTCGAAAGTAACCGCGACTTCTTGCAGTCTATTGAAGATTACATCCAAGCCAAGGCTGATAGGCTTCATTCTGCAACCGGAACTGAAGCAGACACGCTTGAAGGACAGATGGCGTTATCACACACGGTGAAGCTCTCCGCAAAGACGTTAACTACTTTTATCACGTCGTGCCTCACCAAATATAAGAAAGCCCAGGTTGAACCCGGCCACGCTGTGGGTGCTGTCGGCGCACAGTCCATTGGTGAACCCGGCACCCAAATGACTTTGAAGACTTTCCATTTTGCGGGTGTTGCTGGCATGAGTATAACACAAGGTGTTCCCCGTATCAAGGAAATCATCAACGCTTCAAAGGAGATCAGTACGCCGATCATCACTTGTGAGCTTGTCAATAAGGAAGACGTGAGAGCTGCTCAAATTGTCAAAGGCCGTGTCGAAAAGACCTTCATCAAAGACATTATATACTACATAGAAGAAGCATGGACGGGTTCGGTCGCATACATCAACATCAAAATCGACTTCTCCACCATCCAAGCTCTCCAGCTAGAACTTACACTTCGTGACATCCTCAACGCGATCAAGAAGCATAAACGCTTCAGATCCGACGATTTGAAATTCCGCTCCTTCGGGTCGCACATTCACATCTTTGTAGACCAAGCCACGACCAAAACCTCACTTACCAAAGCCGAACAAGCCGCCACTGGTTCAGATCCTTATATCCGCCTCAAACACCTGAAGCGCCTGCTGCCTACAATCCAAGTTCTTGGTCACCCTCAATGCTCGCGTGCGATTATCCGTACGGACGAAACCAACACCACTAACACCTTACTTGTTGAAGGTTACGGTCTCCGTGCCTGCATGACTACCGACGGTATTTTCGGTACCCGCACACGAACCAATAATATTATGGAAACCAAGGACGTTTTAGGAATCGAAGCGGCGCGCACCACTATTGTTGATGAAATCAGCGATGTGATGAAGGACATGGGCATAGATCCGCGTCACATGCAGCTGCTCGCCGATGTGATGACTTACAAAGGTGAAGTTTTAGGAATCACACGTTTCGGACTGGCTAAAATGCGGGACTCTGTTCTACAATTGGCAAGTTTTGAGAAAACTGCTGATCATCTCTTTGATGCTGGTGGTGCGGGTAGGACCGATCTGGTCGAGGGTGTGTCGGAGTGCATTATACTGGGGAAAAGTGTATCATTAGGAACAGGAGCGATGGAGATGGTTAGGGCGATGAATTTCTATGAAGGCCAGATTGGGAAGAAAAAGACTGTCTTTGAAGATGTCTGGAAAGACATTGTCGAAGCACCAGCAAAGGCGAGGAAGAAGAAAAAGGTATAAATACAAAAGCATAGTGGCTAATTTTGGCTAGAATGGTGTTTCGTGGGCGGTTAACTACTCGATCGTTTGGGCTGTATATCAACGATGTTATGAGATATAATTGTATAAAAAAGTGATTCATTTAATACTACTGCATAACGATAACATCCACTTCCACTTGGTTAATAAACTACGAGTCTTAAGAGACATACTATATTTCTCATCCTTTTATTTCATCCTTCCATTAACCTGTCAGATGCTCCTTGTCTTCATGAGACTAACGATTTAGCATCCGGCCCCGACAAACTTGTAGATTCCCAGGACGTTCCCCTCAGAGTCTTCTGCGTACATGATCTTTCCATGGTCTCCCTCTGGATACTCGCCGCTCAGCTTCTTCCCGCCGTGCGCCACTATGGCCTGTGGAACTGATTAGCCTCTCCACTGGACGGGTGCAAAGAAGAAAAGATGCAAGAAAAGCCCAAGACCATACCTCCATGGACTTATCCAAATCCGCCACCATGTAGTACATAGTAATACCAGGCTTTCCGCCCTTCTTGCTAAAATTCGAGCTACCGTCGGCTTGCTTGTATCGCTGCATCACCTCCTCTGAGACAAGACTCAGACCCCCGCCAAGATTCCCGAGGCTCTGGTCCGGGTATCGGAATAGCGCGACTGTCTCATTGCAGGGAGAGCCCTCTTCAGCGGCAAGCTGGGCTTCTGTCTTCTCTGGCACGGCCATGAAGGTCCAGGAGAAGACGCTGGAGTAGAAGTTTTTCGCTTCCTGGGGAGTTAGCAGGATGGATGATGATGGGAGTAGGGGAGGAAACTGAGGAGAGGGATACCTCGTTCGGCGTTTGTGACGGGGATCTCGATCCAGCAGGGTGAGCCGTTGGCTGGGGGAGTCCAAGGAGCCATGGTTGAGGTGGGTTTCTTTATTAGTGTCTTTGGTGGTGTGATATAAGGTGGGCAACAGGCTGTGGATGAATGTGGAATGACCAGCAGAGCAGAGAAGAGTGTTTGATGCAATGAGGAGAGAAAGCAAATTGTGAGGAAACGAAGGAGACTTTATACTTTTCTTTGCACGCACCAGCAAGGTCTTCTGAGCACACCAAGGCCCTACCATCCCCGTTGAGTTTCAATTGATCTCGCATCCAAAAACGAGGCCTCCGCTCCACAACGAGCTCCATATCTGAGATTTGCCAGCCATTTCTCCCAGAAAATTCAGCGACGGAGCTTCAAATGCCTGCAGATTGACTCAGTTTTACTCCTCATTCCTCAAGCATCCTCCAATCGGGGGAAAATCTCTCCGCCTCTCTGCTGCAAGACGGGACCTATCTCAAGGTCAAGCAGAGCGAACTGGGCCCGTTGACACGTCAACCGCGTTCTCATATAACCGGATCCGGTTTAGTTCCTCTTATCCTGCGACACGGGCGGAACACGAAGTCATGTGGCTCCATGGCTTCGCTCTTGGACTGGGAGTCTGCTGGATGGATGCCTGAAAGTCCCCTCGTATTTAAGGTTTCCAAGATCTTGGATTGAGCTGTGGGGAAGTTCGAAGCAGCATTGACTGTGGACTTGTCTGCATGACCGGGAGGATAGTCCTGAACGTCTGTGGTTGTCAACCCAAGCAATGTACGCCTATAGGGCTCATGCAAATATCTGTCCCAATAAATCGATGAGTGTCCTGACACCGGCCAAAGACAAGGAGAGAAGGTAGGCTCCGCTTCGTAGGCCATCAGGCAACTAAGCGAAAAGGTGAGAGCATCCTGTTGGAAGAAGTGGTACAGAAGCGTTTTCATTTAAATTATTTGAAGCAGCGCGCAAAACGGAAAATACATGCAGGGTGTACCGTCTGCATCGGCTCATAGAAGCAGCCTTGGGTATGAGAAAGGAAAAATATACTAGCGAGAATCACCAAGTACTGGGTGTATTGAACCAAAAGGTACGGGGACAGAAAAGTCCGAATAATACAAAAGAGATGTATCCTCCAACAAGAATTATAAGCCATACACCAATGCCACAAGCGACGCCATATGAAAAAGTTCCGGATCCATGTCTGAGTTTCGTCATGCTCTCTCTACGAGATAAGTCTCGTCCCACGACAAGCAGTCATGGAGAATCACATATACAAGGTAAAAGCAAAAGTTAGATAACGAACGACGAAGAAGAGGTCGCGTTGTCGAAAACTCTATTTGATTTCATTATCATCCGAGAATGGACTCGATTTTTTAGTTTGATCGGATGAATCGCTTGATCTTTGGGCTTGACCATCCAAGATCCGGTTGGAAGATTGGCTGCTTCGATGGCGGTGTGTCGACGTGCTCTTAGAATCGATGCTTTGGCGTGAGGGGTTGGAGATCCCTTCGGGGATGGCGGAGGATGTCGCAGAAGGTGTGGCGACAGCGCTAGAGTCGGTAAAGGGACCACGTCTCTCAGTGGGCGAGTCGTCGATTACTGTGAATGCTGTCGACTGCACTGACTCTCGGACGTTAGGTCTTCGTTCTTGGCGCACAACCTTCTCGTTTGACGGTAATTCGACAAGACCAGGCTGTCCCTTTTCCTGGGGTGAACTGGCATCTTCGTCGATTGGGGTGGCTGGAGAGTTTTTGCTTTCATCTTCTGCGGGTTTCTTGCCCTTTGGTTTCGTGACGTTGATTGGTCGAGCAACCGCCGTCCGTGCCACAATCGAGGAACCCATAGGCATCTTTTCTGACTGTTCCAGCTTGGCGGCAACAGCGTTGGCCTTGTTGATCTGTGTGACGGTGATGGCGGGTACAGCGGGCGTTGAAGTGGTGGGCGAAGGATTTGAGGAGAGAACGGGTGTGCTGGAGCCGGACTTGACGCTGACCATGGCAGCCTTGGCACGCAGGGCCTGTTGAGCGGGAATCGGGCTGACGATCGCATTGTTGCGGTAGATGGTGGTGGCGACGCTGCTGCGTGCCAGGCTGGGAGCGATACTCCTGCGGGTTTCCTCGGAGGTACTTGACCACACAGAGTCACGAATATCACCAGGCATGAAGTAGCGCTGATCGTAGTTGCCCTGGACAGCAGGGATGGGGGGCACGGGAGGGACCATGGAAGGGGAATCGGGCGGAGAGCGATTGGTGACTCCGGGGATGTAGGCGATCTGGATGACGTTCGAGGCTCTGGTGAGGACGGTGGACGCAATGGATCCAACGGCCGACATTCGCCCTCGCCGTTCGGCCGCAAAGGCGGCCTGCTTCTCAGCGAATTCCGGGCTCCAGTCATCGTACTGGTCTGCCTTTCGCTTCTTCAGGTAGTACCATACAATGGCCGAAAGCACGACGAGGATGGAGAGTCCACCGATGACACCACCAGCTATGGCGCCGACGTTTGGTCCGGAGGGTTCGGGGGATGGATCTGAATCAAGAGCCTCCACACAGACGTTTACCATACATGAGTCGCAGGTGGCAGGTCGACTAACACACTCCTGGCCGGCGGGACAGTTAGGGCAAGGATCAGGTTTGTCAGGGCAGCCGACAACACAGCGGCGGAAGGGGTGGCGCCATGAGATGGCGCGTGAGACTAGAACCACACCAAGAGTGTCAGTGAAAATAGACCATGGAGGCCCCAAAGCGTGCGCACTTACATTCATGATTGGGGTTCATCTTGGGTGTGAGCGGTAGGGGGGAGATTGAGGGTAGAATGGGTATATCATCAAGCAGCGAAGACGAATCGGGCGGGAAGTGAAAGAGAGCGAGCCAGTCAACAGCGCCAGGCGAGAGATGGAGTAAATAACAGAAAGCAAAAAGCAGAAAGCAGTCAAACGAGCGTCAAGAGTTGGACAATTGGTGGATTTCACATTCAGAAGATCAACTTCGAGAGGGTGGAGGTGGACATCGCTGCGGGACGGCGGTCGATGGGGGAAAAGGGGGGAGAGAGCGGTTGAACAACTTGTTGGGCAGGGATGGGTTAAACAAAGGGGAAAAAAAAAGGGAAAAAAAAGGCACAACACAGAGAGAGATCAAGCCAGAGAAGAAGATGGATCCAATATGGTGGTGATGGTGGGCAGGATGAGCGCTTAAGCAGGAAAAAAAGAAATAGAAGAAGAAGAAGAGGAAGAAGAAACAAGAGGGAGAAGAGAAGATCGAGTCGCCGAGAGAGAGAGAGAGAGAGAGCGGAAAGTCAGAAAAAGCGCAGAACAGCGGGAAATACATCACCGTTACATTGTTACGCCTTGGCGGTACGGTTTAATTAGCCCTTCCAGCCAGTCAGCGGCCGTAACCGCCCTCCCATGCGGCCAGCCTATCCCCGTCGTTACCGTATCCGCCGTATCGTTTCATTTCCTATTGCCTGTTTCTGCGTTTCGCAGCCGCAAATCACACCCACGACAGCTGTAATGCGCTAGGAATGCCAATACGCAGAAACACCCCTCGAAGCCCTGTCAATACGGTACGAGCCAGTACCAATTACGCTGTACTCCGTATCGCTCCCCAAATCAGACCACATCAAAAGCTTCCATCATCGCGATCATCATCAGTGTAGAGTAAACAGCGCATCTTCTGGCTTCGCCTTTCACACATACCCTCTCTCTCTCTCTCTGTGTGTGCTTCCCAAGGCCACTGCGTGCAGCGTCATCATTTGGACTTCTCCCAACAATGGCCAGAGGCTGTGCCCCATATGCTGAAATTCCAGCAACACTGATTAGCCAGTTCGCGCTCCGTCAGTCAGTCTTTGTGAAACAAAAACACCGCTTCATTGTCCACCGCCCAACGCCTCGAACCGCCTGTCGACAAGCAGCCAGCTTCCCCCAGTGGCAGATGCGGGCAACGCTCTACTCCGTCCCCCTCAGCTGCAAATGTCCACTTCCAGAACGACAGCACGCTGCCCGCATCCTCAACCTGTCCGTCTCTCAATGTTGATCATCCCCTTCCTCCCCTTTCCTAGCCATACGCATCCATGGGATTCCCTCGTCGTGAACCCTGCATTGCGCCGTGTCGTCCCACCGCCGCGAGCAATGGTCTTGCGTGGTTGCGCCCAAGGGTCTGGATCCCCATTCATCAGCGATCCCCTCTCCTGTCTGTGTGTGTATCTCTCTCTCTCTCTCTCTCTCTCTCTCTATCTCTCAACCCCCCCTACCGTGCCGTCTCTTTGTCGCACATTTCTCTTCCCTGTGCCTTAATGTCTTTGAACTCCGCAACTTCCCCGGTCCCAAATTCAACCTTGATCGTCCCAATCTCCTGACCCTGGACCCGTATTGACAAGGAATATCCAACAAATCGATAGCGCCCCCCGGGGGGTGTGCACCATCAGCAAGCACCCAAAGCATCTTCACCGACACCACCCGACTCTCCTGTCCATCTGCCGAGACACTGATCGTCCGTCGTCGTGGACATCTCAGAATCATCTCCATGCGTCCATCAGTCAGTGCCATCAATAAAGCCTCTGCCGGCTTGCGAAAAATAGCCTCTAGCTCTGTAGTTCCGTAGATTTCCCATGGGCTGCCCGTATCCATATACATACATATGTCATCATTAACTATTTGGCGGGGAACGCTGGTGCCCAGCCGAAAGCCACGCTGACGTACCTCAACACGACCCCCTGTACGCTGTCCACATTGAACCATTCGTGCTCGTCACCGGTTTGAGTGACAGAGAGATAAGAGGTCTCTTTCGGCTCTGTTTCTCGTTCATGGCATGTTCTTAGCTCGATTCGTAGCTTCGAATGTCGGGGCCCCCGTGCGTTCCGTGGGGGAGACGTATGGATGTACAGTACATTCGTTGGCAACGGGACAGAACCTTCGTTTACGCTCGAGACAGTGCAAGGAGGGCAATTAAAAAGTGATGTTGCATATTGAACAAGCCAGGACACATATTACTGTTCCCCTCATATTAATTTAGTTGGCTTTGACAGGCCCAACGACCGGTGATATTAAGAGCGGTTGTTTCAGCGTTAGTGATGGACATTTTTGGTGGCAGAAAGAGAGTTATTTTTCAGTTCAAAGTATCAAAAATTGCTGTTGGATGATTTATTTCACTGAATGGCTTCTTGGTTCATAGTTAAGGCAAGGCTACGAGGCTGGAAAGGGAAATCCCGACAACAAACCTACCTTCTCCAAGGCTGCACCCTCAGAGATTATTTAGAAGTTGAAGACGCGTCCCTCCCCTCCCTTTCCATGTCCTTTACAGATAGAAAGAGATGTGGATGGGTACGGTGAGCAAGCGTGGCCATTCAAAAAGTCATCCCTAGAGCAAAGGCGGCACGGCTGCGTATCATGCGTATATAGCATACTCTTCTGGCCTCACTTGACACCCCCCAAAATCACTTGTACCCCTTCATATGTGTAAAAAAAAAAAGAAAAAAAAAAAAGGCCGTCACCCATAGACATCATAACTCATAAGGCGTATAGAGAAATATCCATCAGACATGGGCCTTCATCTCTTCCAACACGCTCTTCACACAGGCCCGCCTTCCTACTTTCCCGTAGTACCCTACCAACGCAGGGTATCGATCCAGCAGCATCTTCCCCTTGTCGTCCAGCGCAATGCTCCGCAGCACCGGCCAAAACGCGCAGTCGTCGATTCCAAAGGTGATTGGAGCAGATGTATATGTCTGGCCCGCCGGAAGGAAAGATGCAACGAAGTCAAGATGTGGTGTGAGGGGCTCGAGAGAAGCCAACAGATCCTCCGTAGATGGAGATGGCGGACAACTAACAATAGTGCGCCAAGCGTCGAGGAGTCTGCCTGCACGCTCCAGGCGGTCCTGCGGTCCAGAGTCATTTATGGGTATGCTTGGGTCAGGGGTATCCTGGGCTCGGCGATGGGTGCCAATATGCGTTAGTATGTTGATACTTCCGGAAATGTAGGTTTTGTCGTCGGAGTCGAGGTATATCGGTACATCGTCGCCAGGTGAGGGATCGAGAGTCTCTCGGACTGAAGGCGGGAGGTCACTCGCGGATTGCAATACGTCATAACGAATTCCATTTTCGACAAGGCACAGGAGAACCTGGAGATTCGAAACCTCATCGCCGGTGAGAACGACCTTGGCTGAATTGGTGACTGTGACAAAGTTGACAACATCGAACCCTTCGCCGTAGTGCGCATCCCAGTCAAACACCGTCTGCTGGTTCTCCTGTCCAAAGGCATGAATCAGTCGCTCTGTCTCAGACGCCTCTCCGTGGATGATTTTCCCGGCGTTGTCTTGAGTCTTGGAGCGCGCGCCTTGACCCCAGATGGTATCCAGCTCGGGATTGATGAAGGTGCCGATATGCCGGAAGGTCAGGGAGATCCGTTCTCCATTGAAAGCCAGTTCTTCGGGGCCTTTGGTGGATTCCGGACGCTTGTCCTGGCGGATTCCATGTAGCCACTTCATGTTGGAAGTCTCGCCCAGGATGAAGAGAGAGTTGTGGGGCAGCGGAACCCGCTGGGACTGGCGACCGGCATCTCCAGATTCTGAACGCGGGGTCGCGGAAGCCTTTGTTCGCAGAGTCATGACTCTCTGGGCGCCGAGGCTGACGTTGCAGATGGACGAGCCGCGGACGATGTCGAGGGTTTTATCCGAATGCTCAGAAATCCGGTCTTCTCCGCTGCGGTAGAGCTGGATCAGAACGTGATTCAGCGGGTGTCCAAGGTGTTTTTCGACGATTTCTCGAATCGCGTCTACGGTCGCGGTGAAGGGAAGCAGTGGAGGTGACTCGTCTGCAGGGTGTCGGTAGATGGGAATTGACCCGTCGGATTGAACGGCACCCTGGACTGCAACCAGCCGGGGAACCTGGCCGGACATGTGGTACATTTTCTGCCAGTTCACCTCGTCCCGGAGCTTCCGGAAGGAGTCCTCTGGGAGAGGCAGGTCGTAAATGACCTTTGAGTCTCCCGAGCCAATGGTGTCACCGGGGCCGAGGGTAGGGACCACGGAAGTCCTCTGCCGTCTGGCGGGCCTCGCCCTGGTTGTGTGCCTGTAGGAGCGGGGTGGGTTCCGGTCTTGGTTCTGGCTCTGGTTCTGGTTCTGGTCCACGTTGATGTGAGCATCGTCGCCTTCGTCTGTGCGCAGACGGCGGAGGGCTCTCGATAGCAGGGGAGAGGGGGGCTCAGCGTCATCGACCTCGATAGTCTGTGACGGAGCGATGCCCTCTTTTGTTGTTGTTGTTGTTGTTTCCGCGGGCAGGTCGGGGCGAAGGGGTCCCATCTCCCCCTCCCCCTTCCCTTCTCTCAACAGCTCTGCACTATTGACGGTGTAGACGCCTAGGAGCTCGGTCATGCGTCTCCGGGCGTCTCTGTGTTTGGAGAAGCGGCGGAAGCCCAGACAGTCCTCGACGAGGGTGACGGTGAAGCCGTTCCTCACGGCGTCGAGGGCGGTTGCGTAGACAGAGACGTTGGACAGGGCGCCGCAGATGTAGATCTCGGTGATGAACTGGGAGCGAAAGGAGAGGAGGACGTTGGGGGACTGGAGGGCGGAGTAGTCAGACTTGACGAGGACGGTGTCGGCGCGGGAGTCGATGGCGGAGAGGATGGCGGGAGGGAACTGGGCGCCGGCGGAGTCCGGGAGGCAGCAAGGGTTGGCATGTTGCTGGTGTTCAGCGAGGAAGGCCTCTGGGTCGCTGGAGCTGTCGGAGCTGACGAGGGCGACGTCGCCGCCGGCGGCCGGGCTGAAGATGTCGCGGGGACGGGTGAAGAGGGTCTGCACCCAGATGACCTTCCCGGAGGAGCGAAAGTGGGAGGCGAGGTCGGGGATGCGGGCGAGGAACTCCGGGGTGTTTGGGACGAAGAGGGCGCCGTCGGGGGAGACGAAGTCGTTCTGGAGGTCGAGGACGAGCAGGGCGCGGCGGGTGGAGATCTGGGGGATATTCTGGAAGAAGTCGGGAGGCAGCATGATGGCGAGTCAAGAAGAGAGCCCCAGCAGGGCCAGCAAGCAAAAGGGGGTGGGCTTTGTTTTCTTTTCTTTTCTTTTCTTTTCTTTTTTTTTTTTTTAAGTTCTGTTTTAATCCTGTTTTTATTCTTATTCTTATTTTTTAGGAGTATAGTTATATATATTTATATTTATATTTTTGTGTCGAAGGTGAATGTGGCGAGCGACCACTGATTATAACTACCTAGTTTTTTTCTGCTTGTACGGAGTAGTGGGATTATTTATTTATTTATTTTTTTCTTTTTTCTTTATTATTTTTTTATTTTATTTTATTTTATTTTATTTTATTTTTTTTGCTTGCTCCGTACAGAGTACTCCGCGCTCTGTGCTCTCCCGCTGGCAGCCCAGACTGGCCGTCCTTGCAAGGGTTGTGCAGGGGATTGCTCGGGCCAGAACAGCCGTTTTCCTGCTGAGTCTTCCACAATTGATTGCATGATTCTGAGGGTTAGAAAAAAAAAAAAGCTCCATGCAGTTTAACGGAGTACTTCCCTACTCTGCCACCCAGTTTATAAAAAAAAAATATTCCTCCGTCCAATCTATCTTTTTTTGCTGGACTTTGCGATGATCTTATATTTTATATATATATATATATACTCCGTATATGGAGTAATATTTGGGGAAAAAGAAACAAAGAATCAAAAGGCAGGGTGTTGGGGAAAAAGAAAACAAAGAAGAGGGGAAAAATTTGGGGAAAAATGAAAAAGAGCTGCTGCTGAGTCATGTTGGGGAAATTTTAGTTGCATATTTAGAGTTCCGACATCGGCAGAATTCGAGAAAACGAAACGGAGAAAAAAAAATAAAAATAAAAAAAATAAAATAGAAGAGCTGCTGTTTGTTGGAGCTTGACTTGACTTGGTTTGACTTGACCTGGTTTGAGTTGGTTTGGTTTGCTTTTTTTCTTATTTTTTTGGGGCTGGCCAACTTAGCCAACCTGCTCAATTCTTCTTCCTCTTCTCGTCCTGCTCTTCTTTTTCTTTTTGACTCAAAAACTCCCTCCAACCACCCCAAAAAAAAAGGTCATATATCAACCCACATCCCCCGGTCATCCCAGGTCAATTGCTCCCTGCTCCACCCCCCCCTTTTTTTCTAATCTCCCCTCCGCCCGTCAACAATGGCCTCCAGACCTGCTGCCAGAGCCCTGCGCTCTTCCTTCTCCCGCAGCCTGGCGTCTTCTGCCTCAAAGGCCTCCCGCCGTACCTTCATCTCCGCCACCAATGCCCGCCCTGCCCTCGCCGCCAAAGCTGCTCCCATTGCTGCCCCCTTCGCCCAGCAGGCCCGTGGCATAAAGACAATCGACTTTGCTGGCACAAAGGAAACCGTCTACGGTACTGCTCGCTGCCCTCCCTCTCTCTCTTTTTTTTTTGTCTTTTCTTTCTCTTTTCTCTTTTCTCTTTTCTCTTTTCTTTTCTTTTCTTTTCTTTCTTTTTTTTTTTTGGATCTATAGCTAACTGAATTTTGTTTTTCTTTTCCTGACTAGAGCGTGAGGATTGGCCCGGAGAGAAGCTCTTGGTATGTCTCTTTTTTCCCGGTTTCCTAATTTTCTTTTTCTTTCAGTTTGATCATCTCTAACATTCCTCCAAGGACTACTTCAAAAATGATACCCTCGCCCTCATCGGCTACGGCTCCCAGGGCCACGGCCAGGGCCTCAACCTCCGTGACAACGGCCTCAACGTCATCGTCGGTGTTCGCAAGGATGGTGCATCCTGGAAGGAAGCCGTCCAGGATGGCTGGGTCCCCGGAAAGAACCTCTTCGACGTCAACGAGGCCATCAACAGGGGCACCATTGTCATGAACTTGCTCAGCGACGCCGCCCAGAGCGAGACCTGGCCCGCCATCAAGCCCCTCTTGACCAAGGGAAAGGTAATAACAATAACCCCCCTAACTCCCCAATCAATCAACCATTGATTCGATTCAGTCTAACATTGCCTTTTTTTTTTTTTTAACTCTGTGACAATAGACCCTCTACTTCTCCCACGGCTTCTCCCCCGTCTTCAAGGATCTCACCAAGGTTGATGTCCCCAAAGACATCGATGTCATCCTCGTCGCTCCCAAGGGCTCCGGCCGCACTGTCCGCTCCCTCTTCAAGGAAGGACGTGGCATCAACTCCTCCGTCGCCGTCTACCAGGACGTCACCGGCAAGGCCAAGGAGAAGGCCGTCGCCCTCGGTGTCGCCGTCGGCAGCGGTTACCTCTACGAGACCACCTTCGAGAAGGAGGTCTACTCCGACCTCTACGGTGAGCGTGGCTGCCTGATGGGCGGCATCCACGGCATGTTCCTCGCCCAGTACGAGGTCCTCCGTGAGCGTGGCCACAGCCCCAGCGAGGCCTTCAACGAGACCGTCGAGGAGGCCACCCAGAGCTTGTACCCATTGATCGGTGCCAACGGCATGGATTGGATGTACGCCGCCTGCTCCACTACCGCTCGCCGCGGCGCCATCGACTGGAGCAGCAAGTTCAAGGATACCCTCAAGCCTCTCTTCAATGAGCTGTACGACAGCGTCAAAGACGGAAGCGAGACCAAGCGCTCCCTCGACTACAACTCCCAGCCTGATTATCGTGAGAGATACGAAAAAGAGATGCAGGACATCCGTGACTTGGAGATCTGGAGAGCCGGAAAGGCAGTCAGGTAAAATCCCTTTCCTTTTTGTTTCTTTTCAACTCTCTTTTTTAATCTCTCCAATCGATGCTAATTTCTTCCATAGGTCCCTCCGTCCGGAGAATCAGAAATAGGAGCTGTAACATTAGATACCTTCCGGTCCATAGTTTCTTTGGTTCAACCTTTTTTTTTTTTTTTTTTTTTTGCCAAATATTTTTTTTTAACGTGTGATAATGAGAAAGAGCTATTAATTCATTTTCTTTAAAAGTTTATGTCTTCAACCTCATCCTTGCTCTTCTGGAGCTCCTTGGATCCCTGCTTTCACGTTTTATTCCTCGTATTCGGCCCCGCGACCTGGAGAGAAAAAAAGGCCCGAGACCACAGCGTAGTTTGAATCCCCCTTCGCAACCACAGAACGTTTCCCTTTCTTTTCTTTTCTTTTCTTTTCTTTTCTTTTTTTTTTTTTTTCACTCCAATATTCATAGAGAACAATTCACCGCCAACATGACAGACCAATCCCACTGGCTGCCACTCTCCGCCACCAACATCCAGGCCGCCCACGCTGTGATCCGACCCCACGTCCACACCACCCCTGTCCTGACCTGCCGCACTCTCAACCGCCTCGCATCCACCCCGCAATCCGCCGACTCCCTCCGCGGTACACCGTTCGAAGGACGCACGCCGGCCAGCCCCAAGATCAATTTGTTCTTCAAATGTGAGAATCTGCAGAAGATCGGTGCCTTCAAGGCACGGGGCGCCTTCCACGCACTTCTGAGGCTATGCGACTGTCTGGGCGTAGAGGAAGTAAGGAAGAGAGGAGTCGTGACGCATAGTTCTGGTATACATCCCATTGCCATACCCACGCACGCACGCACATCCCAAATACAAAACTTACCGGACCTCGGCTACTGCTGAGGACGTTCAAATTTTGCTAACGCGGATCGTCCTTTGCTGTTGTGACTAGGAAACCATGCCCAGGCCGTCGCTCTGGCCGCTGCTACCCTGCAAATTCCCGCGTACATCGTCATGCCACGCATCTCCACCCCCTCGAAGATCGCCGGGACACAATCCCACGGTGCAAAGGTGATCTTCAGCGGGTCGACGAGCCAGGAGCGCGAAGAGGTCGTGAAACATGTCATTGACGACACGGGCGCCATCCTTGTGCCGCCGTACGATCATCCGGATATAATACTAGGTCAAGGGACTGTAGGGCTGGAGCTCGAACAGCAGGTGAAAGAACTGGTCCAGGACAACCCCGGATTGAGCGTGCATGTGGATGTGGCGGGCAAAAATGCCATGCTGGATGCCGTGATCACGCCCCTGGGCGGCGGGGGATTGAACTCCGGCGTCGCAACGTGGTTTTCTTCCGCCGAGAAGAGCGAATCTTCCGGCAAAACCCTTGTTTTTGGCGCCGAGCCATCGTATCAGGGTGCTGATGACTGCTGTCGCTCCCTCGCTGCCGGAGCCCTCATCACGAGCGTCTCGTCGCTCACCATAGCCGACGGTTTACGCACACCGGTCGGTGCCATTCCTTGGTCTGTCATCTCAAACCCAGAGAAGGTCCGAGGCGTGTACGCCGTAACAGAGGAGCAGATAAAGGCCGCTATGAGACTGGTGCTCGAGAGGATGAAAGTGGTGGTGGAGCCCAGTGCCGTTGTAGGGTTGGCGGTTATTCTGTTCAACGAAGACTTCAGGGCGTTGGTGGAGAAAGAGTCGGGCAAGGAAGGCTGGGATATTGGCGTGGTGTTCAGCGGGGGAAATACCAGTGTCGAGGCGATTCGAGAGCTATTTTCTACTTAACATAATATGAGTTTGAACAGGTGTAGACCCCTTTTTTTTTTTTTTTTTTTTTAAATCACTAGACGTGAAGCTCTACAGATACCTAGCTTTAGATCACAACCTCTCAATGCGTTGCCACAATAATTGTTCAAATAATCTACTCTGGAGTAATCAACTATTGAACTCAATACCTTCCTTGAGGATCCTGAATCCAAACGCTCCTTTAGCACTGAGCTCACTCTTGATGCTCGCAGGTATACTAGATGGGTCGATCCACCCGGAAAACCGACCGCTCAGAACAACCGCTTGTCTCGAGGCGGCATCTGCTTTGGCTTCATCAACCGTCATCCATTCTCCAAACGGCCGCACGACGTCTCGTCGTACAATGAGGCGAATCGTAGGAAATGTAGGCCATGGATGCGGAAGGTATGGCTTAAACGACCCCAACAAAGGGGAGATCGAGCGCGAAGGATAAAATCCGGCGGTGGTGTACAAAACCAAACACGAAAACGTGCTTTGTATAGCACGAAGGCAGGAAACGATCTCCGTGGGGACATGTATATCCTTCTTCTGCCGGATAGACGAAGCTTCGTGTTGCGTATGGATTTGTCCTTCGTTTCTTGCGCCAGGAATCCGCGAGATCTCGGCTTCACGCCAATCTTGCCAGCAAAACGCACTGGCACTATCGAGAATGGTAGCGTATACACAACGCTGCCGCGAATAGTGTCTTATGCTAAACATATACTCGATTATGGATTCCAAGGTCGTAAGCAGAGAAGCAGAGGACTGCGGTCGGAAGACATGTATGTGACGCAGAGCTTCGTCGACGAGGCATCGTAACATTACCTCGTCCTTTTTGGCGTCCCTTTTATCGCTATTACCGTGGGAAGACACAATTCTCTCCTGAGCAATGTGACTTATCACCTGTTTAACACGGAGGGCATCGAAGCGTCCATCTGTATCTAGCCATATCACCGCTGCACCACGGCCTCCAACGTGGACGTCGTCATCAGCTCGCGCCGGCAACACTGCCAGAGCGGCGATGTGATAGAGCAATGATGTCTTGCCATCGGCAGAGAAGGGGCTGGTTATTTCTATTACCGGATTGCTTGGGAGAGTATTGCTCCTTGCGAGGACGGAGAGGATGTCGTCGAGGGGCTTAATGCCGAGTAGAATTCGACCTACAACGCTTTCGCCGCGAGACTCGCGAAACTCTCGTAGGATCTAAAGCGGAGTTTGCACGTTAGTAGAAGTCAAGCAAAAGCATAGAGGTGATAATTGTTGAGCTCAATCTTGCATATTTATCACTGCCAGTACTGACATCGGAGAGATTCTGTTCCTTGACTTCCGCCAGCAACCTTGCCCCAAAAAACTCAGCGCCCATCTTCTTCGAGATACTTGGGCTCAGCACACCGCAGAGCACTCATTGCCGCAGACTTCAATTATCTAAAGAGGCGCTTTATCACCGTCAGTGTCGAGGGTTTAGAGCTTAGGGTGTTGAACAAGAGAACAACCTGCGATCAAAATCAGTCCGCCTCAACCGGCGGCAGTTGCAGGTTCTGGTTTTAAGGCTCCGGTTTCAAGGCTCCCTTCTCCTAAGCCTCAACCCAATTCCACACTCTCCACACATACCTAGCTATTCTTTTTCAGATTTATTAGAGGAAAATGGCACCGCCCGTCACTCCTTTCCCAGCCGCGTCGCTCCCTATTCACATCCACACCACCACCCACGGCTTCAAGCCTAAAGCACGGAAAGGACCGCCAACAGACCTCCTCTCCTGTCCGCTGTTCGCAATGCAACAGTTTTCGTGCAATCCGCCACGTAAAGGCGTACCAGAAGCGCCAGGGGTGGTGAGATGCGAATCAATTGTGAGGATCTTCAGACGGTAAGTCCTGATCTGGTGCGTGAATGGGGTAAAGCGCTGGACTGACTCCTATTGGGGCGTAGGTGCGCAAATGGAGTCAGTGCAGAAACTACAGCGCTCGAAGGGCATAAATATAAGGATGTCGTGCTTCGCGAAAGCAAAGGATTATGAGCTACGAATACATGAATGAGGCAACGAATGACTCTGATCCATACAGAAGTTTACAACAATGATATTCCCGGGGTATCTGGAACCGCATATGCAACGCTTTTCAATGGAAATGCTCGCCCAATATATGAATAGCCCAAACGCCTTGCTGCGATAGGACAAAAAGGAGCTCGGTCGATCACACCTTTCTAGCTGTTGCCGACGTACTCTTCTGACGCTCCGTTCCGCGCCCGTCTGTTGCGTCGCTCTTAAGCCAATACACACGTTCGCAGTTCACAACAGGGCCCAATTCAAGCTTTGGCGGTTCGGTATCAGGTTCTACCGGAGTCTTTTCCCTCACAGGCTCCGAAAACCCAAATTCTATCGTATCTAGCTCTGCATCCATAGCTCTCTGTTTATCCTTCCTTCTTTTTGCCCTCTCCTCTGCCTGGCTCTTAAGAAGTGCAGCCAGCGTCTTTTCAAACATAGACTCCATGCTCTCCTCCTCTCTTCCCCATAAGGTCTTCTCTGCCTCCACTTGGTTCCTCGATCGCGATTCTTTTGCCGCATGTGTTAATTTCCTCAATGCCTCTTCGCCTAGACGCCCTTCTTCGGTTGCTCTCTCTCTAATTTTTCTTGGGTCGGTCTCTCGTTCGGTATAGACGTGCGTGTCTTGGTATGTATGCTTGCTCGGGAATTTGGGGAAATGTTTTGGAATGTACGAGTACGTTCTTTTATCGTCGGTGGCACTCAGCTCCGGTCCTAAGAATGGTAAATACGTTTGTGGAGTTCCTTCGTCGGGAGGTGGAGAGGGTAGAATGGCCGGAGTTTGTGTGGCTTTGCGGGGGCATTTGAGGTGTGGACGAAGTGAATCCAAGGATATGGCGTGCTGATCGAGGGCATGCTCAAAGTCCTGCGGGATGGGTTGTGTTCTGCGGCAGGAAGCCATTGATGCACGAATGTAAGATAGGAAATGAAGCATATCTCCAAGAAGGTTAGCAGTGTGAAATTTAAAAGGCAGCTGTCACGTAGCCACACCCGAGAATGGAATTCCATACATTCTTCAACTCCATTTCTGAAGCTATCCAGCGCAACGGGCTCTGCATGGTCGAAGCCAGCTTCGCGCAGTGAAACTCCAATGGCCATATTTAGCAACTGGTCCACGGAAGCATCGTCCGCGATGACGGCGGAGTCAAGGGGCTCAATGTCTAGGGGAGACTGCAGACGATGCACACGGTGGTATTCAACCTTCTGCCTCTTCGAGAGAGCTGCTGGTGGATTGTCTGAGTCCGGGGATGGACGTTTGAGCGACGCGTTCTTGGGGGACATGATTCCAGGATCGACAGCGTAGGGGTAAGTTAACTTGCTGTTTCGATCTTATGGGTGCGCGATATGAGAGAAAGTTTTCCCCTCTTCACCTAGATGAGTAGCTCTGAATGAACCATCTAGCGCCTTTCAGTCTCCGTTCAATGGATCAATAGGACTGGCGTTGACTGGCAGGCATGTATTTTGCGGGATCAAGTGAATGCAAGCTGTTGTCATCCCACTCAAAGCTTAGCTTGGAAGATTACCACCATAGCCCAGGCTCCATTAGCTCATCTCCGGGTTTCTTCTTCTGTCTTCTTCGCTGGTGTTTCGGCCGGCGGGTCCTCGTCTTCCTCTGCCTGTCGTGGCTTGCTCTGCTTCTTCGCGTTTGGGGCTCGTCGTTCGCTCCCTGATCCGCTGACATAAGTCCTGACTCAGCAGTGGGCTGATTGAAATTCGATTTTCCACGTGACCTTCCTTGTGCCGCCGAAACCAGCAAAACCGACAACGAAGCACGAAGACAACGCACGACAAGCCCGCTGCAATTCACTGCCTGGGGATCCTCACGAGCTCCTTTTTTTAACTGTCTCCCGATAGCCTTTCTCTTCCCTCCAGCCCAAGATGGCCATCCAACCAATCACTGGTGTAAGCGCAATTCCCTAGTTTGGTGCTGTGTCTGTGTGTGTGTGTGCTATGGAATTGAAGGTCGATGTCAACACTACGTTGGTAGCCAATTGCTGATGATATTTCGTGTAGATGCTCCGCAAGGGCCTCGTTCTGGACATTAGCACCGCCTTTGGTGAGCGATTCCCTTCCTGATCGAAAGCCATTGCGCATCTCAATGCTTGGGAGCTGCGCTCATTCAATTCCCCGGGGATGATTTTACCTCCCCGATTGCACACCTCCATATTTAGCGACTCTCCCGGTGAGCGAATCTTTATTAACCTTCAATTTCCAGGCCTCGGAACAACTTTCGGTTACCTCTGGTGGTACGGTACGTAGGACAACAATTGCTTCGCAAAATGATACCTCTCTCCCACAGATCGGGAATCTCCCTCTAACACAGAGATGACATTAAGGATACCACCTCCCCCGCGTCCGGGCCCGTGACCACCTCTATGCTACATTAGAAGCAGAGCGTGCCAGTGAAGCTGCTCTCTAATCGATTCACCGACCTCCTTTCCCTTCAGCATATTCGTTCTGCCCAGACGTTTCCTCCATACACGCCCTCGAATGATGCACTTTGTTGCCCATGGGCTCAAAAGATGTCCAAGGGAGCAAGTCCACGAAACCGACGAACGGATACAACACTCCGCTGGGGGATTCGACGGTGGCGGTGCGTCATGCCTTGTAACACGAACGAGCTGTGTATATAACATGTTTTGAAAAGAACGAAAAACAAAAAAAGAAAAGAATGCATATTCGTTACTCTCCACTCTTACAGCTCTATTTCCGTTGGAATTTCATCTACGATGCTCTCTACCGTATAGGCAGCTTCCCAACTAACATAACCAATTAGGAATAACCAACCGAGGCAAAATATTCTCTAAATAAGCAAATCGCAGATGACATCGCTCCTCGTAATATCTAACCTGAGCTCCCATTTTGTAAGATTAGGATATCCGTATGAGTTGAACACGCATACGGGTCATTTTACGTTGCTAATAGCCCTTGTGTCCATATTCCTTCACAGCAGGAATAGAGCACGGCTAAGTTTCATCATTCATGTCCTAAATTCCTCATATCTATCATCTGTTTATTTCATAACTCGCTCATATGTAATCCCCCGCACTGTCCCTCCGGCCATGGCGTTACGCACGTTACGTTTGAACTGCTCCCTATTCAGGCGAAGGTCCTCGGCGGCTTCTTTGTTCAGCGGGTCGGATGCATTAGGCTCAAGGAAAAGGAACTGTTCATGGAGGCGCCATCAGTCATCAAGAGAAGCCCGAAGCGTAGTACAATAACCCTGTATCTCGTACCTGCAGCCCCACTATCACCGCATTCAAATTCAGCACGGGTTTCCAGTCCTCTCTTAAAATATTCAAGCATACGTTCCCCTCTAGATCAATGTTTGGATGATATATCTTCTGGTTACACTTCACCTTGGGTGGATCGTGCGGGAAGTTCTGGTTGATGTTGAAGTTGAAGGTGAACGTGCCTGCTTTGTACATGCCTTCGTCGGGCTCAACGGTAAGGATGAAGTGGAGGATATCGTCGGCATTTGGGAAGCTCATTTTCATCGTTGAACCGAGGGAGAGCTCTGCTAGATCTGTACATTTGCGATAAAAGGCGTTAGTTGACGAATACCTGGTGCGGGGGCCGTGCAGGTTCATAAACACACCTCGCTGCACTCGCAGCTGCGCAGCGGTGACCTTCTTCTTCTTCGGACCACCGGTACCTTCAGCATTTTCAGCTTGTTGCTGTTTTTGCTTCTATGGATCCCCGTCAACATCCATATGGGCTAAGAGAGGGGCAAAGGAGCATCACGCCACGTACCATTGACCATATCTTCAACATCTTGACTCAAAATCTCCCTCCAAACACTCTAGGGAATCCGCTAGTAAGGCAGCCCCAACCAAGCCAGAAGGCTGAACAAAAGAAATTCGGACAAATAAAAAAAAAAAGGACAAAAGGTGTGAGCTGCGTGTGGGCGTGTGCCTGTTTATCCGATGTCAGGAGCGGCGGGAAATGCCAGAGCGTGCGGGCCCAAAATAGATGCGCGAACTGTTAGTATTATTTGCAGTAGAGCCTTGCTTGTTCAAGCTCTACAACACATATACACAGTTTTTGCACCTTTTTATGGGACCAAATATATGTGTGTGTATATATATTCCTTTTGGAAGTCTCGGGGGTCAGGCTGCAAAAGGGACCGAGTGGTGGAGATGTTTGAGAGCGGCGTTAAAAGTCGTGAATACTAATATATGCTGGAGACAGAAGCCAGATGTCTACTAGCAAATTATGCAGAGTAAAAACAAAATATATAAAAATATATATCTATTATGCCTCAAAAATTGGGAAGGGAAAACAGAAACACAATTTCAATCGGGCTGTTCAAATCTGTCTGCTGTCAAGCGGCGGCGGCGTGGATTCTGACACTTGACGCCAAATGAAGTCACCAAAACTTTGGGCAGTGCACGTGATATATTTGTCCAACTCAGAGAAGTTACCTACCCAACATCAAGACCTTTAGGGCAGCCAGCATAACCTATTAGAAATAGCCGCAATATGCGCCTTTCATTGGCCGGAAAATTGGTCGAGCAGACATTGAAGGTTATTTACTGCTCGGGCACGAGGGCCCGGCTACGTAGTCAAGGAGTGACGTATTTTGAGAAACACTCTGTCTGGAACTCACATTGCCATGGGGTCTCATAGAACATGCCACAGACATTGGGTAATATAGGAGGGAACCAAGTAGCCCAAGGTATAGTAAGCAAAAGCCAAAACATTAATGCGTGGAAACAGGGTTATCTGGAAGGGAAAGCAAAAAGATATGAAGCTACCAACATTACCTAGACTTTGGGAAATCCCAGAGTAATGAGCAGGAATAGCAGAGACAAAGAGAAAGGATAACCCATCATCTAAAATAGAATACAGGCACAAATAGTTACCGGTGAAACAAACAAGAAAAAGGGGCATGGCAGAATATTGGTGGATATTGAACAGGACCATATTTTGTGTAGGGAATATCATCATGTCAGGGCGGGAAAGCAGATTACTGGCGTCAATTTTCCAGGCTGAAAGAACACAGGTCGTAAAACAAAAGAGAGTCCGAAAGATGAAGCCACCTTGACTATCTTCTGGCGAAACAGCACATAATGCCTGATTTGCCCAAGAACCAACAGGCTCCGATGAAACGGATCAAAGACAAAGCGGCCGTAGCCCACAAAAGAGCTCGGAAGAAATTGGCGGTTCGATCTGTGGCTTGGGACTATCCAGCAGTGTCAGTATATCATGATCATGTAAAAACCACCCTTCATTGTGGAGATAGCTTACTGTAAAACCAAGCTTATTAACGCTGTCGCTTGTAATTAGGACAGCGAGCAAAGCATTTGAGAAAATCCATGAAGCTACTAGTCGAGTACGGAAGCTCTTATAAGAATCCTCCAAAGATTTCTTTTCATCGACCTTTGGTTCAACGAAGGGAGTAAGAGCTCGTTTCACAGTTGCCTCGAACTGACTGTCGATGTCGGCTTGTGGTTTATCGATTTCTTCGATAACGGCAGCTTTGCCACCATCTTCTTTCGTCGTTTGTGCGGACGGCAATGCATCTGCCTTATCTGAACCCTTGGTACCCCAAGAAACATCATGCCAGTTGCTGAAAGCGTACACCATGAGGATGTTAATGTACGAGGACATGATGAGCAGATAGGCCGGGAAGGATGTGAACATGTGCCATGGGTCCATGTACATAAACGAGGCAACGAAGTAGAGACCAAAAGTTGCTGCAAGAGCGATAACAATGATACCCGCACTGTCGGAGCCGAAGAAAGACTTCAGGAAACCGTCCACGCCTTTGTCGGTTTCGAAATCTACGCTTCCAGAGAACGCCCGAACGACCAAGTACATTGAGAGGATGACAATGTACAGCTGAACAAGACCGAATAGGATAAACGACGTGATGTACGAGTGTTTAGACCTACGACGGGGTAAGCATTGTGGCAAAGACTCAATAAGACGCTCTTCACTCACCCTTTTGGCCTGTTACCTAGGGCGAGGATGAACTGCAGTAGGAGGAAACCAAGGTATAGATATTTGAGAACCGTGTTGAGGATGGGAGTAACTTTGTTTCCGAAGGGGAAGGCTCTCTGACCCTCTTGATTAGGGTTACCGACGAGATCCATGATGACGGAAGTGGTAAGCCAGTAAGCAGCTATAAACCCATTAGCACAGGACGGACTCCGCGTGTTTCAAGTTCACGTTGATTACATACCCAGAGCGAACCAAGTCAAGAAAACCGTAAACGTGTTGTAAAGCATTTGAATGTGGAAGAAGAACATGCGGAGGATGTTATGTCCGCTCTTATACATTCTACCAAAGTGCATGAGGGCGTAGATACTGGCGGCAAAGGAACCGTTCAGCCAACGTCGACGCTGGGAGATGAATTCCGGAGCACCCTCGGGCACGTCAGTTTCACCCTTGGAAGCTTTGACGTAGGTCAAGTGCCATTTGGATCCAGCCTTGGCCACCAACTCGAAGCAGAGAATACGATCTTCGGCCAAGAACATGTTTTTCTTGAAGATGTTCATACCCTCAATACCCTTGGGACCAAGCTGCTTGGAAAGAGTGTGGTCACCGTGGAAATATTGCTCGAGGGGTCTACCCATGATAGCTCTGAATCGGTATGCAGAGAAAGCACCGGGTAAGACACTGACATATCCAAAGGAACTCTCCAAGGGTTTATCGAGGATGTTACTGATCTTGTATTCAAAGTTTTGGGCAGCGACGAGCGGATTGATCAATTTTGTCCACCCCTTACCCAACATAGCGTGAATCTCACCGCAAGATCCACCCAAGTCCTTGTCGTTGTAAAAAGCTTCCCAAAGAGCGAGCAAGGACTTCGAACCAGGCTTCGTACCAGCGTCCAAGAGAATACAAATCTCGGGGTTGAGAATCCTACCAAACGCATTAAAGAGCCATCTGTGAGAGTTGATCTTTTTGCTATTCTTCTGCTTCAAGCAAAACATCATCTGGACGGGTGGGAGAGTCGACGGGCCATCATCATGGGGACGGATGAGCTGCTGGTTTGCGGTGACGGATAATTGTGTGGTGTATTCGAACTGTTCTGTGTTAGGACGAGGCTTGTCGAAATCGCTTTAAGATCTAAAAGGAAAAAGAAAAGGTACTGACAATATGGGCAACGGTCTCCTTTCCGTCAACATCACGTTTCATGACGCCATCTTGATAAACACCGATCGTAGCAAGAACATCTAGCACGTCTTTGTCGCAAGGGTCGATACCGTCGAAGATCAAAGCGACAACGATCTTTTGCCACGCGGGACCACCTTTATTCCAGAATTCGGATTTTTTGATATTCACGATGTCGCGAATGTTTTGCATAACGCCGTGCAGGGTACGAGAAGTCAACATTTTGTCTTCATTGTAGTACGTAATTGCGATCAGGAGCTCGGTGTGGCGGTTGTACATAGCAGGACGAAGGTTGTAGCCATTGTGTAGGGTGAAGTCGTTAGGATCGCAGGTAGCAGCGGTATCTGTGTGGAACCGTCAGTGAGCAACTGGATATCCCTGTGTTGAGAATCAATCTACGGGGCTACCCACATCTCATGTGCGTAAACTCCTCGCTTCCTCCTTCGAGGTCGTTGCGGTACTTTGCCTGGACCGCATTCTGAATGGCACTGGGCACGGGGTAGTCCACGCTCAAGACAGAGCCCTGGACGAGCTTGACCTTTCTGGTAGCGTAGCGGCGGAGGTTTCCTTGGGGAGCTTGCCTCCGTCGCCATGCGTCTGTGGAGGAGGTTTCGCTCCGGCTGTACGGGGAGGCTACCCGACCAGGCACGCCGAAGCCAGCGGCGGGATTGTCCGTCTGCTGGCCGTACATCGGGTCATTGTACTGGCTCATGTTCTGTGGGTCTGTGGCGTAAGACTCGGTCAAGCTGTATCTCGAAGCTGGTCTGGCAGGGGAGGCGGTCCGCTGATGGGGATCGTCGAAGGGACCACCGTAGGGTCCTTGATTCAGCAAAGAGCGCGAAGCATCATCATCTTGCGGCAGGTGGTATTGCTAAATACCGCGAAGGTAGGCCCAAAAAAAGGGGGTGGATTGTCAGCAAGAGCAAATCAATATAACTCTGAAACATGCCAGAGGCAGGGATGTGAATTCACGCCAACAATTTTTTTTTTTCTCCCTTCTTTTTCGACAAAAGACAGAGAAAAAAAAAAAAGAGACAGCAGGGCAAAACTTACGCTTCCATTTGAAGGCATATCCTGGAGGCGATGGTCGCCGTAACCTCCTGGCGAGTTGCCGCCGCCGCCCTGGTAGGCCATTGTCGAAGATCGCAAGGAACGATCAGAGGGAGAGGTATGGGGAACCAGTGTCGGCCAAGGGTAGGTTGCGGGAGCGAGAGGTCAGGATTGGTAGTGGGAAGGACAAGGCCTGCTGACAGCGAAGCCAGGTAGTTGTTCGAGGGTCACAGGGCGAAGGGCGAATGGAGGAACGTCCAAGCCGCAGACGAAGTGACGTGCAGACAAAGGGGTGGATGATATGGAAGGTAGTGGAACAAACAACAGCAACAACAACAAAAAAAAGAAAAAAAAAGAAAGCAGGAAAAAAGAGGGAGAAGGTGAAGAGGGGCCTAGATAGCTGAACGAGAGAGGCAGAGAGAGAGAAAGAGAGAGAGGTGTCAACAAGACTTAAAGGAAGAAGAAGAAGAGAAGGGAGGGAGAGAGAGAAAAAAAGATCCCCTGCCTCGATGGGAAAGGCGGGCGAGGTTCGCCGGACGGCAGTGGTGCAGCTTAACCTTGGGTGGGTTAGGTTAGGTTGGGGCTGATGAAAGGAACAAGCC